ATTGGAAATAATGATAGGGAGTAGTCCTCTTTTGTACTTTGTTTCCTGTGCCTTCATTTGGCATGACACGCGAGTTTCTTCAAGTCAAGTCTGCTTGTATCCAAGTCGCCACCATACACTCGATAACTTGTGCTTTCTGAAAATTGGAGTGGAATCATCCATCTTTCTCTCGGATTGGCGGACGGGCGGTTTTTCTTTTTGCATTTCCTATTTGCAAGATCCTCATGTTATCTTCCGGAAAATGACATCGAATCATGGAGTGCCTTGGTAGTATCAACGAGTGAAGTAGATGCGCACTATACCTCCGTAGGATAAGTAAAATCCCTAGCACATGTTAAGCTCTGGAGCATTACCTCAAAATCAGGATCTATCAAGGGATATTTGGCTTGGACATGTACCTTGCTCATTTTCACAACAGCTGAATATTTCCTTAAGCTGTGGAGATTTCATGAAGCCTTGGTATTGGTTTGTTGTACAGCGACCTTTATTCTAGAGTATCTCATTACAAGTATTCGCTGTGCAACTCACATTATGTTTCAGTGTGACACTACCTTGCCTACCCCTCCGAAATCACATTAGCAGCTATAAATGAGTACCGCTTCCCGAAAGCCTCCCTCAGCTATCCTCATCGTCTACAATATTTTCTCAAAACTCTAGATTCTCGGATTACTCGCAATTCTCTTCCTAAAACCCAACGCTTAGTTTGGCCATTCTCATCTTCCTTCAACCCAATAGTCATCTAGAGTGACCTCATTCGTGTCAACTTCGAAACTAGAATCTGCTTTTCTTTGAGGTTGTGGATTCGCCAAGTTTATATCTTCGTTACTGTAGGATCTATGTCTATTCGGCAGTGAGAGAGAAGGTGGTGCGAAGTACTATGTATACAGTTATGATCATATAGTGTATATATGGTGGTTACTGAGACTTCCTCAAGGGCGACTGTCTTAAACACCTTCCCCCTTCTCTATTTGTTCGATGGAATGGGTTGTTTTAGCCAAACAACCGTTCTGTTAGCAGATTTCTTCCAGATTATAAGAGAGGCTAGAAGTACTTTAAAGATTATTTATAGGAGCGATATAAAAGACGATAGTCCTTTTTCTCTTTTATAGGTCAAGCTTGAGAAATAAGAACACCTACTTTGGTATTTCTATATTGAATTCAAGATAATCCATTCTGTAAATTTCCTTCGTCGCCTAGTTTACATAATATTTATAAGATATAAACGACGAATAAAACGATTGGCGAAAAGTACGGAATAGACGTCGTTTGAACAGTGACAGCAGTCACAGAACGGGAACGGAATTTTCCTTGATTGTATACCTGCAAGTCATACAACCGACGCGTGATGTAGATAGATACACTAATTCTACAATTCAAAATGAAGCTGATCCCTAATGACCATGTGTTTGAATATCACTACCCCCTACAAATCCTCTGGAACTAAATTTCCGGTTCAACGTTTAATTTTCAAAAGGGATTATGTAGCGACGGCAATCTAGCGGAATCTATCCGAGGGTGGGAAGGCTTGTTTAAACCGAGGGTTTCTGAATATAGCATTTGGGCTCAACCAAATTTTATGAGACGGTCCCTCAAGTCTCTATGTTGATTGATGAGGTGAAGAAAATTTTGCAGGAGATGGAAGGACTTGAGACATAATAACAAACTGTTTTTCGACAGATCATGCTTATTTTTGCTCACTAGTTTACACCTCTCTGGCTTTGGCTGACCAAAGCAGTCGTTCTAGGGGTATGAGGTCTTGTGTTCTTAGTGATAACAAGAATAAAGCTAACTGCCCCAGGAGAGATTCCCTAGGACCAGAACTTAAATAGTGTTGCTAAACTCTGCAAGACATTCTGGTGCGTTCCTAAATAACTTGAACACTTACATACGCTTCACAGCTACTGTTGTGTCTTTATCATTGAAATACAACCATTTTCTACAACTAAACTTAACCTCGGAGGAACCAATAGTCAATTTAGACTTTTTGCAGTGAAACAAGCGTAGTCAGCCTGGAGATTCATGCTATGTTCCTACTTCCGTCTAATGGAATTTTGTTCGGAACATCTTTTATAATTGAATTGTTGTTACCTATAAACAGAATGTAATCTTTGCTGGCTAGATCACAGCTATACCAATACGGTTACTTATTACGTTAAAATTAGCTGTTCGTCTTACTGTTCTGGCAATCTCGTCGCTTTTTTCGTGATGGGTATGTTAGGTAGGTTGAGGATTAAAGCATGGTTACTTCACTATTCAAGTGTCTGAGTTAATAGTGTTTGACTTTGCGCACCAGTTGCTCGAATGAATTGGGACAAGTAAGAGTGAGGGTCTGTAAATATAGAACACTAAGTTGATACCTTACCATGTGTATGATGTAGTAGAAAAGTCGGATATTTTACTGTTCATAGTCCTCAATTCATTTGCAGCAGTGATTGAAAACAGGTTAATTTCGTTTTCGTCACTACTGGAACGTGGTTAACTGACTTTGATGAAGAAGCTCAGTCCCGCAGATGATTACATCTCTCATAATCCAGTAAATAGAGAAGTACATGTTTACTATTGACACCGTTAACGTCTGTATTGCTAGAAGCAAATAAGGAGTATCTGAAATTAAGCGAGGCATCTTCAAGGAGAGCTCGGGATGACATCGGGTCCGTAACACAATAATTGTTTTGCGCTCAGCAACTTCGAGGAGTGTTACAATTTAACCCCAAGCCGATAAGACAATGCGGCTCAGATTAGCAAACCCGATAGCGACGGCCGTTTGGTCAACAACGACAAGGAGAGCATATGCGACATCAAGCTCGCGAGTTTCCTTAGCATATGATCTCCACGAACCCGCGAAGCCCTCATCCGATGCTCCAGCAGCCATTGTATTCATGCATGGTCTTTTCGGCTCGAAGAAGAACAACAGGAGCATCAGTAAGTGAGCGCGCAATCTCCAGAGTATATACACGGGTATACTTACAAGGAACTAGAGCGCTCGCGAGGGATCTAGGAAGACCTGTTTATGCAGTTGTGAGTGATAATCGGACTCAAGCACTCATAGATTTTGACTGATTATGTTATAGGATCTACGAAACCATGGCGACTCTCCACACCACCATCGACATGACTATACCGCCATGGCAGACGATGTAGCGGGTTTCATAGACGAGCACAAGCTTCACAACACAACCCTGATTGGGCACTCTATGGGTGCAAAGACCGCCATGACACTCGCTCTCCAGTCGCCAGACCTGATAGACAATATCGTGTCGGTGGATAACGCGCCTATAGATGCGGCTTTGCTGAGTAGCTTTGGGAAATATGTGCAAGGAATGAAGAGGATTGAGGAAGCGGGAGTTACGAAACAGGCGGAAGCTGATGCTATATTGAAGGACTATGAGGAGGTGAGTTCCCTCGCTACGGTTTTTGCAAATGATATATCTGATTTCTTGTTCGAAGTCCCTTCCCGTCCGTCAATTTCTGCTTGGAAATCTACACCGGCCCGCGGGCGAGAAGACACAGAAGTTCAAGGTTCCTCTACGGATTCTAGGAGCCGCACTTGATAATCTAGGAGATTTTCCCTTCAAAGACCCAGGAGAAGTACGGTTCGCGAAACCTACGCTGTTTGTGCGAGGGACACAGAGCAAATACATCCCGGATGAGGCGTTACCCATAATAGGACAATTCTTTCCTCGATTTGAGTTGGCAGATATAGATGCGGGACACTGGGTGACCTCGGAAAAGCCAGAGGAGTTTAGACAAGGTAAGCATAGCGGAATATCGACACTGCCATTAACTCGTTCGCTAATTCATCTCTCTCCTAGCTGTTGTAGAGTTCTTGAAACCAAAACTGTAGAAACAAACAATCCAATGTATAAAGGGTATCATACCTATCCCCAAGACCATATGCAACATTTACTCTTGCCCCAAACTGTGAAACCTGCGCTCGATCCCATATTGACAAAAGTCCCATTACCATCCTCTTAACAAGCACACCCGCTATCAACCTCCTCCGCACCAGCAACACTCACCGTCCCCCTCCCTCTCCCCCCAGCAGCAACCAATCCACCATCCTTCACAATGCCCTCCACACACTCCGCAAAAGCTGCTTTAACCCCCTCACCAGTCTTAGCACTACACTCCATAAACCCGACCGTCCCCCACCGTTCCGCCAACCTCCTTCCCTCTTCCTCACTAACCTTCCTCTTCGCCTCCCCACCAGCGCCCTGTACTTTATCCAGCTTCCCGCCCACCAGATACATCTTCGCGCCCTCCATCATGTTACTCTCGCACTCCTCGAACCAGCGCTCCATGCTGTTGAACGATTCGCGAGACGAGATGTCGTAGACGAGGATGATACCAGCGGCGCCGCGGTAGTAGGAGGTGGAGAGCGTGCGGAACCGTTCTTGGCCTGCGGTGTCGAGGAGGTTGAGTCGGTAGGGTTGGCCGTGGACGGAGAGTCTTTTGAGCTGTTTAGGATTTTGTTAGTGGTTGTAGATTTTGCAAAGTGAATGGTGGATGGAGGAGGCGTACTTTAAAATCTACTCCTATCGTTGCAGTGGAACTTTCGTTGTCGAACTGGTTGTCGCAATATCGTATAAGTACTAGATTCCAGCCTGTTAGTGACCGTACTTGCGAGGCAGAGAACTGCGCGCACATGCTGATTTCCCTGACCCTGAAGGTCCGATCATCAAGATCTTGAGAGTTGGTAACGACTCGTCCGATGCCATATTGTAGTATATTATGGGTTGTGGTGTACTCAGGGAGAGAGCTTCTTGTGAAGCCCAGGTCCTGGAATAAATTGTCGCCTCACAAAGTTGCTTTCTGAATCACCGACGTCACAGAAAAGCCAAGACCTGAGTGGCACACGACCGAGTTCGTGGGTACAAACCTTCTCCAACCACCACACCTCGGCACGATGCATAGCTCACCTACGGATGCCAATCAACTGCATTATGACTTGTTCAGAATATTTTGAGATTTATTTTTGCTAGCCCTGTGCTAGACCTGGCACGCAAGTCACGCCAAATGCCCAAAGCAAAGTCCTGACTACATGCAAATGACCAGTAAAAAATCCCATAACCGTAGCATCGACACGTTCATACCTCATCCAAAACCTTCTCCTTGAACTCCCGCTCAACCTTCTGTCCTGACTCGTCTGTGTTTGATTCACCGTGGAGGTTGAGAAGAGCGCCCAAGTCGAATTTTGGTGCCTTCAAGAGCTTGACTTTGCGGATGTGGACCTAAATAATGTTAATCTTCATCCTCAATACTTAGAGTCCAGTGGCTTGCATACGTTCTGTAATGGGTAGATTCCCTGTGTGGCTTTCTCGATCTCACGACCAATAACTTCTGGGATGAGCTTGGTGGTGAGTTGTGTGAGGGTGCAGCTTGAAGCTTCACGCTGGATAATCTCGGTCATCTTCTTGCGGATAGCTCTGATCTGGGAAGAAGCGGCATAGGTGGTTTTCTTGATCTGGTTTGGCCGTCTCTTGGTGAAAGCAATAGCGAACAGACGGAGGAGGTAGTCATCGGTGGTCTTGACTGTGACATTGGCCTCAATCAAGGATTGCCACTTTCGGACGAGCGATCGGAGTTTGTCGGATGTGAAGTCGAGACCGTGGAAGTTGGTCAAGCAGTTCTTTCCCTGAACCTCATCGACACGGAGCTTGACCTTTCGGAAAGCGTGGTCCTCATCTTTCTGGAGATCCGCCAAAGAAACCTCGAAAATTCTACCCTTCAAAGCATCGTTCGCGTTCTTGATACCGGTGGTTCTGTTGACAAGAGTCTTTCCGACACTAGAAATTTTGTTAGAGCTCTGGTTGTTGATCGGGAATAGTTTATTCGTACTCTCTAACGTTGAACGAGGAAGGTGCCTGGATCTCGGATTAGCCATCTGAAGCCACCCAAAGTCCATTATTGTCCTACCTTAACTTGATACCAATCCTTTCGCATAAAAGGATCTTGGGTTCTCTTCTTGAGACCTTTCTTTCCCTTCGAGAGACGCTTGTTCCTATTGCTGATGTTAGACCTTGTCCATCTGCAGTGTATTTGCCCCTCTAATTCAATCGCAGGCCGAATTCGCAGATAATGATGTGAGGAGAGTCGAGTCGCAAAGGGGAACTCACTTTCCGACAGCCATGATTGCGACAAGTTACTGATCGCGGGGCTGTTGAGTGAACGTGGTGGTTGTCGACAAAAATTGATGATCTCGAGAATTTTTGGAGTTTCTCTGTGTGGGCGGTCTTCGTGACCTCGCTAAGGCTAAATTAGCGCGGGATGGTGGTCCGTGCGACTTACTTTCTGTTTCGCCTCCGACCTGGAGGTAAGAACATTGACGACTGACTCTATGATCAGAGCATCTGGAAACGAATTATGATGATTGAGTCTGCTATTCATCAATATTCGTTGAGAGCTGCATGATCTGAATGTTGCGAAGATCATTTATCTTTCCTGTCAAAACTAATCCACGCCATTCGATCTCATGGAATTCAATCGTCTCAACAACAGCTATTGTAGAGACATTTTCACCGGCCTTGAACAGGTTTGATTCACATTTACGGGGTACAGAAGTATTGCTTTGTTGGCCATCATGGATTATTTTTCATTCGTTATCATAAATACAAGGAGATACTTGGTCTGGCATCCCGAGCCAGCGCTAGTCCCCTTTTCATCGCGCATATATACACCGTCTTTCCTCCCGGGCCTCCATCTCAATGGTATAGTGAATCTCATCGAGGAATCCGCTCTTGTCCCTCGTCACACCGTGGCTGTTGCTGTTCGCCGCTGTGTTGTCCTCCGGAATCCGGACGCCATCATATGAGATGTTGTGGATACGAGAAATATATCCTTGGTCCTCCGACCATAAAGCACCATACGCCGAATCTCAATTCTTTCATCGGGGTTTTAGAATGACTTCCAAGAATAAAATGGTGTTACACAATGAGCAACCTTCACGGGATCCCCTTCTCGGGTCTTCCATCTCGGTCACGGCTTTCTTGGTAATCCTGAAAGTCTTCAAAGCTGGGGAAGCTGAAGTAATTACTTGCTGCAGGACGATTGTTAGCTTTATGTTATTACACATTATGTATGATTGATCTTACAATGGTAGTTCGCTATCCCATAAGGTTGTTTCCGCACGTCGGATGTTGGCGAGTGCTGCTCCGGACTGGAACACAAGCTGCCTGGTGGGCTGTAGCGAGCATTGTAATGATGTGGATGATGAGAGTGATCTGAGCCGTTCGAGTAGGATGCCACTCTGGTCAATAATGCAGAGGCTCTTGTTGATTGAAGATTTGCAAGATCCTGTCTTGAAGCGTTGGAGGTGGCCAATGAGGGCGCTGTCGCGCTCGCCCTCGCCAATTTTGGTCGGTGGGAGGATGATTGGGAACTTCTGGACGATGATTTGTTCGACATGTTGATTTGTTGTGGGTTGGAAGATTTAGACCAGTGTTTGTTCTGTTTTCCGGAAAATGGAATCCGAGGTTTGATTGGAGTATTTATCGATAGGGCAGACACCTCTGCGACGGGTATTCCAGCAAGCCACGGAGTTAAACGTTCCAGCAGCAAAAGAAACGGTGCGCACGTAGGTATGAACTTCTCTCAAAACAAAACAGGAAGCAGGAGCAGCAAGACCTCATATAGGGACGCCCAATGCGACACTTCCCCTCTCCTCCGAGCACCCATAATAAGCAACAGACATACCAGCGACCAGCGCTGCACCGGTTTGGGAAGCGGTGTTAGTCCGCGCTCGCTCTACCGCCCATTCAACCACATTGCCATTCGACGCTACATCATCAAACGACAAAACACCACCTGGGTCCTGGGCAGGCATAGAAGACTCCCGCCACATGTCATGCTGTGAGTGATTTTGCGGTCGCCTTTCTGCCTCCACCACACGACGGTGCGTGGGTGCGGAGCCGAAGCTAGGGACACATGTGGATGGCCGTCACTGGCAGGCCGTCCTCCAGACTCGCTCGATGTATGCTACTATGCATGCACGGATGGCTGGCCACGCCTCGCATTTTCCACTTCAGTTGGCAACACACAGCAACCACACACCACACAAACCAAGCTTACCACCTTCCACCCCCTCCTCGCTGCGTCCCACTCGAGGTCTAGGCCAGCAGGGCGGGTCCAACCTACTGATACGCTCTCGATGCTCCATTTGCCTAACTCCCACAGTTGTACGAGCAACGATCACTCTCGAGATGCGCGAGCCCACCATCTTGGGTAGATGGTCGAGATGTGAGATTCGCCAGGAGTGGGTGACTTGGCTCAACGGCTTATTTTTCCATACACATTCATCTACAGGGCAGAGGTCACAAAGCGATTGGGGCATCATATCTAGTCCAATTGTCATTCCTACGTCTTCTGGATCAAGCCAGACTAGCGAATCTTTAGGCACGGCTGCAGGTACGTCTAAATCTGCGGCCCGAGTCTTAATATCCTTTGCGAACCGCGTGATCAATGATCAATGCTGCGTTTCAATCAGTACCAGGTCGCTCAATGGCTCATACGAGGTCACTTACTCTTCCCAGCTTCGACCCTTCACAGCGGCAAGCTCTTCCTCAGTCATTCGGTGTCCAGTGGTGAAGTAACCTCCAAGACGTCAGCCCTATCACAGAATCTGGAGAGTGGGGATGTGGGACAACTCACCTGCGGTAATTTTGGCATCGATCTCGACCCTTGAGTCTGCAGGTATCCAGGACTCGGGAAGCTCAACACGCTCGTGGATAGGAATACTAAGATGCGGTCAACAAACCTGCGCCAATTTGGCTATCATTCCACAAAACTTACCCTTGGCTAACAATCGCGTCGTGCTTCATACTTTCGATGACGTTAATCAGATGTATCTGCTTGACCCAGTTTCTGGAGACTTACTTGCTCATGCTCAACATCCTATCGATTTTCTTGATACCGAGCCAGTGCAGAATATCCGGCATCAATGCCTGGAATCGCATGTCTTTGACACCTGCGATGTTTTCTGTACGCTTGAAGTACTCCGAGGCACGGTCCAGTCCACGCTTTCTGGCATTGTAGACAAGATACTGTGTCAAAGAATAAGCATGTAGTTTCTCTTTTATTTTTTCCATGAAAAGAAAGTTAGGGGATTGGTACGATTCCGGCAAGGGGTGGGGGAGTGGGATGAGTTCCTCGATTTTGTATAGATGTGATCTGCAAAATTACTCGAGAAGGGGTGATAGGTTGGAGCATGCCGCTGCCTGTCATTGTAGGATTGGGGGTATCTCATACCTTTGTCACCTCGCCGAGCGCTCGACCTTCTTTGCGGAAGTAAATAACCACTCCACTTCCTCCTCTGGCAGTTGTGTCAGCTATTGCATAATACGCAGACCTTCCGCGGGTTGCAAACGAACTTTTGTGCTTCTTTGACTGCCTCCTCAATCCCGTAGATGAGGTAAGGACGACAGGTGCATATGTCAGATCCGAACACGTCACTGCCGTTACACTGGAATGGGGTCAGAAGGAAGCATATTGACTAAATAGAGGTAAAAAGCTGAGGGATAACTTACCTCGTCATGTATCCTTAGCGCCAGCCGCACATTTTCATCCGACATCTTTGCTGGATCTCCAAAGCAGTACACCGTTAGACCACCTATATGCGATTAGAAAACCCCGATACGCCGCATTACCAACGATCCGTACCTATTGGCGGCAAGAAGAGTTTGATGTCTCCGCGTGTGATCAGTTCCGGGTAAGAACCCCCAGTATGTTCAAAGAGAGATCTTCGAAGCGATCCTTCGTCTTACAAGGCGTTAGCGATTATACTTCCGAATATGTGAGAGACTTACCGATGCCAAATCTCTCTGCGACACCAGGGAGATACCAAACCTGCAGGGTCCATCAGTGAAGGAATTGGAAAATCGGAACGCTCTCTCACAGGCTCAACCGCAAATTTAGTCACTGCAAGTTCTCCAGACTCATTTAGGCAAACTTTCCCATCTGGCACACTACGATTTCAGATTAGCCCAACTTCAAACCGATATGCTTGGTTGCCTTACAGCCGGCCCTCTCTGACACTCTGTTCTAATTCTGGTAATTTCATATGCGCCCTGGTAATTGCTATTTATGGTCAATGGCAAATTTACAAATAAAATCAGAATGCCTACCAATGGTGGGTCTGATATCAACTGGTATGAGTTAGCTATGTATGCTCATGGTTTACTTGATGTACATACCATTCTCTTTCTGGATAGTTTCACTGAACAACCATGGAGCTAAATGGCCAAGTGGATCCATTGATACAATCTTCTTTTTGTCAGCCCATTGCGGGAATGGCCCAATATTAGCAGCTGGTTCAGTGTTGGTGAAATCTGGTCTATTAGCTTATTAGCATTATTCCAGAGGTACTCTATTTGGATTTAAACACAGTATTCCATTGTTGACTGTTTGGCTGGCGTGGAAATTGTCCAGTTTACAGACACTAGAAGTAGTTGCCTCGTATTCCAATCGAGCAGTCAGTTGTAGGTACAATAAGCAACCTTGGATTGTTATAGAGCGAGTAATAACAGATAATTTTATCTTGTTCCATAGGCAGTGAGTTCAGTTTCAAGTATGTAGGCCACGAGTCTCAACCGACACTACACCTGCAGCGAGCAGGACTAAGCGAATTGAGCGCTCTCCGGCGAATTCCGCCTCGACTATAAAGCTCGGTAACGTGGAGCCGTCTCGGGCATGCTTATTATAGGAAGGAGGATGGATAGGTGTATAATGGAATTTCAAAAAGAAGAGCAAATGAAATTTGGTGTTTACCTGTGGTCAACCCCAATCTCTTTGCTTGCAACTGCTAAAGCGTAGTAGATAGAATAGGATCCACCATGAGCTTCGAAGCTATTAGTATGTTACGGCTAGTAAATTACCGGCCGAAACCTACCTCCAATTGCTAAGAAAAAGGTGTTAGCAAATGGCACTGGTTACAAATCCTCTCAGAACATACCATTCCGTCTTCGAATCGTGGCTTGATTTCTTGATACTACGACTGGACCTCTTTGTTGCGGATCTTTATGACCCCAGTCCATTGGGAACGGATCGATGCCGGATTGTCCAGGATATGTACTGCAGGTCGATCATCAATATGCAGCAACAAATTTGGAGATAGGGAACATACGTTAAAATGATTCTCGAAGTCACACCTGGCTTTCGGGTTTGAGAAACCTCCGTGCTAGACCCGATCTCTTTGATCTGGTCTACAGGAAGTGAGGGAGAAGTTGGTACAGCTTGATCGTGAATCAGAGCTTCGGACGCCTTGGGAGTACTTGGAGTTTCCTCAGTCGACTTGCTGGAAGCTGTGTTGGATACACCGACAGCGGCATCGCGGACTTCTTTCATTCCAGCAAGGACATTGACACGCCCAGTGATAGCATCAACATTTGAGGCGAGTTGGACTTGGTTGACTTGGAGATTTTTTAAAGCATCCAGTACCTCTTTCATCATGGCGTTCTGGTCCGGAGGTGTTGAAGACATTTTGACAGCCTTTAGTTCTGTTTGCTGTTTTGTGAGTGATGATTTGACTCTTAGATTGTACTTAGGTGAGGAGTTGGATGAACGCCGCGAAGAGACGGTGAGAAGTGAAGTAGAGCTTGGGCTGTGAGAAGTACGAAGCTTAGTGGTGGTTATGTTGCTTCTGAGCTGAGAACTTCTCAATCAGTGCAATAATTTGTCTCAAAAGAAGAAGGACGCACGTCAATTCCAACTTCAATTGAAAGATTGTAGATGTTTGTTTGTTTAAAGAGTCAGTAATTGCAAGAAAACGAAGCTTGATGAATGTCAACAAGCTACCCCCCCATTCACTATCGCCGCTGCCGCTTTCTTATCGCCCCACACCCCATGGCCAGAGCTAGCTCCTAATCCGGCGTCGGGGCCGAGCCTCAAATTCCATCAGCTTGGATGGAGGTCTTTGTTGCGTCAATTACAGGAAATCCAGACAATTATGGTATGTTGCAAAAAAACTCGCCACTTGACAGTATGCGAAACTAATACACACACCGATAGGGTAAAAGGAAGGCCGCCAAGAAGCCGCAAGGCAAAAAGAAGGTAAATCCACGCGATTCAGATTCTGCAAGCAAGTTTGCGCCGGGAGCCCTAGCTGATGAGATGCGCAGAACGAACCTCTGTCGACTGTGTTCCCATGTTTGTTCTGCAATCACGAAAACTCGGTGCAGGTTAAATTGGACAAGAAGGCTGGTGTGGGGGAGCTGAACTGTAAAGTTTGCAACCAGCAGTTTCAATGTTCCGTGAACTGTGAGTTTGCTCATTATTTGATTGCTCAGAAGGAGGCTCGAGGCTGACTGGTTTCGAAGATCTCTCAGCGGCTGTTGATGTGTATTCCGAATGGGTTGACGCTTGCGACGCGGTGGCTCAAGGCACAGGGAGTGGTGAGGGAGGCGAGCATGCGCCAGCTCGCGCACCTGTACAGCCAGGAGGCGCGAAGCAGAGGAACGACGATGAGGATGACAACGACGATGATATTATAGATGATGAAGACGATCACATCGGCTATGGTGGGGAGGGAGTGGCCGCAGACGACGAATACTAAGGGTGTACGTGAGGAATAGCAATGGAAAATGGAGTTTGGGTTAGGTTGACACTGGGGCGTTGGTCTGGGGCGTTGAGGGCATAAAAAAGATCACGCTGAAAAGGGTGTAAGTTTTGATAACTGGTGATATGTGGTGGATCATACAGATTTTAGTTGTATGATCTGTGGGAATGCCTGTCATATCAGATGGCCCTTCACTACAATGCCTACTATTACCATCGTATCATCCGGGTTCGGTTTCTCTGATCCTACATGGTATAGAATCTGTCTCCAAAATCCCCAAGCCCAGGGATGATATAACTAAAAAGTAAGTTAGCGCTGAAATACGATCAAGAATTTAAAACATACTTCTTTTCATCCAACCCCTACGAACTGGTTAGCACATGTGTTTTTGACAGTGAGGGACATAGAAATACCTGGTCAACAAATGCGGTAATAATGCGGAGCTGTGGGAACCTCTTTGCGAAGTTTTCAATGCCTTCCGGACTGGCGAGTAGGTTAAGAAAGAGGATTCGATTCTCTGGGACCCCACGAGATTTCAAAACGTCTACAGCCATTATCGCTGAGCCACCTGTTAGAAGTTAGAATTGCTCTGGTGTCTCAAACAAGGGATGGTTCTACCCGTTGCAAACATTGGATCTAGCAACAGACACCACCTATCGGCAATATCCTCAGGAAGCTTGTCGTAGAACAGCTTGGGCATGGAAGTTTCCTCGTCTCTTTGAATAAGAATTTTGCCAATTCTTACAGAGCGACAACATTCCCGTAGTCCTTGCTCCATGGCTTCACCGGCTCTCATGATGGAGACACCACAGATTTTACCCTGGAATTGAACACCAGCATAGGAACGCCCAACAGGAGTAGTGATAGCATGCTCGACAACCGGGAGATGATTCAGCCCTTCTTCGACTAGGAGTCTGATGATTCGATTGGAGTAGAATATGAAATCTGCACGATCAGTGTTCTTATCTCTAATCATGCTGTAAAATACAGGATTAGCAGAATAGATAACTCCGGATTCCTGAAGCTCACGTAAGAAGTGCAATTAGTTGTGGAGTTTGAGGTAATGTGTGCACATTTTCAAACGGAACTGCTGTCGAGACAGTTGCGGTTGGCTTTTGCTTTTCATCGCGGTAATCTGGACCAACACTCTGTTTGGGAGATGTAGGCTGGTTCGATGAGGAAGACATGTTGAATCGTAGAACCGGTTTCTGAAATCCAGATATGAAATACAAATACGAAAGGTGGTGGTGTAACCGGAAAGGTTCTAGACCAAGGGGTTCTTCTTTAGTACTGCGGTGTAACGTCAACCGTAGCCGTAAGTTATAGTGGCTGAACTCAAGTGCACAAAATCAGGTAAAAGTCTGGAAGGACAATTTGGTTTTAAGCGAGAGTGCTAGACTGTCACTTATGATGTAGAGACAGGATTTACAACAAATGTGTTCCATAATTCACTTTATGGCCAGAGGATTACAAGTGAGAGAATTCGGAATGCGCCGACTGCATACTTTGGCTCCAGTCTCAAGTCTCTGTTGGGCAGGAAGTCTTGTGAGGAGGGGAAGTGGGTCCTGGGCAGATAAGATAGTGGGATTCGAAGATCTGGATGACTAAAAGTTCTCCCACACTTCCACGTGACTCCCAAGGTCGACCTGGGCTCGAGGCTGGCTTCAGTACGGCAGTCGGTTATGCAAGACCCTGTTCCTGCCCATGCTTTGTTGTGCTAAAGCAACGCCGTCGACGCGATCAACCACAGCACAAGAATTCACATTTCAGCACTTCCGTTCACAACACCGGCAAACCACATATATTTATAGCAAAAAGGATACAATGATCTAGAGCAATGTTCGCTAGCATCTTGTAAGTGACCGAGGCGAATATAGTATGTGCATTACCTGATGCGACTCCCGAGCGTTTTACCACCTCCAATTGGATTTCACCATTGTTCTTTTGTCACCACTGTTTTGCAGCACATTTGTTAGACCTATCACTCTTTCCAATAGCACTTGGCGTAACTATATCTGTATTTTCACTGCAGTGAATATACTGTGTTTTTGTCCAAAGCTCACTAAGTGTTTAAGTAGCGCAAGTTTAAACGTAGGCCCGAGTATCTTCTTCACCTTTCGCTCTCGACTCCGAAAACAGCGCGCATAGATCGGCATGTTACCCTCGATGGCAGCAACTCATGGCGGACCACCGCGAAAGAAAATGTCTACGTACGGAAAGGCAGGCCGTCGAAAAGTACCAGATCACAGCTTCATACCAATGGCAACGAAGTCTCAAACCACCGAAGCTCAATCTGGCGCTCTATATCTCTCAAAACTCCCAGACAGCTTTCCAGGAAAGACAAATGCCTCCCCTCACAGATCGAGACCGACGACGCCGCTCTCTGCGTCTTGCCCAATAGTCAAACCAGACATTTTCGACGTTCCATCTAGTGACGAGGAGACCGACAATATCAAAACGATTCCGTTAGCGCGAGGAAAGCCGAGGGCTACGGCGAGCAAGATATCAAAAAGACCTAGTCCGAAGCAAGCACAAACCGAGAGATCGGAAAGCGTTGAGGACATGAAGAGCAGGAAAAGGGCGAAACTTTCACCAGCGCCGAATGCGTCCGAGAATGTTGCGCCAGCCAAGATCCCATCTCTTGCACCCACCAAATCTGCGCCAGCTAAGACCTCATATCTTGCACCCACGAAAAGCGTGCCATCGACATCTGCCCCAACAAAACCCTCCCCCCCAACACATGGATCTCAAAAGTCCTTGGCCGCAACGAACGCAAAGCAGAGGCCGCAAGGTGTTGGCCATGTAAGTACAATAGCTGCGAGGCCGAAGCCGAAGGCTCAAGAAGACATTCCAAACATATCACACACTCTGAAGGCCGCGAGCATGAACTCATCAGGGACTGTGCCAGACCGGGATTCCCCCCCCGAGATCATCGATTTAGAGATGATGGATGTGGATGTTGATGAGACACCCAAACCGAAAAAAACGTCACCCGGCGGAATGAAGATGTGGAAGGGACTACTTGAAGTCACTGGGGACGAAGAGAACCTCGAGGGGGTGGGCTCAGAATCATCACCACAGAATAAAATGGGCTCTCAAGCCTCTCGCCCCAACGTATCAACGAACTCTAAAATTAATCGGATCGTACAGTCGAGAGCACCACCTCGGCGCCGGCTAATTGATTCTTTAGTAGAGCAAAAGATCGAGTCTGAGAGTGAGGAAGAGGATCCTTCGGAGGAGGAGCCCTCTGAAACAGCAAACGATGACGATTTGCTTAACGTCACTCTTGACACCCTTGGAAGTCAAAATTCAAATCTCGAAGAGCCAATGGCACCGAGTGTAGTATCTGGTAGTCAAAACTCACAGTCTCAAGCCACTGGAGCTAGAGTGACATATAGTAGGCAAAGGTCCATGCTTGCCGAGGAGGACCTCATGCAGGAACTTGCGCTAGACATGCCAGTTGTAGCATCAGGTTCGCAAGGTCGTAAACATCGCAGAGGCTCGATTCCGAAAATGCCACAGTTGCCAAGTTTTCATGAAGATGCCGATGAGGGTGAAGGCTCAGGTGCAGCAATACGAAACGTGCATGAACTACGTCAAGCTGGTGCCAACAGTCGATTCATGGACGAAGTCGACGACTTACTGGATCGTATCGGTAGCCCCGGTGGAACACAAGCGTCGCTCAGAAGATCTGGTTTATTAGACATGGCAAATCAACTGAAGGACAAAAGCTTTGCCCGTCAATTTCGCTCCAACCACGTCGAGCAACGTCTATTCGTTCACTTGGGTCAAGAAACCGACATACTTGCGGGATATGTTCTTGTATCTATACTCATGACTGTGATGGCTGATGGAAGTGTGCCTCCTTTTGTCGTCCAACTACGTCGACAGGGAATCACTAGACTTTTGATTCGCCTTCTTGATATCCAAATAGGAATCATCGCGCTAGCCAAAGACCGAAAGAGTAACACAACTAAAATTGCGCAGAAAATGATCGCCGACCACCATAACCATCTTCTAAAACTTCCCATTTGGGAGGACCTTCAACCGGAGCTTTTATCGCCTCGCACAGTAGCATTGAAGTGTCTCGAGGTCATGGTTCGACAAACGCGAGAAGCCGGGAATGCCAACGATATCTTCTCCAAGGAGTTGACAACAAATCTCTTTACCATTGTAAAGACTTCGTCGGAAGACAGCGCTTGGCAGTTGCCTAACGGTAGAGAGGCTATCGATTTTCATCTTGCCTTGTCGGCTTTGGAGTCTCACTCTATCAGAGCTCGAACTGTTCAGGACGAGACCATCTGGCTCACCAACTATCTCCCGATCATATCCGACACACTGCTATTCGCGCTGTCACGACCCCTGGACAGTTTTGGAGTACTCCAAATCTTGGCACTTCGCCTGACTCTGAATGTGACGAACAATAACCCCAGGGCCACGGATTTGTTTGCCCGCCAAGACTTAATGGCCGCCATGGGCAATGTTATTACTGCAAAACTGGAGCAGATCTCGCGATTTATGATCGAAGAAGAACTTTCAATTGCTGTGGACCATCTTGTTCTTGTTCTGGGAGCTATGATCAATTTCGCTGAATGGAGCCCAGCGGCTAGACAGCGCCTGCAAAGCTTAGGCGGGCTCAATCAAGACCATCTTGATGCTATGATTAAAACTTTCACAGAAAATCATGAAAGGATGTCCGAGGTAAGTTGCTAATTCTCCAGTGGAACAGAAAAGAAATGTTAATTTTCACACAGGCCTCTTCTGTAGAGGAGAGTCAAAAAAACGTGGCGTTCGGATACCTCTCGGTCTTGCTAGGCTACCTGTCATTGATGCCAGAGATCGCACTGAGGGTCAAGGAAAAACAGCCAAGCAAGACCATCACTCCTCTTGTTGCTTCAATCGTTGAGTTCATTAGTCACCACAAGACGGTCGACCTGATTATAGCTGATGAAGATGGTCATAATCCTAACTCTGGATTTACCGAGCGGTTGGAGAGCTTGGTTGAAACATTACGGCAATGAAATGGGGTTAAATGGAGTAACGTTTTACGCAATTTGTGATTTCATGGTAACGGGACGGGAGGCACCTAGGCATATGGAAGCTCCCGCTAGGCTCGGCGTCGGTTTAGTTCCGTAATGTTTTCGTTTCTTTTTCTGGGGGGCCGTTCATTGCTATATACCCTTATGCATATCTAGATTCATCCACAATATCGGAAGACTACATCGAATCTGAGAATGATCTTACGACTCGACCATTATCAAGGCTTTCAGAGAAATGCCAACTGGAGCTCCAGGTTCCGTTGCCTTTTCCCGGGACCTGGTGAAAGAGAAATTAGGTATTCAATTCTGCCGAAATGGAAATGATACCCTGCAAAAAAGAATTCTAGAACGTCTACCAACCGTGAACATCTACAAAAGAGGTGAAGTGCTGATCTTAATGCTAAGACAAGATACGCTCGTCCATTGCGCTCCAGCGGGTCTCGATGGCAACTGTGAACAAGATATAAAAGATTACATTTACGTCATTTGTAGGTGGCTTGGTGGCTTTTTGTGTGTTCATCACTTTTGGCTTTGACATCTTGATCTCAGGAGGTAGGTTCTAACCTCTCCCTATCGGAGCTCAGGCTGAACTCAGGGTGCGGATTAGCGTCATCCAAGCGGGCTCTCTCAGCTTCGCTACAGCAGCACCCTCTAGCTTTTGATGCCCAACCTGCAGCTCCAACAACAACACGAAAATCATAATAATAAACCCCACGAACTGTCCCCCAGCTTATTCCCCACGACATTTCTGTTTATAAATTTCACTAGTCATCATGCCAGCTCCACCCAAACAGCGGAAGATTGCGATTGTCGGCAGTCGCTCTGTTGGTAAGATTCTGTCCATGTTGGCCACACCCCTTGGGGAACGAACCACAGCTTATGATGCGGTGCAGGAAAATCGTCACTGACGGTGCGCTTTGTGGACGGCCATTTTGTCGAGAGCTATTATCCCACCATTGAAAACACTTTCAGCAAAGTTATCAAACATAAGGGCCAGGAGTATGCGACGGAAATCATTGATACCGCGGGGCAGGTAAGATCGATTTGCTGCTGTGTTTCTTGTTGCCTTTTCCTTGCTTGCCTGACATGTGACGCAACAACTTTGGGAATAACTGCTAATGTGGAATCAGGACGAGTACAGCATTTTAAATTCAAAGCATTTTATCGGGATTCATGGTTATATGTTAGTCTATTCTGTTGCTTCCACTCAGACATTTGAGATGGTTCAGGTGATAAGAGACAAGATTCTCAACCATCTGGTAAGCTTCGTCTCATTCTGAGCGGCTCTCTTCGACCCAACTGACTCATTGAAGGGGTCTGAATGGGTTCCAATTGTCATTGTTGGGAACAAGAGTGATTTAAGGTCTGAGCAAAGACAAGTTACAGCAGAGGAGGGCAAGGCGCTGGCCGAGAAGTACCAGTGCGCCTGGACAGAAGCGTCGGCAAGATATGATGAGAATGTGGCTAAGGCGTTTGAACTCATGATCGGTCAAGTCGAGAAGTCACAGAACCCGAATGAGCCAACAGGAGGCAACAAGTGCTTGGTTATGTGAAGGATTGAGAGAACTAGACTATACGTTTGCCCTTCGGATACTTCAGCGTCCGTGGTCTTGGGTCTACATTTCTATTCGGCGTTCTGGGAGATTTTTATGATGGGTGGTACTTTCTTAAAGACAAACACGTATATATGATGGCTTTGAGGGCTGCAGCGAGTTCCTACTTGGTAGAGAGCGTTCAAAAAGAGAGAGAATACATTGGAATAATACAGGCACGTGATATCAATCTGGACCCCGCGATGCTAATCGGACTCCTGTTTATCCTAATCCCCCACTAAACGAAAAGGCTGAACATTTCAACTTCGAGACGCGGTCTGAGTCAACACAACACGCCGTAATACCTTAAGTACCGACAGTCATCCTTCGAGCTCGCGGCGAAGACTACCCAATTACACCAAAATGCTCGATATATTTGATTTCATCGTTGAGAAGGGTGGGAATCCTGAGCTGATCAAGGAGTCACAAAGACGTCGCAATGCTCCAGTAGAGGCGGTAGACGAAGTAATTGCTTTGTACGAGGATCACCGAAGAAGTAATGTTCCCTTTTCCTGCAACTCTGTTGACTGGGACTGATTTTCATGTGCCAGCACAATACTCGGTTTCCCAGATGAATACGAGGATCAATGATACCCAGAAACAAATCGGCGCAAGGAAAAAGGCAAAGGAGGATGCTGCTGATTTGGTGGCACAAAAAGCCGAGCTAGAGAAGGAAAAGAAAGCCATTAGCGAATCTGCTGCCGAGAAAGATCTACTTCTGAAGAAGAAACTGAAGACGATTGGAAATTTTGTACATGATTCAGTGCCAGTAGAGAATAACGAGGTGAGTGGATGGGTATTCAATTTACATGGAAGATCAGAAGCTGAGAATATTTAGGATTTCAATGCTCTCCAGAGAGACTGGGCGCCAGAGGGTGTAAAGGTCGAAAAGCGAGAATGCCTCTCACATCATGAAGTCCTCTCAAGATTAGATGGTTACGATCCTGTACGCGGCGCAAAAGTCGTTGGACATCGCGGTTACTTCCTGAAGAAATGGGGTGTCTTCTTGAACCAGGCTTTAATAAACTATGGATTGGAGTTCTTAGATTCAAAGGGATATACACCATTGCAAACTCCACAGTTTATGTTGAAGGAATATATGGCGAAAACGGCACAACTGGAACAATTCGATGAGGAGCTGTACAAAGTTATTGATGGGGAGCCGCAGAATGACAAGTATCTTATTGCTACTTCTGAACAGCCAATTTCTGCGTTTCACGCAGATGAGTGGTTGGTCGCGAAGGATTTACCAATTAGATATGCCGGGTTCTCTTCCTGTTATAGACGTGAGGCTGGCTCTGCTGGCAAAGATGCTTGGGGTATTTTCCGAGTGCATCAGTTTGAGAAGGTAAGTGATAGTTTGGAGAGTGTCTTGGACCTTGTACTAACCGCCGATGGAATAGATTGAGCAGTTTGTCTTGACTGATCCGGAGAAGTCATGGGAAGCTTTCGACGAGATGATCAACTATTCAGAAGAATTCTATAAATCTTTGGGTGTTCCATATCGCGTTGTCGCTATTGTGTCTGGAGCTCTGAACAATGCCGCGGCAAAGAAATATGATCTCGAGGCTTGGTTTCCATTCCAGGGAGAGTACAAGGAGTTGGTGTCTTGTTCTAACTGCACAGATTACCAGTCAAGAGCTCTTGAGATTCGATTTGGGGCCAAGCTACAGACTGAGATTAGGAAGAAATACGTACATGCTCTCAACTCAACTCTATGCGCGACCGAGAGAGCTCTGTGCTGCTTATTGGAGAACTTCCAGACAGAGGATGTAAGTATTATAATTCTTGTACGTGGTATAAATGCTGACAGCTATATCACAGGGATTCAAAGTACCAGAACCTCTTCGAAAGTATCTTCCGGGAGCAGTTGACTTCATTCCATTCACGAAAGAGCTGCCAAAGAACTCTACTTCTGCGACGTGGGGAAAGGAGGATCAAGGCAAGTCAAAGAAGGCGAAGAAAGCACCTGCGGCTGCAACGACGGGTGCGTCCGAGGCTGCAGATAAGATCAAAGAATTGGCCGTATAATGGCAGTTAATCTAAAGCATGAAAAGCATTTGTGTATGTTGTAGACTCGCTTGGGCAAAATCGCATGAGATTGCATGCCAGCTGGATGCTTGAGATTCAGCGCAATCCATGAATTTAACTCCCAAAAAATTAGACGTCTTATGCCACTGAAAGACTACAGATCAAAGGCTTTCCCGTGTAGTTTCTTGCCATGCTCTAAACTTCTAGCCCAGTCACATTCATCAGTCGTGTTTCTACCTATACCTAGGCAAGTGGATACTCTTAAGCGAATGTATCGAACTTGGACGGGAAGTCTTCTCTGATCCTCCTTAATCACATCGTTTTACCAATACTTACGATATATGTCACTGCGGAATTGGTGTCTTGGTGGGGAGAGGACAGACTGGGAGCTTTGTGGTAAATAACCACTCGGACTTGTTGCCGGGATGCGCATGATTCAAAGCTGGCCCCGTTTGCAATTCTATCGCGGTGGATTCGTGGTTTGATTCGAGCGCCAGTCGACCACGACACACGCAGTGGTAAACGTCCGTCACAAGCTACTGTATAACTGCTTGTCTTACCGCACTTGACAGCTATGGCGACAGCGGAAACCAGCGAGATAGCTTGTCCCTTCTGCAGCTACAAGACGACCGGCGAGTACCAAATTCTGGTAATCCCCACCCCCTGTCACCTCACGTGCGCCCTTGACTAACCATCTCCAAGTTACATATGGAAACGGACCATCCCGAAGACGACAATTCACCGTTTGTTGTCCGTGATGACTCTAATCTTGCTGCTTCTATCGGCGCGGGGGGCGATGAGGAAATACAATTCCTTCCCTGCCCTGTGGAGGGATGTGGAGAAGAACTTATCCGAGCCGAATTTGATAGCCATCTAGAGATGCACACCGCGGAATTTGAACAAGACTCGAGCGATGAAAACAGCCGAGGCCATACTTCTAAGAAACTAAAACTTAGTCCAGAAGCCAAACCATCTTTTGGAACAAAACTCTCAGTGGCTCTACGTAACATCAACGATGAAGAGCCACCGCCTCGAAGCAGCGATGAACGCAAAGCGAGCACCAAGGAAGCATGGAGAGGCCTGTTGAAAATGCCAGACAGCCCAAGGGAAGGAAGCGTCTCGAGTAGCAGTAAACCCCCTCGAAAACGATTAGGAGTAAGTGACTCCTTCCTCGGTAATATACATCATCAGATATTAAGATTTACGAAGAAATCGCAACTGGGACCGCATGCCAACGAGAAGAGGATGCCGGACTGGCTTGTGAAATTGCTTCAAAAGGATGGGGAGACGGCTGTCATGGAGAGGTTTGATGAGGAAGGGAACCTGCGCAGGTGTAGGGTTACTCCGAATAGAGCGGAGGGAATTTTGCCAGTTCTTCAGCAGTTGCTGGAGCAGGATCGTGGTGTTGAGTGGGCGTTTTTGTGTCATCCGGCTGTTAGACATGTTTCGAAATTGAAGAGAGAAGGTAAGTTGGATCCATGCTAGACGAGATTTGGTATTGACTGAGTAGGCGGTTTCTGTGGATATCGAAATATCCAGATGTTGAGTTCTTATATTGTCGGTGTTAAATCACAGGGTCATGATAACTTGAAAGACAAGATCCCAAGTATCTTCGAGATTCAAGATCATATAGAAATGGCATGGGACCTAGGAATCAATGTACAAGGCCGTGATGAGACTGGCGGTATTCGTGGAACAAGAAAATATATCGGGACTTCAGAGGTACATCTCTCTATTATTCCACTCAGATTTCTTTACTAATGATCTGTCCAGGCACAAGCTATGTTCTGCAAACTCGGGATAGCGTAAACCCCCCGAACCCACCCATTCCACCGCATACTAACCACCCGCAGCTGCGACGCCCAAGGCTTCAAACCCAAACGCCTCCGCAAAGACTCCCCCTCGGGCACTCCCAAGCCCCAAAAAGCACACGACCTCCTCTTCGCCCACATCGAAGCCTACTTCACAGCCGGCTGCACCGACTACGACCCTAAAATTCGCTGCACTACGCTCCCACCCATCTACTTCCAACACCCGGGCCACAGTCTTACGATCATCGGCATCCAGCGCGCCACCGACGGCGCCAAATCCCTTATTGTATTTGACCCGTTGTATCATGATCCGCCGGGTATTATGCGACATGTGGGCCATCAGTTCGTGCATAAGGATCCGAGTCAGGCGCTTAAGTTGTATAGGAGGGGTAGGGCGTATTTGGAGAAGTATCATGAGTTTGAGGTTTTGAAGTTGTGTCCGCCTGTTGGGTTAAGGGGGAGGATGAGGTTGCTGAGGAGGGGTAGGTGAGAGGGGAGAGGAGAGTAGTAGCGGAGAGGTAAGAGGGGAGTATTATTCATGTTTGCACGTAGATTGGGGTATTGGAGTAAGGTGTATTAGCGTTGCATTGTTGGTGTTTAGTTGCTGATGCGTCGATACATTTTTGTAAATACCGTGTTGCATGTCATATCATGTCCAATTGAACGCAAACAGAGACGAGCGTACAACATAGCCTCCGCCTGGACATCATAACGCTCGACTCTTATGGTACGAAGTTCTTGCAACTGGATTGTTAAGCATGAGTTCCAACGATTTTCAATTCTCATCCGCTACACGGAAAGGTTCTCCTCTCCTAGGCAACCTGGAAGATTCGCGCGACAGTGCTATTTAAGCACCCATCGCAAGGCCATATTCCTAAGCCAAATTGATATCACCTCCCCAAACCCCCAAACGCCAGTCCCGGAATACAATATTACATTGACCAGCCTCCCATTCGCCAATCCCAATCCCTCAGCAGTCTTTCCACATAGCCTAGAATTAAGTCAACGACGATACATCTCTCTTTCCCGCTCTCGGTCTCTCTCTCTATCAACCGACCCTCTATCTCTCCGGTCCCTTTCTCTGTCTCGTATGGGACTACGACTCCTACTCCTCGTCCTACCACTGCGACTCCGATCATCATAATCAATTCGGTCCCGATCACCGTGGTGTCTCCGTTCTCCACGATCATCGCGGTCGTCGCGGCGTCTACGGTCGTCTCGACGTTCTGGCCGTTCGGGCCGGCCGCTGTCAGGACCATAGCTAGGAATGTAGGTGTCTATATTTGCGGAACCACTACCTCTGCCTCTGGGTAATGGGGGTCGATCTACTTCTCGAGATCGGGATCTATAACCATCTGGACGGTCGGAACGGCCACCATCGAGGTAGTCCATGGGTGGAGGCCGTGGGGGCAGGCCTCGTGGATCTGGGCGATCGTCTCCTCGTCGCCATGCGGGTCTACGTTCACCTTCCGGGGGTGGATGGAAGCCATTTCGATATCCCCCAACTGGTGGCGGGCGATTGTAATTTCTGTTGTTATAATTGTAGGATCCATCATGATCAGCACCCTGGTTGCCGTTGGCTCCACCCCACCCACCAGTTGGACCCATTCCAACAGTTCCTCCTTTTGGTGCGGGCGGGAGACCAGCCTTTTGTCCTCGCACCTTACGACGATCCAACTCGTGAGATGACTCGAATATTGGGATATCACCAGGTTTGGCCGGTAAAGGTTCAGTTCTAAAGTATTCGTGCTGTAAAGCATCAAGGGCGTTCCAGCGTGTCTGGTAGTCCAAGGTGAGGAGTACTTGGAGGAGATTGCATGCGCTAGATCCGTATCTATCACAGCGTTTGTATTAGAACTTATACAAGCAAGCTTGAGAAACAGTCTAGACTTACTCTCTAAATCGCTGGAACAGCGTTGGTGCTCTAGGTGGCACATTCAAGCCTTCCGCATTCGGTAAAGACCTCCAGCGTGGCATTGTGTCCTCTGTTGGGCTTCCCACTAAGTCGAAAATGATCTTGAGTTGATTCTGGTCGCTATCTCCAGCCAGGATTGGCTTCCCAACAAGCATTTCTCCAAACACACAGCTATCAAATTGTTAGTCACCAGACCTAGTCGCAGAGCAACTAAAGCTTACCCAACCCCCCATAAATCTATCGCGGAAGTATATTTTTTCATTCCCAGCAGCAATTCCGGCGGCCGATACCATCTCGTCACGACCAGCGTTGTGTATTCTCTGTGTCCAGGGCCTCCACCACCTTTCGGGACAGGCACATCTTCGTGGTAATGTCGCGCCAATCCAAAATCCGCTATTTGTAGTAGCCCTTGATTATTGATCAGTAGATTGGCCGCCTTCATATCTCTGTGCAATATGTGCTGATCATGCAAGTAGGCCGTTCCCTCTAGCAGTTGTAGCATATAACACTTGATCTGAGGTTCCGTAAATTTTGGCACTTCCGGGTTTTCCAATAAACCAGAGAGATCGTGGTCCATATAAGGCGTAACCATATACATAATCGCGCGCTTCTTCTTGTCCTTCGTGATCTGTGGTTCAACTGACATTTCTTCTAGCCTGAGAATATTGTCATGCGACAACAGCTTCAGCAGCTTGATCTCCCGCAGCGCTGTTATGGGAAATCCATCCTTCTCATTATGCATAAGAATCTTCTTCAGGGCAAATATCTTTCCAGTCCTCTTTGACCTTGCGCGATGAACTTCTCCAAAGGTACCCTCTCCTAGCTTGCCCATAATCTCGTAGTCGGTGATTCTCGAACATCCTTTGAAGCTGCTCGGCGAGCGAGCGTGCTGCGCTGCGTATGCGCGTGGAGAGATGCCATTACTTTGCGGACTTGTAGCTGCCATACCGGGGGTATAATGCACTCTCAATTTGGGTTGAAGTTGAAGGTGTTCTGTGGATTGCAGTGCGATGCGTTGGTATTGTCAAGACAAGAATGAGGGACAACGACGGTCGAAAGAGAAAGATCCTGGCCGAGCGAGCTCGATTAGGCGCGAGCTAAGTTCACAGAGAACTTCGCGTCCAACATTGCATGCGTAGCAATCAAATCACGATTGGCCGATGAAAGTGTGGGTGAGGAAGACGAAAAGGAATTGAAGGTATTCCCATATTTCTGGAGAGTCAAGACCTAGAGCTACGGTGAAGACAAAGAGCGGCACTCCCGTACTGCATAACGTGGGGGTATTTTTCACAGGAATGATTGATTCGTCAGCCCATGTGGTTGAATGACTTACATGAGTTTTTGATTGCGCCGAGAAGAGAGGGAGCATGTTAATCTCCTTCTATTCTCAAATATATATCGGACGGTTAATTACATGATTTGGCCGTTGGTGAGCGAAAGAACGAATTCCATACTGTGAGGTTACGGTACCAAGAGCCCGCCGCTTTACTGCCCCACAAAGAACAAGCATCACGAGCTGCGCCGGAGCGGAATTACATGAAACCGGATGTTCCGCAACTCCTCGAATCAAGAAGCTCATATCGCGACAGGACATATCCGTACACTTGCAACGACAGTCAGATAGACAAATCTCTCTGTGTAGGTCAACCCACTCAATTGGTGATCTGAATGCTAACGGTCTACAAAGCAACATGGCCGGCCCAACAACACCTCCGTGAGCATATTTCACCCCAAATCGTCGGCAACGCAAGACTGACTCCCGAGTAGAAAGCCAGGAGCGCACGCACAATTTCCACCCGTCCGACCTCTGTATCGATTCATGGCGACAGGATTGGGAGCGAGCATGTGGTTCTTTGTGAGTTGTGTGTGGCCATTGGGAAGGGATTGGGAAGCTAATGAGGTTACAGTTGATGTACAGAGCCAAGAAAGACGGTAGACAACACCGATTCGCGAATTGACTCGAATACGAATACTAATTCTATTTAGGACCCGTATTACTGGGTTGGAAACATCCATGGGATCATTGAGTACGTCGAGATATCGAAGTGGTACATCCGTCTGGGTCGGTGGAGTTGTTTGATTATCAAGAAGAAACTGGTATTCAAGGATTGAATGTCATGAAGGGAGGGCTTTGCGCGTGAATAGACTTGGGAAACGGTGTCAATATTCAATACTTCAACAGCATCCTCTTTTTCAGACTTGTGTGATTTCATCGTGGTGGAACGGTACTGCGTGCGCTGCTGCTTGGAGCTTGAGTTTTAGAAGGCTCAATGAACGGACTCTGTGGTTACATTGACAGATAAGTTTCGAGAGCGGCACTGAGGTCGAAGATAGTGTCATCGTGGAGGAGTATACAACGAGAGAAGTCATTGGACAACACAACCAAAGTATCATCCTATTGACTAGACTCTATGACAAAGTCTGTTTGGTCCCGTCCTAGGAGCATCACACCACTGGTTTTCTTTCCACCGATCGACGTTTGATTCTCAATACTAAGATGCCTAAATATCCCCAGAACAAACAACTCTAGAGGGCGAACTCCGTTTCACCATTTCTAGCCATCCTCAATACCACGGTCCTATACCATCCACGCTCTCGTCGATATGTGCTTCCATAGCCTTCTGAAGGTCTTTCTTCTCCTCGAGAGTACCCCACTTCCACACCTTGTCAATCTTGTCCCAACAAATCCCGAAAAACTCATCCTTGCGGTCTTTCAGTTCCTTGCCAATTTGCTCAGGTGTTTTCAGGAGGCCTTTAGGATCGTTTTTATTGAACTCAAACAGAGCTTTCATATTTTTAGTGAATCCGTTCTCGAGTGTTACAAGCTGGCGTTGGAGATTTTGGAGCTGAAGCTCTTTTGCTACTGGATCAAAGACTGGTGGTAAATCCATTTTGGTAGGCGTTCCGAAATATAGGGATTGTAATCAGCTCTAGACGAGACTTGGTGGGCATGCGGATGGCATTTATAGGAGATCTTGCAAGATGGCTTTGATTCACATACTTCCCAGTGATTCATCACGATTCACGAAGGGATATAAGATGCGCCGCGCGCAAACTCAGTTGAATGTAAAGCTCGACAACCCATGGCTGGTTAGACTGCGCAAGAAGTGTAACATGTTGTTAATAAGTCTAGAAATTGTCTCTTTTCTCGTTCTAGCCGCTTCACACCAAGCAGATAAACATTTAAAAACCCGGTATTCTCACAGCTCTGCCACCATCACCATCTTACTTTCCACTATTTAACATTACATTCGGTTTCTTCGTCGTAACCCCCACCAAATAGTTACCAAGACAAGCTACTCCGAGGAACCTCACTTCAATACTCCTACTCGGTACTTCCGAATTCTAACGTCTTCTGGTGCTGAATCTCTTTGTCGATCAACTCCTTCAATTCCTCCACAAACCCTTTCGGTGCATTGGCGTCAGAAAAACAACCCCCCGAGAACTCTTTAAGCTTCTCCATATAATACTTGGACCACTTATCCTTGAAGTCGTTGAGAGCCTTCTTCTCCTTCTCATCCGTCTTGTCCTCCTCATCCTCGCTCTCAGACAACTCGCCCATGAAAACGAAAGTTTCTATTTTAAGCTGGATTGCCTATTCGATTGCTCGCAGCTGGCGCTTGAGATCGTCTTTCTTTTCGTATTCTGCAACTGCATAGAAGCCAGTTAGTGCTGGTGCTTCAAACATCGTTTTGAGACGTGTGAAAAAAGTTGGGATCGTAGTTTGAGGTTTGGTAGATATGGAGGGGAAAGTTTATATGAGAATGCTGGTGATTGCAGGATCATATTTGGTTCTGGGTGAGGTTTGGTAGGTATGTATTGTAGAGCAAAGTTTCTGGGAGATTTTGAGGGATCGCTGTGGTTTAAGTACTTTTTGGGAAGCCATATAAGGTGATAATGAATCAAAAGACAAGGTACTAATGTGATCACACGATGAATTTTCCTCCTAAGTATAGGGTTTCTATAAAGAGGTTTTACTCACAAAGTGAAGTGAGTCTTGTGCCAGAGCAAACACATGTGGAAATGTTCAGGGCGTTCTATTAGTCTACGGCTTTTGATAAATCCCACAAGCCAGGTATACGCCAAAGCTAGTCTCAGCATGAATATTCATCCAATGTGTAGGGGCATTGTCTCACGAGTGGGCCCTCCCACCACAAGCCTAGGACGAGGATCGCTTTTCAAAGAGATAGTGAGTAACCCCCCAGGTATCACCACCTTCATAAGCAAAAAGCTCAGCGCAAGCCATGTAAAAGATTTGCCATCTGTAAAACCACATGGCAGTCTTCTCTCCACCATATGTCTCCGTGAGATGTGGCCAAATCTCCTTCTTATGTGCGTTCATTTTTGAAAGCCAGTCCTATATCCAGGTTAGCACTCGAATTTTCCGAAGATATGTAAGAAGAAAAGCAATCTTACCTCACAAGTCTTAGCATAATTCTGGCCGTTAACCCACCACTGCTTCTCTAATGTCAAGTCTTTCTGGAAGAAGTGAAACAAATCCGCTGAGGGCATTGTACCACCAGAGAAGAAATGGGTGCTCATCCAACCCTCCTCGAAATCATATGGCGTAGTCTTATGCGCAAAGATATGCACAAACAGTTTTCCGCCTGGCTTGAGTGCTCGACTAACTTTCGCCATGAGTAACTCGTAGTTTTTCATGTGTTCAAATAACTGTTTTATGCTGTTAGAATATGACTGAGAGTGAATCAGGTGACATGTACCTCAATTGAAATCACACGGTCGAAAGCCTCTTTCTCGAACTCGTAGTCTACTACATCGCCGGTGATTACGTTAAGATTTGTGAATCCTTTCGCTTTGGCCTGCTCGTCGATGTAGAGTTTTTGAGTTCGGGAGTTGGAGAAGGCGGTGACCTTGGAATTTGGGAAAACTTCCGCAAAATACAGAGCTCCGGAACCCCAACCACAACTATATCTATTAGCATACAATGTTTCAAAGAAATGAAAAACACATAAAACTTACCCAAGATCCAAAATACTCATCCCATCCTTCAACCCCGCCCTCTCCACATACTTCTCCAACATCCTCACCTCCGCCTCCCCCAAAGTCTCACTTCCCTTCTCATACAGCGCACAACTATACTTCATTCTCGGACCCAGACAAGCCTGAAGCACGCCGGTACCAACCTCATAATGCTGCTCGTTCGCCGCCGCAGTCTCAATGGCAATCGGACGCGAGCGCAAAAGCTCTACGTATTTCATTTTCTTCTCGTAGGCATCGCTAAGAGATGTAGTGTGAATGATCCTGATACGATCTGCCAGCTGACGACGGATTCCCACGCGTATGAGAGCTGAGGGAAGGTAGCCGCCGTCGAGGATCCAATCTACGGTGTGTCAACATGGGGATGGTCACGTTTTGAGGGCGCGAAGTACCGTAATTCATTGTGATTTTTGGATACGCTTAAATTACTAGTCAATAGGCAAATGTCGGTCGGTGTCTGGGTACGTTGTGATCTGATAATCTTTCGTGGTTGTTGTGTTGTGTAGTGTCTAAGCGGACATGGTCCCTATCAATCTATCATCTCATTCTAGACTTGTCGCTAGCCGTAGTTCAACCACGGAGATTTTGAACATGCGTCACGGCATTTTCGAATAGGCACAACAATAACAGTATATTCAACGGATGGGTTTATTTTCAGCATTGTACTTTTAAATCTATCATACAAGTCCTTATCTATAACAAACAGTCCTTCTTTACCGTAACTCCTGCATCTCGGATAGGATGACCTTGTACTGTTTCCGTACTTTGGCTTTCCCTGTTACTGATGTTTTGATTTGACCCAAGTATTTCGCGAGTCGTGGTAAAACGTGATGTTCCAACGTCCAAGCCACCGCAATGTATCCAACTCCTAGAACAAGCAAAAATGTTTTGAAATCCCATGTCATTGGCGTTAATTGCATGAATCGTGCCAGTCCTTCGGATGGGTCAAAAAGCATGTACGAGGTAAACAATAATGCTACAACGATAGTAACAACAAACGGCACTTCCATTCCGTTAGCTAGGCCATGAGCGGACATAAAAGATTAGAAAACTCACAATTTTGGCCCATCGACTGCCGGAACGGTGGCCCTACACTCAGAACTATACCGGATAAAATATATTCGAAGCACGACACTAAGAACAAACTCGTGTTTTGAGAATTTAGAACATTCGACTTCTCATGGTTCAGCTTTGGTGGAATGTACCTAACTGACGTTAGCTTCGAAAAACGCCAACGTAACTTAGTACGTACCAGGGCTGTTTCTGAACAGCTTGAAATGCCACAGCTTGAATGAGGATGCAGATAGCAATCTGTCCAAGCAAGGGAGTTAACACCTTCCTCGAAACGAGGTTCGCCGTTGGACGCTTTTGGCTCAGTATTGGAAAAGGCCCGCTCCATCCCACTGCACTTTTGGTTAGTCTACTAGTGTCGTTAAATCTGGACTTTTTGCTTACTAAAGATCGCGATTGGCAAGATCAAGGCAAGATCAATGAATAGAAACTAACACCAGGGTTTAGTTTAACTACCAGCTAGGGCGGAGCTGGATGCTTACCTGGAAATCACCGAGGTTCGATGCCGAGGCGTAGAGGAAGCTAACAGATGTGAACTGTATCGCCGAGTAGAGACTCATGTACTTGAAGCAACTGAAACTGGTGACCAGCGCTGCCCGACCCTCCCTAATTGAAAAAGTCAGCAAAAATCCATCATTCCAACGACAAGTACCCACCGTATGACGTCCGGAACACATGTTATATCGAAAACTCGGCTTGTAAATGGTGCAGCAACGGATGCCTCAGCCTCGGAGAGAGATATTCCCACGTCTGCTGCTTTCAAGGCACCACAATCATTCGCCCCATCACCACAGAATCCACAGCAGTAATCGATACTTTGTAGCTTCTCGACGAGTTCATGTTTCTCATCTGGCGACATTCGCGCGAATACTTGCCCACAAACAAGCATCTAAGGTGCGTTAGTTACCAAGAGTTAGAGCATCGTTCACGTTAACTTACTCTTTTCAACACATTGGGAGGAGCAAAGTCAACAACCCAGCGAAATACATCGCCACTGACGGCTAAGGAATAGTTCCTCAAGTTAGCAATATCGTATGGCAGTGACGCGTCTCCATCCACAGGTGGAGGCAAAGGCTTGAATTCTGTCAGTCAGGTTACGAAAGATGACACAGGTGACCTACCGTTAAAGTGTTTTCATCAAGCGTGTATATGCTATTATCAATACTCTCCCAGGAAAGCCGAGCGTTTGGATCAGTAAAATTGCCTGTTGAATAGGTTAATGACCGTCACACCAAGAGATTTGAGTTCATCCTACCTTCAATAAAATGAGGCACAAAACAATGAGCAGTCTTATCTATCAAGTTACACTCCCTTGCGACGCTGATAGCGGTGAGGATGTTGTCTCCGGTACACATCACCTTTCTGATGCCTGCCTCGGTAAGTTCATCTAGAACTCCGGCTGTGGTTGGCTTCAGTTTGTTCTCGAAAATGATGAAGCCCAAAAAGTCGAGCTCGGACTCTGCTTCGTCACGCCGCATCTTCTGAACTTTAACCCAGTTGAGTTTCTTGATATGCTTTGTGGCGCAAGCGATAACGCGGAAACCACGGTGCGTATAATATGAGAGTAGCTCTTCGTAGTCGTTCGGAACTAAAAGGGAATTAATAGACATCGCGCAGTGGACCAGAAATACATACAGCTATCAGCCCGACATATCTCCTTCATACATTCTGGGGCGCCTTTGACGTACACGTCGCATCCCTGAGAACCAAAGTTCCGTACAACGACACTGGCCCGACGCAGCTGGGATACGAACTCAAAAGACTTCAGAATACCCAGTTCTATAGGAGAGCTCTGTGGCAAGATATGAGCATCATAAAATGGTACCAAGCTAACTTCACTTACGTTTGTGTTCTGTTGACCTTCGTTATCATCCAGGTCGTATTCCATACCAGGAGGCGGTCTTGCAATAGATGGAGTTATGCCGCCTTGCTCCTCATCATCACCATCGCCAGACCGTTGCTCGCCCTCTTCGAATGACCATCCAGTGAAATTGAACATTTTGAGGTCGAGAGGATCACCCACTAACTCGCCGTCAACTACTCGCAGGGAATGGCAGGTTGCCATTGTGTAAAGTGCAGCCTTGTGACTATCGTAGACCACTGTAGGATCCCGCTCATATGCAGCGCCTGGAAGTAACGAAAGTGGATCCGGTAGTATATCGCTGAACCGGTTGGAGGGCTTTTGTGCTACTCGTACACCAAGAACATCCAAGCCGTCTTCCGTAAGTGTGCCTGTCTTATCGAAGCAGACGATATCCAATTTCCCACCTACATTTACCCTCTGTGGACTAATACAGTAGATCTCTTTCTTTCTTAGCCGTGAAAGTGCAAAGTTTGTGCCGATTGTTAAAGTGGCCGGAAGAGCAGGTGGAACCACGATAGTGATGAGATCCAGAGCTCTCACAATAATCAAGTGGAAGGCTATATGCAAACGCACAAAGTTGACAAAGGAGGCGACGAATCCAACAGCTGCGATACCTCCCATGACAGATATATAACGGAACGAATCCCGGTAGAACTTGAATCCAGAAGGCTTGGGGAAAAGCATAGAGCGAACAAGGGCTCCCTTGGTAGTATTGAAGCCCGTTCTGACGGTCATAGCTAATGCTACAGCCTCATCGTCCTTGTCATCTTGAGGCCGCCTCGCGCGAACGATCTTTGTGCCACAGAACAAGAAATGTCGGGCAAGCTCGGGAGCAATAGATGATGCAGCTAAATTGAGTGACCGTAGCGAGTCATCTGTAGCTGGCACTTTGGAAACAGGGACAGATTCGCCTATCTATATGAGCGAGATCTTTGAATTAGGGGTTGAGATCTTACCTGTGAGCATGCTCTCGTTGACAATACAATCCCCAGCGAGCAATATACTGTCGCAAGGAAACTGAGTTAGAGCAGGGTCGGTGACTTCGTATACATCACCTGGTACGAGTTCGCTTGAAGGGACATAACGCCCTAACAAGGCTATTAGGTATAAACACACAATCAGAGCCAAGTAGACCTACAAAAAGAATTGCGGAGAACACGAACATCACACTCAAAGCGAGATATTTCTCTCAGTCTCTTCATCGTCTGCCACACGTTAGTTCTGACTACAGAATACTGAAGGAGTCGATACTGACCGAGCGGGTTTCGATTAGCGTAGTAGTGATGCTCACGAGAGATATAGCGAAGATACATGCAGCATAGTAATAGTACTCGTCGACGGACCATAAGATGAGACTTGCAATCTGAAAAACGTAGAAAGGGTGAAAAGCCTAAACATTAATAAGCAATAAATCCGGACAAGGTTTTGCACTGTCGTACCTCGTCTACCAAAAGCTGTGGAATAGTTTTCTGCTTAATATCTATCAAGTTCTTTCCAAAGACAAGTTCTCGGCTTTCTTTTTCTTCGCCATCGATGCCAGTGCGCATGGTCTTCACATTTGTCCACATTGGATCTTTCCAGCTGTTAATTAACACAAATTTATCCTTCAGTGGATGATATGAGAATCGCATATATCTATAGTCAAGTAGACGAAGAGTGTCGATAGCGGGGTCATCGTCATCTTCATAAGAAAGGACAAATCGTTTATCTTGCGCACCAAAGACAGTGGACAAGGACCGGCCATATTCCTCCGAATCGATATCCTGGACAACAAACTCTCCCCATTGATTCTAGATCTATCAGCTGAGTTCTGTTAAAACACAAGTAGAACAGAGAAGATAGCAAGCTCGAGATTACGAGGTAGCATCCAGCAGTTGTTCGGGGCTTCGCAACTAACCTCAATTACTACCCAGCTACAATTTCGCAGATGACAAGGGCGGCCAACAAGACGTACTTGCCATCGAGGCAACCAACGCAGTAGCAGATAGGCAAGTCCGAATGTCAGAATGGATATCGTTGTATATATTGCAAAACCAATCTTCGAAGTGCGAAACCCTGCAATCACTATTGTCAAGTCCTCCGTGACGATGTATATCTTTTGGCTTGTCCGTCCTCCTTCCCCATAATCACTGCCGTCTGCACTTCTATGTCCACTGTCGCTCCGGAGAAGCTGATCATGTACGGATGCAGTAGATAGGCCAGAAGAAGTCCTTCTCATTGTAGATAGCTCGCCAGATTCTAGATCAGCGGACGAATCGTCCTCACCAAATGCCAGCTCGGACTCGTCGTCTAAAATGACAGCATCATACTCCGGTGGATGTGTTAAATCTTGTTCCTGACCCTCCTGGTAGTAAGTGAAGCTTGCAGTCGAATCCGCTCGGTGTCGTCGATGGGCAAAGGATGAGATGCTCGTAGGAACGCTTTCACCCATTGGCCCAGAAAACATCTCGTCCTGGGCCATCTCAACCTCATCGAGAAAACTAGTGGTCGACATATTCGAATCTCGTCTGTGTAACTGTCCGGCATTGGCGCGAATAGGTCTAGCAGAGGTGTGGGTTTGCGAGCTGCTCCGTCGAGCCCGATTGATGGGGATCTCATTTGTAGTATCCATGTTGAAATAATGGTGTGACACGCTCTAAGCGCATCGAATCGTTGGCTATATATACAATGTTGGCATTGTTGTTGTGAATGAAACGAAAACCCGGCTGCTCGCTCTGAGAAACCCGTCTGAGAATATTTACGATAATGACGGAGCAGTATGGTAGCTAGGTCGAGGGTAGCTTCGGCGTGCGGTCCGTCGCCCTTCTAAAGCCTTGCCTTATCGGGTTCTGCCCTGCCGTGGGCCTATCGCGCACGCGGGGTGAATCTAACCCTTGCCGCGCTACCAGGCTAACAAAAATGGATTTGCTCAACAACTTCAAGTATTGATCCATCCAAATACTAGACATCCTTCCTACTTTTTCACCACAAATCGCGCCCCGACGCTCTTTGTCTCCAGCATCAAGCACTTTTCCTCTTTCCCTCAGTCGACCTTGTCCTCGATCTCGGTCGATAGATTTTAGCAATATGTCGGAAATTCCCAAGAAACAAAATCTCCAAACCGCCCCGTGAGTTTTACGACCCCTCACCAGTGCCACGAACGCAAGCCAAAACTAACAGTCAACTGCAGAACTCCTCAAAATACTCCCGCCAACAATGCTCCCATCTCATCACACGCCCAGCAGCCTGGCGTAGGCACAATCAAAGAAGGTATGTAAATCACTTTTGCCCCTCACCGGTTCATGTCATTCGCTAACTATTCAAATAGAGGAGTTTGACCGCGCCGCCGCCGCCTCAATTTTTGCCCAAAACCCAAAGCTCGTCCAAATGATCCAAGGAAAGCTTGGTTCACTCGTTGGCAGATCCTCCGGATACGTCGAATCGCTTCCAGCCCCAGTCCGCCGCCGTGTCGCAGGCCTGAAAGGTGTGCAAAAGGAGCACTCAAAACTTGAGGCCGAATTCCAGGAGGAGGTGCTCGAATTAGAAAAGAAGTACTTCGCAAAATTCACCCCACTCTACCAGAAGCGTGCTCAGATCGTCAATGGTGCTGCTGAGCCAACCGCAGAGGAGATTAAGGCGGGCGAAGAGGATGAGGAGCCAAGCGAGTCGGATCCAGCTGAGAAAGAAGAGGAGTCTGCTGTTGATGTCAAGGGTATTCCAGAATTCTGGCTTTCCGCCATGAAGAACCAAGTTTCCCTTGCGGAGATGATCACTGATAGAGATGAGGCCGCCCTGAAAGACCTTGTCGACGTTCAGATGGAGTATCTCGATAAGCCTGGCTTCCGTTTGATCTTCCAATTTGGTGAGAACGAGTTCTTCACGAACAAGACCATCACAAAGACCTACTTCTACCAAAATGAGAGTGGTTATGGAGGAGACTTTATTTACGACCACGCGGAGGGTTCTAAGATTGATTGGAAAGCTGGCAAGGACTTGACAGTTCGCGTTGAGAGCAAGAAACAGCGCAACAAGAGTAGGCAAAACTTCACCTACTTAAAGATTTACTTGACTAATGTTTTCCGGCAGACACCAAGCAGACTCGTGTGGTCAAGAAGACTGTGCCAACAGAGTCATTTTTCAACTTCTTCTCGCCACCGAAAGCACCAACTGAGGAGGACGACGATGATGCAGCAAGCGATATTGAGGAGCGTCTCGAGCTTGATTACCAACTTGGCGAGGATATTAAGGAAAAGCTTATTCCTCGTGCCATTGATTGGTTCACTGGTGAGGCTCTTCAATTTGAAGAACTCGATGATGATGAACTCGATGAGAACGATTTCGAAGACGATGATGACGATGATGAGGACGAGAGCGAAGATCACGATGACGAAGAGGAGTCTGAGGACGATGTAAGATTCGATGTTCCCCAGACATAGGAGTTGACTGACCTCTATTAGGATGATGCAGCGAAACCAAAGCAAGAGGCCGCTGAGTGCAAGCAAAGCTAGGGCGCCAATTTGTAGTTCGTGGATTACCGACCGACCTCTGACTATCCCGTCTTATCGCGGGTCTTGCCTCACACGCAACACAACCATCCAGCACGTCAATGATGCGGGACATTTAATTTGAAGAAATGTTTACGGACTTGCATAGGTGTTATCTGCTAGCATGATGGATGGATGACCGATCTCTCTTTTCCTTGTTCTAGACTAATCTGCTTTCCGAAGCCTCAGTGCTGTTCTCTTGTGGTTGTTACTGCATTTTTACATACATGCAAATATCGTATAGGCGTTCTCCGTAGATGTTAAATCGAAAAGCGTTGGCAAACCCACATGAGAGCTAAGATTCCGTGATCTTTCTTAATAGGAAAATTAAATGAGACTACATAACCATGATTCCGAGTTGCTAATCATATTTCATATATTTTGACCTGGCCTGGCAGTGAACATCAAGTTCTGTGTGGATGTGGGGGTTTAAATCGGTCTCCGATGAATCCGCAGGGTGAGGCTGGTGGCCCCGTGCTTCGGTGTGGTTTTAAAGTCTTCGCCTGACCTGACGCCATCATCTAAGACGCGAAGAAATCTTCAAGCAGGAACTGACTCATTATTCACATACAAATTTCCCATTTCCAATACAACAAACGTGCAATAATTATGGCTACGCAGGAGAATGAGATCGCTCTCTCAACGAAGTTTGCTAACATGTCGATACCGCCGCAAATGAGTGTCTCTACCTCCCCAACTGCGACTTTTCAAACTCCACCAGGCGGATTTGGGAGTCTCACTCGCACGAACACCGTTCCTAAATTGCTGAAGCCTTTCAACACCACGGATATCAAAATTCTGCTTCTAGAAAACGTCAACCAGAGCGGAAAGGACATTCTCTCCGGGCAGGGTTACCAAGTCGAATCTGTGAAAAGCTCGTTGCCAGAAGATCAATTGATCGAAAAGATCCGGTAGGTCGCGGGGCAAACATCACCCCTCCATAGCCAAAATTTTGTATCACGTTTTACTAACTACACCACCCAAAGCGACGTTCACGTCATCGGAATCAGATCAAAAACAAAACTCACCGAGAAAGTTCTTCGTGAGGCAAAAAACTTGATTGTCGTCGGTTGTTTCTGCATTGGAACCAACCAGGTCAATCTCAATTATGCTGCAAAGCAAGGAATTGCAGTGTTCAATAGTCCATTCGCAAACTCAAGGAGTGTTGCGGAATTGGTAATTGGTGAAATTATCGTGCTCGCCAGACAACTTGGTGATCGTTCAAACGAGTTGCACAATGGTATCTGGAATAAAGTGAGCGCAAAATGTTGGGAAATCAGGGGCAAAACCTTAGGTCAGTCCTCGCACCCTGGTTGCTAGATTATCGAATGCTAGGTATTGACTTCCTAAAGGTATTGTTGGTTACGGACATATCGGATCGCAACTTTCGGTCCTTGCCGAGTCAATGGGCATGAGCGTCGTTTACTATGATGTTGTCAACCTCATGGCAATGGGAACTTCGACTCAGGTCCCTACACTCAATGACCTCTTGAACAAGGCAGACTTCGTTACCTTACATGTTCCTGAATTGCCAGAAACGGAAAACATGATTGGAGCTGCGCAGTTTGAACAGATGAAGAAAGGAAGTTACTTAATCAATGCCAGTCGAGGTTCAGTTGTGGATATTCCAGCGCTGATCAACGCTTCTCGCAACGGCATTATTGCTGGAGCGGCTCTCGATGTTTATCCAAACGAACCAGGAGGAAACGGGGATTACTTCAACAACAGCTTAAATTCGTGGGGCGAGGATCTTCGCAGTCTCAAGAATGTAATTCTGTCACCACATATTGGTGGAAGTACTGAGGAGGCACAAAGTGCAATTGGTGTAGAAGGTAAGCCACTTGATGCAATTTTCGATATTGTAGTCTAACAGTTGATAGTTGCTGGAGCTCTTGTCAGGTACATTAACTCTGGTGTGACTTTAGGCGCTGTCAACTTTCCTGAGGTCAATCTTCGCTCTCTCACATTAGATGAGTCGAATCACGCTAGGGTGAGTCAGGCCATGGACTCAAAGCGGAGTAAAACTGACCGTTTTAGGTTATTTACATTCATCAAAATGTTCCTGGTGTTTTGAGAAAAGGTAAGCACTTTGTAAGAGCGCTTATTATAATGTCTCTAATAAAAACCAGTCAACGAGATTCTCGGTGACCATAACGTGGACAAGCAGACTACGGATAGTAAGGGAGATGTGAGTTTGAACCTATTATCAATCAATTTTTTTTTCCAGAGCTAACAAGCACAGGTTGCTTATCTCATGGCCGACGTCAGCGATGTCCGTACCAGTGATTTGAAAGATATTTCTGATGCACTGGAAGGCTTGAGTTGTAAGTGTTTTCGGCCCTCGTTCTGGTTTCTCCAGCTGATATTTGTTTAGCGAAAATTGCTGTTCGTATCCTTTATTAAGTCTAAAGTGGTGTATCTTGGGAATGAGTATATGGATGGCTGCATTCAACAGGAGCAGGTAGGCGTCATTGGAAAATGTTCATAAAACCCTTCAACACACAGGGGTTGTCTGATAGAGACCTTCATTATTAATTTAGGCGTATAAAAAGTATGCGCTTTCTACACATAAGCTCTGTTTAATGTAGTCTTCCTTCACGGACGATGTATTGAAACCTAGTAGATCGTCGCTAAAGGGGTTCCGAATCTTATTTCCGACGCTTTTGAAATCAATCTACAGATGCTTTTTATCTGAGGCAAGAGACCCACAATTTACATGTGTACCCACTGTTTCTGTCTCTTCGCTGGCATAGAGATGTCACAAACCGCGGAGCCAAGGTAAAACTTACATATCATCGACAGTATAGTATTTCGTGAATCATGATGCGTATCGAAGGTATAGGAAAGGGCTGTGGAGGTTTAATCTCTGACACTTTCTCTATTTCACTCTAACAAGTAACCGCCCGTGCGGAAGGAGGTGTGGTGTATATGGCATATGCAGGGGACAGCAATGGGAGCGAGCTTAACGTAGCGTACCGGTTCTACAACTTCGATTTAATATAGACTACAAAGTAAGCTATATCAGTACTTGTAGTTGTGATTTGCTTCGATTCACATTGCTATGTTCTTGGTATCATCAGTGGAGATTGCTTTCGCTACTAGGCATTTGAGTACTCTAGGATCAAGACAATCAATCATATGGCTTGAATTCGGGAATGGTTGACAGCAATTGCTTTTAACGGTGACAAGTCCGCTTGTTGATTTAGACAGAGATGACTTTCCAGTCTGACATAGACGAGTGATACCTGAGGTAAGAAATACGTGAGATCTTGAAAAGTGTACGTACCTTTCGTACCAAGTAGGTACTCCTGAACCGATTTCGTCGTCGAGAAGAACTTGAGCTAGGTCAATCCGTCGAGACTTAGTGGCATCTTCACAACTAGGAATGCATTCAATAGCGCAGCTTTCATCCGAAGCTTGAGCCTAAACATGACGCCTTTCACTTAGTACAGCATCCGATCTGTCTGCTACTACTGTACAAGTACGGGGTAGTGCTCCAGCGCTCACGTGAAGCTGCTCACCCTGAGACTCAATTGGAGATTGGAAGCCAAATAGTAGTCTTGGAACGAGGGGACTATAGTATTTGAAGAGAGCTTTGAAGCTTTTCAAAGGAATCCCAGCAGGGTAAAAAGCAATGAACGAAGGGGAACAGTGCCGCTTTTCTTCCGTTGACAGTTGACTTTTGAAACGTTCACCAAGCGCTCAAGGCGGTGAGCGGAAACCAAGTCTCATCCCTTCTACGTGAGTCGGCAGTCAGGGAGAGTAAGTATGAATGAAGATAATTGCATATGTCTGGACATTCATCGCATGAAATCGTGTTCAAAAAGTCACCATCGCAGTAATACAATTTTCCTACTCCATGGAAATCGACTGCTTCTCCGCAACCACCCAGGGACTCCCCCAGCAATAGGATTGTTTTCACCCAGAACCAGAATCTCCAGCCCCTGAACTCGGCCTGCAGCAACTCCTTAGCTGCGTGGAAACGCTAGTACCACCCCAACCGGCCGACCCCTGCGCCTGGTGCATCGCGAACCTGCAATTATTCTGCACTCCTGCACCGACACAACTCCTGATTGTCTTCAATGAACCTCTGTTCTATCAACCTGCAAAGCCCACGAGCATTCTGCAGTGGCCCAGCTTCGTCTTAGAACTTCGTCTCTTTTCTGTTCAGCACCGCGTTTCTACGGCTCTTCACTCATTCATGCCGATACTAGCTTCACGGTCTCACGCAGATTATTTGGAACGAAGTTGAAGGACGGGGAGGAGTAATCGACGAGGATTCGGACATCTGCCATCATGGCGCACAGTTACGATGTTGGAACAAAGGCCTGGCAACCAGATGCCACAGAAGGATGGGTTGCTTCAGAGGTGACATCGAAGACCAGTGATGGGACTAAGGTCTCCCTGGTCTTCGCTCTCGCAAACGGAGAGGTCAGTTATGATGTTACCACGTCCACATCTTCATGAGCATGCTCTAACTATACCCGCTTGCAGACCAAGACGATAGAAACGACCGAAGATGCCCTTGCTTCAGATGACCAGTCGAAGCTCCCACCTCTAATGAACCCTACGATGCTCGAAGCCAGCGACGATTTAACCAACTTATCTCATCTCAATGAGCCTGCTGGTAAGAGAAGAGACCTGCTTAAAGTCGGGATATAGGAAAATGCTGACAGGGGAAACAGTATTGCAAGCTATAAAGCTTCGGTACTCACAGAAGGAAATATACACATACAGTGGGATCGTTCTGATCGCGACAAATCCCTTTGCCAGAGTGGATTCCCTATATGTCCCTGGTATGGTGCAAGTTTATGCAGGCAAGCAGAGGGCTACGCAAGCCCCCCATCTCTTCGCTATTGCAGAAGAAGCCTTCGCGTGAGTGCTCCAAAACTTGTCAAGACAACCTCTAATCCGCTACAGTGATATGCTACGGAGCGGTAAGAACCAAACGGTTGTGGTCTCTGGAGAATCTGGTGCCGGAAAGACAGTCAGTGCGAAATACATTATGAGATATTTCGCAACAAGAGAATCGCCGGACCAAACTGGGACTCGGACGAAACGGGGATCAGATCAGATGAGCGAAACGGAGGAGCAAATTCTGGCAACGAATCCCATCATGGAATCTTTCGGTAATGCAAAGACGACACGAAACGACAATTCTTCACGATTTGGAAAATATATTGAAATTATGTTTGATGAGAAAACCCAGATTATTGGCGCTAAGATCCGGGTCTATCTCCTGGAACGTTCAAGACTGGTTTTCCAGCCGCTGAAAGAGCGGAATTACCACATTTTCTACCAGTTATGTGCAGGTGTCACAGATGAGGAACGTCAGGCACTTAAACTTTTACCCGTAGAACAGTTCGATTATCTGAATCAGGGTAGCGCACCGGTCATTAGCGGAGTCGACGATAAGAAGGAATTCGAAGACTTGAAGAAGGCTTTCCAAGTTATTGGCGTCGACAAGGATCAACAATCCGAGATATGGAAGCTGCTTGCTGCACTTCTGCACCTTGGGAATGTGAAGATAACCGCTTCACGTACGGATTCAAGCTTGTCAGATACAGAACCATCGTTGCTGAAAGCAGCTGCCATTCTTGGTGTCGACCCCAGCGAGTTTGCGAAGTGGACAGTCAAAAAACAATTGATCACAAGAGGGGAGAAAATCACATCGAATCTCACACAACAGCAAGCTATTGTCGTAAGGGACTCTGTGGCTAAATTCGTCTACTCGAGTCTTTTCGACTGGTTGGTAGAAAACATTAACAAAGCTCTTGCTACGACTGAGGTACTGTCAAAAGTCAAATCATTTATCGGTGTTCTGGATATCTACGGGTTCGAACATTTCGCCAAGAACTCTTTCGAACAATTCTGTATCAACTATGCGAACGAGAAGCTGCAGCAGGAATTCAACGCACACGTCTTCAAGTTGGAACAAGAAGAATATTTGAAGGAGCAGATCGACTGGACGTTCATCGACTTTTCAGACAATCAACCTTGTATCGATCTGATAGAAGGCAAGCTTGGTATTCTGTCCTTACTCGACGAAGAATCAAGGTTGCCCATGGGTTCTGATGAGCAATTTGTCACCAAGCTGCACCATAATTATGCCGCTGACAAGAACAAGTTTTACAAGAAGCCAAGATTCGGGAAATCATCCTTCACTGTATGCCATTATGCTATCGATGTTACTTACGAGTCGGATGGATTCATTGACAAGAATCGTGACACTGTTCCAGACGAACATATGGCAGTACTGAAAGCCTCATCAAATAAGTTTTTGGGACAGGTGTTGGATGCTGCATCAGCCGTCCGTGAAAAAGACTCTGCCTCCGCGTCTTCCAACGCAGTCAAACCTGCCGCCGGACGAAGGATCGGAGTCGCTGTGAATAGGAAGCCAACTCTTGGAGGTATATTCAAATCATCTCTCATTGAGCTGATGCACACGATCAACGGGACCGATGTTCATTACATTCGTTGTATCAAACCTAACGAGAGCAAGGAGTCATGGGTCTTCGAGGGTCCTATGGTCTTGAGTCAGTTGCGAGCCTGTGGTGTTTTAGAAACTGTCAGAATCAGTTGCGCTGGTTACCCTACCAGATGGACGTACGAAGAATTTGCGCTTCGATACTACATGCTAACCCCATCGTCAGCCTGGACGTCAGAGATTCGTGACATGGCTAACAAGATTCTCGTCAAAGCACTTGGAACCAGCAACGGACAAGGGCTGGACAAGTATCAACTTGGTTTAACCAAGATCTTCTTCCGAGCTGGTATGCTTGCCTTCTTGGAAAACCTCCGAACAAACCGCCTGAACGATTGCGCGATTATGATACAGAAAAACCTGAAAGCTAAATATTACCGCCGCAAATACCTGGAAGCTCGTGCCGCTATTTTGAGCGTGCAAACCTTTGCGAGAGCTCACATTGCTCGCAAGCGTGCTCAAGAAACCAGAACAATCAAAGCTGCCACGACAATCCAAAGAGTTTGGCGCGGCCAGAAGCAAAGAAAGGCGTTTCTTATCATCCGCAACAATGTTATTCTTGCGCAAGCAGCTGCCAAGGGTTTCTTACGGCGTCGTCAAATCATGGACACTCGTCTTGGAAATGCTGCTGTTTTAATCCAAAGAGTTTGGAGATCAAGGAGACAAATGAAGAGCTGGAGACAATACAGACGGAAGGTCGTCATCATTCAAAGTTTGTGGAGAGGTAGACAAGCCAGACGTGGATACAAGAAAGTCAGAGAAGAAGCACGTGATCTCAAGCAAATATCCTACAAATTGGAAAACAAGGTCGTGGAACTTACACAGTCTTTGGGCACAATGAAGAGAGAGAACAAGGCGTTAGTAAACCAGGTCGAGAACTACGAGAACCAGATCAAGTCCTGGAAGAACCGGCATAACGCTTTGGAGACTCGATCCAAGGAACTGCAAGGAGAGGCTAATCAAGCGGGTATCACTGCCGCCCGTCTATCGGCAATGGAGGACGAAATGAAGAAATTACAGGTCAACTTCGACGAGTCTGCTGCCAATATCAAACGTCTGCAGGAAGAGGAGAAGGAACTTCGTGAGACCTTGAGAAAATCCACAGAGGAGCTTGAAAGCACCAAGCAAGCAAGTGCTGAGTCAGAGACGGAGAAAAACAACCTCCGGCAACAACTTTTGGATCTACAAGACCAGCTTGAAGCCGCTAAGCGTGCTGTGCCCATTATGCCGATTAATGGTGAGCTTACGAACGGTACTGCAGCTCAACTTCCCTCCAACGGTCTTATCAACTTGGTCTCCTCCAAGAAGCCTAAAAGACGCAGTGCTGGGGCAGAACCTCTGGATAACAGATACAGTGCTGCGTACAACCCACGTCCAGTATCTATGGCTGTCACCGGAAGCAATCTTAACCGCCAAGCTCTTCCTGGTTCCTCTTTCATCCAAGGTGTTGACAATGTGGAACATGAGCTTGAAAACTTGCTCAATGATGAGGATGGTTTGAATGAGGAAGTCACTCTTGGCTTGATTAAGAATCTGAAGATTCCACCACCTACTACTACCCCTCCACCGACTGACAAAGAGGTTCTTTTCCCATCCTACCTTATCAACTTGGTTACCTCCGAGATGTGGAATAATGGATTTGTCAAAGAGTCGGAACGTTTCCTTGCAAATGTTATGCAGTCGATTCAACACGAGGTCATGCAACATGACGGGGAAGAGGCGGTTAACCCTGGCGCCTTCTGGCTGTCCAACGTCCATGAGATGCTTTCATTCGTCTTCCTGGCTGAGGATTGGTACGAAGCACAAAAGACTGACAACTTTGAGTACGATCGTTTGCTTGAAATCGTCAAGCACGATCTGGAGAGTCTTGAGTTCAACATTTACCATACATGGATGAAGGTTCTCAAGAAGAAGTTGTCAAAGATGATCATTCCTGCAATCATCGAATCACAGTCCCTTCCCGGTTTCGTTACCAACGAAAGTAACAGATTTCTTGGCAAACTTCTTCAGACAAATTCTGCCCCAGCTTTCAGCATGGACAATCTGCTGAGCTTACTCAACAACGTCTTCAAAGCCATGAAGGCCTACTACCTAGAGGATTCGATCATCACCCAGACAGTAACCGAGTTGCTTAGATTGGTTGGCGTCACTGCCTTCAACGACCTACTCATGCGCAGGAACTTCCTTTCATGGAAGCGTGGTCTTCAAATTAATTATAACATCACTCGAATTGAAGAGTGGTGTAAGAGCCACGATATGCCTGAAGGTACTTTGCAACTGGAGCATCTCATGCAAGCCACCAAGCTGTTGCAGTTGAAAAAAGCCACCCTAAATGATATCGAGATCATTCAAGATATCTGCTGGATGTAAGTAGCAGCACCTATTACCCTTGTGCCCGAGGTCTAACCCCGTGATAGGCTTTCCCCAAATCAAATTCAGAAACTGTTGAATCAATACCTTGTTGCTGATTATGAGCAACCTATCAACGGTGAGATCATGAAAGCTGTAGCTTCCAGGGTAACAGAGAAGGGCGACGTCTTACTTCTCACTGCTGTTGATATGGACGACAGTGGACCATATGAAATTGCTGAGCCTCGTGTCATTACCGCACTGGAGACATACACTCCATCTTGTCAGTCTGTTTCTCTATCTATATATATACTTACTAATCTTATGCTAGGGCTTCAAACGCCACGTTTGAAACGTCTCGCTGAGATTGTTTCCGCCCAAGCTATTGCCCAACAAGAGAAGGGGGATTACTTATTAGACGAAGCGAATGAGATGACCGACGACGAAATGAATGAGGAGAAAGCACTCTATTAACACCTTGCCTTGAGCTCGACCCTGTAATCATACAGGAGCTAATGACACTTCGCTTCTTCCTGTAATATTTTCTCCCTTTACCGCTTGGAGGACTACCAGCCATCATCGGCTGGCTTACCCCTTTTGTATATGGAAAGGATGGATTCAAACTTGTTAGCGATCTTTTGCGAGAAACCATGTTCGACTAGTTATATGCTGGGGGAGTGATCAACACGGAGCATTTAATGCATTTGTAAAATCATTTTCCGTTTTAGTGGCGTTGAGAATCTGTTGCAGCTTTTTTCAGGAAATTGGTCCTAGGATTTTGGGGGTTGAGAAAGCATTTTTCACTAGACCCTATTTTTGTCAATGGCGAGGGATAAAGGAGTTGAAACCACTTTCTTTGAGCATGTGGTGCTTTAACATACTGTTGTAGTATTAATGAACAATGCTTTTATACACAAATGCCATACTATTTTCGACACCTTAAGTGAGCAATGGCAGTTTGATCTTGCTCAGATTTACTAAACGAAATAATTAGCATGTAAAGAAGACAATCTTACAATTTCACCCAGTTTGAGAGCCATAAGGCTGATCTTAAGTCCTAGTTTCTGCCATATAGCGCACTGAAACAGGCTAGAAGGTCAGCTGGAGCTTCCGAGGCTATATGCTCTATCGATAAGCCGATAAGACCATTTTACCCCTGCATAACAATAAAATTTAAGATCGCAACGAGCGCGATTATCACAACGAAAGTCAGCCTCGAACATTGGAATTGAATCGCAATTCTTCCCCTCGTCGAATCTCCTTGATCTTGACACTGGCATAGCGCACAGCGATCATGGCGACCCGAACACAGCCAAACATCATCATAACAGGCACGCCTGGTGTGGGCAAAACAACGCATTGCGAGATGTTGGCGCAGAATACGGGGTTAAAGCATTTAAGTGTGAATGATGTGGTGAAAGAGAGGGAATGTCATGAGGGTTGGGATGAGGAGTTTAAGAGCTGGATTGTAGATGAGGATAAGGTATGTGGTGAGGCGCATTGGGGATTGAAGAAAGAAATGGCTGATTTTAGAGGGTAGTTGCTCGATTCGATAGAAGATGAGGTCAAAGAGGGGGGCTGTATCATTGATTGGCATGCGTGCGATTTGTTTCCGAAGAGTTGGATTGATCTTGTTGTTGTGTTGAGGGTGGGGAGTGAGAAGCTTTATGATCGGTTGAAGGCTAGGTATGCTGATTTCGCTATTATCTTGTTCTTGCTATTATGTTGGTCGGAGTGAGAATTGACTGTTGAAATAGGAACTACCCAGAGGCCAAACTCCAGGAAAATCTCGACTCGGAAATTATGGAGGTTTTACTACAAGAAGCGAGGGACTCATACGACGAGGAAATTGTAATTGAATTGCGAAGTGATACCACAGAGGAGATGGAGGCAAATGTTGAGAGAATTGAGGCGTGGGTGAAGCAGTGGAGGAAAGATAATAGCAACAAAAGCGAAGAATCATAGAATGGGTGGGGAAATCTATGCTCTAATTTATATGATTGGAAAAGTCATACTTCCTCCTTCAACCACGCCTTCAGCTTTTCTAAAGCCTTGAAGCGGTGGGAGATTTTGTTTTTGGCTTCTTTGTCCATTTCGGCATATCTATAAGGAGTTAACGGGGACTGGAAAGGAAAATGGATGGCGGGTACATACGTTTGGCCTTCGTATTCGAAGATGGGATCCCAGCCTATAGATGTCAATCACTGTCGCCAACATCGGAGTACATGGAGTAATAAAATTCACATACCGAAATTTGGTGGACCTCTCGCTGGTACTATCTTGCCCTATATATCGTTAGCACGAATGCTCAAACAGTTTGGAAAAAGCAGCCTCTACATCGGTTCGTCCTTGAAAGATAAGCGGGTCGTGACCTGGTCCCTCGCAGTAGGCAAAAGTACAAACTGCTTGCGCTGACTTGTCTTCGTATGCTACCAGGAGATTATTTAGTCCTTCATGACCGAGAGCTTCTAGAAACCATTTACTGTAGTTCCGTCAATACAATACTCTTCGCTTGTCTTCAGTGGATAACAACTTACATATAAGGTCCAGGCAGTTCCTTCAGCGCATTGAAACATAAACATGTATCTTCCACCAGAACTGGACCTTTAACCTGCGATTCATTAGGATTAGCTTCTCGCTACGTGAAAAAGGTTCCTTTCTCACAGCATCCGCCGCTCTTCGACATTTATCAGCCGAAATCTCCTCAATCGTCCCCTGAATCTCCACCAAATCTAGTTTCTGACTGTGTAAATCGACCACGCCACCGAGGATTGCTTGGACTTCTGTCAGCTTATTCGCATTGCCGGTTATGAAGTTTAGGGTTCTGGGCGCCATTTTCGTTTGTGGTGGGGTGGTTGGTTGGGGTCGAACTTGAGCTGGTGTTGATGAGACTGGGGTAATCTGAGGTTGAGGGATTGGTGGTTGTGATTGGTGGGGGTATTTGAGTGGGTTGTAGACGACGCCGTTACGGCGAAGCAAGATCCTCAAGAAGTAATGCAATTTAAAAGGTACGTAAAGAATATCATGCTGCCAAATATTCTCTTATCAGCTTTAAACAGGTTGCGACATTATCACTGAGTTCTTGGTCGATTTTTGTTGCCGGATATTTTGGAGGTGGATAAACAAACAGAACGCCAACTTCATGCTATAAGATCATCTCGGTGAGCTCGCTTTTGAATAGAGCGTCTTTATTACGAGCACTAATATTTACAGCACAAATCCCTTTCGGAGTCATCAGTAAAGATGGAGGACAACTTTTATACCACCGTCTCAAACCACTCCATTCCCGCGACAAGCAGCTGGGTAGCTAGCACCTGGAAAGCTGCAAGCTCACCTAATGTGGTCCTCGCTCTCGTCCTAGGTCCCTTCATTATTGCTGCTATTACGCGGTATCTTAGTAGCAGACCGTCACCTCAAGTAGGGGAAGAAAAGAGTGCTTGGAAAGTGCCGTACTGGATTCCTTTTATTGGACATGGGTTCAGCTTGTATGTCATGTGAAACAAGTATAGGAAGCTGCTGATTCATGAGTCTAGTTTGTGGGATCCATCTAAGATGCTGAGGGAGGCCAAGTCAGTTCCCCCAATAAGTGTAGGGTGCAAATTTCTTAATATTCTATAGGGAACAGAGTCCTAATGCCATATTCGCTTTACATATGGGAGGGACAACTCATAACATTGGTATGTTCATATATCACCTGTCGCTCGTTAGAAACAGCTCAGGTTCCGTTTAGTAAAATTGCCTCGCTAATCTTTAGCAGTTTCCGAGCCAGATTTAGTGAGGAGGTGATAATACCCCTCAGTTCTATTCCGGCACTATGAGGCTAATACGTTGTAGTGCAATGGCACAGAGAGAATCGACTTTATCATCCCACGATGTTGTATGGAACGTTATACAAAAGGTATGTACATCGTACTGACCGCAGGATATGCTAATATTGATTAGTTTTTTGGCTTTCCAAGTAACAGCAAAGCAAAGTATTTTGCGAACTGGGATGTAAGTCAAATCCACAAGAGATCCTCTACCTGTTCGATGCTAAATACCTAGGAATTGAATACCACGTACAAGTACATGCTGCGTGAGCCATATTTGGGTCAAATGCTCAATACCACCGTCCGAAATATGGAACGTCATATCTGTTCCATGGTTTCCTTCGTCGATACAGATATTGATCTCCAGCCATGGGAGAGGTACGCTGAGGCTAGTTATGTCTCTGACACTGAAACATCTCTGGATCTCATGAAGCTCATGAGAGATGTAATGGGTCATGCTTCTATTCCTGCTATGCATGGGAATGCCTTTTTAGATAAGTACCCTGAAGTTTTGCATGACATCTATGAATTGGACAAAGGTATGCTTTATCTCATCATGGGCTTGCCGGCATGGACGCCTTGGAGTCCCGTCATATCTGCACATAACGCTCGTCGAAGACTTTGGGAAGCCCTCGATGCTCAACAGGTGGCAATGGATGCACAAGCTAAAGGAGAGGATCCTGGTGACGGTTGGGGGGACATGGAAGACGTCAGCCCTTTCACCAGAAATAGAAACGAGATGTACAGAGGTACGTTTAACTCACTTGGAAGTTTGGGTAATTTACTGAACTCTTTTTGCAGACAAGGGATTTGCTATTCGAGAACGTGGAGAACTGCCTGTAATTCAATAATTATGACTCGGTTAGTAGCTGAAACTAACATACTTACAGACTACATGGGCTCTCATAATCAATTCCTCTCTTATAGTCTACTGGCAAATCCTCTACATCCTCGACAACCCCTCCCTACTCGCCGAAATCCGATCCGAAATCGAACCACATATCACAATCCATAAACCCATGTCAATCGGCCGCATCTCTGAGGCTCCTCGCATCACCATCGACCCAGAAGGCTTGACTACCTGCCACGTTCTAAAAGCAACCTACCTCGAATCGCTTCGTCTCAGTGCCCAACCCTGGAGCGTCAGGACGGTAGGTACAGATGTAACGCTCAAAGGCGACAACTCTAACTCCAACTACCTTGTCAAAAAGGGGGAATACGTGACCATGCCTCACGATCTCCACATGAGGGACCCAGCATACTTCTCTGACCCAGCGAAATTCGATCATGAGCGTTTCTTAGTTCGCGATGAAGAAGGCAAGATCACGGGTACGGATATGAAGACCATTCGACCTTATGGTGGGGGACCGAGTTTGTGTAAGGGACGGGTGCTGGCTGAGAGGGAGTGTCTGGCGCTGGTTGCGGGCGTGTTGGCGTATTGGGATTTTGAACCGGATGAGGGGACGAGGTTTAGGATTCCGAAGCAGTTGAAGACTTCGGCGGTTGCGAGACCGGATGGGGATACGAGGGTTAAAGTTCGGAGGAGGAAGTTTGAGTGGGATGAGTAGGGGTTGTGTATGTTGACGAAATTTCATCTGTCTCGCCATTTGTTCTGGATGTTACAAAAGCATTGTGTTGAGATTATTGGAAATCAAGTCTTCGATCTTTGATAGTTTGGTATTAAGTCATTCAACTATCATTGCACGAAATATGTCAGCTGCTCAAACTGGCAAGCTAGAACCAAGGTGTCATGTCTACGAGTAAGAAATTCCGACAAAGTCAAAGGAGAGTTGTCATAAGCCCAAGAAGCCAAGTTACGGCAACAGTAAAAGCTAAATTCAGAATCTACAAATTGCAGCCCCTCGAATCTCGAGTGTTATACAGACTCACAGTCCCAGCCTTTTCGAACCCAATAAGTCACAGAAAACAACAATTTCCTCGGGAAAGAAAATCTATCTCTAATTTCTAACGCACAACTCGACTCCATCCATGCAACAAGGCTTGAAAAATCTGATACTTCAAACCCTCTATGTCTTTAGGGAAATGCCTTATGCACTATTGAGTCATGTTTAGAAGGGATGAGAATAATAAACGGGATTAAAAGTTAGTTTATTGAAAACTTATTCTAGCGAGGTAGAGATGTGAAACGGAAATATTAGTCTTGTAGTCGCTTCGTTCTCTATATTTGGCAATGTCATCTAAGGGATTTAAAATTCTAGAATATCAACGTCTGAAAGAACAGGGGGAGTTTAGCATGTAGCTAAATGGAAGCTTTCAATCGCCTCATAAATAGAGTAGATGCGCTTTGCATCTTCTGTCTCGAACCAGCTTCAAAAGGCAGAGGGTTTCATAGTGAACGTCTTCAGCGCTAACAGGGGTTTTTGGTAATGAGGTATGATTATAAAAGTAGAAATATCTTTTCTTGCATCTAGCGTGTTACAAAAGATCTGTCTATCACTATGTTGCATCCGAACATAGATACGGAATGTCCGACGCTCTTAGTCTCCCCTAACCTCCATATACAGCTTCTAGCCAAATGAACATCCAGAGAGGCTTTTGCCATTCGTTTTAGTTGTGTCATAACTTTGCATTAGCAACTAAGCTAAATTTTTGTACGACCACGAATATCACTCGTTATCTACAGTAGGTTTGTACATGATAGTCGTTACGTACTAGATTACTGTTAGCAAGATTTTCAAGTGGGAAAGACAACATACCTTTCTCCTGTATCTTGTGGTAGCAGAAACGGCAAGAACGTTGTTCTTGATGCTGCTTGTTGCTAGATGGTTGAGAACGGTATGATTGGGCATTGTCAAAACACTGTTGTCGTCCTTCATGGGAGTGGCAGCATTCAGTATTGGTTTGCCTAAGAACCCTGGTAGAGTTGGTGGAGTAGGTAGCTTCTCGATAGCTGCAGCCGCATATTGATAAGCGGCAGATCCTTCTTCCTTGTCAAGATCAACAAGGTATTGGGGTATTTGAGAGGAATAATGGCCGCCAGCCAATGCTGGTTTCGTCTTTACAGGCTTGGGGGCTTCCGACTTCTGGTCACCAGTTTGTTCTGGCTCCTTGTTGAGGGGGTCGTCGAGAGCCTTAACTGGCGTTCCCTTTCCAACGTCGTCTACAGGAACTGATTTTGGTAGGTCATCCGGGCTGACTTCAATGTAGTTGACCAAATTGTTCCCAAAATCCACAGTGGTCGGAAGATGCTTCGAGCATTGCATCACTCCGTCGATAATGAATCTCACATGGTGGGTGCCTGGCCGGACCTGAATAAATGACCGGTAGTGACCAGGTTCTCCAGGGCTGTGGAGAGACTGTTAGTCACAGAGGGCTAATTAGAAGACGATCAGACTTACACTGGATGAAGCCGATGCTTTTTATTCCACTGGAATATCGTGCCTGTGACATAGACCTTCTCGCCTCCTTTGCCTTCCAACCACTCAAGAGTTGTCGGGACAGTGGCCTTGGTCTTGTCTACCCTTAGTTCTTCTGCGTCTTCTTCGTCAATCGTCGTGTTGCTCAGGGCCGATGCACGTCGTGGCAGCGTATCCTGATCGAGTGATTCTGAATCTAATGGAGGAATATCGGTATCTTGAGGTGCAATTATTGGTGAGCCCGGGGTATGAACCTCTTCCTCGATAGGAAGGGGTAGCCTCGGCGGGCGGGTGAGGTGGTACGACATGTCTTGTGGCAAGGGGCCGGAAGGTTCGACTGACTGGGAATACGATCTAAGAGAGGAAGTGTCGAGACTGGGTGCTGGTACGGGCACGTCGACTGGTTTGCTCGGCTGGTCGCGAGTATCGAGTTTCGGATCTGGTCGCGATTGTGGTGCGCCCATCTGCGAGTCGCTACTTTGCTGTGCGGGCGACGGAGAGAGGGGACTCTGGCTGCTTTGGGTGCTCTGGTTCGACTGCGTGAGGTTGAGGGCCGCGGAGGGGATGGTTTGCGACTGGCGCGGGCGATGAGCTGTGGTAGTGACTGTGGTACCGCGTGCTTGAGCCAGCGACGGTTCAGGAGGAGCAGCTCGCTGCGACTGGATCACCCTCCGCGATGGTGCTCGCGGTGATTCATGGCTCGAGGGGGAGAGGGAGCCGGAGGGAGAGGCTGTATGAGAGTGCGGCGCGCGAGTATTTGACGGTGTGTTCCCCATGTTGACTCCACCACGTCTCGTAAGGTTACCGGTCTACCTGACGTGCGGAGCTGGCTATTGTCGCTGTGTGACTTGAATTACATATACTATATGAGCATCATGCCACCCAGGAATCTCTACCGACGGCTGCGACTGTGTTGTGCAACACGGGAACGATAAGAACGAGATGGGTGAGCTGCGTTGGAGGGGACCGGATGCCGCGAGCGAGCTCGTGTACTGCGATGGGAGAAGGGTTCAAAGAACACAGGGCGCGAGGAATTGCAATATACAGGTCTAGCCAAACGGTTTATACCAACGTATATCTATATCGTCCGATGTATGCAATACGGCGTGGGTGCAAGTGGGAAAATGTTTGTTATATTTAAAAGATGTGGGAGCTCGGAGGTGCAACGTCGTCGATGATAATCCAGATCCCCCGCTCCCGCTGAGGGTCTGTGCACTAGTGCAGCTAATGATCCTGGACAGGGGCAATCCGGAGTAGAGACCCTAGAGGGGCACGTTTTGTCATTATCATTGCATCACCTCTCACATTGTTCTATTTTATGTAACGCCCCGAGAAATGGGAGACACGGCTGGCTCTAATGGTCCAATTGTCTTCATGAACTAGCTTAGTAGCTATTCGCGGATCACCATGAGTTGGCCAGCAACAATTTTATCAGTCGCTTCCACCATTTTGTCCCTCGTCCTCCTCCCGGTCAGATTGCTATTTTCCGCGCTGCTGGTCCTTCTGGCGCCCGCTATATATCTAGGAAGATATGTTCTGGCTGCCGCCCTGTTGCCAGTCAAATTATTTGCCAAGTTCGAGGTTGGTGGGCTGCGCATACCAGAATCAGTCGAAATGCTAACCATCGGCAGACTCTCTATATATATCTTGGCGTAGCAGCGATTGTAGGATTGGTCACTGGCGTTATTCTTCATTTCTTCTCGACATTGCTCGTCTCACTGTTCAACCTGACACCAGCAGCTCAAGAGCCACGTCGAACAGCGGCATCAGTGCGCGCCGAACGAGAACAGAAGAAACTCGAAGCGGCTTGGGAATTCTCTACAGCGAAGCAAGAACCGGAGAGTTGGCGAGATGAGGTAGCTTCCAGGAGAAACCAAGCGCAATGGCTTGATATGGATCGTGGGAGACGACGGGAAGAGCCTGGCTTACTTGGCCAGACAATTCTAGAAGAGGAGGATTCTGAGGACGAGTTTTGAGCTGTTATTATTTGGAATAAACACTTCCAAGCCCAAGTCGTAGAATCGCAGAACTCAAGTTCGTGCCGTAATGTTCGATGCCAGCTCAATCTCTCCATTTTACGAATACCTCGTCAGTCCTAAACCGTTGCGTGCATGTGCTTTCCTCCAGTGGCGTTCGAAATCCGGTCTTGTAGGCCAACAGTCCCGCATGCGCAATCATAATTCCGTTGTCAATGCAGAATCGTTCGTCGGTAGCAAACACACTTCCTCCTCGATCCTTTGCCATTAGTCCCATCATCTCCTGAAGTCTCTCATTGCAGCCCACACCACCGACAATCAAGACCTGACGACTTCCAACATGTGCCATAGCTCTTTCAGTAATTTCGACTAACATGGCATAGACTGTCTCCTGTAGGCTGAAACATAAATCTGCTGTGGTCACAATTTCTCCTGTGATCGGATCTCGCTGTTCGGGATTGGCTTTGAGCTCTGCGGCCAGAATATCAATACTTGCTAAGATTCCAGAAAAGGAGCAATCCATTCCCTTGACAGCATATGGTAGATCCAAGAGCACCTTTCCCTTTTTCGCAAGCTGCTCGATGTTGTATCCCGGTGCAGGATCGTTGCTAATTTCTAGAGTTCGCGCAAATCTGTCCAGACAGTTTCCCACCGCAATATCCAACGCTTCTCCAAAAATTCGGTATCGCTGCTCGGCATAGGCAATGACCTGTGTATTGCCTCCACTCACATATAGCACAACTGGGTTCTGTGCGCCTGTGATTTCCCTGCCCATTTCAATGTGTCCAACACAGTGATTAACCCCTACTAGTTCTTTTTGCCATAGCAGTGACAGCATCCTTGCTGCAACAGCAACACTTTGTAAAGGTGCACCCATTCCAGGTCCTTTGGTATAACAAATACAATCAACATCTTTGATTGTGACTTTGGCCTGAGCCATAGCCTGCTTAACCAGCTTGATGACCCATGATCGGTGATGTTTGGCTGTGTCCTTTGGAAGGAACCCTTCTCCAGGTGGGGAAACAAAAGTGTGGCGGATATTGGAGAGAATTATTGCGGCTTTTCCTGGCGATGGATGTGATATGATGCCAACACCGAGCTTATTCGCACTGCCTTCCAGTCCTATGGCGATCATGTTTGCTGGTTGTTGAAGTGATGTATGTTGAGAAGGTGGGATAAAATACCATGGTGGTCGCATAAGGCTTGACCCCCGCCACGATAGACGAGTGGTCAGGGATCCGATAATAAGAATTGTCAACAAGGCCCAGCAGCAGACCTCGTTTGCAACTCAACTTACAAAGAGCAGGCTCGCAACGTTGCTAAAAGCAACCCGGTTTTTAAACAGCGCAACTTCTGTAATTCTTTGCAATCATTCATTGACAAGCAGCTTTCTCTGCAAAAAAAAACTTTTGATCGATCACCTTTCATCACCTTTGTTCAGTTGGACAGTGCTTTCTAGATTACACTATTGACGCGGATTGCTCGGGTTGGTACATGCTCGTACTATTAATGAATTCCACAATCTAACTGCACTCTCAGGCTCCTATTGTGACTTTCGTCATTGTTCTCTCGTTTTCCGATTGTCCTTAAAGTCTAGTTATGACGCGGGTGCACGCTCGGGACGGATTCAGGGAGGGATTTTAGCGAACATAGATTACTCTCGCTTACCTTCGAAAAAGGAGTTCTCTCCAGACCAAAGACAAATCTACGTATACGCGCCCCCAACACCGACGTCGCGCTCTGGCGTGGATAATTCAGTGAACGGTGAAGTACTTGATCGTAGCACCTTGCGGAACCAAACAAATGCTAATGCATCACAGTCCCCAAATTCTCGAGTGCCGCAGAGAGGGAGAAGGAGAAGGCGATTCACCAGGGAGCACGCACGACGGCGATGTCCTTCTCAGGGCGACCAACTCGGAGCCGAGTGTCGAGTCCTTTCGTTCCTAAGCCTACCAATGGTGCACCTGAGCCATCAGAGAGGGTGGCAGATGTCACTCAGAAAAAGACGTTTATGGATCGGTGGGTTGAGCCTGCTCGAGCACCACCTCGCCCGAGCTTTGCAGAGGCAGGTTTTGAAAGAGGAGGTACGGTTGCAAACATGGCACCACTGGGGACGCTTCCAAGCTCGAAGGTGATGAAGTCTGCGGCTAGAGCTGAGTTCAGAGACGGTGCGGATCGTGTTAGAAGATCCGAAGCCTCGAATGCGACGACTCCAGAAACTCCAGATCCACAACCATATGCTACACGTCAACGATCACTTTCAATAAAGCCTGAACTGGCCCTAATTTCCCCACAGACACCGCGGGACCAGATGAGTCTTCCCTCAACCCCCCAAAAAATGGACGAGAAGATGGAGGAGCCCGTTGGTGAACCTATGTTGGAGCAAGAAGAGGAGGTGGCCGAATCTTCACATTCCCCATTACAAGAGCCAACAAAACCAACGCGAAGCTCCATGTCTTTGTCCTCGCCCGCTCCATACCATAGTCGTGGTCGTTCCGATGTTTTCACGCCGGAGATTGGACCAGATGGTCAGCTTGCAATCGATGTAAAATTGACAGATCGTGTTGTCGAGGCATCTGTCCAGAAAGCCCTGGACCACCAACGGTATCCTACAGCCTATGCTCTACGCACTCTCTACGACGAGTTACAAAACGACCCCAACTTCATAAGGCTCATCGAATCTGCTTACCACGAACGCGCCAGTGAAGACGAACTGACGTTTCTGGAAAAGAAGCTACGGAAAAAGAAGAGGGAAGGCAAAAAGGACCGGACTGGCGAATATTACTTCAACGGAGACGGAAGCGACCCAGCGCCAGCTCAACGACCTCTCTTGTCTACAGTGAGCGCTGCACTAACGTACGACACGATGCCTAACCTCAGACCTGGCTCTGCGCGATCATTTGGCGAACAAACTCGTGATGTATCAATGCTCTCATCTGCATCGCCTGTCAACTGGCCACGTGAACTTGATTATTTCAGGGCGCCACTGGCTCATACATCTCCGTACACTACGAAGCCGCAGCCGTACACATCGATATATGGAAAACCACCCGCTTCCAAGAAGGAGGATGGACCTGTTAACGGTGCCTCGACCCCCTTGAGCGGACACGAGAGATCTGGCTCTGTGACCAGCTCCTCATCGCTATCTTCAATGGACGATGAGACACTCCAGAGTCTTGATCCTGTTGCAGATGGAGAGACGGCTGATGCAGAGAACACTACTGGCAACACACCTCGTCGCAAAGGCCGAGGAAAGCGTGGCGCTGCACAGAAACCGGAGAGCGAGGGCAAGAATCGCTTGGCTGCGGGCCACCGTAAAAGTGCTACGTCGGCACCCCTTCTCGCCAAAACGAACGCAAATGCGCATAATACTAGGGCGAAAAGCGATAATAGCAGCTCTCGCAATTCCACGCCCGCCGAGACCCTTGTTCCCAATGGTCACAAATCGTCAAAGGCACAGCCAATCCCTTCCGCGCCGCCAACCAAAAACAAAACGAGCGCCCCAAGAACGTTTACTTTCTCAACTGCCCCTGTTACGTCCACCTCAACCTCTTCTCCTACGCCCACCACCTTATCGTCGTCCGCGCAGCCACCCTCCACTAATAATAATAATTCATCTCAACACGACGGTGACATGGCTCCGGCTCGTCTCTTGCCGGAATCAGTCACCACCTCAGTATCATCAAAATCAGATGCTCCAACCTTGCCCACGTTCAAGACCAAGTCTCAGGGGAAGGCAAAGCATCGTCCGCAGGACGAGAAGCACGAGAAGCACGAGAAAGACATTTTGGAAAAGAAGCGTGCTGCGAGGGAAAAAACAAATAACTCAGCTAAGATTCTCGAGAGCTTCGAGCGTCATCAGCTTGCTCCTCCACCTCCCCATATTGAAGAGGCCGCTTCAGAGAACGGTGAACTCGTCCCTGCTCCAGCGAAAAAGCCGATCAAGAAGCGCATCATCCTCAACACCAGCACCAGAGAAACAAGGAATCGTTACAATCACAACGACTCAGAAAACAGCTCTCCTACTCTTCTATCATTTCAACCAGACCTTGCACCAGGATCTTTATCGAACTCTCGTGCTGGCACGCCAATCGCTGGTGGTCGGCCAACCAGAAGAGCGAAGACGGGCTCAGGTCTACGTGTCAAAACCTCGTAAGTCATCATTTTATCTCAAGTCAGTGCGTTATTCATTTGTGAAGAAGTGCTTCACCCATCGAGCATTGGGGCTCTCTTCGTTTCACGATCCAAAGCATTCGATTTTTTGCCTGAAATGCTTCGTGATGTGTGCTATCGCACAGTACAACCAACAATGTTTCCGCCTTATTTCAGCCTTTCGTTCTATTCCCTGCTACCTTGTGAACAAGATTATGAGACATTGCTAATGCGATATTCGAAATATAGGCCGGTGAAGAAGAAAGGTGGTATTGTAGCCGGCATTCCTCGAGCAAGCGGTGAACGCAACAGCCCGTCGGGTGTTGGTGCTGGGCCTTCAGAAAGCAAGGTAAGCTGGTTCATTTTATCACACCATGCATTGTACTTATTGTTCTGCTATCACCACTTCGCTTGACCATTGTCTGTTGTCTTTGTAAAGGGAATTGGTGAATGAGTCCGAATTTGGTCACAAACCTTTGGCTGGATTTGTTGCAAACGCCTAGACGCAGAGCAACCTTTGCTCCGCCCTTGCCGAGCTGCCCAACCATGCCACCCCCACATCACCGCTGAGCGTCGCCACAAATTTCCTTCCCTTCATCCATAGCCATCAACATTCATCCTTCTCATGACCGATTTTTAAGCCTCACGACTAACTGATGATTCAGGATGACAACGACGACTACTGTGCAGCGTGTGGTGGCAACGGGGAACTGGTTTGCTGCGATGGGTGCAACCGAGCATTTCACTTCAAATGTGTCGACCCACCGATGATCGAAAATTCGTCACAGGACTCGTGGTATTGCAATACATGCGATTTTGCTCACAACCCTCCTGAGAAGGACGAAAGCAAGAACTCTACGTTTGGCCCCCTTCTCCACAACCTCAAATTCAAGAACCCGAGCGCGTTTCATCTTCCGAAGTCAATTCGAGAGTGCTTTGAAGGCGTTGTCACAGGCGCAGAGGGCGAGTACGAAGAACCTGCTCCTCCAAAACCAAAGTAAGTCGGCAAGGCTGCACGTAATATATACCAGATTCTAACACCCACAGGAACCGCGGCGGTTATGATGAAGCCCCAGATTATTTCCGCACGAAAGACAGCAAAGGCAAATTGATCGTTTGCCATAGATGCAATGGAATAGCATCTGCCCCTGATCGCATGATCATTCCTTGCAGCTTTTGTAGTCTGTATTGGCATCTTGATTGTCTGGACACTCCTATGGCGAAAGAACCGCACTTGGCGAGGCAATGGAGATGCCCAGCACATGTCGACGATATCATGGATGTGCTGCCTGCAAAGCTTGGCCCAGCGCATCGATGGCGGAAGCTGAAAGGAGCTGTTCCCGTTACGCCTACAATTCCTCGTGGCAGCAAGAACAACGGCCACATCGAGATTGAGGAATCTTCTCTTGTTGATGATGAAAACAGGGGATTCTATAATGACACGCAGTTCGGTACTGTTTATAAATTGCCCGAGGAAGGCTTGAAGCTCGACTTCATTTCCAAGTGAGTCTTCAACTCTTCAAATTGCAATAATTCTAACCTGGGCTACAGGGTCAAGCAACAAGGTGGCGGCATTTCCCGGTCTGGGTATATGAACCGTCAAACGTCAGCAACAACCGTCCCGGCCCTTCATAGCCGAAGTCTAGTTGAACAGCAAACAGCACTCACTCTTGCTGCTCTTGCTACAGAAGGTCCTGATCTCAGTATTGATAACCTTACGAAAACTTTAGTGGTAAGTTGAGCTTGGTCACAATCCAGTTTCATATTTTATGTCATGACGCAATTGGTGTCTGCCGCTGACTAAACTTTCAGAGATTCGCACCTCCAGAGGTCATGACGATGATAAGTCAAGTCGATTCAAGCGCCATCGCTTCCAAGGCGATACCCGAGAGTGACAGAAAAAACCTTATGGTTGTGCAAGAGTGGATCAAAAATGTGCTGGCAACATCGCCTGCCACGGAAGTTGGTGAGGACGTAGACGACCCCGATCAACCTGCACGGAAAAGACAAAAGACCAGCAATGGTACCCACGAAGACGAGGATGCTACCATGTTACTTTGAGGCTAAGTTTCACTCATCGAAATGCTTACCTCAGCTCCGATGATTTGCATACTCTGCAGATTTAATTTGGTTGACATTCACGTGACATATCACATGATGGAATGTCACCGGCGAGATTGTAAAGAGACTCCAGTGTTGTCTGACCTATATTGGGAACAAAGTCCTCGCCTGTATTCTTTCGATCTCGACTCGGACCACCCGTCTTACCCGCATTGTATCATATGGCGTCGCGGGTACGCCGACCACCTGACACGTTCAAGTGGTTCACATCACATGGTCTACGATGTGTTCCCTTTTCTTCTTTCTTCTGGATACAATGGGGCCAGAAAGAATGCACTTCAACAATCTCTCATGACGAGAATCTCTTAAAAACACCTTCTCGTGCTTCTATCGCGATCATACAATAGTTGCATATTTATATGGAGGCACGGTGGATGGTAGGCATAACAGACGAAGACCCAAATATGCTTGATAGATCGTGCAGCTACTATTTTTCAGTAATAAGAGAATTATATGAGAAGGTAGTGGGAATTGTAAAGTACCTAGGTAGCTGATCTGACGCGCTACGCTGTCTCGGGAGAGAATGACGTATATCGAGGCAGTACAGATAGGGAGAATGAAGAAATTCGAGTAAACCGCAGTCTCAATGAGTATGTGAAGTCGTTGACTGAAATCTTGGAAAAGCAGCTATGAAAGTGTTGGCTTTGAAACCTCCAGCTGTCTACCAACAAGAGATGTCTGGAGCAGGTATCATGAAGACGCACCGAGCTTTTGTACTTGCTGCAATTGCAGCTTATGCAAGGCACAGAAGCCCTTTAGAATATTTTACAGGCATTCACGGCCACTAATAATCCCGCTTCTTCCAGCACGTGTGCAATATCAGTACCATTCATATTGTAGCTTGCCAGTATTAGATAGAAAACATTTCCTGACGTATCTGAAATGAAAGTGATAGCTGCCATGACCCTAACGAAGGATCCCCTTTGTACTCGCTTAGCATTTTGCACAATTCGAACCCTGAAAGTCACAGGATTTTATGTAATCCGAAGCTCCGGTACCTAGGTATGCATTTTCCGTTGGATCAGAGAGATAGTATGAGAAATACAGTTTATTTGAAATTAATATTAACACATCTACAAACAGAATGATTATTATACAAGCTCAAAATACAATTTGGTCTTTAATACCGAAAATTTGTGTGTGTTTTTGGTCGTGTGCCTGGCAAATACATAGTCTGAAGGTTTTTCCGGTGCCTGTCAGAATACTCCGATTATTTTATCCATACACCGCGGCCAACGACACCCACTTTGTTACTTTCACTTCTCTACTTCCAACGAATTTCGCAAACGCTCGCCCAAGATGGAAAGCGATTCTTTCCAGGCCACTACGGAGGCATTCCTTGAATGGCTGTCCAAAATCGGCGTTCGCATAAACCCCAAAATGACATTGAAGGATCTGAAATCAGAAGGGCGAGGTCGCGGGGTTGGTAAGTGATTTTCAATTTTCTGCAGCACCATATTATCCAGTGCGAATGAGATCAGCCTGTGGTTTTGTACCTTCGCTGGCTTCTTATATCTCTGCGATTTCCTTTCTTTGTTTTAGAAAGCAAGCGCTCTAACATCCATCTAGTCGCCGCCGCAGATTTCGAGGAGGATGAGGTTGTGTTCTGTATTCCCCGGACAGCTGTGCTTAACGTCAACAATGTTTTCGCCGGACAGGACTCAGGTGCTTCTAAGGAAGCTCTGCTGCAGATGCCAAACTGGTTGGTCTGTATACTATACCACATTCTACTTTCTTTACTGACAATCCTTTGAAGGCGCTCACAGCCACCATGATGTCAGAAGGCCAGCAGTCGGATTCAAGATGGGCGCCATATCTCGCTGTTCTGCCGCAGAAACTCGATAGTCTCGTATTCTGGTCAGAAGAGGAACTGGCGGAGCTCCAAGCTAGCAGTGTGGCAAAGAAAATTGGGAGGAGCAGCGCGGAAGAGATGTTCACAAAGCACATCTCCCCCCTCGGACTTGGAGAATTCAATGTGGAACTCTGCCATCAAGTTGCTTCCGTCATCATGGCATACGCTTTCGACATCCCTGAAGAAGAGCCTGCAAAGCAAGAAAATGGAGGCGCTGAGGGTGAAACTGATGATCTTGTCTCTGATGACGGCGAAGACGAGAAGACGATTCTGTCAATGATCCCGCTTGCAGATATGTTGAATGCAGATGCGGAACGTAACAACGCCCGTATTTATTACGAGAATGAGGACCTGGAAATGCGAACGATCAAGCCTATCATGGCAGGCGAGGAGATATTCAATGATTATGGCCAACTTCCACGATCGGATCTTCTCCGCCGCTACGGCTACGTCACAGAAAACTATGCGCAGTACGACGTCGTAGAGATTTCTTCTGCCTCGATAAAGTCACTTATGACTGAGAAACCGCAAGAAATTCAAAGTGGCCAATTTCTGGACCCTTTGACTAGTGCCGAAGCAGAGGAGAGAGTCGCCCTGGCAGATCGCGAAGGCATTCTCGAAGATTCATACGATGTCAATATCGCTAATGCCGAGGAGCGGGCTATTCCAGACGAGCTCCTAGCATTATTGTACCTTTTTCTTCTTGACAACGAGAACCTGGAGGCTATTGTTACATCGCAAAGCGCCCTTCCCAGCCGATCGAAACTAGCAACTGAGCTCGTTGGAAAGGTCTTGGTGAAAGTTCTACGACACCGGGAAGCGGAGTATGCTACCACACTTGAAGAGGACGAGAAACTGTTGCAAGCGGCAAACTTACCACGCCGGACCGCAATGGCCATTCAAGTTCGACACGGGGAGAAGAGAGTTTTGAGACTAGCCGTTGAGGAAGCGATGAAATTCGAAGCAGCGAACAAGCGAATGAGACCAATTCGTGGCTCGGCTTTAAACACAGCGAAAAATGGTTCAAATTTGAACAACAAGAGGCGTGCGGAAGAAGTGTCGAAACCGGGCAAAAAGGGACGACTTCGATGAGATTCTCGGGACCAGCCTCGGAGCATTACATTCAAGAGCAAAAATACCGTGGGCCTACCCCTTCCCAAAATCGGTTAACTGATCACATGTCACATGTCTAACGAGCAACGAGAGGGAGAGTTGATGGTTGAGATTTGCTCCTGAGAGACTTGGTTTTCTTATTTCTTATTGAATCCTCCGAAGTTAAACTACAACAGGTCACCCATGACAGATATGGGCCCATGGGGACAGAACATCTACTTTAACATACGATTTGCTAGCCCTCATCCTGGGCAACGCCTCGAAACCAATAAGATCGACCGAAAACCGGTGTCTTGCAAAGAAGTCTGATGATATACAGTGCGCACTGATATGGCGCTGGTAAGGATGAATATTAGGACCTTCCGGTTTCTGGAAGTCCTTAAGTTGGTGCAACAGCTGGTTGTGGTGCAGCAGCGGTGCGGCTATTAGGTGGGCTCTGAACTGCAGGCCGATTCGGTTCTACTCTTCGAGAGTTCTGCGCAAGATGAGCAGGAAATGGGATTGTGGCCCTGAACTTCAGGGCTCGGGTATCATATGGATCCATTTCATACACTGGCTGCTCATCATCATCGTCTTGATCGTATTTGTATCGATCGGACCTAATCTCGTCATCCAAGGTTTTCACACAAGAGGACATGCCTCTACGATCGATCCATAATCGACCACCGCGACCAATTCGTCTACGATAAGCTGGCCTGGAACGATTCTCATCTTCTTCCGGACTGTTATACCGGAATTTAGCTGGCTCAGTGACTTCCTGGGCCGGCGAAGGTTGGTCAAATGTTTCTGATGTCACGGATGAGGGGGGTGTCATTAGATACTGATACTGCGCAGTGGCAGGGCGGAATCCTGTATCCGGACCATGTCCGTTAACAGGAGAAAGCGGTTCTCGTGTAAGGTCGATATGGTTGGCATTCCATTTCCGATGTTGTAGCGTCTTCTCCTCGATTTCTCGCTGGAGAAGATTCTCTTTCTGTGCGAGAACATCGCTAAGCATTACAAGGTCGGCATCCAGTGGACGGCCATCCGGCCGGGCAGGCAAACGTAGTTGTGTGCCAGGAACTCTTTGCATCTGTGGATAGTCGGAGACTTTCCTCTTCTGGGGCTGTATCATGTCAGCAAAACACTGGTTGACATGGAAAGTTATGCCTACTCTTTGGTTGATCAAGTCTTCGTCATCGCCCTTGATACCCAGTCTGACCTTGGCCTCCTTGACCTTGGCTCTCGCCTCGAAGATGAGTTTGTCAGTATTGATGACCTGTCGCTTCAACTCTTCTCGGTGGCATGCTAATGCTACGAGATGTCGACCTTCCTCGATCTCTCTTCTCAGCCGCTTAAGCTTGTCGGTGCTCTGCACGTCGCGAGCTCTTGTCTTCCTCGTTGGACGGACATCACGACGACGGAAACATACGTAAGGATCTCCGTCATCGTTTTCTTGATGTGTCTCAAATTTCAGAGAAGGCTGCAGCGGATTGTTGCCAGAAGCCTGCCTACGCTCCCTCCAGTGTTCATAAATATCCTTGGCGAGAGTGATCAGCTTCTCTGCCACATTAGCTCGCAGAGGGGCTGTTGAGTCTCCCATTTCCTGTTTTATAAGCTCTGGTTTCATCTTGTCAAACGGCACCACAGTGTTGTCAACTGCTGCGAATGGGGCGTGGGATTGAGCGGTGAGTTCAAACACATCCATTATCTTCTCAAATTTATCCTCCGAGCATCTGTGGCTCGGAGTCTTCTTCTGGTTGTATGCTTTCAAGAACACATCATCCTCAGTGGTCATGTCATAGGGACAACCACATGCTTCTTCGACAGTGTCGGAAAAGCGAATGTACGTATCAGGTTGATGGAATTCGAGGGAGTAGAGCTCATCATAATTAATGTCCGCACCTTCCACCGCAGGAGGAGCGGGGATCTCCTTCACTTCATCCTTCTCCGAACCGTTCGAGTTCGCCTTCAGGGCGACTTGAAGATGGTATTCCTAGAAAAGAGTCAAGGTAAGCAAAAGCCTCCGAGGATGGTGGAGGCCAAGACCCGAACATGAATAATACAGAAAGCGTGACAATAGGTCACGTGACAAAACTTACATTTTCCTCTGAACGTTCAACGCCAGTCTCAACATGATACTGGTTCTGAAGTGAGTCATATTCCGCAGATTCGATCTGTTCTTCGCGGAGGACGGATTGTGGTGTGGATTTGTTGAGTTTCCGTTGCCTCACGACCCTCTGAGCAGGGGCCATGGCGACCGTTTGTGCGACGACAAGCAAATAGGAATTTCAACGCGTGAGAGCGATTTTTTCACGCTGAAAATGTGTATGCGATGTTGGTTGATCATGATGTGATGACGGAAAACATTTCCCATCACAAACCCATCGTGAAGGTGCTTGTTTTGATGATATGAATGTCCGTTGTTGACCGCGTGTCGTGTAATGATGCAAAGTTTTCGCTGCGAGATTCACCCACTTTGGGGATGGCCGGCTCCGATATGTGCCTTGGTCAGGCTCGCCCAGGCACCCACATTCATGCTAAGCTCCTTCTGGCCCAACTCAATATCAAGTTCCTAAGCGACCGCCAGCCGCCAGGAACATCAATTCACAACGCAACGGGACCCGACGCGACAGCCTCATTCCTCAGTCTACCAGCGCGGAGGGATTCACTTTTGTTTGGGTGTAAATTGATATTGCGAGCTTTGCAACAAGAAACTATTATTTGACCACCAGCGACAAAGCAATATCTGGGCTGAAGTTACAACCTCAAACACCCCTCACCACCCCACCTCAACTAAGTCCGCGCTCAACCGTCAATATGGGAAACGCAAGTAGCGCGATGCTGGAGACGATTGTCCAGGGGTCGAATTGTAAGGGACAAGGCAACATATACACAGTGCAGGACTAAAGCGTGGTAGTTGATCGTGATGAGGTTGAGAGACTGCGAAAGCGGTTCATGAAGCTGGACAAGGTCCGCATACCCTTTCCGTACATACATTTCATGATCCGTCTCATGCTAACCACGAGTCTAGGATAACTCTGGCACTATTGAACGCGAAGAATTCCTGAGCTTGCCCCAAATATCTTCAAACCCTCTCGCGACTCGGTCAGCCTCACGCCCATTCCACTTCCCGCCCCCAACTCCACGACTAACCTTCTTCCAGGATGATAGCGATCTTCGATGAAGATGGAGGCGGTGACGTTGACTTCCAAGAATTCGTATCGGGTCTTTCAGCATTTTCGTCCAAGGGCAATAAGGAGCAGAAATTACGGTTCGCCTTTAAGGTGTACGATATTGATAGGGACGGCTATATAAGCAACGGAGAGCTGTTCATTGTGCTCAAGATGATGGTAGGAAGCAATTTGAAGGATCAGCAGCTGCAGCAGATTGTCGACAAAACGATTATGGAGGCGGATCTTGATCGAGATGGCAAGATTAGTTTTGAGGAGTTTACAAAGATGGTGGAGAATACAGATGTTAGCATGAGTATGACATTAGGTATGCATATCTGTCCTAGGTCTATAGTTGAGGATTATGCTAATGCATCTGGCAGATCAATTCTAGACAATGATACCACTCCGTTTCACAAGCGAAATACTTTCAAAGCTCCAAGACCGAATCGACCCTATCTAGAAACAAGTGATTACATAGGACACTGCTCAAGTGACGCTGGAATAGGAATACCAGTGATCCAATGAATGCAAAAGGGCCGATTCGGAACATACTGGACATCCAGCAGATAGCAATGAACATATCTCGCTGCACTATTCATTCCATGTTATCAGGTTACCCGTCCCCTAGTGAAGTGCTGCTTCATGTCGCTGATATATGAGCCGTTTTTCTCCAAATAACCCGAACAAAATAATGACATGTGCACAGATAAGGAGCAATTGGTCGTCTAATTCACGAATTTATATTCATTACAATACACCAGTGGACGAAAAAATCTAGCTGATTTGGACTTAAGATGATGGCTCATCATAAATTATATCATTGTCGCCGCTGGTCACAATATTAACCGGATTGGATACACGGTTGAATCACAGAAGAAGTTTAGCCAATCCACTCAATGATCCCTCCTTTGTCAGTCGCCTCAAGATCGGTGACCATAAGCGGATTTGGCAGTCTACTTGTGACCGTCATAAATACTTGTTGCGAGACAATTTTCATTGAGTCAAGTCCAGTCATGTAGCATGTGTCGTAGCTAAATTCGGAATGACAATTGAGATCAACGTGAATCGTTTTGCCAATGTCTACTCGAGTTTCATTAGTAGCTACAGAGTCGGTATTAGATAGATCTGCGCTTCATATTTTCCCAAGTTTTTAGCTGCATTGACGTTGCAAGTTTTAAGCCGCCACTAAGTCAAGTATAGAATTATCAGATTAATTAATTTCTGGTCTTCCTTCCCTCGGCTATGATGTGTCTCCTCATTATTGAATATACAGCTAGATGTCTAGCGAGCACACCAAAATAAAATTGGGATTTTTTCAAAGACTCATATTGTAGAAGTCTGTTTGGCTTGCACCTTTATATTTGAGTTTTGTTTTGGCTCATTAAAAGCTAAAATGAACCGTGATTCGTATATTGTGATTTACTACTGTGTCTCGGATGTTCTTTGTGTTTAGAGGCAAGTTCTTAAATTTCACGTCGAATCTACCATGAGTTCGTGTTTGCTGTGTAGTGGAGTTAGTTATGTCCAGTGGATCAAAGCAATAGTGAAGTTACTCATAGTAGGACGAGCTGCTTAGATTAGAAAAGAGTAGACTCACAGTATTCATAATTGGTCTTGTTAGAGTAGAGTATTTTAAAAACAGCGGCATATTATCCAGAGTAAGGTATGTATAGGTATCGCTATATCACTCTATTTATTCAAGTCACCGCTTGTATCATTGTCACTTGCCTCATGTATATTTAAGAAATCACAATGTGACCGTAAATTGAAATTACACATTTCTGTTGGGGTCGTTCTAGATTTGGATTCGCTCGTTATATTGGAAAGTCTACAATCAAACAAGTGTTTTATTGCTACGGTTGGACTTTCAGTGATCAGCTTGATTGGGAGTACGATGATTATCTTTTGAAATTAAACGGAATCTGCAAAAGGTCTTGTTTTTAGATTGGATGATCATTCGATGGGGTGTGAATACTTCCTAGATTCCATTCTGATTATACCGAATATTGCAGTGTGATGCACGACCAGGCTCAAATCAATCGGAAGCCGACTTTCTACTCAGCAGTTACTGGTAATGGTAAAGGCTCATCTTATAAAACCAACAGTACATTTCAGCAAGTCGAGCGTGCTTAGTGAAATGATACAACCACCAGCAAACATATTTTAGTGTAAATACAATTCAGTTGAGCCAGATGTGGGCAGTAAATTAGTTGTTTAAGAGGCCGTAATATGTAGTTCGGACATGAAAGTACCTCAATACATGCAATTGCTAGCGAAGGCTTCTGGAGAAACGAACAGCAGTAATTTGAGAGAAGTGAAACCAGAGTCTATTTCGTCTTCTCAATATAGAAAACCAATAGCTTGTGCTGGCGACAAAGCAATAATGACAACCGAACAACACGTGGAAAGATGTCAAGATTGAAATCTATTCCGAACCACTCGGCATTTTTCCAGTTGAAAATCAGAAAAGACTACTTTATTCGCCATATGGGCTGCAGGACAAGCAACTTTCAAGATCAAAGAAGGGAATGAAGAGGGTTTTTAGAGAAAAAACACCTTTAGTTGTACTTGTGTTAATAGGTCATACTTACTACTCATAAGGCCTGTAATCACTCTCTCTTCTAGGATATCTTCCAAATCCCTAAAACCAAATAGTCGTAGAAATATCTACAGGAATATCTTTTGGCAAAAATGACTGAATTTTTAATTAAACTCAATTATAGTGACGACTGTTATACAGTATCTGTTCTGAATTCGAGAACTTGACCACTTGTTCCGAGAGCAATCAAAATTTAGTGATGATCGTGAGGCATTAAATTCGCGTTTCCGGAAAACTTTATAATAGCTATATAGGAAAGCACGCGACCAATTGTTAATTATTTTCTGAGCTACACATTATTGACTTATAAGTAAACGCAATCTTAAGTTAAAATCAATATAAATAGGACACTATTTCACTCACTCACAAGTAAATCATAACTTTCCGCTAGGAGATGTACGTTGATTCAGATTATAGCCTGTTAAGTGTGGATCATGTTATTTCATCTCACACAAATGTCAGATTAAGTCTAAACCGTCCACCAGACAGTGTCTAGACCAAATGTCTCGCATTTCGGCTGAAAGGCATCTTTTTCCTACACTCTTATCCTTCCCAAATATGTTATAGTGGGATCACGTCTGTCTAGTCAGATTCTGCAGATCTTCACAGCTACAGGTTTCCCCCTCAAACTCAATCTGACTGGATTCCTCACATCTGTGCTTCTTGCTTTATCTATTCAAACGTCTGAAGTAAATATGTCAAGCTCAGAAGATATCTGTAAATTACGTTATTTTGTCAATGAAAAGTCGGCTACAGACGAGAGTATGAGCCGTTAATTGCAGCACTACTCTGAACCTACTATTGCTAAGGAGAGTAAGTCATATCTCAGTTTCCGAAACATGATTAGCTTGATATCAAAGTCTAATAAATTTTAGTTCCTGATTTGGCAAGGAAAGATAAGACTTTACCTTGCTGCAAAAAACAGATACCTCAACGTTCAGACCATCTCAAGTAACGATTAACTATAAGTGATACTATTCGCGTGCTCAAAAGCCTGATGATTTAGATAAATGGCATAGCCAGATGAGCAATCGAAACACTGGTAAATACCAAGCTCACGCTGTGAGAAGTCCATAGTATCCAACTTCGAGTCAAGAGACTTTGATTGCATGATGACCTAAACAAACGATCTATCAGCCAGTCAAGTGATTCATGCCAGGCAGAACCTTAGCACCACGACTATTTTTAGCAACGGTGCGAAGACCTAGATCCTAGAATGAAGTTCATCCGGCTGTTCATGCCCCGAAAGCTCTTCACGACCTAAAACATTCACGATTCTAGCGCTGGAAACATGGGAGCTCTGCAATGAAGCTCCACGTGTCCTCCAATACGACGATGCCTGAGCTTCCTGGGCACGTGGAATTTTCATGGCAGCTTGGACAAATTGTAGTCCAAGACAATGCTCACGACTTGGTTCACCCTTTCAGTTGTGAGTCAAACGTGTAGGAGAGTTCTAGCGTAGGATTCTAATGTTTGGAATACCAACGCATGAAGCGTCTTGATTTAGGTAACTCGACACACAAAGCAAACAAAATCCGAGCAAGAAATGTTTGCTTCCGGTTGCGAGTGGTCCACGAAGTAGTTTTCCGGCTCCCACAGTCCGGAAAGCATGGTGTACGGGAACGTATATTGTTTCAATTTGTTTGTAAGCTGCTTGTTTCAAAAGCGCGGAAAGCAGCAGTCGAGAAGCGTGCTCACGTTACATCGCCCTCGTACCCTTCGTGACATCAGAGAATTTTGTACGACTCGTAGCGCTAGTGGAGATCCGGGGTCGCGTATTCGCATTCTTGTTGGCGCAATCGACGAGGATCTCGCTTCGCAATGTCATGTTTGAAGGAACGAGGAAGGCGTCCACACGTGCCCAAATACCAGTATAATTCAATGAATTACACATGGACATATCAAGAAAGAGATTGAATTGGCGAACACATTGAGAAAAGTAGAACTTCCAAACCGGCGTTTCCGAAAAGCTCGAACAGATTTGTACCGTGGTAAGGATGAGAAAAGCAATTACGTGGGATGATTCGCTGCCGTGGAGATGGTGGAAATTGGATTCCTTCTTAGTGTCTTCTAGAAGACTGGAAGTGAGTCCGGTCTGTGCTGTTGAAGCATCAACGGGCTGATGCCGCTCGTATTTGAACCAGGAATGACCTGGCTACTGTAGTAGTCCATTGGTGTGAAATTCGAAGGTTTGAACACTTCGACGAAGTTCACTAAAACGGATAGTTATCATGTGCCGGGCTTTGGGCTCTCGCAATTCGACTTCGATTTGAGTTGGATATTGAATAAAAGCTCAAACGTTTAGGAGACTACTGTGGAAGTAGCTGGTCATGGCACTAGGGCAGTTATTGACCGACATAATGATCTGAATTTGGCATTTCAAGAAGCCTTTTCCACATGTTGCAGAATGGGAAGAAGTTACCAGGTCTCCATGCTAGGAAATCCGCAGACAGTAGTCCAGCGGTCATTGATGACTTCAGCATAGGAGATTAAAATGTAAGACATCATGTCGGTAATTAAGAAGTAGAGGACAGAAATCGATGCAAGAAATACTCAACGGCTTACGGCTTGACAGACAACTTGGCGTACACTATGGAGAATAATTCCACGATTTTCTCACCGAAATTGAAGGATGTTCGTTGGAAGCCCATTCAGACTTCAAGGGAACCCCTTCATATTTCCTCGAGACACGCGATGCTCACGTTTATGACACCCTAGGGTCTTCCCCGAACGGAGGAGAGCGGGACAAAGTACAGAAGGGTAATTTTCGTACACCCGGGGGAGGATTACGAAACTGCAGCCTTGAACGCTGCTACACTGGTGATTCTCGGATCTTTCTTCTTTGATGGGCCGGGCAGCCTTGTTGAGGCTATAGGCCCATAACTTTCTTCTTCTGGTGATTACGTGGTTGTAGATGGGAAATTGGAGATGTGACGCCTAAGAAGCGGTTCTTTTCGTGGTTTCAAAGTGTCGATCCACTTATTGGACCCGTTCAGGGTGGACTTGCGAGTTATGTGCCAGAGCTCAACCCCACACGTTGATATTCGAAAGTGTTCGGTTGCACCTGTTCCGTTTTTGGAGTTTCTTGAAATGATGCGCAATATAGGGATGGTCGGGTGTGCCTGTTAGTTATGCGTTGAGCGTTTGGCGTTGATTGTGTTTGTCTGTCAGGTTGAATTACTTTTTCCACGAATGTTGTAGATGTCCAAAAATATATCAGAGATCGCTAGTGTGAGGATGGGAAAAGGGGCGATTGCCGAGGATCTCTAATCCCAATGCAACGCAGGGCTTAAATCTGGTTGGAGGAGGGGAGGCATCCAGGATCAGCACTGGTTAAGGCGTACCCAGCGTTGCATCGGCCATACTGGGCATTTCGCTCTGAGGTGCCATCAACGCACATCATATCGTAATTTCCATTGGGTGAAAGCTGCTGAAGCACTCGAAAGATGAACCCGACTGGTAGTGAGGCATTGAGGACAATACAGCTAGCTCGAGATCTTGAGATCTGCTCGGCTTTTATGGCTGAACCGCTTCTTGTCTTTCACACGCGTTGCTGAAGGTACCGTTCGTACTTTATCCTGGACAGAGAGTGAGTCCGGAAAAGCAGGAGCTGTTGCTTAGAACTTTGATGTAGAATAGAGCATGCGGAGCTTCATTGTACTGAAAATGAGTATCTTCCAACAACTGCTACTTCATACAGGTACTGTAACTCTCTCAGGTCCTGAAGCCCGCTGTTTGATGAGCACAAAGAGATCATGTTGCCTGTGTAGATCCTCCAATTAATTCAGGGGTATCTGCTGCAAGCGACAGGCCTCTTTGGCTGGGTCACACACGCTGCAGTGGAAGAGACAGGGAGCACGAGCAAGGAATAAGCGCACCAAATGCAAGGTTTTGTTTTTCTAACGACGTCTGTCTCTGACGCCTCGAAGAAAATGCATGGAACAGGCCTCGAACTTTGCTGTACACAACCCAATCCAACTCCCAGAGACGCATCCCCATGTAATTTTTGGGGCAGCTCACAATAGGCACCATGTCGATTCGTCAACAGCTGAACAGGTGGGATTGCTTCCCTGAAGACGGCGTTTTAGGGGGGCTACTCACTGGATTCCAGCGCGAGCAAATACCCAAACTACCCGGAGACAAGCCCGAGTGCCAACATAGGAGCCCTAACAGTGCTGTCAGCGGGCGCTTCTCACGTGTTGCCCCATCCTATGGGCTTGTATCTGCTGCCGGCCAGCTCTGCAGGGGCGCTGGCGGTCGGAAAAGGTGATTATTGGGAGGCGAGGAGAGTGATTTCGAGCTCAGCATTCAGCCAGCGTCTAAGGGAAACGCAATAAGATGCGAACGGCACCTAGCCACTCCGTGTGCTTAGGAGCTACGTCGTCGGAAGGGCTGCAATGCTTCTTCAGCTGCTCACAATTGGCAGATAGACCCGAGAGTCGTTCTCTTGATGTCTCGATCTGGCATAGCCGTAGGGAACATACAGGCCCATTATCTTCAGTACCACCCAGATAGTCTCACAACACAAAATCAAGCTTAATTCACGCCGAACTGTGAAGCACAGACCCAACCACACATGCCCAATGGTCCTATCTCACAGTTGTCTCCGCGCCACATCTGGGTAGTAGGAAGACACATTTGAACTAGGGACCCGGTGCTGTGGTGACGGGTTCGACTATGATGCGGATGCACTGCACATGCAAAAGCGGATGCAATTGCGAAAATGTCCCAGAAACTCGGGGATTAAGTCGATGGTACATTGCTTTGTTGTGCGTTTGTGGAGGCTGATGGTGTGAGGACTGGCTTGGAGGCGGGCAGTTGGACTGGACGGGACTAGATTTTGATATGGAACAGGAAATCTGTTCCGTTTGCACTTTGTTGCTTCTTTTGCACGTCTTCTGTCAGCTGGCTTCCCTTCAACATCCTGTTCTTTCTGGACAACCACCTTAGACATTTCCTTGTCAACTGTCTCGACACTATGGTCTTGGAGGTCAATAATTAAGTATTGCTTCCGTACACGGCGACTCCTTTCGAACGAATAAATATTCCTTGTTTCTGACGCTCTCTCCACCTCGCTCGGGGCTTTTCAGCTTCCTGCTTCAGACAGATATTCCTTTTCCGGAAGGCGGAGGATACGCAAAACGTATTGGAAGCCAAAAGTTTGTTTCTCCACTGCGCCTGACTCGGCAGACTATTCTGCTGGCACGACCCGTCAGCCGTGTTGACCGCGACAACATCAATTGCTTCTGTGGTGCTGTCAAATCACCATTGTTGTTGCGACCAAAAGCTTTGTCGTTCTCGCCTGGCTTGATTGATACGCCTCGGTCTCTCCAGATCCCAAAGTTTCTGTGTGGCGCCGTAGATCAATGGTCCCATATCGCATTCCAAGGACGCCGCGGCGATCATTCTGCTCTAGCGCAGGTTCAATACTCATAACCCGGTCAACGATCGATTTTGTGTCTGCAGCGCTGTTTCTTGATTTATCCTCGAGATTGGCTCCTTCGAGTTGGACCGTAGACTGTCTCTTAAAGTATCGTTCGCTCTCTCCTTTTGGAACCCTTCCTTCCGGGCAATAACAAAGTCAAAACTCCCCCAAGAGCTTATTGCCGACTCCGGCCGATACGCACAACCTTACTGAGTCGCGACATCCACTTTAGTTGTCTTCCAAAACCCCTACTTGTCTCTCCACATTCGACAAGCGCGCCTGGCTTCGATTTCGTGCTTGCTGCAAAGTAGCTCAAAACAGCTGCAACACTCGGTGATTCTTTGATTACACCCAACTGTCACCGGCGACCTATTCTGGGAAGAATTGAATATCAGAGAGCCCATTATTACTGCTCCTGCTAGGTTTCTACACAGATCCACGTCGCTTCAACCTGCTTTCATTGGCGGTACTCCTATTTCGCTCTCGGCTTACGAGAAAAGGGAGAAGACCTCGAGGTGACCCAAGTACCCTCAGATTCAGATTGTACCTGACAAGATCGCTTGTTACTGCAGAATAAGAGCAGCTGTCGGAGGATTCTGTGCGTGTTCATTGGGCTGCTGTCACAGCCCAACGAAGCCCAAGAGGAAATAAGACGCGGAGCTGGAATTGCTTTGCCATAACATTGGCCAATCTTCACTCGAGACTCGTTCAAGCAAAGAATCCTTCAAACAGCGCTACACAAAGAAAGCGGTACGAGTTCACCAGTAAAGCCGCAATAAGTGCCAAACATCACTGCGTAGTCTCCCGGGCGGTGACCAACTTTGCAACTAGCCATATCTGCACTGAACTTTGCAGTAGTTGCACTTGCAACCCGGTCGCACGGCCTTCAACGTCCATCTCGGAAGCTTTAGATGCGCGAGCAGGTTTTGACATCTTGTACCCAGAGTTGACATCTCTAACTTCTATTTCTGTTCCAATTTACTGCAGCCTCACTTGGGCTCTTGGAGCTAGGAACGTGCACTTTCTCTTTGAATATAGAGCAACCGGGACACGTCCTTTCAGCTGGTGCGATTCCGTCTCTGCGCCAAAACATCCGGCATCTGGAGAGCTCGCTCGAGAGTGAGCGACGTGTGGACAGCGAATTCCAAGAGCTTCGGGCATCAAAGCTTCTGCTACGCAGAACTTCCATCCTGCTACGTCCGTGGGAAGTCAGTCACTTTGAAACGTAAGCCAAAGACCCATTTTAGGGCTTCTGGAAGAGACAGGGCAGGTATTAAGGAGTGGTGCCGGCCGTCTAGAGACATCACAACGTTGAAATAAGGCGGACATCCCATAACCCTACCCTAGAATCAACTGTCGATCGGTATAGGAGAACATACCCAGGAAGTAGAAGCACCGACACGCCGTACCCAGGGCCCCTTTGCTTCACAAGAAGATCGCCAACAACCCAGAACCCAACTCTCCCCGCAAGGACCTTGCATGCTGTTATCACAAGAGCTTTGTCAAGGATAGACCCAGGAGTGGATGACGAAAGGCTCGACAACTCATTGAGGGTAATATATTTCTGGTTTTCGCATTTGCTTGACGAATCCATAACGCATTGCACTTCAGTTCGATCTCTCTACCCTCAAGCGCGTCCTGTCGGCCCTCCGTAGTGTTGAAGTTATATCTGTGGCGATATCCGTACCTCTCAGATCCCACTGTAGCCTTTCCCGGCGATCAAGCAGTAGAGAACATAAACACGTCAAGGGAAAACTCTTCGTACTAAACGTGGGTACCTCGATCATTCTTGTGGTAAAAATAGAGTTGACGCGTTTCCTAGAACAAAAGAGCAGCAAGAGAAGAACGTGCGACTAGCACAAACCAGACCCTCGTGGTTGGAAGGGTGCAGATTGTTTCGAGGAAAGCACTTGCCGTTGGAGCAATCGCGTTGTCCGGGACGGAAATCAACAGAGAAAATCCAGCAAGCTGGCACTCCTACACGCGACTCACGTCCATCTGCCCGCGGCGCATCAACTCGATTCGCTGGCGGGAGGCTCGTCTTCTGATTTGGATCGTGTTATGGACGAGAACAGTAGGAGAAGGAGGCAGAATGAGCCGCCCTATATGGGATCATCGTCGGATCCTCGCTTCGGCGCTGCTGGCCAAGGGCAAGGGCGAGGTTTCGCGAGCTCGTCGACAGAGAGATATCGAGGCGCTCCATTGACCACCTCATCGCCGTCTGGAGGAAGGGGAGCTGGAGGCTCAGGTGGAACAGGAACGTACTCGGGATACTACCAGGAGCCGTCGTCCTCGTTCAACCCCTCGTTGCCCGCAAATGCGTTACAATATTCGCAAGCCTACCCTCAAGACCAGCGACAGCAGCAGGGTTTTACCACTTACAACACAGATCTCATGTACAATGTTGCACAACCATCCCAACAGAGCACCGTCTACGACTCGTCCCAGCAATTTCCAGCACGGCAGCCTGCAGCAATGCAAATGCTTTCGGATGTTGCAGCACCATATTTCCCAAACGAGCCCACCAGTGCGCCGGGCCCTCCTGCGCTGCAACACCACGCATCGTCGGCCTCAACTGGCGTGTATCAACAGCATCACCAGAGCCCAAGTGACCGATCGATGATGCAGCAGGGGTATCCAAACCAGATGGCGATGGGAGGTATTCCTCAGCCTGCGCAAGAACTGATGGAGGAAGACGACTTCCAAGCACAAGGTCCAGGGCTGGAGGCGGCGTATACAGCTTATCAGACAGCTTTGAAAGACATTTTCCAGAACATTATCGACCGCCGGCTTGCGGTCGCCGGACAATCTCTGCTGGAGGTATCAGAATGGCTATTGGGGCATGTTGGAGATTTAGGTGGGCAGACTGTTTCTTCTGTACGATCCTATCCACTAATGATTTCTGATAAAAGGTCTTACTGTAGATGAACACGCACTCCACAGCGATCGAATAAGACTATGGGGCGAGTTCAATACCGCCTGGCTCAGTATATTTACAACGCAGAAAATCATGCTAGAAACAGGCCAGCGGATCCAGCACCCCCAGAATATCATGACACAAGAGTTTATCAGTAAGATGGCGAAAGACCTGATCCGGATGTGCGACGCAGTCGAAAAGCATGGCCTGGTCGACTACCAATATGGTGTCGCAGAGGAACAGATAATCACAGGTAAGTCTGGCCCGCCACAGGTTATGGAGGCGCAAACTAACAAATCTCTGTAGTTCTCAGTGAATGCCTCGACCTGCAAGAATCGATAGAAGGAAGTGGCCAGAATCGCACAAGGCCACCTCCTTAATCTACACTTATCAATTCTTTGAATTATTTCCTTGCTAAAACTGTACTATTGCTAATGTGCAAACACGCTAAAAATCCTCGTCCTCGTCTTTAGCGTACATCTTGGTGTTGGCGGAATCTTTGTGGCGACTCTTGTTTGTTCTGAGCATTTACGGAGTGGATGGAGCGGGAAACGTGGGTTGAAAACGATGTCATGATACAATTCTGATGTTTGGGATTTTCTACATCAACGCTTCCACAAGCACAAAAGGGCATTTGGAGACCATAGGGGCTTTGGTCAGTTATGAATCTGGTGGCAGGGCACAAAAACAAGCAGATATTACTGCGTCTTCACTGTATATTATATCATGAATGGAAAGGACGCAAGGTCCAAAAGGGGGAGGTATAATACCCATTTGGTAGTTGATCAATTCAGCTTCCTTTACTTCTAGCCCCGCGGCACTTCACTTCTGGACCTCGCACCTACCTTGTCATTTCAGCATGTTGCGATCTACTGGTAGATAATTGCACCAGGGAACTCGGAGCAACACTGTCCTAGAGCTATTAATCCATCAATGAGCAAGCATCCGTCGAGCCCCTTCTCATTTAAACCACCGCTAGTTTTACCACTCAGACGTCGCGAACGTCCACAAAGTCATAATCTTTACGCCGTCGCGAATCTATCTCATACGCTTGCCATCGACAAACCGAAAAAATATGATATGTCGTCCAGGAGTTGTCAGTACAAAAGGCTCATCCGGAGAGGTCAGAGCGCAGATGTGGTCCGACAATGGAGTGGTGTTGTCAATGCTTTGCTGATGATGCGTCGGAGAATTTTTGCCTGATCGACGAATGGAGATGGGAAAACGAGGCGAGCCTGGGGAGGTATGATCGACTGTGCGCAGATTTCCTATTGCGATTTTCGTGGACCGCGGAATCGATGATCTGGATGTTCGTTCGGTGACAGCAATAATGAAGGGCGCTATGATCAGTGTGTTGTATAGGTTAGGAACTATAATTGCAGCGGATAGCGAAGATTTGGGGATTCCAACAAGTGATGGCACAGGACATCTCGAACATGAGGTTGATGAGAACTGGAACGGTGCGGGATCTCATGAGGTCTGTTGGTCGTTTGTTTGGTCAACAATGGAGAGGAAGGCAACGTACAATAGTGCCAAGACGAGACATTTAACATTATTGGAGTTCTTCAGGATGCCCAAATATGAGGCAGCCAATCAATTACTATACGAAGCTTTGCCAAAGAAGCTACATAGGCACATAGAGTATGTCAGGTACCCGGCAAATAAACAAGGCGTAGTCGGAAGGATCACTCATTTGCTTCCGCAAAAACAAAATAAAGACATATTCCCGAATATTTATCATGGTTCGGCAGTGCCCGAGACTTGTCTCACTTCATGTATACAAATTTTTGTCAGAATCAAGGATTGCTATATCCTATATTTAGACCAGAACAAAGTGCAAATAGTCTCAGTACCTGTTTCTTATGGCCAATAGCATAGAAAATATATTCGCCTACCTATCCTTGATCACAAATCCAATAAGTAACACACAAAGACCTCACATCCAAACAAACCCAACAAGCCCAGAAGATCACCACGCCCATCTTCAACAAGACGCCACACCCATCCCCCGAAAGGCAAACCACATAAGGCTGTCACAAGATCTCAGATCTCAACGTCACATTATCGAATATGTACAGCACAGGGATACACCCAATATGCAAAGTAACCTACATGCATATATATGCAAGCCATTTACCAGAAATCAGAAAAAGCAAAAAAAAATATTATGTGACAGGGAGCCAATAGCCTTGCGGGAAGTGAGGCTGGGGGGAGTGGTCGGTTCCGGGGTGGTGGTTTTTGAGGCTTTGTGAGATCGGCGGGAGTGGATGGGATGGGAGATGTGATGGTCTATGATGATCTTGATGATCATTTCGTGAGTTGGAGTGAAGAAAGTGCCTCACTTTTGTTTTATTGCTGATTTCTGCTTTTGCTAGCGTGGTTTCAAATCTAGGATATAGTCGATATAGAAGTGGATCTAGTATAGAGGTAAGGAGTGAATGTCTTTAGGTCTTTATGTATACTCAAAGTAGATGCGATTGAAACTTGAATATTGTCTGAGTGAGTCAGAGCAACAACTTTATTTCAAGCTTGGGTTGATTTGATGACCTACTTAGCTGAATAATGAATGCGACGCTTCGCTACCTAGATAATCTGATAAGGGAGTACTAATAGTATCTAAGTAGTCTTACTTCTAGGACTGTCAATACGAGTTGTGGTAGGTATTTCATCGATTCGACAAAAACCCGAAGTTATGCATCATCCGACCATTATTAACTTCGGCGTGCATCGGTCGTTTGTTTGTGCATATACACATCCCATTCATTCAAGACCTGAGTTGAAACCATTCCAATGAAAGTTAACATAGGAATCGTAAACTCCATTACCCGCTGAGAGAAATACGGTGAAGTAAGACAAGTGAGAATCTTGAAATCTGACGATGGAGACAAATCTCTGCGGAAATTGAAGAGAGCAAACAGTCTAGTGACGGCCAAATGAAGATATAGAAAACATGATTTGTCACGCTCTAAGCCCCCTCTAGACTGATATGTCTCGAAAGACCAATACTTGAGAGAGCCTTGGCTGACTTGAGATGTATCCAAAGATGACCTCAGGCAAGCCCTAACGAAGACATAAAAATCGTAGAAGTTTAAGAAGCAGCAGAATGACAAGGAAAATCTAATTACACAAACAAGTAAGGTTAAGTGGAAGGAATACACATTCTGCAGGTATCCTGACGCTATGGAGAGAAAATGAAGGATATACATTGCGGAATGACCAGTTGGCCACCGGGGTTCCAGCCCTGACGGACTTTTGGATGAGATTCATACAGGACCAGCGGATAGCTTGCATGTAAGCTCGGCTTTCAAGTCTGGCAATCCCACTGCTATCCATATATGGACAAGGAGCGCTCATTTTAGCCACTGGACCGAAACTCGTAGTAGGGAGTACCACAGTATCGTGCAAATAACCGCTGGAAGACCTTTGATGAGAAAAACATTCTTTAGTGATTCGAACATGGTGTATCACCGAAACATAAAAACGTGATTTGCTTGTAGGTTTCCGTAGTAACCCAGATGCCTTGTACAATATAATACATCGATATGCCTTTATCTCTTGACCCATGCGGGCATTTTCCTGGCCTTTTCCTTTCCAGGCTTCTTTCTCTCGACTCTCTTTGGGTCTCGGGTCAAAACTCCAGCTGTCAAAGTGGTTAGTAATTGTACATTCATCCACCTTCAACCACCTTCAACCATTTCGCTACAAAAGCGAACATGAACTTACCTCGTCTCAAGGCTGGTTTCAAAGCTGGCTCATGAGCCATCAGCGCTTTTCCAATTGCTAAAGTCAAAGCTTCTGCTTGTCCTGTCGTTCCACCTCCCTGTGATAATCCCCATACGTTGTATTTATCGATTCGATTCGTAGCCTTAAGCGCCCATATAACGCTCTCCCTGTCGTGTACCCGTCCGAAAGCTTCAACCAGTGTCTTTCCATTTACCAAAACTTCACCGTTTCCCTCGACCAACCATGCTCGCGCAGTCGCAGATTTCCTCCGTCCGGCACCTAAAGTCCTTCCCATACCGTCCACTGGTGCTGGTCGTCGAACGTTCTTGAAGACATCTATATCACGCCTGTATTCGTTGATTGCCTCCTGAACATCCGCTGGTACTAGTGAAGGATGTATCTGGTTGAGCCGTGCGAGAAGTTTGACAATTTTCTGGTATTTCGATGCTTTTACAGATTCGCCGACCTGATCTCGATATTCCGCGAGCCCTCGCCACGATACCCGAGGTTGCTCTCCAGGCTTTACGGTAGGTAGGTTCGCGTACTTTGCTACCAGATGCTGGAGCGAGAGGAGATCATCCGTGAAGATTGGCTGGGCTGTAAAATAAGAACGAGACGCTGGCACCAGTCGTGCATAGAATAAATCTTTGGGCCCCACCGCATCCGCACCACCAATATCGTCGTCTTGCTGAAAGTTTCTATTCTCCCTCTGCTGGGGAAACCTCACTGGCGCTGCTGCAAATCTCCCGCCTGACGCTTGAGGAATCGGAGCGGTGGTGAACCGCCTTGGTCGGATCTCGAATGCTCGCTGTCGATTGAATACGGCTGGCCGAGGGGTGCAGGCGCATTGCAGAGTCTCTCTGAGACCTGCGGGAGGCCGTGATACCTTCATTGTTGAAGATACGGCACCCAATGCCGTCGAATTGTATTGCTGTCGTGGTTGCTTTGGTCCCTGCTTCAGTCGAGCTCGACCAAATTTTGGTTCACGTGACCACAACACGCTAGCGTGATTGTCATGCATTCGAGCTTTCCTGAATGCTTCATGCTCGACCATTACCAAATCTCATCTAATCTGACTTACTCACCTCTAAAACTCTCTAAGTTTACGCCGTTACCGTCTTAGCGTTTTCTCGAACTCATATCCCCGGTTTTTTTGGTTTTCTTACTATCCACAACCTTTTGCTATGTACGTCTGTACTGACTAAAGGCTCCTATCACGCTAATGGGCATCTTCGCCAGTCACTTTTATATTCTCTTTCATGCTTCCAGGTAGTAACATTATGGCATCGGCACAATGTTGATTGAATCCAGGTTGACGTTGACACGAAGCAATCACGATTATGTTGTCGGAAGCCAAGACTTGCGAAGCCAATGAGATACCACGGGTGCTCTCAGATGTGGCAGATTGGTTTGGCAACCACATGGCGGATCGAGTGATCCAAACTACAGGATGGTACCAAGAAGCTGGATTTAATTTACACTTATTTGTACCCTTCCAGCTTTTATCTCAGGTACCATTCTTAGGAATAAGCACATGGCCAAAGTTACAATGGCTAGAAAACTCTCAGAGTGTCATTAAGTTTTGCAGCGATTCTATTTAAGCGTTCTCTTTTTCTCGCCAATCTTCAGTTTTCTTCTTGACGGAATCCTCTCTTCATTCTCCAGAGCCTGAAGAGGAAAAGTTTCTCTAAGCTTGACGGATTTGGAGATCATGATGAAGAGCCGAGTTGACGGCTGCCGGTTGATCTTGCATACTAATGTCGGGGAGACAATCACCGGAGATACTATCACTTTGCTGAAATTTTGTAAGAAAAATCCTAGCCGGAAACTGGAAACTGTTACCCCTCCATTTGCAAGTGTTGCATAAATCGTTGGATTGTTTTCGACGACAAGAAGAGCATAGAGCGCTTCTGTTTCCATTCCCTACCTTTCATCAACTGATCGCCGTTGCAGCAAAGAGGTTGCATTAGTTTGCCAAAAGAACTCCTCTGGCGTATCATGTCCTTGCATACTCTCTTTAATATATCAAGGGTAAATCCTCCTCGTGTTACTACCTACATACAGCCTCCCGCTCCGGCTAAACTCATGCTTTCCATACATATAGCAGTCGAGGAGCAGCAATTGTGCTGGAACCCTTCGTATCTTGATATTCTTTTTTGAAAAAGGCACGAATTCAGTCTAATTCTAATATGCGTGGCTTCTTTCTGCACGATGTACGCCCAATTAGGAGTGTATTGGCGGTCTTCTTTATTGGGTGCATTTTGAGCGTATCGGCGAGAGGCGTCGCCAGAAAAGGTACGATAATGAAACTCGTACCAGCCGCCGCCTTCAATGGTATGCTAAGTTCTAGACACTCTTCCGTCGTTGCGCGTTAAGACACATCCTACACTCGATGTCACCGTTGAACCGGGGGACCAATGGTACGAATGTGGAGAGTTTCCTGGCGGTTTAGCGGGTAGTGACCCAGGCGGATACTTTGCATATGAACACGATACTGAGCTAGAGGTCAATTGTTGGGAATTGGATAACACTGGCGAATTGTACTTGAAAACTGTCGAGGACGAGTGCTTCATTCGGGAATACTTCATCTTCTACAATGAGACTCTGGATATTACGTACGAGGAAGCTTTACCGCGGTGCAAACCACATCGACCGTTCCAAGCTTGGTGGGGAAAACCAGGAAACCCTGACACTGGAGGATCTCCAGATACGGATTTAGGACCTTGCTATCACTGTCCAGATCGAGATTGCAACACCTCGGATGTGGATTATTTGATGCTTCATGTATACTGCTGGCTCAATGGAACGGATTTTAATGGCAGCAAGTGAGTACATAGGAAGAAGCTTCCGTTTTGCCAATTTTCGGGTACTGACGATTTTGCTACAGCCAGTGGTGGCGGCACGCACACCAAAGCGACGAATATGAAAAGTGTTACGTCCCAGCAGTGATCTTTGATAGAATATCCTATAGTAAGTACAACCAACACCCAGATTATCTAGAATGATATTGACTTATACCACAGACGAAACTGGCTCTGGTGGCAGATGTCCGCGCTGGGACAAGCCTATGGAGGAGGCGAAACTTAGATAACTTAGTGTGTTGTTTAAGACCCTTGTAATCAAAACATATTAAGAGAATCCAAGCACACATCGCAGCCGAAGGTCTTCCTTTTCCATTGGGAGTAACTTATCACTCAATCTCTGTTCGGCTTCCTTCACATCCTTCTGATCAACAGGCTGTGGACCATTGGTGGGTATTTTGCCACAAATACACATGGGTTAAAGTGATTACAGCAAACCGCGGACGAAGAGATGCTGATTATTGACGTTCTGAAAAAGCAATTATAATAAGAAGGGGGCACGATCACGTGTATTACATTCCGGTTTTAGCGAAGGATTTCCTAAAGCAAAGAGCGCCTACATAGCCAGTGAAAGCAATTGCACAAGACCAGAGAATATCAGCTTTGTGTGGGATCATGATGTTGGAAAATGCACCATCTGTCTCAGACTTGACGATACGTTTTATTTGGTTCTGAGGAGCACTTTAATGGTTCGGAAAATAGCCACATCAAGACGATGAGGGAGTACTACAGCAGCCCTCCATGCAAGTATAGGAAGATTTAGTTTCATATAGAATGAGTTAAAATTAAATATTGATATTGTCGTTCGTGAATATCTATTCATCTGTACCATGTTGGGGGTTTCGTGGAGTGTACATACACATACTTATTGAACTGCTATTCGCGACTCCTTCAGCATGTGAATGCGGGACTGGGCCGAAGCATGCGTCTACCCCAGATTCTGACCCTACCGACAACGCCGCTGATTCTTCTTCTCACTCATAACCTTGGAAGTTGGAGGCTTGTTAGCTCACTCATACTATGCCATTATGCTACCGGCGTATTGATTCTTATTCTTTTCGGCTGCACAGCAGAAATTAATAGTACCAAGTCGCGACTTGCTAAGCCCTGTTTTCGCGCCTCGTCGGCAATGACGTTGTAGATGGCAGCAATTGTACCTCCACCACCAAACTGACCCTGCACACACGATGACTGACTTCACAAACAGGACACTCCGTGGATGATGGCTTCCACTTCCAGTTCAAATCGGCGAGATAAGGAGGGTGATTCGCAGTCAAGCAGTGATCCGAATCCTCCTACAGTTGCCTCATTCTCCCCAGTTACGCTCTCGCATGCGCCGTCCGCGAATAAGCAAAGGTCGACCATTCTGGTCCATCAGAAGTCTCCTCTTTTGATCGCAACCCCTCCGCAGATTACGAGAGCATTGGCATATTCGCATCCATTTCTACTGCCGCTGAATAAATTTGTTGGCTTGTTGACGTGGACGAGCGGGGATCCGTGGGAGAGCTTCTTGCTGGTCGCTGGCTTCTGGGCCGTGGTTCTATATGGAGATATACTTATGAGATATGCCGGGCCGGTGGTGGTGGTTGTTGGCTTAATATTGGGGATGTATTCGAGACGATATTCGCCTTTGTCTTCGACTGGATGGACTGGGGAGAAGCAGAAGAAGGGTCACAAACGAGAAGACTCGGAAGCTACGAACACAAAACATCAAAAGACCTTGGATGAGATCGTAGAAACGCTGAAAGTCTTCACTTCGAGATGCAATGTGTTGCTCGACCCATTGTTGGAACTTACGGACTTTTTGAGCACTCAAAGGACGGCAACGAGTGCAACCACAAGGCCAGCTCTAACAACCCTATTAATCAGAATACTTCTTGTTACCCCGTTATGGATTGTTCTCACACTTCGGCCAATACAAATCATCACAACGAAGAGAGTAGCGTTAGTTGCTGGAACATTGTTCTTGACTTGGCATTCCAGGCCCACGAGAGTTTCGAGAACGATACTATGGAGATCAGCTACGGTCCGACGCATTTGTGCTGTAATTACTGGGCTTCATTTCACAGATGTCATGGAGCCTATACCGGCTTCTGACGAGAAGCCCCCATTACCACCAAGAACACCATCAGCATACCAACAAGGCGCACAATTAGCAGCTACTATGGCCACTAAGCGGAGACCGGATGCTCCGGGCGTGAAATTTACCTTTATATTATACGAAAACCAGAGAAGATGGGTTGGTCTCGGCTGGACTACTTCGTTGTTTGCCTATGAGCGAGCAGCTTGGACAGATGAACATCTTAATCCAGCTCCAGCTAAGGATGACTTCGAATTACCAGATGTAGAGGAAGGAACAGCTCGATGGAGATGGGTAGAGGGCAGCAAATGGCTTGTTGAAGGTGCCGGTGATACGGATGAGGGTGGTGCTAAAGCGAGTGAGAATGCTACTGATGGCGGAAGTGGTTGGATATATTATGATAACAAGGTGAGCTACTGCTGTTCTCAGTTGCCAATAACATTAGCTAACAAAACCACAGTGGCAAACCGGTCGCCGTGGTCAAGATGGCTGGGGCCGCTACACACGCCGCCGCAAATGGTACCGCGATGCCGAATTAGTAGAAATTTCTGGCTCGACCGAAATCACACCCTCCAGCACCCCTTCTCGTACTCAGCCCACATCTAATTCCCTCAATACGCCCTCAGATCCGCCGCCAGAATACGCTGAGAATGAATCGCTGAGATCCGACAACTCAAGTTTGAAAAGCACCTCTAGTAAGTTCCGACAAGGAAGTATGAGGAGGAGGGGAAAAGGAAGTACGGGGGGTAGTCGGAGGAGTAGTAATAGTTTTGGGGGTGCTGATGATGAGAGGCCTTTTAGACATAATGAGGCTGATTGGGGGATAGGAGATGATGCTAGGATGGGTTTGGAGTAGTCTGGTTCTGCTTTATTGATATTCTAGCGGGTTTTGGGAGTCGGTAGGTACGGATGGGGCATTATGGATGGGTGCGGTTGGCTTATTGTATATCATCTTAACGGATTCTGTACACCTGTGCATTGCAAGATAGACAGGACAATCATTAAGTATAACAGCGCAATTCCCAACGCTCTTTCTCTAAGAGGCATGTTTCGTCTTTTTCATATAGACGATGCGCATGTTTGATCAACTGGGTTGAGTAATTATGACTTTTTGAACAGATAGTTGTTCACCCGAATAAGGTATCCCCTAAGACTTGCAATCCACTGGTGGTAGCTGATTAAGGCCTTTCAACCAAACTCCACCAGGAGATTAACTGTAATATGATGATTTTGGTAAAAATTCGGTTTCATCTGATATCTGTTGTACAGAGTTCAGTATATTGTTCCTTTTGTGCATTACCTAACCCGCTCCTTTCCCGCTATGCCCTATTCCTACAGACCCAGCGCCCCGCTCCCCACAATGAAACTCCAGCTCCGTTCTATGTTGCCTTTAAAGTCCTGCCTTGAGATTGCCTGGTAGTTTACTGCCTCTACTCGAGAAAATACCCATGATTCCGAATCCTACGTAGAACAGTGCCAGAGGATATGCGACTAGTCCTCTCATCCCTCGCATCCTTCCTACTACACAGAACATGCCGGAACTGCTGTACGTGCACCATACGATAGCCATACTAGTCAACACGTAGCCTAACATGCCGTCCATTGGAAACACCACACCGACCAAACTTGTCAAGACTAGTGGTAATAGGCAGTATCCTAGTACAGAAGCGGATCTTGTGAAGGTAAGAGTGCTTGATAAATGTGACGATTGTGTTTGCTGTGGGGAGGAAGAGGACTCGAGAGGTGGTGACATGAGTGAGAGGATTAGGTGTAAAGAGGTGGAGCCTAGAAGCGCGAGTCCGTAGATGTACCCGAAATGGACTTTTCCAGAGAACAACAGGAAGGTGCCGAAAAGGAGGAAGAAAAGTATTGGACCCGCGAGATCTGAGTCGTCCATTATGTGCTGGTCGATCGAGGCCAGTGGGTTGAGTACCGCTAATGTCTGTCCAAGGTCAATTTCCAATGTTTGAATCCCAGCTTGGAACCCAGCTTACCTTGCTCTGTATGTGCGCAAAATTTACACCTAGCTCTTCAAGTAATGGCGGTTCTCCATCATACCCCTCCGTCCCAAATGCAGCCAGCCATCCAGTCCTTAATCCACCTTGTTCCCCCATTCGCCCACTCACTCCCGCTGCTGCTCCAAACCCAGAATTGAATCCTGCGCCGGCTCCATATCCTGGAGAGCCAGCTGGCGCGCCATAGCCGTATGAAGCTTGTGAGGGTGTTGCGTGTCCTGAGACCGGATTTGGCGTGTATGAGGATGGGTAGAACTGGAGATTTTGCGCGGAGGGTGCGCCGTATGGCTGGTTTGGAGGTGGTTGCTGGAAGAATTGGGACATTGTGCGTTGGGTTGGAGTGTGTTTTGCTAGTAGAGAAGATATGTGAGTTGAGGCGATTCTGGCCAGTCTGAACTGGGTAGGCAGCTGGCGGAGGTCGTCAAGGCAGATGGATCGTCACTTTTTGTTAGATGTGTTTTCTTGTGGTTGAAGCTGTACCGCCGCACGTATGCATAAGGCGGCGGTGTAGTGGTAGCCTTGTAAAGATGGCAAACTCCTGGTGTTCAGGGGGCGGCAGTCTGAGAAGTCCGGATTATCGTTCTTACATAATTCACCGGTCCAACTGCCTCGTCCAACGTCAACTCATGCAAAAGACTACCTGCTCCCTAATTCTCGTGTCTACATTCTCAGTATATGAAGCAAACACCTCCATCATGGCCAATAAATCGGATTTGATCGTCTCCAGGACGTAATGTAATGACCAACATTCTCATCACTTCCCCCCTAATGGAATCCACTCCGAACACGGTTGACCTGGGCCGCACCTTCTCCGACATGACACAAAAACCATTCACCGTGGTTACCTCGACATGACTTGGGAAATATTCGCTCTTTCTCTGTTCCATTTGTGTTCCTCCTCGGTTACTTCTTCTTTTCTCCTTGTATTCACTTCTCCTTGTGAATGATCCTGATTGAAACACAGGATCGAGCATCACGTTTGGGCGTCTGGTTGCGCATCTTCTTCTTCTCTCTTACATTCACTTCTTGCTCCTGACGCGTTATTCACACTTCCTCGGCGACTGGATTTGCTCAATAAGTCAAACTTCTTCCTCGCCCCAACTTCGGTCGCGATCTTTCTTCGACCGACAATCGACATCGCATGGTGGGAAAAGAAACGCACGCGTCGCTGATGTAGATTTCGTTAAAAGCGCACCATTTCCTTCCAGTCATGACGTCTCTTCTGGTACTTCTTCCGACGCTATGCCTAGCATCGGTGGCATTTATTCTCACTTGGATCGTTATTCCGCTCTACAGGAACATTAAAGCCGCGAGGGCAACTGGATTGCGATATGTCGTCGTCCCGTACTATCAGTACAATTTCATAATAGCAAGATTAATGCGCCTGACTCTCTTGCGCGCATTCGACTCCTTTGCGCCTGGACCCTCCAACACTTCCTGGCGTGTCCTCGTTACTTCGCTTTGGCCGCTCAAGCTCCGCCACGCTCCTTTCAAAGAACTGGGAACGGATACCTTTCTTATTGTCTCCCCTGGTGGGATACTCTTTAATACAGCTGACGCCGCCGTCATTTCGCAAATCCTAGCCCGAGGTGTCGAATTTCCCAAGGCTACCAATATTTACAAACAGATCAACATCTACGGGAAGAATGTCGTGTCAACGGAAGGGGCCGCTTGGCGCTATCACCGCAAACTCACTAGTCCTGCATTTTCGGAAAGAAACAACTTCTTAGTATGGAGGGAAACGCTTTCTCAAACTCAAAGAATGATGAGGAAGCTTGTTGGGCATAATGATGAGTCGAAAACGGTCAGTCACATGGGAGACCATACCATGCGACTAAGTTTGGAGGTTCTGGGTCGCGCTGGTTTAGGTCAAAAACTCGAGTGGCCGTCGGAAACGGGTGGCAAGGAACAGCCGAAATCCTTCACTTCGTCTCTTGAATACGTTAGTCTGCACATTGTTACCATAATGGTATTGCTTGCTATCTTTCCGAAGTGGTTTCTGAGTAAGTCGAAATCTACTCCATTTCCCCTCGGCCCAGGTATCTAACATTGTAAAGGACATGCTCCAATTCCTTCATTCCGTAGCTCATTCCAAGCGTTCGAGGACTGGAGTCTGCGCATGAAAGAAATGATACGATCTCGGAGAGCTGCTCTAAAAGAGCCTTCAGATACACATGAGAACGTAGTCACTGACCTTATCGGTCAGCTTGTCAGGGGTCAAGATGACGAATCCGACGAAGAGATGAAGCAATTATTTAGACTCAGTGACAGCGAGGTTTTGGGGAACCTATTCGTCTTTATGATTGCGGGTCATGAAACTTCGGCCAATACCATCTACTTCACTCTCATTCTCCTCGCATTACATCCGCCATTTCAGAAGAAGGTACAAGAAGAGTTGGCTGACATACGCGGAGGTCGTGCTGTCGACAATTGGTTTTTCGAGGAGCACCTCCCCAAACTCATCAATGGTTTACTGGGTGCCGCGCTCAACGAGTCACTTAGAGTCATCTCGCCAGTGCTAACAATACCCAAAGCTATATCTCAACCGCGAACTCTGTCTATTGATGGGAAAGATGCCACCATACCAGCTGACACTCTTTTCCGACTCTGTATTCCGTCTGTTCATCGCAATCCCAAGTTCTGGCCACGCTGTCCGCCAGCTGAATCTAATAGCCCTGCCCCTCCAGTCAATGAAATCGAGGACGATCTGGAGGAATTCAAGCCTGAGCGATGGATGACCAAAGAAACCAGTCTAACTGGCTTTATCAATTCGGCTAAAGCCCTCTCAGCGGAAGCCCTGGCTTCAACAACACAACCCATGGAATATTTTCGCCCATTTACACCCGTAAAAGGTGCATATATCCCTTTTAGTGATGGGCAGCGGTCCTGTTTAGGACGTCGATTTGCGCAAGTTGAAATACTTGCTGCTTTAGCTGTGATCCTCTCACAGTATTCTGTAGAACTTGCCGTCGATGAATGGGCAGAAGACGAGCATGTGGCAGCTATGTCTCATGAGGAGAAAATGAAGGTATGGCAGAAGGCGCACGACAAAGCTCAATTTCTGTTACGAGAAAAGATGACATGCATCATTACAGTACAGTTGGTCAAAGGCGTGAGCATACCTGTGCGTTTCGTAAGGAAAGGAAAGGAACGCTTCCACAGGTAGCAAGATTGTTTTCAACGGCGTTAGGGTCCTGTCATGATGTGAAGAGCGCAAAGGCGTTTCGGAAGACAGATGATTGCATGCACGGGTGTGCTTTTTGGATGACATCTATGATTCATGATGGCGCATCTGTTTTCTGTATTTGTCTTCGTTTTTGCGCGTTCGTTGCAAAGGGTCGGATCAGGTGGCGTTTTCGGGAGATACCTATGGGAATTTCTGCGTACATGACAATGTCGCATTGATTTGATTTCTGTACGACGAAGATACAGTACTATTTTAAATATTCATTAGAAAGCTACTACAAATAGAATGTCTGGTACATAGATCTTGCTCGTAGGTAACGATGATAGGCGGTTATACCTTGTCCTCCTAAAGCTTGCACACCAAATTTAAAGACATGTCAGGAAGGATTGAAGAATAACTCCGACATCGAATCAGCTTATGACGATAGGTCATGCGACCGACCGTGCTTAATCATTCTAGGTTTGACAAACGCTTCCTGTACGACTAAATCCCGAGTACTTGGAGTTGGGTGTCCCTCAGCTTGAGAGGGTGACAGCGCCGTGGTGGCGGGGTGTACCAATTTTTGACAGTTACACATCTCAAGTTTGCTATGGCGATATTGATGGGTCATAAGATGTCCGCTTGTGAGACACCGCTAACGGCTATTCCACCGGATCTAATCTTTACCATAGCTTGCTTTGTTAGAATCGTCTCAGAGCTTTGTCGAGTTACCCTTTGTTCTGTTGGTAATTATAGCGAATACTCACTGTTGTGACAAAGAAGTAGTTCAATGAAGAACAACCATGACTGTATGGTTATGGAAACCTCCTTGTTCTGCGAGATGAAATATAAATCATTTGTGATATCTACTTGGAAATGATGATTACGAATTCTTGCAAACACGCAAGCATAGTTACTGGCTCAAGTCAAAATCATCACTTAGAAACCACCTACGCATTTCTGACAAACTACTAACACCACCACTACCATGGCAGCATCCCACGCACGAGACTTCAGCGCCAAACAACTCTCCTGGATCTTCATCCCCATCCTGCTCATACTCTTCGTCCTCGGCGCCATCATCTTCGGCCGCTACTACAGTCGACGTCGCCGCGCCACACGCCAACTCATTGCCGCCGGAGTCGTGTCTCAAGATCTCGAGAAGGCAGCGGCGAATGCCCATCGATCCATCTCCCACGTCCCGCTTCCCGCACCGTATTACGGGCGAGAGCATCCCGGGAGCGGCAGTGATAGCTCGAGCTTTGAGAGCATCAAGAAGAAGAGGAGGATTGTGAGTAAGTTGCCTAGTCCAAGAGAGTATGTTCTTGAGGATGTGGATTTGGGCGGGGATGTCGAGGTCCCGATGCCTGCTTATGATCGGCCGAGGAGGGATTCGGAGACGGGGATTTATAGCACACGATAGCTTAGCTTTCGTGGGCGATGACTATATCCTCGACTTCAGCTACCTGCCATCTTCATCACTGGTTCACTTACTCTAACTCGAAGACTTGGTTCTATAGATGAATCCAAAACAAATATCTTTAACTCAATCTAAAAATTGCTACACAACTGCTATAAATTCATCCTCCATATACACTCCCACTTATTGTGATCTAATATAAGTGCGTGAAGCGAAACCGTTCCTTGTGCTTTTCTGTTCCTATAAACTGAGTCTCGCTGATTAATCCATTCCTGTCAAGGCAACGATGGTTCAGATGCTGCCACCTTCAACGTTATGTATTTAGGATTACAAACGTAGAATAAATTTCATAAACAAGGTACGAGGTATAAGAGTGCTCTTAAAAATAGCAGAAAGACTCGGTACAATCTGTGACTATTTTTAATCCGAGCCAAACCGTAGTTTTCACGCTGGTCCGCGAATATGGGTATGAGACTCTTTCTTTTTCGACGGCTTGTGATAAGCCATCCAGAGCGAGTGAATTCTGTCGTTTTCTGTGATGCCAACAATAGTCACTGAAATATTGCGTAGTATATAGCATGTGAACTTAAATTCAATGATTTCTATCATCTGACTATGCTGCGCCACCACTGAAGGTACACTTACTAATGGGTAAACTCAAAGTTGCTTATTTTGCCGGAAGACTTTCTGGTCACAATCACAGTTGAGAGTTTGTGGTGCTGAATATTGAGCTTGCTTTTATGAATAGCGTTGAACTTCTTTTTGTATATTCAATCATTAGAATGTATTTTATGGTGGCCTTGTAGTATTCAATAAGTTAGTTTCAAGCATTCAGTATCTCACTTGCCATTATCTCTAGATGTATTGAGAGGTCTGAATTATCCTAGTAATCTCTTCAATACACAACAATATTATTCTTAATCTCTAGAAAGACAATTATAAGTACTAACTTTCAATTCTACACCCCAAGAAACGGAAAGGCAGCAAACGCCGAAACTAAATAAGAAACAACTCAAAAACAACCCGAATATATTGTTTTCAACCAATCCATACGCAAATTTCTACCAAGATTCACTAAGATCAAGCCAATACCCAAAATAATCCCCAAGTAATGCAATCTACTCCCACCGAATCTTCGTTCATGCGTTACAGAACTTGATTTTCTATTTCACCCAACCCTTGGCTAGATAAGCGCTCAGTAACGAGAACGCAATGAAATAGCCCTTCGAGTACTTCCTCCAGTCAAAAGGCACCGGTCCGACCATGGCTGGCTCGGTACTTTTTTCCTTGGCTATGGGAAGCCGTCTTGGATAACCGTAAATGTCGCTTGGGTTGAATCGCCAAAGCGACTTATGCCGTGGCGCGAGAAACCAATCGATGAATGATAGAATCGCGGGGTTGAGATATGGGAAGCAGGAGCCTGCTTCGTCGATTGAGACGTACCGGTCTTGAGCGCCGGCATAGAATGGTGCCATTCTGGTTAATGTTAGTAAGATCAGATGAATATAGGGAGTTAGGAAACTTACTTGAAAATATCACTGTATTTCTCGGCATTGTCGCGCATAGTTTTGTCTATCTTAGCGAGATCTGCGGATGAGATCTTGGTGTGAAGATCGAGAATTGTCTGGATTTCAGCATTCATATGTGCCTCGTATGGACGCGCCATGTTTTCGATCAATGTTAGAAGATCGTGACCGTTATAATTGTCTCTTGACGTTGTCTCGGCGTATCTTAAGAGGCTATGGACATATGAATCCAACTCTTCATGCTCTTTGACATTACTGTCCATCAAGCCCGGAATGCCAGTGACTCGTTCAATTTCCGGGAAGAAGTGTCGATCTTCCATAATATGATGGTGGTGCATGAATTCGAATACGATGCTACAATATGCCAGGAAATCAGTGGCATTTTGTGTGCCTGGACATACTTCGAGAGCTTGATGGCAGATAGCATTAAGCGCACGGAAGATAGTGTTGTGAGTTGTCGCCATTATCCGCGCATTCTTTATGCAATAATGGTCTTTGGGTAATCCAGGCTTCGTTTTCGCACCTGTACTTGTAATGAGTTTGAATGGCTCCTCTGGCCATGGTGAAGTTCCAGGTACAATTGCTGGACCGTGGACTTCTGGGCTCAAGTACCAATCTACTGATCCCTTGACGGCTTCTTCTTGGTTTGCCCACGGTTGACCCTCCCAAGGCTTAAAACCTAGAAGCTTTTTAGCCTTGGAGATGTTGTAGGTCCTTGTAAGAAGTACGAATTCCATCCGTTCGACTTTGAGCATCTCAGGACGATGCTTACCGCCACTAAAAGCCCATACGAACCACTGTTGTCGAGAGTTAGCATTTACACTTTTTATTATATAGAAACATTGTGATTAAGGAAGCGGCGGTAAAAAAGGAAGGTACTTGATAAGAATTTATACTAACCTCCGCAATATATGCCATCATCATGACGATAACAGGCGGTATCATCCACACATTGCTCAAAGGTGTCTTATCACCAGCAAGGACCCAATATTTTCGAAAGAACGTCCACGGAGGTGCAGGTTGGTCATCTGTGATGTTGAAAGACTCGCCGTCAATTTTAGGGGCAGTTGGATCTACATGACGGCGTAGAAGTCCTAGTGCAGCTAAAACTTCTGCTTTTGCGACATGACCAACATAGACGACATCCATATCGATGTCGTTGTAACCCATCCAGATATTCGTTTGTCCATCTTCGAGGACCTTGACAACTGGCCCTACCATCTGAGTGTCTCCTTCGCCATAGAGAGCAGTGGGTCGAATACATGCAGTGAGAATACCTAGTGACAAACGACTGTCAATGAATGTTAACCTAATAATAAGCTGACTTACCATTTTTTCCATTAGCTTCGAGTGTAATCTTATCTCCCAATGCCTTAGCAATATGATATGGATCTCCCTTTTTGCTCACAGCAAGTGTTGGGAATGTCTCGTCTGCATGATCATATGCACCACCCGTGCCCGCAATGATTGGACCAGAAGAAGTGTAAATAAATGCTTTGACGGTGCCAACGGCGGCGGCTTCGTCTAAAAGGCTTTGAGTCCCATCGACGTTGACTCTGAAATTGTCGATAGCGTGTTCGTGGTCGATATATGCATGCGGTGATGCTGTATTGATGATGACTTTGGGTTTGACTTGGTGGACGACATGCTTAACATGCTCAGGAATTGTGATATCTCCAATATGATAACTTACGCCGTCAAATCGATTTTTGAACGGCGAGCGACTCATTACCGCAACGGCGGTGCATGATGGTTCTGCAAGGAGGAACTTGACAACATGATGTCCAAGAAATCCGCAACCACCTATCACCAAGACTGTTCCGAGGCCGAGTTCGTCTTCGTCAAGTTCAATAGATTCGGACAACTCCTTCTCTTGCTTAATATCGAATGAAGGCATTTGTCTAAAAAGGTATGAATAACTCGATGCTGGTACAGGATCCTAACCTTTGTTGCTACTGTGACCAAAATCTCATGCGAGTCCGTCGAGGTGTGTGATGTGGGGAAGGAAGGAAGGAAGCAAGTAGGGTGACATGACATCGGGCTTATAGTTTCGCAAGCGGGAGTGATTCATGTGTCTGTCACTATGGAAACACTAGCCGGACTGTTCTATATGTTCAAATAGTGTGTTCAAATAGTGAGAGTGAATAAGATGATCATATGTCATGTTAAGCGAACGAGTACCGGTGAAATACAATTGAAGTACAGGTGAAGCGGACAATGATGTCTCGGGTCAATACTGTACCTCCGAATGCCAAGCTATGCATTGTGGCTTTTCTTCTAGAAGGCAGAGGTTACACCGATGTGAGGCACGCAGCATCGGCATGTAAGGTCCCAGATCTTGAATATAAATGACGGGTATTGTACCCCGTATTGTAGATCGTGACAGTTGATTGCAGACATGCGTTACATCGTTTAATCGACACAAACTTGCCATTTAATTGACTCTTTGTCCCAGATGTTTCTTCAATACCAAAATGCCAACTGCGGTGCGGGAAGGGCGAAAACGAATTTTGTACATTCCAATCTTGAATAACGACATATTATGATTCCCTGTTAATCACAACCCACTCGTCGTGATCGCTTGTACTTTCCGCGGGCTTCTCCAAATCTTTTGACATCTCCGAGACCTCGATGCTGGGGCACTCAAGTACACCAATCGGTCTCAACGAGTAGTCGTCAGTCCACCAGTCTCCACCAGCTATAACACTGTCAGCACGTTTCGTACAGAGAAACAACAATAGTCGTTTGTTCGCAAAATGCGTAACGCTAATGGTAGCCGCGGCTCGGCCGATCTGAAAACAAATGAAACCTCGCAATAAAACCTCGCATATTGGACAAAAGAAATGGCAACAGATTTTGACTACCCTACAGACCCAAGTTATACTTGAGTCTAGGTAAGTGCTTTAGCCCTTAACAGGCCTCAAATGGACTTCGAAAATGTCTAGTTTAATGAATGTGGTAGACAGACATGGGATACGATGTCAATCTGTGCGAATATGTTTCGTATTTTGACTGCCACTTGGTTTTTACACCGCGAAGTGACCTAATGTAAGCAACGTTGAAGCATCGTTGACAGATATTTCATCACCCAAAAAGTGAACGATTATTTGCAACAAAATATAGGAATTCACTTACTTCTCCACATTTCGGGTTGGCACATATTGATATACTCAGGTAGATGAACATGACCGAAGCTGTTATAGCGATTGCCACTGGAACAAATTAGTTACCTTTTTGTCCTTATACCCAGCAGATCGGCAATCTGGTCTGAGGACCGCACCCTCTCCCGGTCGTTAAAGATATAGAATGAGAGAAAGAACAAAGAGAAGCGTTGCTTACAAGGCAGTGATGGCTATTTGGTGGGGTCCTGAAGTAAGCTGTCCAAGCGATAGACTCCGTGGTTGAAAAGCAATCGTGCCTATTTTCGAATTCGTAGCGGTTGATGTGACAGTCAAGACAGGGCTGCTGAAATTAGGTACTCTCAGTGTAACGTCTGACCTGGGCGATTCGTTGGGAACAACAAAAAGACAGTTATATGTCACATTGCCAACGTAAAATGGAAACCCTTGGTCAGTGATGTTCCCCCAAGTCAAGTTAATCCGCTCAAGCGGCTCGAGAACAGTGTCCCGGCCATTGAGCGTAACGAAAAATGCGCCCAGTAGATAGATTCGTTCCACATTGGTCAGTATTCCGAAAGGAAACTCTAACACGATCACGTTGCTACCCTTTTTGATTGTTTTCTTCGGTATCCTCAACGTATTAATAGCCTCATCGACCCAGTAAGGATAGTCATCTTCGTTGGTCGGTATATCAACATCGTTGACGGTGATTTTCATTTTATTGGCATCCTCGAGTGCTAGATTTGTGAAATCATCAACGTCGAAAGACGATTCAAATCTAAAGCGCAAAGCCAATTTTGCTTTCCCAGCTCGATCTTTGACTGGTATTGACCATGGTTGCTTCCAAGCAAGTCCTTTCCGTGGGATGCCAAGCCGCTCACGAAGAATGTTATCGATTCGCAGAATCTCTTCCGTTTGCTCCCAGGCTCCCTCATCAACCTTAAATTCGGCGTAGTCTAAAAGGAGCACATTAGGCTCAGACAATTCTAGGCTTGTAAGAATAACATCTGATGTCTCTACGTTTGTGATCGGTGGAGGATTGACTGGAATGGTGAGCGCGGGATGCATCTGATTTTCTGGCTTAGCAGGAGAGAGTCGAAGGATAACACTAGCACAGCCCTCAAAGCGGTAGGGTAACGCAGTCCAACCTTCAATCTTACCACTGGAGAGATTATTCTCAGTGCCAGTAATAGAGTTCAGTTCTTCGACCTCCCAATAGCCCTTCAGCTTGATGACGGACTGCACCGGATTATTCCTGTCTCTATTGCAAATAAAGACGAAGCGCTTATCATCATCCTGACGCATTTGATATATCAAATTAACTGTTGGGTCTCCTTGATCAGTAACAATCCGTATTTCTCGGTGTTCTTCTAAAACCGATAAGATGTTATGTTGTGTCCAGAAGACGCTTTGACTGTTATCGATCGTAGGATTGGTACGCGGCACTGCAGCATCAACCAGATCTGGAACACTTCCCGCAAATATTACTTTTCCTCCAGACTTGGAAAACTGGCGAAGAACCTTTAATGTGGTTGAACGTATAGTACGTAAATTTGGTACCAACACCACGTCGTACTCACAGGCGCCGACATGAAGCTTCTTACCAACAATCTTTGGAGATTGATCAGGTAATAAACTTTCTGCGATGAAGTCAAAGTCTAGAAGGGCATGAAGAAGCCAGTGGGTTAGATCTCCAAATGCACGATCTCGCTCCCCGGTTTCATTGGCCCCGCCATTAGGCCCAAAAGCCATCCAGTAGCTTTCGATGGGATGGATGACCGCAATCCTCGTTACCGCTTTGCCTCTAGTCAGTACAGTACCAACTCTTGCAAAGTGATCTTCGACATGGCCGTACTCCTTGTACCAGGGGCTTTGATACCCAATTGAGGCTGGATAATCTCGCTTGCCCTCTCCAGCCATGCTCATCCAAGTGAGGTGGTGGACTCGGAAAGTTATACCGAGTGCCGCTTGCCAGTCACCACAGCCTTTGTGATCTTGAAATGTGAAGGTCCAATGGGTGACGCCGTAAATCTCACACATGGCACCCCTAAGGCCATTTTGACGAGCGACACTAGAAACTTGCTTTGCAGTATTGTATTCTGTCCAATCACACAATAAGTCCATACCAGGCATTTCCATACTACGGTATGCACGCATTGCTTCCCCAATCGCCGAAGTCTGCGAGTAAAGAGTCGGCTCTTCCATCATATGCCCGTTCAGCATGATTCCATTCTTCTTGCACCATGCTCCAATTTGGTCCATGAACGCCGTCACAAACCGTTCGCAAACGTGGTCATGATATCGGTAACGGGCAGTGCTTGGTTTTCCGTTCGGTAGATCCCAAACAAGTTGAGGGATAGCCTCGAAAAGATCTGCAGAATATTCTTCTTTGAACGAGTGAGGGAAGTCGGAAGTCCATGGGAAGAACACATCTTCTCTAGCTTTCGGGTTAGAAAGCCCTGTTTTTGTAGCAAATTGAGGCTCGTCTGTGAATATGCATGGCACGACGGAGCCGAATTTATTGCCTATCTTACTCTTGTAGACTTCGTGTGTCATCTCAATGAACCTGCCCATTGCATCCTTGCTAAAGGTGTCAATATATGTTTGACCATTATACCAAGGTGATCCAGGGTTTGTTTCTTCGTAAAGATACCAGATATTTTCACCGGTCTCTCCTTCTTTGAGAACTCTACTTGATTTCAGACAGCCGTTTTCGTCCAGCGTAATGTCGTATCTTGCTATCATTTGGCCATTCTCACTGCGACATGCGCGTGCAGAAGTCGGCATGCGGTCTCCAGTAAGGGGTACGGTTCCGTACAGGAATGGAGTGAACATCACATGCTTCCCTTTATGCTCTGGGTATTTCTCTGTAACGAGACCTCCCGCTGCTCCAGACGGCCACCGATCCTCGTCGTATCTAGCAAGATTTAGCTCTACCATCTCGACCAATACGAATACTTACAGGCATGCCATCAAGTTCTTGCTCTCCGCGTAATCAACACAGGCTTTGACGAGATCCATGAACTCTGTCCCAAGATACTCTGTATCGAGTCCAGTCCTCACGTGTATATGGAACCCACCCAGTCCCATGTCAGCGAAATTATCGATTTGTCTAAGCAACTGATCTTTTTCGCATTTTGCATTCCACGCCCAGAGTGGGCACCCTCTGTATTCTGAAGTAGGATTTCGAAATAACTCAGAACTGAAGGGTTCTGCACTCTTGGGATAGGTCAACGGATTCACGTTCTTCTTCTTTCCATGGCTTGCCGTTTCAACCCTTTTCTGGAGAGCTGAAGTGGCTACTGAAGTGAGATATTCCATGACGTATATTCCGGTGCTCGATATCTCTTCGAATTGTGAAGTCCCTCGTCCCCATCATGAGATGTAGTTGATACTGAATTACGGCGGGGAACCTAGTATGTTTCAGCCAAGCGAGGATCCGACGGGTGTCAGCTCAGCCCTGGAGACGCAAGGCAAGTAGATGTCAAAGTGAGCCTTCACGTGATCTCAACTCCTTGTTCACGATGACGCCGGCCTTGGCAAACGCGTGTGCTTTGGACGCGACTAAATCAATATCGACAATGGGGATTGGTAGCAACCAGGAGCATCTGCCGCACAACTCTCCGAAATGGAATCAAGTACGTAGATACTACTCTTGGATATGTCTGCGGCCATTACTGATATAACCAGCTCGTGAGGAACGTATGCAACAGAGGCTACGAGGGAGCCAGTAAGTCGTCGTAAATCCCTTAGATTGACATACTAATAGTCGCGATAGGAGACGTCAAGTAAAGGAGGTTGACTTTGGTCTTACATTTCCAGTTGTGCCCGCTGCGGGCGGACAGGAATCTCCCGCAAATCCTCAGCTCGAGGGAGCTCCTACTCCGCAAATCACATTCGATGCAAACAAGGGTTCTGGGGAAGAGCTCAATCCACGACCAGCTATTAGAAGTGGTGCCTTTGACGCGAACACGTCAGCGAAGAGGAGGAAGTTGAACAACGATGGGCCGTCATCTGGACAAAATGTCAATCCAGCACCACTAGCCCCTATTCCGGATATTTATGCAATTCCTGGTGATGATGGAGAAGATGCACCCGTACAAGCAGAGAACGATGAGGCCTCGAACGAAAAAATACTCTTGTCACCACGCATTGCTTCGCCGGAGCTTGGACTTCACGAATCCACGACGGATGTAAATATGGCACAACCACCGCCTGCCACGCTATATGAGATCGAACAAGTCAATGAAAGCCCTGCAAATGCCCCAGGTAGCGGACACAGAGCTCGAGTGTTGGATACTGTCCTACCGGCAAGCTCGCAATTGAATGATGTAATCAACAGTAGCCCATTGAGAAGAGCAGCAGCCACTCCAAGATCGCCCAGGCGGCGCTCGACGAGGGAAATATCAGCGAGTCCCGTTCCCACAAACCCTCAAGACGAAAACGGCATACTATCGCCATCTCGGGTTGATGCCTTTGAGGAGAGTGAATTATCTCCTATTGAGCAGGCCAAGCGACCAAACAAACGACTGCCCAAATCCGATGGCCAGCCTCGACCGGCCACCAAGCGTACGCATCGTAGTACTAATATAGATGAGGATCCTGCTGTTGAAGATGTAGTAGCGATTAGCGACAATGAAGCTGCTGCCATATTGGGAAAGCACTATGCTGGTCGTAATGAACAAGCTCTCTATCGCGAGGCATCACCGGATCTGGGCAGTAGTATGCAAACCGTGTCCACTCCAGCAGATCGCGTCCGTAAGAAGAGTCAGAGATCTCACAGGCTGCCGGGAAAGAGGCAGCAAAGAAGTTCTACAAAGCCCAAAGCGCAAGTCTCTAAAAATCCATCTAGACGCGCGAGTCTCCGCAGCGGAAGCCCGATACCAGTTACTGTACACCGTCTTACAAAGCGGCCGCGGAGTAGTATCGACGAACACGACCCAAATCATCCTACTGATGAAGTACCGTATGCTAGACGGCCTGGTGTTAATTCTATAGACGTGCTAAGTCAAGTCTGCACTGAGATAATTGACAGTGGATTGAGTACGCTCGAAGAAGGCAGGAGAAACGCTGAAGACAATGAATTGAGGCGAGAATATAAGACTAAATGGAGTGCCTTGAAGTCTTTTGGCTCTGAATTGCAGTCACGATTGCTATCGCATGTGAGTAGGATCAAGGTTTTCACAATTTCATGTTGCTGACTCTTAGAAGACGATCAACCTTGACAATGGATATACCCTTGATAAACGCGTTCGTGAGGAACTAAAGAAAAAAGTAGCTCTCAGAGAAGAGATATTGCGCGTGCGCTTAGAGCGGGAACAGTTAGCATTACAAATGGATGAAATCAGAATCAAGCATGAGAACGAAACAAAACTTGTTCAGGTACGGAGCTTTCTGCCTCAACGAGGCATTTCACACGCGCTGTTTATAGGCTGACCAGTTTAGGAACGTGATGCTCTCAATACTGCTGCACACGATATTGAATTAGCCGTAGATCGGGGCAGGACCAACCGACCTGTTCACAGTTCGAACGATGTGAAAATGAGCGGGCCCGAAGTGATTTTGAAGCGGATTGTAAATAAAATCAGTAACAAGGGTGACTCTGGTGGCATCCTTAAACAGATCAAAGATTTCAACGGCTTTCTCGAACGAGCTGCACTCGCTCTGGAGTCTAAAGCGGGTTGAACATCAGCATCTGAAGCCTCAAATTTCGGAGTTACATCAACCAATTACGACGCACAATCTCGTTGTGGACGACGAAATCGAGTATCCCGAATGTTGCCGGCTCGAGTTGAAGCGTCCGTCGAATGAACCTTCTCACTCGACATTGTTGGCCACCGGTAGTCTCCTCAGCGCGCTTGATCTGGATGCTTGCCAGCACGACAAACCACAATGTCGTGGAAAATTACCTTTCTTGCAAGGAAGAAATCCCGCAACGCCGAATAAGTTATCCACCAAATGCTGACGGCGTGGCGCACAAAGTAACGTTTCTGTACCAAGAACTTTAGCAAAGGCTTTATTATATTATTTGAATAAAGGAAATGGGTGGGAAAGTGCCTTTGTCCGAAGTATCCACATTCCCCAAATCTTGCGACGAGGACGACGGTCGAAAGCAGCTTTAGGCTTTAGTAACAAAGAAAATCTCTTCCTCCACAATTCTTCATATGGCCGCCTTACAACATGCAACTCTCGACAAGTCAACTTAAGAACTCCAAATCGATACGACTCCTGCCCATTACCTGCCTACCAGCCGCCGATATTGTCGAGATCACAAACCATGTGTACTGTTACGCGCTACTCATACAGTTATTGTGGTTGCAAAGAAACTTCAACCCACCGTTGCGCTTATGCGACGAAGCATAACCTCGAGCCCGATAGTTGTACGAAGCATTGTGGTGAGGATATTTTGCGACACGGATTTTGTGCGAAGTGCGTTAAGGACAGTTACTTGGGGCGGAGTCGACATCAAATATGTTGTTGGTTTGGTGATGGGAGGGTAAGGGGTTGACAAGAGGGTTCGAAAAACTGCATCAACGCGAATGCCTGCCTACGACCGCCTCTAGAATCATTCAACACATACAATACAAGGTCCTGAACCTAATTCAAACGGTCCTCGTACATGCTATCTCGAGCTCCGCCCTATCTGCATTCAATAGCACGGTTTATCCACCTCGGCCATGACATCCTCCCTTTCTAGATGTCCATTTACGACGCAATAACTTCTCAGAGTTCAACCCACGTTTTGTTCACGAAGCTAGAAGACGCAAGATACCCGACAAAGTTATACACGTGTTTAAAGTCGTTGAATCGTCAACAAGGCTGGGCAGGAAGAAAATTAGCTTCGGTTATCACGGAGGTCTCAAGTGGGTGTAATGTTTGAAAGCGATAGCGATATGCCTTAAACGAGACAAGAAAAGCTCGTTTATCATAAATGATTATGCTCTTTTTTCTCTCTGGTTGATGCTATATTATGCGTAGATGCTGCGCGAGCGTGTGACGGTGTGGCGGTCTTTGGCCCGCTTCCCAGGTACTGGCCAATTCCAGCAGCTGAAAAATGAGGCTGCGCAACACAAGTGGGTATGCTCTGCATTTCCGTACATTACATCTAGTCGTGGCATGCCCAGATAGTTTTAGCAGGCTCCAGTTGCTTATCACTCTTTGTGCCTAATCTGTAACGGCTCTAGAAGCATTTGTTTCGATAAAATTGTATATATGGCCGACCCACTTACCGCCTTGGGTCTCGCAGCCAGCATTGTGCAATTCATCTCGTTCACCAGCAGCCTTATCTCTAAAGCCAGCGAGATCTCGAATACTGCCCAAGGTGCTACTGTGGAAATCATAGAATTAAAAGCCATCGCTACTAATATCACCACTCTAAACGCAGAGATACTCCCTCCTAGCGCTCCTCGTGGCAATGACCAACAATCGCGGAAAGCTGCCAAGTCTGGAGAGCTGCTACATGAGCTCTGTACTGGTTGTGAGGAGGTTTCGAAGAAGCTACTAGATGTTTTGGAGAAGCTGGAGTGCGAGGGAGGTCGTAGTAAATGGAAGAGCTTTCGTCAGGCACTGAAAACTGTTTGGAAAGAAAGCGAGATTGAAGCGTTGTCTAAACGCCTCGAACGGTACAGAGGGCAAATAGACACGGCTTTGCTTGTATCTCTCAGGTATTATATTCAGGAGAGGGAATCGGCTATTGATACTCTGACCGAGGAAATCAAGAAAGGCACATTCATCAGCAGGATTAGTGACATCAAAACGATCCAGCTTGAGCTGGCGGATATTCTTGAATCGAGAGAGTGGCAGCTGAAGAGTCCTAGTGATTTGGAGTTATTCTCGTCGAAGGTGTCTGAAAGTGCAGATTGTGGAAGACAAGAGCGCGCTGCTTCGCAGATTCTCGAAAAGCTACGGTTTCGGGGCATGGAATCCCGATTTGATAATATTCCTCATTCTTATCAACAGACTTTCAATTGGATACTGGAAGACAACCAAAGTACTCCAGATTTCTCGACAAGTCCTTCAACACATAGATTGAGCGAAGACAGCGTGGATCCTCCTGTTACGCCAAGTCGCAAACCGCGCAAGAGCTGGGACAGCTTTTCTGAATGGCTACGAAGCGATCAGACTTTGTACTGGATAACGGGAAAGCCTGGATCGGGCAAGTCAACATTAATGAAACACCTATCTCTACACCACAAAACAATGGAGAATTTGGCTGAATGGACGAGATCTCAGAAGCCAATCGTTGCAGGGTTCTTCTTTTGGAACTCAGGAACCGCGATGCAAATGTCGGAGATGGGTTTATTTCAAAGCTTACTTCACCAAGCCGTCAAAGGTAATGAGGAGCTAATACCGGGGATTTTCCCAGAAAGATGGAGGCATCATGAGCTATTTGGTACCGACCTGCGCCCTTGGTCCTTAGATGAACTTTCTAAAGCATTCGAAATCATGGTGTCTGACAGTTCCCGGAAGTTCTTCCTTTTCGTTGACGGATTGGATGAATTCAGTGGAAACGAAGGGAAACTGGCGAAACTCATTATTGATATCGTTTCATCGAGAAACAACATCAAGATGTGTGTTGCAAGTCGACCTTGGCTAGCCTTCGAAGACGCGTTCTACATGCGACCGTCACTGCGTCTAGAGGATCTGACATCGCTTGATATCCAGAACTTCGTCGCTGGTAACCTGGGAGGTCACCGATTGTTCTCAAACCTCCAAAAGGCACGGCCACGCGAAGCGAAAAATCTCATATTGGAAATTACGGAGAAAGCATGCGGGGTGTTTCTCTGGGTACACTTGGTTGTGTTGTCTCTATAGCAAGGGTTACAAGATGGCGATAGTATCGCCGATCTTCGTGAGAGACTACACCTCTTACCGTCTGACCTGGAGAAGCTTTTCGAGAAGATCATTGGTTCTGTCAGTCCGCCTTATCTTGCACAGGCATGTATGATATTTCAGTGCCTCCGAGTGACTGACCAGCCACTGTCATTGTTCGACCTATCTCTTGCCCAGGAGACTTTTGACGACGCCATGGCTGCAGAAGTCAAGCCTATGGATTCTACTGACATTCAATTTCGAGCAGAAACGACTAGGCGTCGTTTAAACAGTCGCTGCCGGGGTCTGATTGAGGCTCCAGATTATGAGGAGGTGGGACCGAATGCAAAAATTCAGTATTTACACCGGACGGTGAAGGACTTTCTCGCCCCTAGACGTGACTGGGAGATTAATGCAATTTCAGAACACCCTAGCTTCCATCCGGACCTCGCTCTTTGCAGCGGATACCTTCTACATCTCAAAGTCCTTTCCCGCAACAAGAGCCTGTTCTTTGACAAGTTCTGGAAACTTTTCGATCTCTGTTTAATCCGCTTTGAGTCCTTCAGAAAAGACGCCGTGAAAGGCCAAAACAATATCATTGATAGACATCTGGAGAGCCACTTGCATCTTGTTGAAGAGCTTCAGCGTATAGGAGATGAAACTTTCGGCAGTGTCCGCCCAGACGGCAGGAAGTGGTTAGACTTCTTTGTAGCACAGAGCAGAGATATCGGGCTCTTCAACCACTCTCGCATTAAGCATTGGCATCAAAGTCCTGAAACCCACCCTATGCCGAATCTTTTCCCGAAGTACGCCATCAAATACGAGCTTGTCTCCTTTTTTCAATCACGATTAAAGGCGGGATGGGAATCAGATCTCAAAATATATGGCCCTTCTTTACTTCACAAGGCCGTGGTTACGGAGGATGTACATTTCGCTGAGCTTTTACTTCAAAACGGAGTCGATCCCAACTCACGCTTCAAGAATATTACTGTTTGGCAAGATCTACTGGCAAAGGCGAATGGGCTTTCGGACACTCAATCGAAGGACACATGGGTTGGCCTCGTTTTACTGTTTCTAAAATATGGAGCCAAGCCTCGAATTACCGTTGATGGTCGGTCGGCAAAATCTATCATCCAGAGTATGTGCCCCGAATGGGATGAGTCTAAGCTGGATCAGGTCTTGGGTGGATCGTCTAAACTATGGTCTGGACTGATCCCAGGAACGGGGCAAAAGACGCAGACGAAGAAGTCCGTTTCCACTTTTGAGAGAATTTTCAAGAAATCTCTTAGGAGGTCTACATGACTGTCGAGGATTTGGGGTTTGTAATGAACCGATGGGGTGATCAAATCAAAACCTCATCGGGAACGAAGTTGCTATCAGCAACCTACCAACCAATCTCCAAAGCAATAGCAGCGTTATGAGGTGTTTTAATTTTATCGGTTTCTGAATGAAATGTCAAGATGTCTTGGATACTCAAGCAGCTGGTGTAATTCGCGACACTGTGTCAACGTGACCGACAAAACGAACAAACGATAGTGTGCTAATTTGGTTGACAAAACATATTATCTCAACTACCACATAGTTTATCTACGGCAAGACTGAGCTGCAAAGCTATTCTATCAAATAAAATTTTAATCATTCATCCATCCTACTCGGGTATTCTAAGACTGATGTTATGGCAAACGAGACTTCACAGATCTCGCTAATTGCATATGAAACAACATCATCTGTTTTCTTTGTGAGAACAGTGGGAGTAATTTCATTTATCTTACTCCTCGTTGACCAATTATTTGGCTTTAGTTGATTTTTGACAGAGACTCGATCAGTAAGGCCCAGTTCACTCAGAACTGAAAGCTCTTTTTCTCGTTATTTTGACAGGGTAATTTAAGCCTCTATTCCTTATTCAGCTGTCTCCGTTCAGCGCTTTGATTGCCAACCCTTAAGCGAAGTAGTCGACTAGGACAGGGCAGTAGATCCTAGTTAGATGTCCCCATAATTAACTGAAGCTTTTGGGTTCAGTTCTGATTTGTATGGGAAACGAGAAAAGGTACTCGGGAGTACCTTTTCTCGTTCTCGTTCTTGTTAATAAAACAGAGGTTTTACTACTATTATTTAGAGTATTTATAAATTAGGCAATATAATACCTTAAGCTTCTTAATAAATATACTTTACGATATTATTAGTTATAGTATATATATATACTAATCGCTTTTAATCATAATTACTTACTATTATAGAAGTTGAAAGAACAGAGTAAAGAATCCGAGTTCGAGTGTTTAATAAATCACAGGGGCTTTACGATGATTGGCCCACTTATACACCGAAGAGGCATAGACTTATTAAGATCCTAGTAACACCCTGGCGGAAAACGAGAACGAGAATAAATGTCAGTTCTGAGTGAACTGGGCCTAAACAAAGCTTGTTGTTGTACATCGTAAGATGGCGATCAAGAAAAACCTTAAAAAGTATATAGACGAAATAGGATTCAACCCAAATTTCTGCGATCCTTCCTTACCACTCAAGAACCGTCAGAGTCTGTTAGTTGTAGAACTTATCCGCTGTTATGACCTCAAGATAACTAGTTCTTCTTCCGCACCTGATGACCACAGAAAGTTTGTGCGTGCTATTGGTACTTACATCAAACTTATGAACTTTTTTGTAAAAGAGGATGCTAATCCCAAAGACAGAGCAACGGATTTCGGTGCAGACAGATTTCATTTTGGTCGGCGATCGCCTGAGCACGAAGTTGATCAAGAAGAAGTTGAACTGAAGTTGTTAGAGTTCACTCTTGCTCAGATCAAAAGTCTTGCTACATCAACTCCAGAATCGGCTAGCGATGACGAAGTAAACGATGAATTCTCTATTGCTGATAAGACTCAGTATTTGATTTCCGAATTGACTCGTCGATATCAAACACACTTTCCATCACCCCTCTCCAACGAAGATAGGAAGTTGCAACGTAAATTCTCCCAAGACCTTCTCAAATTCGTTGCAGACGTTCAGAGAAAGGCACATGAAGGCGTCATCAAGCAGAAAGACATTGAACCTTGCATTCGTCAATGGGCATTGGTAGTTGAGCTTCGTCGCCAGTATCATTCTACCTTCACTTCCGTTAAACCTACGGAGGAGGACTTAGCAGCTCAACATGAATTTTCACAGGAGCTTTTGACATTCCAAAAGATCCTACTGAGAAACGCAAAAGATGGTATGATAAAGCAAGAAGAGGTCGAGCCGCAGTTGCGGTTGTGGGCTATAGAGGTTGCTCCTATGCTTGCAAAGATGGCCCAGGTCGCGAAGTGATGCTCTTGATTCGCGACGAGCGATATAGATTACATTAAAATAGCTTGCATTTCTCTCTATACTTCACAGTAATTACTCTTAAGTCCAAATAATATAATGATCAGCAAATAGATCTTTGCAATTGCATCTTTCCCATGTATGACGGCCAGATTTCTGAAATGAACAAAGACTCAAATACTATTCTGTATTACTTATAAATATATAAAGTCAACACTATGTAAAAGCCGAATCCGAAATCTCAACCAAACACAATGGGCAAACCATTGTTAGATATTTTGGAAGTACAGAGTTCTGTTGCAACAAAGAAGGTCCCAAACAACCGAAAATTCCTTTGTTGTTTTCAATCATAGTACACCCCGTGTTGTAGAACACAGCAACAGAACAGTAAATCCGCAGCGTCTGATATAGCTATGTTTATCCCACAGGAATCTCAAGTGCATAAGGTTTCTGAAATCCTTTCAGACATTCAAAAGCTATTTTTAGACAGGATACATATATATTCATATATCACAATATATATTACACTATGTGCAGAAGCAAGATGATTCACTATCAGTACTGTGGTCATGTCACCTCTCCTGTCTTTGAAAGATGCTCGCAAGGAAGTTTCTATGAAAACGTCCATCCCAACGACTCCTGTCAAGGATTCAAGGAGGTCACCGCTGAGCGATACCAGCGTTGCCCTCAATGCCTCGCCAACCCTCCTTCGTCCGGTGGCCTTCGAGGATTTTTGGATGGTCTCTCCCGCAGAGCATCAGTGCCTCCACTCCCTTCTGATCAAGTTTCTGCACCTGAGGTAAACCGTAGAGCAAGCCTTTTCTCGAACTCCACGGTAAGTAGCGCTAGACCCAGCATGTTTTCTACCAGCGCTACCAGAGCGGATACTGTCAGGGCCCCCTCAGTCGCAACAACAATGGACGATGAGCCTACCCCTCTTTCTCAAAGACTCACAGGTCTCTTCTCTACTTTCAAGAGACGCGATACTAACATCAGTTCGAGCGGAAGAGAAATCATCCATCTGAACGAACCTGTCTTCAAACAGAGAGAAATATCCCAGGCACCGAAAACATTCAACAATACAATGATCCCTATGCAACAAGAATCTCGCCCAAAGACCCCGGAAAATCGCAACAACAAGGAAGAAAGCCACTTTGAGAAGAAGTTATCAAAGGACTTCTGGTCTGGTTTGGATAACCTAAAGTAGACTATTTTGAGGAGTAATTTCGATTTCGATCAAATTACTGCGCTCAACGTATTATTTTAAACCCAAGGAATCGAGATAGACTCGATCTTCCTTCGCGCTAGTCAACTAAGTTAGGCTAAACTATAGGGAAGGAAGGGTATTACTCACAGCTGCCAATATGTTGGCATAGTAGACTATCAATATAACACCTTCTAGAATATCAGAAGCTGAGCTCTAAAACTTTCATTTTGTACAAAACCCGAGACTAGTATCTCGGGGTGTTTCAAGACAAGTTCTTTCTCCTTCCTAATTCCGTTTAAAATCAATTTCTTTATCGCATCTCTTTCGTTACCATCTACATTGTGAACCTCTCTCGTGACAATCCTGACTTGGCATCGTGTGATCTGAGATCCTTGAATAATTGTGCTCAAGTAATCTTACATTAGTTGCGACCCATTTTCTCTAAATGCACCGAAGCCCGGCTCACCTCGTCCTACAGTATCAAGTCTCCACAATAGGGGACGCCTTATCAGTAGGGTCAGCTTATTTATAGCTCTATCATTGTATATAGATGCATGTTTAGATAATCATATATGTAATGTGCTGCAAGTGTCTTGCTAGTTTATAATCTTACTAGTTTATGATCTTACTAGTTTATGATCTTGCTAGTTTATGATCTTGCTAGTTTATAATCTTGCTAGTTTATGAAAGAAAATATCCTGGACTTCCGCTAGATAAACTAGCAACATTCGCGATATCAGCTCCCTGGTTTCCATCCAACTTGGTGAACACAATATTTTTCTTCGTGACTCACGAACCAGCGGAGCTGCAGAACGGAATGCTGACGTACCGGGTTCAAGTGAGTTTTTAGACACAGGCAAAGAGAAAACCCTGAAGCTTGTTTAAACTCGAGGTTATGCTGGAAGCAGCAGTAAGAAATGTGTAAAGTCCCAAAAATAAATACTTCAGTCCCTAGAAGGCAAAAGGGGCAATAAGGCTCTACTAAACGAAAACTATCGCTGCGGAGGAGAAAATTGGAATTTTTGCTTCCTGCAATGTCAGATGCTTAATTCATTTAATCATTTGCATTATGTTAACAATTAAGCATCCTTTTACACTGTAAGACACACCTCAGAGTGACTCCATCATCCGCTTGTATTGCTCAAAGGTGCCATCCGCCAACCAATTTGTCGAGGTTCCTAGAGGACTAGAACAAGTCCTTCGAACCATAAAATATGTCTCCCAATGCGGATTATAGACAAAACCGTCAAGCATGTCCTTTGTTTCAAGAATTTCCCATCCGTTCTCTCGAATATCGTCGGCTTGCGCGTAAAAAAACTCCTTCCTTCCCATACCAAACCACACGACATCTGCCCTGCTCGAAAACTTTTTTCTATACTCCTCAATACTCCTGGGAATATGTAGTGATAACGACGACCAACACTCTGAATCACGGTCATGAAAGTTTGGCCAAAGGACATGAACACCAGGCAGAAACAGTGGTGCTAAAAACAATTTCAGCAGTAATTGCGGGCCATGCATTCCCAAGATTCGGAAACAGGCTTCAATAGCGGGGTCCAAAAATAGCAAGTCGCTCTCTTCTGTTGGCTCTGAACATGAGACGAGTTTCTGGCGCCGAAAGTCAAAGTCGAGTCTTGCAAGCGCGAGAACACGGATGTCTAAGTGGTTTGCGATAAAAGCTTGAGGTCTGACTATCTCAAGAGATATCTTTCGCAGATAGGAGCGATTCTTCAGCCCTATCAGGTCAAGCCAGCCATAGAAAGGGTTCCAGACTGGGTTTCCGCCGAAATGAAATGCGTTACCGCTGTAGAACTCGAGTGCTGCTTCGCTAGCGATGGTTTTGCTGGCTTGGAGAAGACCGAAAGCCAGTTCTTCGAGTAGGGTAGCAACTCGAGGTAACGATGAACTTTTCCTCGTAGACCGTTCTTCCTTCGTCGTCCTTGTCCTCCAACTCATCATCGTAGTAAGAGTCATCATCATGGCTCTCGGTAATTGAGCATACAGTAATGGGATTTGACATGATGAGAGCTTCAGAGTAGATTCGGTCTCGAAGCTCTCGAGGTAAGTCAAGGAATGTTGTACATGTATGCATATAATAGCTAACAGGCTCGCCTTTGCTAAGTCGAAGGCGAAATTCTCGTCTAGCAGCCATATTGATCGCAAGTGGTAAGTTTATGGGCAGACTTCAAAGTGTGAAGAAGTGAGATATTGATATAATTCTCTTGAAACTAAAAAAAAGCACCTAAAAATAACACCTAAGAATAACCCTGAATATCAGTGTTATTAGTTCGGAATATTATGGACAAATTGTTACGGGATGATCAACGAGGTAAGGGGTTTGCCTTGGTGTGTTGGTGGGATGATGTCCTCGAGGCTTGGCGACCCCGCGCAAGTCTCATGGTGTTTTCAATCTTCGAATTCCACACGCGTCACGGAATCTAACAAAATGTCTACAACCACCTCCCCAACGCTTCCCCCCGAATTGTGGGAACGAGTGATTGAGCAGTGCAATGAAGAGCCGGTTCTCGTGGAACTATGGATGTCTTATCGTCATGTGTGTCGTGCGTTTCGCGATGCGGTTGAGAAATTGTTCGCGGAGAGGCATCTGCGCAAAACGTGGATCAATTATGCACTTGGTAGGGGAGATTTCATGGTTTTCAAGCGAGTTATAAAGCTAAATGTCCGATTTGGTAGGGACTCTTGAGGACCAGGACGGACGCAAGACGATGGTTGGCATTACATTCGAGTTTATGGAGTTGTCTGAAGATAAAACAATTGCAATATTTCAAGGGGACATTGACGACCGGTCGAATCAAGGCTGCGTAAAGGAAAGACTACGAGAAGCCATCAAGAGAACCGAGGACGGGAATCTACATATGCATAATATTGCTGTCCCACAGCATACAGTACAAGTTCATCGTGAGATCAATGATACGCCAATACCAGGACTCGAGATGGATTGGGACAAGATGCGATTGAGTTGTGATTGGAAAGCTTTGTTCACGCGTTTCTACGCAGAAGAGAAGCATTATAATCGACTTATGGACACTTTCTTGGAAGATAACAAGGCTGCTGCGGACGAGATGAAGGAAAAGATGGAGAGAGGGCTGATGAGTATGGGTGATCTGTTCAAACAGGCTATGGAGATGGTGGGCGATACCAACAAAATATCGTACAAAAGAGCAAGACGCGCTCGTATCTCAAGGATGATGCAAGAGAACAATTGGGGTTCGTGGAACTGGGACCAGGATGAGGAGAACAAAAAGAGTGAGAAGAGGGTGCTGTCCGAGCTAGCAAAATTGAGGCAGTGGGCCAGTACGCAGGACGACAGTGACTTTGATGGAGAGCAGGGTGGCGACGTAGTGGACTCGAGCGATGAAGAAGATGCTGAGTGGGAGGACGCTGACGACGATGATGAAAGTGATGGAGAAGTGAGCATGACCGAGGAAGAAATGGAGGCGATGATAGATCGTATGGATGAGGCAATGGGAGGAGGAGCGCCACCACTATACCATAAGACATGATTCGAATACAACTGGTTTCCAACTCTATCAGCAACACTTCTGTTCAACGTTCCCAGAGTTGTGACACCAAAAAAAGAAGCACCAAGAATGGCAACGATGAAGCGATGTGGTACGTTCTGGTCTCTAAATCTGCAATACATCAACTTACGTTTCCATGCGTTTCGCGTCTTAGGTCAAATTAACATGTCATAAAGCCCACGATGAGAACTCGCGTCGCAAATAGAGAGGAATCGAAAATGGAGCGCAGGTGTGCCAGCTGGTCAATAAAGTTTCCTGCCATAAGTACTGGGTCAAAGTTATCGATGCCAAAACGAGATGAGTTACGGACATGATTCCGAACGAGTGGCAACGAAAGACACGATACTAGACATTAATAAGCTTTCTCTATCGCTTGGCTTGGATCAATGCTCCTTAGTTCATGTCCAACAACATTCACACCACGTGTTAATACCATCAACAGTATCTACCATATCTAACCAATGGACAATGACTAAATGCAAAGAACATGCAAACAATTTTGGAGCTATAAGCCGCAATCATCATCCTAGCGTCATGCATGGCTATCTCCCAAATGTGTTGCTTAGAGCGAGCTTACTTAACGCCTCTGCAGGAACCCAAGCATATGGAAAGGTATCCACCATATTCCCGATTCGTCTTAGAATATATGCAGTTCACTTCTACGAAACTAATCCAGTATCAAACATTCGACTGCAAAGTTTTAATTACAAGACTGAAATAAAGAAGATGGTGAAAAAGGACTTGGAAGCTGCGGAATGGATTACTCATCCTTGAAATGGAGCTTCGAACGCGGTATGTAGTGCCATCTCATAAGCAAGACTGCAGTAAATGTTTAGTTCACTAATCAGACCTAGGTATCTTGATCTGATTTCCAGGTCTTAGATAGGTTGGATTTTCTTAATGTACCTGCATTATCAGGGTCTTAAGTCCGATCCTAGTATATCAGCTCAGGCGTACATGGCGATGGTAGGATTCAACGGAACGTTGTTGATGGATCGTAGATAGGCATCTTTGAGTGCGTATACTTGAGATTTTGGCCTCACAATGCAATGGGTGGAATAGTCGATCCGTCTTCTCGAGGAAGTATATAACCAGCGTAGGAACCACTCGTTTCAACTATCCTCACCATCACTTTCTCCACTCCCACCAAGAACCCCACACCAACTCATCTTCTTCCAACCCCTATCCACCCAAAATGGCAACAGTCTACCGCGGTGTCGACGGCGCCGGAAAAGCCTCACCCCTCTCAATCCCAGACGTCCTCGGCCCCAAACAAATCCTCCTCAAAATCACACACGCAAGTCTCTGCGGTACAGACGTCCATTTTCTGACGTCGGGTATCGCGTTGGGTCATGAGGGCGTGGGTATTGTAGAGAAAATCGGGAGTGAGGTTACGCAGTTTAAGGTTGGGGATCGGGCGGGGGCTGGGTATGTTAGGAATGTATGTTTATCGATGGGAAAGAAAAGGAGGAAAGATGCTGATGAGATAATAGAGTTGCGGGACGTGTAGCTATTGTCTTAAAGGGCAAGATGTGTGGTGCCATGAGCGAAGCGCTTATGGAGAGAAAGATCATAATACGGGCACATTCGGTACTCACTGTACGTCCTTCCCCCTCCCCGCTTTACTTGTCTGACAGTTTCCAGACATAGGCAACGAAACCTTCCTCCACCGCATCCCCGACTCCCTGGCATCGGAACACGCCGCCCCCCTCCAATGCGCCGGCGCAACCGTCTACACAGCCATCACCTCCGTCGCTAAACCCGGCGACCGCGTCGGGATCCTGGGTATCGGTGGTCTCGGCCACCTCGCTATCCAGTTCGCTTCGAAGCTCGGGTACGAGACGGTGGTGTTTTCGAGTTCGGCACGTAAGGAGGAGGAGGCGAGAGGGTTTGGAGCGAGTGAGTTTGTGGTGTTAGGGGAGGCGGAGAAAGTTAGTGCGCCCGTGGATGTGTTGATTGTTGCCGGGAGCAAGTATCCTGATTGGGAGAAGTGAGTTTCGACTGGAGTGAAAATGAGAGAGGGGATGCTGATGTGTGGGTGGTGTAGGTTTATGCAAAAGAATATCCTCGCAAGGACAGGAACCATTGTTCCTCTCTCCGCACCAGCAGAGAATTTCAACCTCCCGTAAGTCTACCTTCCTCCTCCTGTTGCGGTCTTTCTAACACACCCAGCTCCACACCCATGTTCTTCAACGGCTACAACCTTCACTCGTCACTCGTAGCCCATCGACATGTCCACGATGAGATGTTGGCTTTTGCGGCGGCGCAGGGGGTTAAGCCAGCGATTGAGACGTTTGCGTTTAGTGAGGAGGGGTTTGCGGAGGCGTATCAGAAGTTGAAGGAGGGAGGGATGAGGTATCGGGGGGTGCTTGTTAGATAACGCGGTGTTGGAGGGGGAAGATGGACGTTGGGGTAGATTGGTGTAGCTTGAGTATGGATGTGTCGTGGTCAATACAATGGCTCGAAGTGAACACGACAAGTGCAGGGCATCCTGCTATTCCTTCAGCTCGAGTTAGAAATGAGCGTGTGCTGTGCCGGTAACCACTATTGACTATCAATAGTTTATAGACAGATAGTAAAGGGGTCTTGGATCTAGGAAAGATTAATGATCGATTTGATAATTCGTAGACCCATTGACATAGATAAATATGCTGCTGTTCTGACTATCACTTGGTTGAGGATCGAAGTGTCGCCAGTACCCATATTTTTAGCGAGATCTGGACCTTCCAGGTTCTAGGTTCAAAGTCATCTTCTTCACTATCCATATCCACAAACACATATCACACTTTAAGATAATATGATATGGGGGAACGGTGAATCAAATAAAAAACTGCCATCTGCCGAAAATAAAGTACGTCTCCACCGGAGCATTTTCGTCGATCACCCGATGCAGAATGCCATGCATATCGTATGATGCACCCGAAATATCATACGACAACGTGACAAAGAGAGCCTAACTTTTTTTTGAAATCCGAATTTGATTGTGATTTCGCTCCTTTAAGAAAGCCATCTTTTGAACTTTGGATACCTTGTTTTTCAATAAAAGGAATCTCACTTACCATGGAATCCACCACTCCACCACCTATCCGCATAGCGATCATCGGTGCGGGAATCGCAGGCTTGACATTGGCAAATGCACTCAAAACCAAGAATCCATCTATAAACCTCACCATCTACGAGTCTCGTCTTCGATTCTCGGAAATTTCAGCCGCTGTTGCGTTTGGTCCTAATGCCGTACGTGCTTTATCTCTCATATCACCGGAATTAGCGGATGCGTATCATAGTGTTGCGGTCCCTAATCTGGCGGGGGATCGGGATCTATGGTATACGATTCGTGACGGGATGAGTGGGAAGGTCCTTAGGAAGGTGGAGATGAGGGGGGGCTTCGAATATGGTAGTGCGTCTAGGTCGAAGTTTCTGGCGAGGTTGGTGGAGATGTTGCCTGGTGATGTTGAGGTGCAGTTTGGGAAGAGAATTGTGGATGTTGAGGAGTTGGAGGGGGAGGGTATGAGGATGAGGTTTGAGGATGGAAGTGAGGCATGGGCGGATGCGGTGGTGGGTTGTGATGGTATTCGGTCTAGGAGTCGACGGTTACTGCTTGGAGATGATGATTTAGGTGCGGATGCCGTGTACAGTGGAAAGTATGCGTATCGGAAAGTCTTGTCTATGAAGACTGCGATCGCTGCTGTCGGAGAAGGGTTGTTGAATCGACAGATGTTTGTTGGGAAAAGTGGTCACGTTTTGACGCATCCGATCAACAATGGAAATGCACTGAATGTTGTTGCCTTTCGAGATGCGGATGGTGTTCCTTGGAAGCAGAGACAGTGGGTCGTTCCGAGCTCAAAGGAAGCTGTCTTGAAAGATTTCGATGGTTGGGGTGGTGATGTGGTTAAGATACTACAGGTTAGTTATCTGAACATTTTTTGAACCCTCTTACTAATGATTTAAAAGTTGGTTGAAGATCCCGAGAAATGGGGCTTGTTTGATACAACACCCGCGAGGACATACAACAAGGGCAATTTCTGTATTCTTGGAGATGCAGCTCATGCTTCAACACCTCACTTGGACGCAGGTGCAGGCTTTGCTGTTGAAGATGTTTATATCCTGTCTAGTCTGTTGACGGAAAAGTTGGTCGCATCGGCCTCTGATCTCAAGCATGCATTTTCGGCATGGAGTCAAATAAGACGTCCAAGATGCGAAGAGTTGATTAATAGATCCAGAAGACAGGGGATACTGCTTGAGTTGACAAAGGAAGAAGGTTTCGAGTCTGGTGAGGAGGAGCTGTTGGATGATCTGGAACACAACCAGGAGTGGGTGTGGGATGTTGATCTTGAGAAGATGCTAGAGCAGAGTATCTCGATGTTGGACATTTCTAAAGAGGATGACGCATATCCACCAGTCTTCTGAGTTTCCAGGACCGTCAAAGTAGTTCAAGCCGCATATAGATTAGACTTTATGTCCTTGTATCATAGTGCGGATTGCAGAAACCGCAAGAATCGAGGAATCTGTTCTACTTGTGCATATGGGTGATCATCCTTCTCTCCTGCTTCTTTTTGAGTAAGTGCCGTCCAGCAAATGTTTCGAAACGTTCAATCAATGCTGTGAAGTTGTGCGGCGAACAATTGGTGTAACGAGTGGCTAACGATACCCGACTCGATGCAGGTGTTCCTATAGATCCTGCCGGGTTTCGAAAAGGCTTGGCTACGTTTGAAATCCTTCGCGTATGCATCAGATACCAGGAGTTTGCGTCGGTACCTGATGATGGAAAGGATATGTATCAATTCTTCTGTCGGTCGGAAGTCTTCACGGTTCCCGCAGAAATTTAAGCTCTGCTGTCAAGACTCTCAAGACCTTGGAAGATCAGATCGTCTGAACTCGCTCGTCCCAAGTCTGGGCATTTGAGGCTGTTCAACTGATGTCAGGTCAAGCTTTATGCTAGAAACAGAACATCATTGCTTGGTCTTGGGGGCGCACTGCTTGTAGAAATGAGAAGGAAATCTAGACCGCATTATCGTCTGTCAGTGAAAATATGGAAATCTTATGTTGTTGTGGACTTGTAGCTGTCGTCGGCCGCCGCCAAGTCACCTCCCTATCACGTGCCTAGTACTCCCGAAGCTAAACTAACGGCGAGTCTAAAAATACTCTGCCGCCACTAATTCAGGTACGGATGTGGTACTTTCATGTGCGCATTATTAGACCCATTTTCTTTCAAATCAATTTCTCACCTCAGCAGAATCGTTGAGCAATCATCCTCAGATTCCAGCTACTTGTATCAACGCCTCACAGAAATCACAAGGTCCATTGTGCAGATGTTTGCACAAGTCAGCTCCGCTCAAACTCTCCGTGGCGGGATCAGCAACACCCAATTTGCGGAAAGTTTGTGCAACGAGGGGAGGTGTCTCAGAGTGGATTGCCTTCAACTTGGCATACCCAAGGAAGTGCCCTTGGCCTTTTCGTCCGCCGTAGTCAGCAAGCCGAAGCGCTGCGTTTGACGAACAAACTTCTACGGTGACTCCTTTCTGCGTCTTGGGCGCAATTCACCAGGACAGGACGAAATCCGTATCGACTGGGCTGTGCAGTCAGTTATGCAGCTCATATTTCTCCTGAACTGACATCTAAACTCGTATCCTCGCCTTTCTGATATCCTATCCATCCAAGGGTTCCCGTATTGATCTACGATCCCGCTTTTCATTAACCTTATGTCTCCTGCTGATTGAGCGTTACCCTTTGTTCCTCCAACATCAACTCCAACCTTCTCCAACTTGCAACACTTCGCACCTTCGCACCTTTGGCTTCTCTCAGCCTTGTCACTCGTTCCGTTTTGTACACTTTCGAATCTTGATCGCCTTTCTTCTTTGTGTACATCCCTACTACTACTACCTCTCAATCATGCGTTTCCTTCCCGTAGCTTCCGTCTGCTTGCTTGCTGGTCAAGGTGCAAATGCCGCCCTCGTAGCAGATCTGTCGACGCCAACCGGTATCAAAGAGGCTGCGAAAACGCTGGCAAAGGATTTGATGAGCTTTTATACTGGAAACAACCCAGGAGATGTCGCTGGAAACTTGCCAGATCCATATTACTGGTGGGAAGCGGGAGCGATGTACGTACTCTTTTGAGAACAAATGTCGCACCATCCGCTAATGCTACACAGGTTTGGTACGATGGTCAACTACTGGTATTACACAGGCGATACGACATATAACACAATAACTACCGAAGCGATATTACACCAGACGGGCGAGGAATGGGACTTCATGCCGGAAAATCAGACAAAGACATTAGGAAACGATGATCAAGGGTTCTGGGGCTTGACGGCCATGACCGCGGCAGAAGTAAAGTTTCCAGAGTTCCCAGCGCCGGCACCCGGCTGGTTAGCTTTAGCACAAGGTGTATTTAATACACAGGCGGATCGATGGGATTATGCGAACTGTGGAGGAGGTCTCCGATGGCAGATTTTCCCTTTCAACAATGGTTACAGTTACAAGAACACGATTTCCAACGGATGTTTCTTCAATCTCGGCGCGAGATTGGCTCTATATACGGGTAACCAGACATATGCTCGTTGGGCGTCCAAAACGTGGGAATGGGTCGAAAACGAAGGCCTGATCGATCCGGAGTACAATGTCTTTGACGGAACCAACATTGGTGATAACTGCACATCCAAGGACCACAACCAATGGACTTATAATGCGGGAATTTATCTTTTGGGTGCCGCGACAATGTTCAACATGGTAAGTCGCTAAGTACTGTATTTTATGTACTGTATTTACTAATCTTAAAATAGACAAATGGTACGGAACAAGTTGAATGGCAGGAACGAACTTCTGGTCTCCTAAACAAAACAGTAGCAACATTTTTCACCAATGGGATAATGCACGAGCTGTGCGAGAATGGAAAATGTAACGTTGATCAGCGATCTTTCAAGGCATATCTCAGCCGTTGGCTAGCCGCAACCTACCGCCTCGCTCCATTTACCAAAGACATAATTCAACCCCTTCTGAAGACATCCGCAGCGGCAGCGGTCAAGACATGCTCGGGAGGCGCATCTGGCTCGCAATGTGGATTGAAGTGGGACACTGGATCATTCGATGGCAGCTTTGGCGTCGGAGAGCAAATGGCCGTTCTCGAAGTCGTACAAAGCAACCTCATTACCGAAGTCCCGGATTGGGTCAGCGCCGTCAAAGGCACCGGAAATAGTACAGGAAACGTGGATGCCGGACAGAACAGTTTGACTGCGGGTACCGTGCTCACTAAACCTGCGACCACGAAGGATCGTGTCGGTGCGGGATTTTTCACCGCTCTGGTGTTGATTGGAGTCGTTGGAGGGAGTGCGACGATGATTATCTCGGAGTAAAATTTAATTTGTTATTTTTGTTGATTATTTTGTTTGTTATATACCATGGAGAGCGAAATGGGGCTATTTGTTGCAGCCGATCTGGTTCAGGTTACCTAGGGTTTTTAGTTTACTTTGTTTGGGGCATTGGGTGGGAGTTTTATGTGTTTAGACATAAATTGGGATAGGTTATAAAATCTTATTGTTTATTGATTTAAGCTGACCCTCTTTTCTCCAGAGATGACTAAGTGAGTAAGATATCAGACTCTTCAAGACATCAAAAGACTTATATAATCAGGATCTAAAGGGAAGGATTGTATCCATGTACTGAGAAGAAGTTGTTTTGTTTTTACTATGATTTGTGTTTCAATCTTTTAACAGTTTGAGAAATTTACGAGTAGAGAAATACGAAGACCATTTCAAGGTAAGAGATGTAGTTGGACTACTAATATGTTCCTTATCAACTACTGTTTCAACATAAGTGAAGTTTTATGGGATATCATGATTCTGGATCAAAGAAACACCCAACTAGACAAACATATCGATAGGGTAGCTGACGAGGTGAGCTTTCATTGTTTGTAACCTTGCCAATCGTTGGATACCTTGGTCGTGTTTGCTCAAGATGGAAACCTGCATATTTCTATACAAGATTGATTGCCTACGAGTCTGAACAGAAGACAAACACTTCCGAAGAAAACCTTCCCGTTTTCACTCCTACTTTCAACCACCTCACCAAATTCACATACTCCTGCCGTCACTAGACACTTGTTCTAAACCATCCGCACCATGGCGCCTCTTACCAACTTCAAAATCTCTCGCAAAAACTTACCCCAACTCCGCACCGAGGATTTCGCTACTATAACCAACATCAAACACCTCGCCTCTTACAACTGGCTCGAAGCTCCTCCCTCAAAGCCCACAATCGCCGTCCCAGGCAGTCCAGCCCTCTGGTCACCTCCCCCAGTACCTCGACCACTGAAAAAAGACTCCGGACTCGTATACATCGCACAGAACGCAGCACGACACCCAAGCTGTCCTCTTGAACCACTGTTCCGCGCGCTCTACCACACACATCCCTCATTCGACATCCGAGATATCGATATCGTGAGCGACCGGAATAACATCCGCAGACTACTCTCGTTCATCGATCCTAGCACCAGTAGAAACGGCGCTGAGGGATTTAGCATCGATGTCGAAGTCACAGCGAACACAGCGATTTTCAACCGTAATGAGACGAAAACTTCTGAGGTTATTGGACCGAATGAGTTCAGAGGGTATGGTCATGAGTTCGAGAAAGCATACACAACGACCCAGATACCGGGTAGTACTGGACACCATCGGATCATCAGTTACAGCTTCAGCGATCTGAAAATGATGATCCGCTATGAGACCGACGGATACGTAGACACGGCTGCGAATCCCATCTCATCGACCCCAAAGCCGGAGGATGATATCGCAAGCTTATTAGACAACTTATCTCTCACCCCCAACTCTAGCAAACCCAAACTCACCGTCCAAACCATAGGGACCCGCATCTCGCACTCCAACACCTTCGAAATCAAGACTCGCGTCCGTCACCGAACCCTAGAGTTCGACACCATCGCTCCGCAAGTCTGGATCTCGCAGACGCCGATGCTAGTGCGTACGAACCATGACTGCGGGACGTTCACGACGCCGGACGTCGAAGTTGCGAGACTGGGAGAAGGGGAATCAGGATGTGTTGAGGGGGTTGGCGGGGTTGATGAGGGAGATTGTGAGGATTGTTAAGAAGTGTGGAGGGAGCGCGGTGGTTAGGTATGAGGTTGGGAGTGACGTGTTGGTGGTTGTGGGGTGTGAGAGGAGGGTGATGTTGCCGGTAGATTTGTATGAAAGGTGGAAGGAGGGAGGGAGTGAGGGTGGTGAAGTGGAGGAGGAGGAGATTGGAGTAGTATTGTAAAGTTACGCTTGTTGAGGAGGTCTTAAGGTACCTACCTAGGTAAGTATACTATATGAGTCGTCGGTGCTAGGAATTTTCGCATCCCTATATATCTCGCTTAATTAGCTAGTCTGAAAAAAAAGGAGTCGTACTTGGGTAGGGAAGTAACGCATGAATGCCCGCCAAACTCTCTCGAACCTGGAAAAATTAGGCGAGAGAACACCAAAATCGTAAGATTTAGCTATCTTCTATTACTTCTCGTTCCTTACAATATTAATAGAATCATGTAAGGGTATAGGGCTAGGTACTTTCTTTACTTTTCTATTAGTAGAAAAATCAAGAAAATTAAAACTACCGTGGTAATTTTACTAGATAGCTAAATGACACTTTTCCCACCCAAAACTGGGGCGTGCGGCACTCATGCGTTACTTACCCAAGTATATTGAAGGGCGCAGGTTGGTGGGAGATTAAGATAGATGGGTTTTCATCAGTATGTTGAGTAAAAAATACCCATGACCACAGCAGACATGACTTACTGCGCATTAAAAGAAGTAAAAAATGACCAAAAATGAACCATCCAGGGATCGAACCTGGGACCTTCACTGATCTGTTAAACAACTAAGGAAACTTAGTGATCATGTAAAAGTGACGTGATAACCACTACACCAATAGTCCTATTGATGGCAAAATTTCCCGTATTACGTTTTATGAACTTTCAAACAAACTTGTGGCCGAGCGTCAAATATAAGCGAAGGATAAGTGGGGCGCCCTCGAGGCAAAGAACGGCAAGTCCGCCTTTCATAAGGGGCGCAAAAATATTAATTAATCTCGTTAACAGGCGTGAGTAGATTTAGAATCTGTTTGATAGTGGTGTAGTCTCGCTAGACCTGGATTGTGTTAAGAATATCTATATGTTTACGTGAAAGACACTGAAGAGTCTGTCCCGAGTCCGAGGTAAATATACCCCGCAATCTGAGAACAACAACTCAAAGACTAGTCCACATCATTTTTGATGTGAACATTTCATTCCAAGTTATTTGGTTTTTAATTAACACAGTATAGAACTTAGGAACAGAGTCTTTCTTAAATGCCACTAAATCCATCTCACGGCATTATATCCTTCTCCCTCCCCCCTGACCTCCTCGCTTACATCTCCTCCCTCGACAAATTCATAACTCAAGAGATAGTACCTCTCCAAGCATCCAATGATAACGAGCGATTCTTTGACCACCGACGAGAACATTCCCGTACAAACTGGGATAATCAAGGTCATTCCCTTCCCTTCTCGCATTATTCATCATTGACAACTTTAGGGCTTCCACGACCAGAATGGGAGGCACTCCTGGCTCAAGCTCGTCAACTAGCTGACACAGCAGGATTCTACCGATTCTGTCTCCCGAGTGAGTACGGAGGCCAAAACGGCGGGAATCTCTGGATGGCAGCTATCCGCATGCATCTAGCGAAAAGCGCGCCGAATCTGGCGAATGACTTGCAGAATGAGCATTCAGTAGTAGGCAATTTTCCGGATGTGCTTATGGTGAGAGAGTTTGGTACGGCTGGTATGTGAAAATTTTATAGGTGGTGGTGTAATGGTTGGGAAAGCGGGCTGATGGGGAGTAGAGCAGAAGACAGAGTTTATCACGGGCAGACTTGAGGGGCGGAGGAGTTTTGCTTTTGGGTTGACGGAGCCGGGGCATGGGAGTGATGCTACACATAGTAAGTGCCAAAAGGTTCTCCCTCAGAACATACTGAGAGGTAAACATAGTGGAAACGACCGCCAAACCAGTGACCAGAAACGGTATCTCGGGATTTGAGATCAACGGCGCCAAAATGTGGATTACAGGCATGCACACCGCAACTCACTGTCTAGTCTTCGCACGCACATCCGGCAACCCAGGCTCTGCCCTTGGAATAACAGCTTTCTTCGTGCCTAGAGACGCGTCTGGTCTGGATATCACGTCTTTCGAATGGACGTTCAATATGCCTACCGACCACGCATCTTTCACACTCACAGACGTATTCGTACCATCTTCCTCCATCCTCGGGAAACTCGACCAAGGACTCGCCATCGCGCAGGCATTCGTGCATGAGAATCGACTGAGACAAGCGGCGAGCTCGTTAGGCGCGGCGGAGTTTTGTATCGAGGAGAGTATCACGTATGCGAGGAAGCGAAAGCCTTTTGGGAGGGAGCTGGCGCGGAATCAGGATATCACGACGCCAGTCGTGGAGTTGGCGACACAGGTTGAGATGTTGAGGTTGTTGATTTTGAAGACGGCGGCGGAAATGGATGGGTTGAGTCAGAGGGAGATTGAGAGGGATTTGGGGGATAAGGTGTCGATGTGCAATGTGAGTTACTTTGAATTCTCATGAGGCGACAATTGACATGCTAACGAAAGGTGATAGTATTGGGGAAATAGGTTGTGTACGCAGGCTGCGGATCGAGCTATTCAGATTCATGGTGGGATTGGATATTCGAGACATAAACCGTAAGTTTGACAGACAAGAACTTTGTAAGAGTTGGCTGACTTCTGCTAGATTCGAGCATATCTATCGACATCATCGTAAGTTTTCCCTTGCCAACATCACTCTTGGAGGCTGACAATACAGGTCGATATCGCATCACAGAAGGTAGTGAAGAAATCCAAATGCGAAAAATAGCCGCCTACCTATTCGGCTACGTAGGTCCTCGAAAAGCGGAGCTCTCAAAACTTTAACCATCTCACTTCTAGCAAATAAAGCAAACCCTTTTGTGAATTTAGAAGCTGTGTTTCTTGATCTATCTTTTCTCTGCCAACAAAAACCATCTACAACTTCTTCGTCCCCGCCAATGTCCTCTTAGCCATCTCCTTGATCGACTCCGCCGAAGCCTTCTGTCTCCAATTCGTCCAATCATGATTAAACAACGCCCACGTCTCGTCGAAATCCTGTTTTCCCTGTCTAGTATAATAACTTCCCCCAACCTCCCAGAACATCCATCCAGCCTTCAACCCACCGAGATAACTATCCAAACACGTCTGATAAACTCCTTTGTACTCGTTATTCGACATGTCGTGACCCCATTCTGTCATCACCACTGGTAGCACGTTCTTCACTTTCGGGTCTGTGGCGTTAAGAGCGTTGTAGCCGCCGTTGTAGAGACCGTTTGTTATAGAGGGACAGGTTGTGGCTGTGGTTTGGTAGTTGTGCAGTTCGAGGACGAGTTTGTTGGAATATGGGAAGTCTGATTTGCGGAAAACGGTGCCAGAACCGAGATTTGCTCCGGTGGTGATGGGAGCGAGTGTGGTGTCGTAGTTGAGACCCGAGAAGTAGATGAGAAGGCCAGGGTTGGCGGCGTTGACACCGTTGGCTGCTGGAATCATGTTCTTGTACCAGGTCTCCCAGTTATATGTTTTGGCTACAGTCCAGCGTCAGTTAAGACCCAGTTCAGATAGAAGAGTGACGTACAGATAGTTGGGTTATTAGTAGCATTTCTCGGCTCATTCCTCAGTCCCAAGCTCACCAAAGCAGGCCAAGCTTTCCCATGATCAGCCATGTACGCAAGTCCTCTCTTCCAGTTCGCAACATTGAAATAAGTATCTCCGAACCAGGCATTGCCATCGGTTTCCCCACAACACCATTCTGCACGGGAGATGTGGTTGTCCAAATGGACGTAGATTTCCTGCTTCAAGGCCTCGGCTGCCACAGCGTCGAATACCTGTAATCTAGTAGTCGTGTCATCGAACTGCGGGTTCTTCTGGAGGAACTTCTTGTATATGGCCGTGCCGTTGGTAGTTCCTAGAGCTTTAAGGAAAGACTCTTTCACGGTGGTGTCGTTGCCTTTCGAGTATATCTCATCGATCATCTGAATGGAGAAGGTGAGACGGATGATATTGAGGTCTACATATGATTAATACCTCTCGGCTATTTGCAAATTTGGGTCTTACTTAGGCTCTTGATATCCTTAAGCACTTTATTGATACTCGCGTATTGAAGACCCTCTGGAATCATAGCCTCGCCATGACCAGGCCAGTTGACACCTACAGGCGTGACGACCTCGTTTTTCGTATTCCGAATCCATCGTCCGTCAGTGACGAGCGGTCCGTATGGCCATGCTGCTTTGGGTGAGGGAATGACTACCGCTACTGCAGAGCACGCAAACGCAAGAGGTAAGACTGAAGAGAACCGCATTGTGACTTGTAGGTGACTTGTCAATGGCAGTCTCAAATTCTTATGTGGGCATCCATCTCGCTTTTATACAACTCCAGCACAGCTCCACCATCATAGCTAGGGACAATTTGTATCCATCCCCACGTTTCCGTCCCTAAGAAACTTCGAACCAGCTGATCTTAACCACCTCCCAATTCCAAGCGTGTCCCCTCTTTACGAACGGACAAAACCACAACAGCCTCCAGGATGATGATGATGCCTTTGACCCTCGATTTTGCCATCCCCGGATTCAGAGCTTGGCCAAGTACCGCTCGAACTGGCAGTCGATACTAGAGCCGTCGTTGATTGATGGAAGCACGTACTTCGACCGATACCCCGCACATTTGCCCCGGCCCCACTAACGCGCATTTTCAACGGCACGGTGCGTGTGGAGAGGCGGTCCAATTGAATGTTAATTTGGATGTTTAGAGGAGTCTTTAAGGTTGAATGAGTTCCGCGATATCCCCGCTGGCGCTGGTGTTACACCGAGTTTGCGGAGGGGTTTGGAGGGAGGTGTGTCGTAAGCGAGATGTGCCGACGAGAGTGCCAAGTGTTGATCTGGGGCTTGAGAATGATATGATTAGTAAAGCAAACATTGTTTGATGGTGGTGAGTAATGATGGCGAGAGGAAATTCGAGGGAGATGAAACTCTGGTAAAGCATATAGCAAGGAATCTAGTGTCAAATATTCAATCAAATTTGGGTATAACACTGTTCTAATATAACCGAGTCTCTCATCCATCTATAACCCAACAGGCGTCAAAAGAACAGTAAAATCCAAGACCTGAGTATGCAAAGAATGCTGTTCCAAAGTAGGAGGTCCACAACTGGCCGTACCCAACCCATGATGTCCTCCATCTACTCTAAAGATAACCTCATCACTTCGTGCAAGCTCATAAGGATGTTTCGCCTTCTCCAAAGCGTGTGCTGAATGTCTGTTGACATTGAAATCAAATCCACCTTCATTCTTGGGTGCTTCGCATTGAAGCTCCGCCTGAATACCTGAGCCCTTGGAATTGAGCAAGTGTACCCATCTTGTGTCTGTTCTGTTGCCGCTTTCTTGTGGGAAAGCGTTGTGGGTGATCATTTCATCGACGCTGTTTGTCCAGACACCGAGTTTGCCGGCTTGCTTCATGTCTCTATATGTTTCACCTTGACCTAGACCAAACCACCTGATCGTATCTGTGCTTTTGTTCATTTTCATCTCCAATCCAAATCTCGGTAGTGTGATTGGGATTGATCCTCGCGGCTCGGCATGAATGTGAATTTTGATACTGCCGTCGCCTTGCAGAGTGTATTTCGTAGTAGTGTCGAATCCCCAGGCTAAGATTGGCGGACTGACCCAGGTCTTTGTGGTAATCTGAAGATTTCCGTCTTCCAGAGTGTGGCTTACAGACCGGACTTGCTTTTGCATCGAGTCGAGGCCAAACAACACCCAGTACTGAGCAATTTCGGGTATGTCGTTGTCAGTCGGAGCTCTCCAAAAAGTAAGGTGTGGCCCATTGCCGACCTCAAAGATATCGGTACCGCGAATAGACCACTTGGTAATCTTGTCAATGCTCTTATCAAACTCAAAGATTACATCTGGATTTGACAAGGTCAATATCGCCAAGCGATCAGACAGTGTGGGGCTGTCAATCCCGGAGGATGGTTCTGTCTGTCCAAATTTGACAAGAGATTGCTCGCCAACTCTGAACTGTCCCCAAGCAATTTGGTGCCCAGCATGTGCCCAAACAGTGGAAGAGGCGAGCTCCATGGATACAGACAGCCAAGCTTCTCCAGTAAGCTGATCGATTTGGCCAAAGTTTGGCATATCCACAGTGGCGGTTTCGCCTGCAGCTACATTTGGTAGAGATAGGAGTCCCGAAGAGACTATGCTCTCGGAGTTTCTGGGAGAAGTTAGGACTAGAAACTGAAAAAGACAAAGAGAGCATACCCAGCAGTAAAAGTGGAGAGTGTCCAATGCGCCTTGAGATGGTCTAACGAACTGAAGTCGTAATGGTTCGTGACGAGAATTGATTCGCCTTCACGACCTATGCTCACAGGCGCAAACACCTTCTTAGCTTCCACTAGAGCCGATCTGGGATTATGCTCGGAGTCGCAGAGACCATCCATAACGAAGTTGCCATCATTAGGATAGTCACCGAAGTCCCCACCATATGCGAAGAAAGGAGTACCATCATCAGTCTTTGTCAAGATACCGTGATCGGCCCACTCCCAAATGAAACCACCTTGAAGACGTCGGTGAGCACGGAAAGCATCTTGGTACTCTTGCAGAGCGCCTGGACCGGTGCCCATAGCATGAGCGAACTATAACAAGTCAGCATCATTCTAGTCTAGCAAAGTAATGGTAATTGGTAAAAGAAAACTCACTTCGCAAAGAATGATTGGTTTCTCAAAGTCGTCGCCATGTTCCTTCGCCCGCTTGACAAGTTCGGGGATTGACATGTACATATAGGAGAACATATCCGCAGAAAGAGCTTCTGCGTCACCCTCGTAATGGATAGGTCGTGTGGGATCATACGCCTTCGCCCAGTCGTACATTGCCTTGTGATTTCTTCCGTAAAAGGCCTCATTTCCTAAACTCCAGAAAATGATCGATGGATGGTTCTTGTCCCTGTGTACCATCTGCTTCATTCGCTCCACATAAGCACCTTGCCACGATTCTTTATCTGTTGTGAATTTTGCAGATTGTGGAAACGTCAAGAGTTTACGCTCTTCATATGGCTGAGATTCGGGAATCTGTAGTGGTCTTGCAACAGCATCGTAGAAGCCATGACACTCGAGATCTGCTTCGTCCATGACGTATAGGCCAATCTTGTTGGCTAGTGAATAGATTTCCGGATGCGAGGGATAGTGAGAACAGCGTAAGGCGTTGATATTGTGAGTTTTCATGAGAAGAAGGTCTCGGCGGATGAAGTCCAAGGGAACCGCACGTCCATATTTGAAATGATGGTCATGTCTATTGGCACCATTTAGATGAATTGCCGTGCCATTTACTGTCAAATTCCCTTTTTTGATTTCAACCTGTCGAAAACCAACTTCCTGATGGATCTTTTGAAGTGCTTTTCCTTTTTCCTCTCCAGCCAGCGTGATCCAAATTTCATAGAGATTGGGTGTTTCAGCGGTCCATTTGAGGGGATCTGACACATCAAAAGAAAAGCTACGCTGAGAAGATCCGGCTTCCAGCTCAAACTGCTGTTCAAATACTGCCGTCCCTTTGCATCCAGCCTTTTCGAGTGAAACAATCACATTTGAGGCCGCTGCAACAGAGTACGCAATGTCAAGATTCAATTTGGCATTCTTGTACTGGTCATCAAGTTCTGTACGAACAGTGAAATCTTCGATGTTACCACGTGTAGGAAATCCAATAAGATGCACATCACGAAATATACCTATTATAGATTAGTACCTCGTTGCCAAATTGAGGAGGGTCACGTGCCTGAAAGCCACCACTGGTCCTGGTCTTCAATATAGCTTCCATCACACCATTGATACACTCGTACGGTGATTATGTTCAAGCTGGAGCCGTCGCGGATCAACAGGTCCGTAATATCAAACTCAGCAGGATTTCTGCTCCCCTGACTGTATCTCGCCTGAAAAGGAGATCCATTAACGCTAAGATGGAAAGCACTGTCGACGCCATCAAATCTCAGCCGATAATTCATTTCTCCAGCACTTTTCCATTTTGAAGGCACTCTGAATTCTGTTGAATAAGTCCCAACTGGATTTTCCGAAGGAACATGAGGCGGATCTACCGGAAATGGAAATTGAACATTGGTGTAATGAGGTTTTCCGTAGCCTTGAAGCTGCCAGTGGCCAGGAACATCAATTGTGGATGAATTTTCGATTGAAGCGATATCATCATCTTCTGATGGCGCCTTTGCAGGGCAAGAAGCGTAGTGAAACTTCCAACGACCGTTCAGATTCAACGAGTGCTCTGATTTGAAATACGCTCTTGGAGGTAGCCTGTTTCGCTCAAACACCAACTCATTCTGGTAATCGTCTTTCTGTCCAGAAGAAGACGTAGCAATTCCGCTCATGATTGCCGTTTCGGAGACTTTCAGTATCTGCATTGGAGATGTCTGATCTGTTGCGGTCGTGTTCTCTTGATATAGATGTTTCCTCAAGTCAGGATACCAACGAGGACTCTTGTAGCAGTATCAAGGGAGGTAATGAGTGGTTTGGATAAAGAATCGAGAAGATGCTACCGAGACTATCATCGCCTATATGAGAGAGAAAGATGCTGGTAAACGAAGGGAGCTCAAACATTGAGCAACGTGATACTTCGCGGCTACTCGGCGGGTCGAGGTACTTACGTTGCCCCACCAGTATCGTTTTGCAAAACCCAAGACGGATATTGGAAGGAAGCAGATTGGATGTTTCGGCACAAGTTGAGTGTCAACAGCCAAGGCTAGAGTGGGGTGTTGGCAGGTTGCAAGGTGAGATCTTCATCTCTATCGTCGGATTGTCCATGCAAGCGGTGAATCCTCAATGCTCCAAACACTTTGAGCAATGAGCAGCCTTGACGGCATGGGAGACATGGTCACACGAGGACGTACTCTCTTCTCTGCATCTGCATGTTTTTATTCGGCACCTTTTGAATGAGGTCTCTCTATGAGCCATTGCAATTTTGCTTGGTGAATTATCGGATGATCTCTAGTCGTTCTTTCGCGTTTTTCACTGCGTGCGGCGAGTCAATCTAGTTCTGGTAAAAATCAAGGATGACTTGTTGTCGAGCTTCGTGTCCGGGGAAGTCGGGGACAACAAGTCTACCCCTCGCTTAGCCCAATGCACCAATCAGACCCGCTGCAGTCTCTGCAAAACATCCACCCCTTTCGAACTCGCTTACCCGTCCATCCCCGACCTCTCGCAACAAACGACATCCGCGACCATCCCCGATTGCCAATTATCCTCACCACTTTATTCCACTTTACCAAGACCATCAAGCCAGGAAAGCTTCTTTAACCCACAATATGACCCCGCCCTAATACCCGAAAAAGCACGAGATTTACCACATCTAATTGGCCCCCCATGTTTTGGCTAGCTATCCCCAGCTTCTCCTCCTCGCTTTGAAGCTGGCACCCCATGTTTCTCCTGAATGTGGATGGACCCCGTGTAGAGATCCATAGACCACATGCTATCGCGGAGTGCATAGACTAACTAGGCTGCCTATCCTGGACCATCATATGTCTTTCCCCTCATTCCCCCCAACCGACAGCTTGGTTCGAAGGAAACCTTGATTCAATGTCTTAGCGATCTAGAACCATACGCCTCTCACATCTCAGATTCCAATTCGACAACTCCTCGACATGGCGGTTGGACGTGCCAGGATTTGAAAATCTGATATATAAACAGGTGGACTTTCCCAGTCCCAAACTTTTCATCCCAGTCCTGCGGGTCCAAAGCATACATCACCTATCTTTTAGCTCTCTGAGATAGTCTATCCAACAACATGGAGACGGACGAGAAGAACATTGGGTCTTCCCACATCAACAACGTCGACAGCAATGATGCTGCGAACATCGTCCAGATAGCTACCGATGTAGATGATTCGAAGGATTCGCCATGGACGGCGTCTATGTTCCGTCTGTACGGTGTTCTCATGGTTGCATATCTCTGTGGTTGTCTTAACGGATATGATGGCTCTCTCATGGGAGCGGTCAACGCTATGAAGCAGTATCAAGATTATTTTGGAATGTGAGTTTTCAAGTTCTTCGGCAAAGTCGCTTAATTAACATCTTGAATAGGTCTCAAGCCGGCTCTTCGACTGGTCTTGTTTTCGCACTCTACAACATCGGATCCATTCCAGCTGTTTTCCTTACCGGTCCAGTTAATGATCGATACGGTCGTCGCGCGGGAATGGCAACAGGCGCCGTAATTATCATCATAGGAACGTGTATTCAAGCTCCATCTGTGAACATGAAGATGTTCATGGCTGGAAGATTTATTCTTGGGTTTGGAGTTTCGTTCTGCTGTGTCTCGTAAGTCTAAGCGAGCATGTCCCACTTCTAAAAAGCTAACATTCTCTTCAGAGCTCCTTGCTACGTTAGTGAGATGGCACATCCCAAATGGCGTGGAACCATTACTGGTCTTTACAACACTTGCTGGTACATTGGTTCTATTGCCGCAGCCTGGACTTGTAAGAAATTGTTCCTTCACTATGTCCAAATTGTCACTAACATCTACAGGCTACGGAACTGCCTTCATCAACAGCACAGCCGCATTCCGTATTCCAATCTGTAAGACTGCCCACTCCATACTCTGATCTCTCACTAACCTTGAAACTTCAGGGTGCCAACTTTGTTCCTCAGTAGTCGTAGCCGGCGGCGCATTCTTCCTCCCCGAATCCCCCCGCTGGCTCGTAGGCCAAGACCGCGCCGACGAAGCGCGCGCCGTCCTCGCCAAATACCACGGCGAAGGCGACGAGAACCATCCGATGGTAAAACTCCAAATGGCCGAAATGCAAGGCCAAATTACGCTCGACGGATCTGACAAACGCTGGTGGTTCGTTTCTCGCTTAAGCCCCCTTTCAAACTCCAAAATACTAACAAGACCAGGGATTACTCCGCCCTCTTCAACACTCCCAACGCCCGTTCTCGTATGATCTGTGTCCTTGGAATGGCCTTCTTTGGACAATTATCCGGAAATTCGATCACGAGCTATTATCTTCCCAACATCATCAAAACAGCCGGAATCGACGACCCACACACGCAACTCCGACTCAACGGCGTGAACCCCGTTCTCTGCTGGCTCGGCGCCGTATTCGGCGCTCGCATGACCGACAAAATCGGACGACGACCTTTGCTTCTCTACTCCATCATCTTCGCGAGTGTCTGTTTCGCCATCATCACCGGGACAACGAAACTCGCCGTCGAGAACAAGAATCTGCATGCGAGTAACGCGGCGATCACGTTTGTGTATTTGTTCGGGATCGTGTATTCGTTTGGCTGGACGCCGTTGCAGAGTATGTATATCGCGGAGACGTTGAACTCGGAACAACGTGCTAAGGGAACTGCTGTAAGTCCCTCTAACATTCCCCTTCCCTTCATCAAACTAACACCCCCCTCAGCTCGGCAACCTCGGTTCCTCCATCGCAGGCACAATAATCCAATACGGGTCTGGCCCCGCCTTTGAAAAGCTGACCTACTACTTCTACCTCGTCTTCGTCTTCTGGGACCTGATCGAGGCCGTCGTGATCTATTTCTTCTTCGTCGAGACGAAGGACCGCACGTTGGAGGAGTTGGATGAGGTGTTTAGCGCGCCGAACCCGGTGAAGAAGAGTTTGGAGAAGAGGAGTGTGCAGACGGTGGCGAATACTGTGGGGGTGGGGTTGAAGGGAGAGTTGTAGATGGGGAGGGAGAAGGGGGAGTAGTAATACTATTGTGTTAACAATTTGTTTTGAATATGTTATGTGTGATGTCTGTCAGAAACTATTAGTGTGTTGTAAGTCTGACAGGATATCTGCTTGCGGTGATTTTAGCTACATTCCTGTTTTAAAACTAAAACTTTCTCCTCTCATTCGAGGAATCGTATGAGATTGTCTCTTTGTTTTTGTTTTTTTGGAACAAGGCTCACGATAAATATCAAGAGTCGAACCTTGGGAAGCCCCTTTAACGCTATTGTACTCGGAGGGTGTCCTCTCAGTCTTGCAAAGCACCGTTGATCGATATCAAGCGTGAAAATACGTTAAAAGTACAAGCCGATAGATTCGACATATATTACTTACTATTCATCACCTACGCACCTCTTACCCAAGCAACCGCCTCGCCTATTTTCCCTAACAAAAAAACTCCTAGGGTATCCATAAAAGAAGAGGTCATGAACCCGTAAATTAATACATCCCAACATCGAAGATAAATCCCTTTGCTGCATGAGAGACCGCTCATTGCGGTGGTTGCTCCCCCGCACATTTCGAAAGGAGACAAACATTATTTAACAGACCCTCTACCAGACTCGGATACTCATGGGGTTCTCCATTCGCAGCCCTCTGACCCTGTTGTCTGATAGCGGCAGTCGAGACTTCGATTTCCAACTCATGTTCCCTTTCAATACGTATCGTACCCTGCAATATCATTAGCGCCAAGATATAAAAATGAAAACAAGGAACATAGTGGCTTACATTTGGAGCAGTGATCTCCGACGTAACCTGCGTGAGATCGAATTGGTATAAACCTTGGGTATAACTCAAACGATCTTTCTGACGTTCTGGCCGCTTTTCTCCCGCCGGTGCATTCCTTATGATCTCGTCGATGTCGCCATCAAATTTCATTTCGAAGTTTATACTGATGCGACAATCTAGCGGTAGTTGTGGACAGTATATATCCAGATCCGCTATTCGAGTCTTGATGATACGTGCGATTATTTGGCCCGTCTTTTGGTCGGTCGTTACACGAACACTAACATCCCGCTTAATCTGTTCGCGAACCGCAGCTGGGAGAATGCTGTGCATCGATGCTGGCAGGGTGTAAAATCGATCTGTTTCCCGGCGATGGAGATAGTTTATTGGTACCCTAGGTCTATTCTTTGGCTTACTCGGATGTGTAGCTTCCACTTGAACATTCAGAAATCTGTTCAAACCAGAATGTTGTGGCTATGGAAGGTTAGCAAGAACTTAAATAGGAGAAAAGATACTGTACCAATGTCATCGAACTCTTAAAGGCAATATTTGGATTTGGTGCAAGAACGCATTCTGAGAGTATAGGCAGCTGGTATCGATGATTGGTGGCCCTGTCAATAAGGTGGCCCAATTTGGCCTCGATTTCAATTTCTACCCCACGACTGGAAAGTTCTCCAAAATCGTTTCGAGAAACTACCTCTGAGTAGAAGAAATCGGCTACCGCCTTCGTCATGCCTTTCGTTGGAGGATCCTTCAGCAAACTCATTTCATGCGGACCAAGTAAAATACTTGGATCTGGCGGTAAGTCCTGAATTCCGGCTCTTGAAATCATCGGAGAGCTATTGTGACTACCATTCGTCTCAGAATGTGCAATTACGGACGCTTGGGCAGGACCTTGAGCAGGAATTGTCTCTGCTTGTTTCCCATTCAACTTCGCTCTTTGCCCAATCTCTAATGCAGCCTTACTTCGAACACTTTGCGCCCAAATAGGAATTTCTGTATAACGAATTCGCTTCTTCGCTGGCGCCTTTGGAGAGCTAGATGCAGAGTGGATAATCTTGTGTTCGCCATTCATGACTCTTTTACTTTCTGGTGGTTGCACAGCATGATCCTCAACTCTCAAATCACGATCATCCATTTTTCTCTTTGTCGAGTATGGGTACCCGTTTTCTGGCTGAGAGATTGGAAGCTCTGCGCGTGGCGTACTAGGAACCCGAGTCTTTGGGCTAACACTCAAAGTTCGCTCTCTTTCACTTCGCGATCTCCTTTGTTCACTCAATGAGGTTCTTTGAGAATCGTATGCGCTTGGTGTACTAGGGTGTCGGGGAAGAGTGGCAGAAGCCGAAGGTGCTGGAGAGGTTTGTTGAAAGTGAGAAAATGGCCCGGTGGAGATACCTCGTTGTTGATATGGACTACTTGGTTGCGGAAATGTTCCGGAAGATGGTCTTTGTGTAAGAGGTGGGCCCAGCGGAGTGCCTGGTTGAGATTGTTGCCGGTGATGCTGAGGAATCTGTGATGTAGCAAATTGCGGTCCTGGCCCAGCAGATACAGGGCTATCTTGTGGATATTGAGGGTAGTACGGCTGTTGACTCTGGGCAGATGTGGGCGTCGGGGTGGAAGCTGAGATGGAAGATTGAGATCTTTGATGCTGGAGATATGGATGTGGAGCTCCAGGGATCCCAATTGGAGGTGTCTGGGGGGTCGGCGACACCAGATTATGTGCAGAGTTTTGGTGGCTCAAAGAATTTTGCTGTGAATGGTGAGGCGGAGGGTTGGCCTGCGGATAGCTGTCTCGAGTTGGGAAGGAAGGTGGATACTGCTGATGTTGCGCTGGGCTTTGAGGAGTCTGGGTATGTGGAAATGGATATTGGGACGAGGTCGAGGTCGAAGGTGTACGCTGATACGGTGACTGGGCAGAGTAGGATCTCACGGGAGAGCGTAGGTCATTCTGCGGAGGGGCTTGAATAGGAGGAGGAGGAGGAGGTCGTCCTGGATAAGGAGTCGCAGATTGATAAGTCGAGGGTGAGGCATACGGGCCTGGCGTCTGAGAAGTATAGTCCTGCGAAGGGTATTTGCCCGGCGACGGCTGTGATGAATGGCTGTACTCTCGAAAGCCGTGATGTGGAGGCGCTTGAATTGGCGTGACTGGAGCTGCTTGTTTGGGAATGGAGTTTTCCCCAGCTTCGGTGTTTATGATGGAACGAAGGTCCATGTTTGCGATCGGTCTCCCTCCCCCAAAGTACCCAAGCGCACCTTGCCCCGGGCTACAAAGTCTGCTGTATCTCCCAACAATTGACAGTCATTTGACGATAGTTGGCGAACGTCAGCTAACACGACAGAGGGTTCGACTGGGTGCTGGGCGCGCGCGCGGTGGAGTTTGCGCAAACGGATCTCAACAAAGGGCTTCAAGACGACAGGCAACACGAGGACAGAAACATCGACAAAAAGGGTCGCAGAGACTCAAGGAGCAATTCGGATTCGATTTGGATTAATTCGATATGCGACGAGAGGGACGGCGGTCGTGGGAGCATGGGTGGAGGTTGAAGGTTAAGGTTTGGGACACTTGCTGTTGTATTTGGCAAGCACATTTTGGAGAAATCCCCTTAGTCGCAAGGTTGACCAGCCGCCATCACCTCCTGAAAGACACGCACCGCCGTCTGAACTTATGCACGGCAAAGGGAAGCAAACGGGAAGCAGGTGAGATATCGAATTATTCTATAAGGGACATGCATCGTATGGGAGAAATGTCTCGATAGTCTCAAACAGTAATCAAGAACCCGTACGGCTTGTGCAAAGTGGTGATAATACTTTATTTGTGACGCGTTGAGCTCTTTGCCGAAAAGTTCGGGCTAGTCTATCAATCGAAACATTTCAAGGGGTTTCAATTGGGTCTGGATATTTCAAAATGATTTACAATCCTTTGCGCGCTCTTCAAGCCTTACAATATGTTAATTTCAATAATAAATATGGTCACGCGACAAGAGGCCATTCAAGACCAAAAGGGTGGCCGTTGAAGAGCAAGAGATCCGGTCTGCGCTATGCTAGCGGAAGCAGCACGTGAAGCTGCTACAAAATAACTCGCGATGGAAACCTGAGGCGACACAACGGCATCCATGCAGATCCACTTTTAGCAGCGCCGGCGTCCGAGCTTTAGGCCAGCTGCTGGTTACGTGACAGCTTGTGCCTGGCGAGAATAGCAAATCAACACAACATCATCGAATCCTCATCTATTCCATCAATCGTCGTCCATCTCATCCCAAGCAAGCAGACAAATCATCCGGATTCTTTTAATACACGAAACCACCTGTTCAAAGAGATCGCCTCTTCAACCATGCCTGGATTGACCTCAGCCTCCGGTGTTCTTGGGTTTCTCTCAGACGAGGAACCCGAGCTCAAGGTCTTCGCGCTGCAAACCTTGAACGATGATATCGACACCTTATGGACAGAGGTGGCGGACTCTGTTGGGCAGATGTGAGTTGACAGATTAGTCCTGCGTTCTCGAATCCTGCGCTTGCAATCTCGGCGCATTCATACTGACGAGCGCTTGTACAGAGAAACCCTTTACGAAGACGAGTCCTTCCCCGAGAGACAACTTGCCGCACTGGTTCTGGCAAAGGTCTACTACCACCTCCAGGAATACAATGAGAGTATGGCATTTGCGCTGGAAGCTGGGGATCTGTTCAAGCTTGATAAGGAAGGCGAATTCGAGGAGACCATCATCTCCAAGTGTATCGACACTTACATTAATGTATCAGCCGCCCGCAACGCAACTCCACAAGAGAAGTCCCGCGATGTCTCTCTCCCAACTCTGGCAACTACCTTTGGCAACTTTTCGAACGATCCTGATAGCACCAGTGCTGGCCTCACTTCGCCAACAACCCCCTTTTCTCAATCAGCCCTTCCTTCCAAATCTCTATTGTCTAGGCAGAACACATTGGAGGCCCCAGCTCAGGAGATATTGTCGGGTTCCGCATCGGTTCCGGATAGGTTAAAGCACAAGGCGTTGGAGAAGGTCATTGAGCGATTATTTGAGGCATGCCTGCGTGAAGGCAGATATAGACAGGTAGTTGGAATTGCCGTCGAGGCACGAAACCTCGAGGTCCTGCGAAGGGTTATCAAACGGGCCAGCGACGACGAGAAGAATTCCAGTGGCAAACAGGTGGATAGCGGGATAGGATCAACAGACGAGTTGATGGAATATGTCTTGGACATTTGCATGAGCATAGTCCAGGAGAGAGGGCTTAGAACAGAGATCTTGAAGCTCATTCTAGATCTCCTTTCCGACATCCCCGCTCCAGACTACTTCTCCATCGCGAAGTGTGCTGTTTATCTGAACCAGGATGAAGAAGCGTCGGCGATGCTGAAGAAGTTGGTGGTAAGTAATAAATACATTTTATCTGAAACCAAAACTAACAACACATAGTCGGATGAAAACCAGAATTCGACCGCAATTGCATACCAGATAGCCTTCGATTTATACGACAATGGAACCCAAGAGTTTTTGGCCAAGGTCATCAAGTCTTTACCTGCCAAGGTCGAAGTGACTCCGGAGGACCCAGAGAATCGTAAGTCCAGATGCAGATCAATCTCTGGAATTCTTATTGACCACAATTGTAGCAACTGAGAGTGATCAACTCTTGGGAGAATTGAACGATCGGGCCGGCGCTCCTGCTCCTTCGTCTGAAGATGTATCCGAAAAAGGCTTTGAAGTTTTCGGCAAGATTCGCAAGATCCTTGACGGTAGCGAGACCATCAGACTCAATCTCGAATTCCTCTACCGAAACAACCATACCGACCTTAGTATCTTGAACAAGGTCAAAGATAGTTTGGAGGGCAGAAACTCAATTTTCCACACCGCAGTTACCTTCTGCAATGCTTTCATGAATCAGGGCACAACCAATGACAAGTTCTTCAGAGACAACCTCGAGTGGCTCGGAAAAGCTGTCAACTGGTCCAAATTTTCTGCGACCGCCGCTCTTGGTGTTATCCACCGTGGAAACTTGACGCAATCAAGAAAGTTGCTTGAGCCTTATCTCCCACGAAGAGGATCAATCGGCGGCTCGATATTTAGTCAGGGTGGTGCTTTGTATGCATATGGCTTAATTTATGCCAATCACGGTGCTGATGCCTTGGATTACTTGAAGGAGCAATTCAACGAGGCTCAGGAGGAAGTCATCCAGCATGGTGGTGCCCTCGGATTGGGTATTGCCGGAATGGCGACTGGAAACCAGGAGATCTACGACAGTCTCAGAACTGTCCTTTACACTGATTCAGCCCTCAACGGTGAGGCTGTTGGTCTCGCTATGGGTCTGATCAACCTTGGTACAGGCAACATCGCTGCTCTCGAGGACATGATTACTTATGCTCACGAAACACAACACGAGAAGTCTGTTCGAGGTCTCGCCGTGGGAATGGCTCTCATCATGTACGCCCGCCAAGAGGGCGCAGATGAGCTGATTGAAGGCCTGCTCAATGATCCTGATCCAACCCTAAGATATGGAGGTATCATGACTGTAGCGCTCGCCTACTGTGGTACTGGCAGCAACAAGGCCGTCCGAAAACTTCTTCATGTTGCCGTCAGCGATGTCAATGATGATGTTCGCCGTATTGCTGTGATGAGTTTGGGATTCATCTTGTTCCGCAAGCCAGGAAGCGTTCCACGCATGGTCGAACTTCTCTCTGAGTCCTACAACCCACACGTTCGTTACGGAGCTGCCATGGCTCTCGGTATCTCTTGTGCCGGCACTGGTCTAGACGAAGCCATTGATCTCCTTGAGCCTATGATCAAGGATCCCACCGACTTTGTTCGACAGGGAGCTTTGATCTCCCTTGCCATGATCATGGTTCAACAGAATGAGGCGATGAATCCAAAGGTTGAATCCATTCGCAAGACTTTGAAGAAGATCGTGGGAGATCGTCATGAAGATGCCATGACCAAATTCGGTTCCGCCCTCGCATTGGGCATTATCGACGCTGGTGGGCGTAACTGCACAATTGGCCTGCAGACCCAGACAGGTAATCTCAACATGGCTGGCATTGTCGGAATGGCCGTTTTCATACAATACTGGTATTGGTTCCCATTCACTCACTTCTTGTCATTGAGTTTCATACCTACCTCGATGATCGGCTTGAACCATGATCTTGAAATCCCAAGCTTCAAGATTCACAGTGCTACGCGACCAAGTTTGTTCGATTATCCTCCCGAGCAGGAAGTCAAGACCGATGAGGCGCCCACCTTGATTGCTACTGCAGTACTCTCGACAACTGCCCAAGCCAAGCGACGTGCTCAGAAGAAGGAGCGTGCACAACGCCGTGAGAGTATGGATATTGACCAGACTCCGACCACACCGAAGGTTAATGCACCTAGTGAGAAGATGGATGTCGATGAGGAAGCGAAGGATAAGGAAGATAAATCAGAGGAGAAGAAAGAAGGTACCGATGCCGAGAAAGAGATATCCGCGACAGAGAGTGCCAAGAAGAAGCTGGAAAAGGAGAAGGTCGGCTATGAGATTGAGAACATGTCTAGGGTTCTCCCAGCTCAATTGAAATATGTCAGCTTCCCAACTGGGCGATACAAGCCTGTCAAGAAGCCTACCGGAGGTGTCATTCTGATGATCGATACACAACCTGAGGAAGAAAAGGTATTGATCGAGGAGAAGTTAAAGAAAGTGGTCACTGAGAAGGCCGCCAAACCACCTACCCTGGAGGACATGCGCAACGAGACCTTTGGTCTTGCTCGTCAAGCTGACGCTGCAGGTGAGGCTTCAGGTGCTGCTGCCGCTGCGGCTGTCTTGACAGCCGTGGATGAGGATGAAGAAGGTGGTGCGGAGGCGGAATGCCCAAGAGACTTTGAGTATTTCACTGATGTCGAAGAGGACGATGCGATGGACGAGGATTAGTAGAATGGTGGATATGTAATAATAGTTTTACTTTCTTCATGTGTATGCTGACATACGGCTTGAGCATTCAATCGGCGTTAGCATCAGCATCGAGAAGAGCGTACAATGTATAACAAGAATTTTGATGCAAAAGTCGTCTTTGATTATTTCGTCGTAGAGGCTATTTTGGGTGTTATCGTACCATTTGAGCGTGACACAGCGTTGCAATCGGGAGGCGCAAAGCCTCGGGCGCTGACAAGCACTTTTTCGGCGTTGTCTGAGAAAGGTAATTCGTTCCTGGGCGCATGGGCAATTGGATGAGGCTTGAGACTTCAAGAATTATTTTCTTTTGAATCTTGCTCTTTCTTTTGAGCTCTTTGTGATATCAATTCACGGGTTATGTACATGACGTGGAATTCTCTCAGATAGAGGATTAGGAACTTTCGCTACGGCGACGGCGACGGCGAGGCAAGCGGCGGCGGCCAGGGCGTAGATGTAGTAATTAGAGAGCGGGTTGTTTGGATGATCACTCTAACTTATTGTAGTTTAGGTGGATTGTCCGTAGATATCGAATGACAGCCTCAGCGGAATCCTAACATTCGCAGTCGCTTAGGATAGCAACCCCATCTTTGCTTATACTTCGCGAATACTTGTTGCCAAGACTGATACTTCAATCGTTCACAAAAAGTAGCAATTATCACGGCTCGTTATTGATCTCTATCACAAGAAGATCTAGATCCAGGCGGCTCATAACAACCTCCCAAAAGCTAGTCTAACAATCAATCATGGAGGCCGGGGACCCGGGGTACGTCGAACTACTGATAAGAGCATACCTGATGATTGGAAGAGGGGATGAGGGTCAGAATAACTGCCATGTTTAGGAGAGCTATTTTACGATACGGCCTTTCATATATCCCGTCGAGGATATAGGCGTTCTTTTTACTAGATACCGAAGTGTGTTAGTGGGACGTCGTACAGGGGGCAACATGTACGTCTCACCTGCAGATATACACGGCAGGGTGTTGGAGCTCTTATCTTTTATCTTTGTGCATGGTATGGGGTGAGTGGATGTGGTGTTATATACCTGACGGTACTTGCACTTCCTTTGACGTGAGACTTGTGTACTGTTTGGCAAGAATCCGGCAAGATGAAATCAGTCAAGGAATACATACCGTCCGGCCAAACGGTCAAGAGACGCTTCGCATCGCTCTCATCATGGCAATTGGAGAAGCAGAAATCCGCCCTCGCGCCTGACCATGTGTGGACGAACGAGGATATGGATCCGGTGAAGCCCGAGAATCAGACGTGGACCATCTGGACGTGGATGGCGTATTGGGCGACGGACACGATTAATCTGGGGACGTGGGAGACGGCGAGTGCGATTTTGGCGGTGGGATTGAGTTGGAGAGAGGCTATTCCTGCTGTGCGTTTGAGTTCCACTCTCATCCATCAGCATTGCTAATTCAGTTCGTCTAGATCGTCGTCGGAACCAGCTGCGTTGCCATTCCTATGGTCCTTAACGGTGCGATTGGAGCGAAACTCCATATCCCCTTCTCAGTAGCAATCCGCGCTTCGTTCGGTTACTACTTTGCGTACTTCGCCATCGTATCCCGAGCTATCCTCGCCATGTTCTGGCTTGGCATTCAAAGTGCCAATGGAGCTATATGTATGACCATCATGATAAGTGCCATCTGGCCGAGTTATGGAAACATCAAAAATCACATTGCCGAGTCTCAGGGTATCACGACGCAGGGCATGATTTCTTATTTCTTGTTCTGGATTATTCAGTTACCGCTGCTGTTGATCCCGCCGACCAAGTTGAGGTATCTGTTTTTGGTTAAGATTATTGCGGCGCCTATTACTGCATTGGCGACGATGGGTTGGATGGTTCATAAGGTAAGTTGCTCTACTACTGCAGCTGTAATAAGCCGAAAGAAATGCTAATAGTACCCAGGCTGGAGGATCTGGAGACATCTTCGCCGTACGAGCAACAGTTTCCGGAAGTCAAAAAGCTTATCTCTTCCTAAGCTCCATGTCATCAGTTACTGGATCATGGGCAACACTCGCCTGCAACATTCCTGATTTCTCTCGATACGCACGCAGCTCCAAAGGTCAATTCATCCAACTTCCTGTCCTTCCAATAATCTTCACTTCCTGTGCCGTCATCGGTATTGTCACGACCTCTGCATCTCAAACAGTTTACGGAGAACCAATCTGGAATCCTCTCGAAATCGTCGAGAAATGGCTCCACATGGGCCATGGAGGACGAGCCGCTGCTTTCTTCGCAGCAACCAGCTGGTATATTGCTCAAGTCGGCACGAACATCACCGCCAACTCCATCTCCGCAGCAAACGATCTCTGCGTTTTATTTCCAAGATACATCAACATCAAACGTGGATGTATGATCGCCGCCGTCATCGGTGGTTGGGTCATCGTACCCTGGAAAATCATCTCATCCGCCTCGACTTTCCTGGCTTTCATGGGAGGATACTCCGTCTTCCTCGCTCCAATCGCCGGTATTCTCGCATCCGATTACTGGATCGTGAGAAAGCAAAACATGGACGTACCCGCCTTGTACGATCCAAATGGACGTTACTCTTATTTCCGCGGCACCAACTGGCGCGCTGTCGTCGCCATGCTCATCGCTGTCTGTCCCAACCTCCCAGGGCTCGCTTATTCCATCGGCATGAACTCAGATGGCACGGATTCCGTCAATATTTCTGCTGGCGCGAAGAATCTGTACACATTCTGCTGGTTATTTGGGTTTGTGAGTAGTATCGTGGTGTACACGGCACTTAGCTTGATATGGCCAGATACGGATAGTTTGGTCGATGAGACGATCTATGGACATGATGTTGTGGTTGGGGGAAGTCCTATTGATGAGGAATCTGGCATGCATGGAAAGGATTTTGGGAATGTTGATGCGGTGGATTTGGGGAAGCATGAGAAGGATGGGATGAAGGTTTAGTAGATATTTGTTAAGTCATTCGTTATAGAGATTAGCTCACACACAGAATAGATATACATAGAATAGATGTGCTTGGTTCTTACATCAACGATCAATGTTTGAATATCAAGTTTCGGTCCGATTTCTTTGTTGAGGTTACACAATCCCATTTGACTCTGATTATTCAATCAATATTCGACCTATAAAGTGTGTTTCAAAGCTACTGCATATGAAGATACTTCAAATGTGCTTCAAATATGCATCAACCTTACACCGCGCATGCGACAAAGCTTACCAGATGACGCACACCGAGCGACGACTTGATTGGTTATGCACATGCAAGCCCAAAGTTAAATTGAAGTTTTAAGACTTACCAGTAAAATATCACTGGACATCTTCACATATAACACATCTCATACAAACGAAAAAACCCAAAGATCGTCGAACATCAACTTCCTCCATCACTCTCATTTTCAAATTCGCTCAAAAGCCAGCCAAAAATGCCTCAAATCACAATCCTCCCCCACAACCCCCTCTGGCTCAGCAAATTCGAAGCCCAAAAAAAGATACTCCAAGAAATCCTAGCCTCCCTCCCCATACTCTCCATCCAACACGTAGGCTCCACCTCCATCCCCTCCCTACCAGCCAAACCCGTGTTAGACATCGACATCATCGTCCAGCGCTCCGACGTCCCTCTTGTAATCGCCGCCCTCGTCGCCGCAGGCTACACAGACCTCGGCACCTTTGGCATCGCCGACCGCTGGGCATTACGGCAACCAGGCTACGGGAGAGGGGACGAGGCGCTAGGCGATGAAGAAGATATGCGGATGAATACGTATGTGATTGTCGAGGGCAGTCTGGCGTTACGGAATCATTTGGATGTTAAGAGGGTGTTGTGTGGGAATGAGGGGCTGAGGAGGGAGTATGCGGATACGAAGAGGAGGTTGGTTGAGCAGGGAGTGGATTTGGATGGGTATGTTAGGGGGAAGAATGAGGTGCTTTTGAGGGTTTTGGGGGAGGCGGGGTGGAGTGAGGGGGAGTTGGAGGAGGTTAGGAGGGCTAATGAGTGAGTTTGTTGGGCATTTGAGGGGTTTGTGGTTGGTGAGGGTGAAAGTGAATTTTAATGGATTGTGGTTGAAAGGTATTTGAACGGGTAAGTGCTTATCTTGCTGTGAAAAAGTATCGAGGCGGTTTAATGAAATTCGGTAATAGCTTAAAAATCAAGCTATGACCGAACACAAGGGTCGTTTGTGACGCGTAGCAAACAGAGCGAGCAATTTTGTTAAAGATAAGGTAACGTGAGGAAGACTTAGAGATTTTAGGAAGGCCAATGAATGAATTATGATAGATTGAACGAGGGCTTCGTGACAACAAAAGTGTAGGATGATTATTGAAAATGTCTTGGACTGGTAAGCGCTTATCTTGCCGTCAAATGACATAAATGTTGCTCATTAAAGAATCTTCAAGGCTTTATAAAACTTTGTGAGCATCATCTTTAGCAAACCATAAGTGATCCATTCATGACACTTGACAAACAGACTTAGCCACTTCATCAAAGATGAACGGATGTCTTCGCTGCGTCTTAGCTAGCCGAACCTATTTGAGAACAATGATCCGATTTCATGACACTTTCACTTTCAAAACATCAACCTTCGTGAATTCCCCCACCTAAAATACTATAAGTAGATCCAACCCTCCTTCCTCTCTATCCTCTCTCCCTAAACCATCGACCAAAACACCACACACAACAATCCTCGCTTATTCACACCACCACCAAAATGTCATCCGCAGACTACCCCCCCGTCATGGGCTCAGTAAAAGACTTTCCAGTCCGCCACCTCGGAAAAACCACCATCCTCTCTCACGTAACCTTCCGCACCTACTCCCCCTCCTTCATAGCCACCTTCGGCAAGCCCTTCCTCGCCTACGACCAATTCGCCGCGACTTTGCACCACATCCCGACCACGCCTCCAGATCTCAGATTCCCGCACTTCACAGCTGAATTTCCGCGATTCTCACGCCACATGACGTTCCTAGGGTTTTGCAAAAACATCGATGCGTACTGCGTGATACAAGGTAAATGGGGCGTAGGACGCAAGGATAAAGAACATCGCTGGGTGCGTACCGTGCTAGAGAAGTTCCAGCGATGTACGTTGTGGGATCGAGGCGCGTTGGTCGGGCGGGATGTCGGGCGTGGGAGACGACTCGGGGATTTGGAGGAGGTGCAGGAGCAGTGGGCGGTGGAGAATTTGTTGAGTGGTATGAGCAGTGTTACGCTGGAGGGTCCGGAGACGGAGTATGATAAGGAGGATAAAGAGGATAAAGGAGATTCTCTTCCTACCACCGATGAAGATGTTAGCATGGAATGATTTTAATCTCCTGCGGTATCATGAGAAAGCGTTTGTTGAATATCTCACGGGATTCAACATCCAATAGTCAACGTAGCTAGATCCGTGCCGCCAATTTATTCACCCAAACCATGTATTGATCTTTTGTCAAGTTTTATCTTCTATTCTGTCTCTAACGACATTATCGCGGTCCAAAACCAAATATATATGAGCATGTCACCTAACATATCATGAATTTGCGGACAATAAAAGGGGTATATTTAAGCGAGCCTCACATTAAAAATCCACTACTAACACCTCAACACCACTTAACCATCGCAAGCCCAACGAACCCCATCTCCTCAACTCCCTATACCTTCAACCTCCTCCCACCTTCTCCATACCCTCCTCCCCTCTTCTTCCCTCCCCATCACCCTCCCGTCCCTCCCACCCCTCCTCCCGCCTTAGCATTAGCAGCCATAGCCGCCTCCCACCCCTTCTGAAACATCTCCCTCTCCATCTTGTCCTTCTCCACTTTCTTATCGACTTTCTTCTTCCTCCCAGGTACCTCCTCCATATCCTTCCATCTCGGGTGCGTGAGCAGCGAGTCTTTGATCCAGAAGCCGTGTTTCATGGGGTTGAGCTCGCCTTTCGGACGCGCGTAGCCGCGGACGTTGTGGGAGGGGGTGTTGCCCATTGTGTGTGAGTGTGGTATGGTAAGGTGTATAAGGGGGAAGGAGGGAAGGGGACATGGTGAAGGGATGTTGGTGGGACGGTGGCTTTATGGATGGAGGTATGAATAAGAGGTGTGGTTTGTTATTCCTTGGGGAGTATTCAGATAGTACCGCAAAAGTTATTTGTGAATCCTACAAGAGCTTTTAGCTCAAGCAACATATCCTGAAATATTTCTCACATACCAATTCGAAACAGAATATCGACTGTTCAACCCACCAGAGGAATTGCACAGGATTGTGAAGACACTCCACTTCAACTGACACATCTGAAAGGACTATTCAACACTTATGCCCGCTCCCTTCGATGGGTAATACTGCCTACTCTTAGAATTGCACTCAAGAATAACCTCCCTAGTCATCGAATCAACACTCTCCCCTAACTCTTTCGATGGATAATAATGCTTAAACTCCAGACTCCTGTTCAGATTGGAAAAATGCATATAGATACTTCTGAGGTATGGTGTCCCTTTCGGTGAGCTGTTGAGAGAGATCGGAACCCGACCTCGACAGCATCAAATGGAGAACTATGGCTGTAAATTGTGGTTCCGAGAGGTTCACACAATCTCTCCACGCTACAATCAGACTAGGGCGAACGCCTTCTTTGTATGGCACTTTTGGAGCTGGCCAAAAGTCTCCAGACAGCCTGCGTTTGATTCGAGGCCAATGGTGTCAAGAACAGTCATAGCTTCGCATGCGAGGAAGCAGAAGAACTTCAAGAAACAGGATGGATTGAAGCCATTAAGAGATAGATACCACGACTTTTGCTGCTGCTCTGATGCTTTGCTTCAGCAGTCGTCCGAACTCTATGGACTTCGTAACCGTCACTGCTGTGTGATGCTACTACATTCCTGCTGAAAAGTTTATAATTAAGCCCCTTTTCTGGACAAATACATGTAAAGATAATACTTACATAGGTATATAATTTGCGTATGTATTAAATATATGTATGTTCAACGCTTGGTACATGTACAAGAACCTAACTAATGCAATAATCCAGAGCCTTCACTCCTCAACTCCAAGAACTTCTTCCCAAGTCGTCCTCAGATCCTCCAGCTGTTTCCAGCATTTACCACCCATGACCTCGAAGTCTTCCCTAGACTCCTTCGTCGCATCAATAGCATTCCGCCTCCTACCTATCCTCTTCTCGCCTGAATCATCAACATTACCATGCCATCCCCAACCCTCCACTTCCGTCTGCATGACTCGTTCCTCGCCGCTAGTATTCGTTGCAGAACCCCATTTCGCCTTCTTGTTCCCGTGGTCTTCCATGTCTTCTAGAATCTCATTATCTGTTAAGGCAAGCCAAGTAGGTGCAACAGCGGCCTTATAAGGATCAATTGGATGCCAAGGACTTCCGATCCAGCGAACGAACAGAAATACGAGCTTGTAGATAGCGACTAGGATAGCAGGAAGTGGCAATATTTCGGATGCAAATATTCCTGGGTGCGTCAGATATATTTTTGGCTTCACCACAGGCAAGTCTTCCGCATCATCTTGTGATATTTTCGCGGCCTTGCGTCCAGTAACAGTCTTAGATGGGTCAAAATATGAAGCGACTGCTCGTTTTGTGGACGGTAAATCAGCAGTCAAAGAAATGTAGTCCATCAAACGTTTTGTATCCTCATATGGATGGAGAGATTTCAGTCCCTGAATATCATTGATGGAAAAGTGGTCCGCAATGGCTTCGACACTGGACATCCAGATGATCTTCCCACTACTTTCTGAGGTAGGGGAGGATGGACGAGAAAGGAGAGGCATAAGTTCGTGCACAAGAACATAGTGGCCGAAAACATTGGCGCAGAAGACTTCTCCCAGTGGTGGCTCGGTCGATTCGACTTTCTCTGACAACAGCGGTTGCCTCGCTTCTTCTCCGGAACTTGAAGCTTTGAACTTCGACTGTGATCGAACGACAGCTCCTACATTCGCTAGTTTGTATGTCGGCCAGGTTGTGGCTTCAACCGGATTGAACAGTACTTCTCGGACAGCCTCATACCAAGAAAGACCAGTCCATCCGCCAATTCCAGCACTAAGAATGATCACATCTAATCTTGGCAGTCGAATACCACTCAATCCCCATCCCCAAGCCCGCAAAAGACCAGTCGATCCAGGTTTCTGGCTCAATGCCCATCGATCCTGCTGTACACCTTCAGAGTAGCTCTGTGTCCCGGGTGAGCCGTGTGGGAGCTTGGCTCCATCCATTGTTGTCGCATCTGGACTTCCCACTGTGCCATTAACCAATTGATCTGCTAATCGGTATACACTCTTCAAGTCACACAAGTCCACCTCCACTCCTAGGAAGTGCACTCTCTGAACCGCGGTTTCCCATCTGTATTCTCGGCCTTCTGCCTTGGCTTTCGCGCGTAATTTCTTCGCATGCGCCGACGATTCTGCTGCTATACGAAGATGGCCTCTCAATCGTGAAATTGTAAATCGAGTTTTTAGGGGACTTCGTGTGCACAGTATGAGAACGAGATGCTTGTTCGCAGGCGTTGATGGACCTGTGATGAATTCATCGATCATGCGCGCCGCAATTGAATATCCTAGACCACTTCACACTGTTAGCAGCTACTTCGCGAATTGACACAAGAACAAGAATTTGCAAGTGCTTTTCCCAAAACGAGGCCCAAGGGAAGGGCGCAAGGAGAAGTTGATTGAAAGCGTTTTGACTCCTACCTGTTTGCACCTGTGATCATAGCAAACAGCTGGCTATCACTTGTCTCCCATGGCGGTAAACCCATTCCGAATTGATTTATGTAGGTCGAGGCGACCTCCGATTTGTCGAGTTGTTGGTTCAGTTACTGCTGCAACTCTGGGCTCCTTGGGGCAGATGTGAAAGTCGGCTTCTCTTCGGCTCCGCAAAATGGTTTACTCCCATGTTCGGGTATTCGTTTGGGATCGGCCCGCCATGAACCCGTAGTCGAACGACATCGAACCTACATGATCAAGTTGTCTAATTGCATAGGGAATTGGAAATAGAAAGTAGTCTTAGAATCGAGTAGATGCGGAATCTCCAGCTATTTCCCTCTCAAAAAACATTACCAGTTGTAACATTTCGAGCCCTGCGAGAAAACTAGGTACTTTTCTTTCTTGTTATTCTCGAAAATTGCGAGCCGCGCAACGTCTTACGCTCTCATATCTGTTCTCTGTTTCTTCATAATTACCTGGACTGCCGATTTATCCTTGGAACTCGTGCCCTTGTACCAATTATGTCAGTAACACGACGAGTTTATTAAACACTCGAGTATCTTCGAAACTCTGCGCACATGATTTACTCAACAAAAACTGACACTTCAACACAACCAACGAAACACAAGCCCCGGGACGCCCAACTCTTAATCATACCTCAGACAACCATCAGTCACATACACATGCCGTGTCAGAAGACATTCTCGTGTCGATCATTGATGTCTTTGGATTTCCAGAGGCTCTTTCTAGCTAAGCGAGTTCAGCTTCTGCAGCCACCAAAAACGAGAGACATAACTCTCAACATTAAGCTTTGACAATTGGACGCCTTATTTGGAATTGACCAATGAGCTTTGTATACATTGTATGTGGCTGATAGGTCTATGTAACCCTTCTTATCAAAGTGGTTTATTGAAAGTGATTTCAGAGACATATATAATTCAAGATGGATGCCTATCGTGTGCTTGAAACGATTGAGATTTTGAAAATTCTTGTTTCTAGTATTCTGCCTCACAGAAACTCTGGTCTACGAAGTATCCACGATGTTCAATTCCCATCTTTCAGTCTTTCTCCTCATCCTCTTGACAACCCAATACATCCACGCACAAGGAACAACCATCAACGTCTCACCCCTCCTATCCTGCAGCCTCACAACCTTCAGCTGTCCAGGCACAAGCGGCTGTTGCACCGTGGCAGGCTGCTGCGGCAACGGGTGTTGCGAAAATGGATATGTCTGTATCAACGAAGGAACCTCAACAGAAGCATGTTGTCCCTCCTTCGACCCCACAAAATGTGGCACCTTACCCATCGCACCCATTGTAAGCTCTCCCTCCTCCGTCTTCCAAATCCATCTAACACATACGTAGCCATCAAGTCCACCCAGCACCAGCCCAAACACATGCACACAAATCCACAACTGCCCGCGAGATCCAGTACGAGGTCTAGCATGGACCTGTCTCCTAGGAAAAACATGCGGCTTCTCATATCCCGACTGTAATCCGTGCCCATACATCGCCGGTTCTGGATCATCAGTGAGCAGTTCCTTTGAGAGCAGTCCGACGTCTAGCAGCGACGAAGATGATACATCTTCAGAAGAAAGTTCCAGCCCCACGAGCTCTGCGGATAGTACGTCTAGCTCAAGCGGCGCTCAAACAACAACGTCAAGATCTAGTAGTCCGGCGGGCAGTAGCCCGACTCCAAATAATAGCTCACCGACGTCTTTTGGGTATCGAGTTAAAGCCATTGGATCTGGGTGGTATTTGATGACCATTATTGTTTCCGGGGTCGTGCTGCGTATGACTGGATGAGTTGAGTCTTTTTATCTGAAAAATATACAGAGAGTATCCCCGTACTGTAGGATCACTATATGAGTTCTCTAGCATATGGTGTTTCTGTGCGAATATCTGCCGGACGATTAGCGCCGACGATACCTTGAAGTTTCACCACCAATGATGCAAGGACCATGGGCTACGTAGTGTCGCGTATCTGACCCACCCATTTGACCCGTCGTTGTCTTATGGACGATCTAATGAGCATATTAAATCGATGGGTGCGAGCCGATGAGGCTCGGAATGCAGACGAGAAATTCGTCGAGAATTGTGATTGCTGAAAGACCTCAATTTGTATTCAGAAATTACAAGCCAAGCCACCAAGACACTTCGGGGAACTGGATCATTCTCTTTCCCAGATCAACACATCCAATTAGCATTCCATGAACTCCACGCTTAGACTTGAAAAACACGCGTTGGTATATAAAAGTGACCCCCTCCTATGTCAGGACCTGTCCCCACAAGAATCTTATACGTTTTTCCTCTCATCATCTTCACTATCACTAGCCATATCCTCACCCCGAGCTCCCTCACTCTTTCGCCTTCGAATCTGGCCACGTTCCCTCATGGCTCCTCTGATCTTTTGACTAACTTCGTCAAAGCTTCCTTTGGTATCAAGCGTACTGAATGCTGACAAAGGAAGTGCAGCTGAGCCAAGAGCTCCTCCACCACTACTGCTACGACTTCGGCTTCTAGATGATGGGCGTGTAGCGAAAAGGCCAATATTGGCGAGATTTCCAAATGATTCATTTCGCGGCAGGTGTCCACTACTAGTGGATCCGCCACCGATAGACGCATCAGTAAATCTTCCTGGCTGAGGTGGTGATGATGACCCTGACACACCAGACTGATTGCTGTCTCGTCGGCGAAATTTGGCACTTGTAGGCGAAGGACTTCCCGTGCCTGGACGAAATGGATCCGCAATTATTCTTGAAGCATCAAAATCAGGGAACATCTGTGGACCTAGCGTATTGATAACCTCTGTGACCTGTTCGCTGAGTTCAGCTCGGCGGGCGCGCAACTTGTAGATGATGTTGCTCGAGGTTGGATTGAGTGACAGAACAAGAGGACGCAGGGATTTGAGTATATCCATTCCCACCTCTCCGAATCGAAGTGCTGCGTAAGTGATAGCGGGGAAAAAGATGTATCCAAAGATTACCACACTCCAAAGTGAAACACTCTCAGGCACATACCCTTGTACACGGTTCCGCCAAGTCCAGTAAGTAAGCAGCATTGTGTAGGTGTTGTACAATATTGGCGCGAATGCAAGAGCGACCAATAATTTCCAAGTTGCCATAACATCGCGACCCTGAAGCTTGACTGTTGAAGCAGCCAGGGCCTCCCTAGATTTCTTGATGCTTATCACCTTCGAGGCAACAAATACCGGGCTGAAGAGGACAAGACCGGGAATGACGCCAATTGAGAGTACTGATATCTTTCCCAAGCGATAGAACAACAGTATGAAAGCCTTCAATACAGAGACTTTAGCGTATTCTACCTGGTGATCGCTGATGTTGACGTATCTTAGTTGCTTATTGTAGTTTATGACTGACTTTTTCAAGGACACAATTCTTGGATCATCTTTGTAATGGGTGTAGCCTTTCACAAGTCGTCTGTTAAGCTCAACAACCATTGGTAGTGGTAGCTTCTTTCCGGTGGGGTTGTAAAGACGTCTGACAGCTTGAATAAGCATGAGGGTATCGTAGTCAGGACTGGTCACTGTCACCGCGACGAGAGCTTGGTACACAGTATCCAACAATTGGCTAACGGCTTCTCGTCGCTCCCCATTTTTGTATAGCTCGACTAGTTCTTTTGGGACTTCCACTGGGTTTCCGAACTCGACGACTGCGCGAGAGCGGAACTTGTGGGCATGGAAATAGTTCATACCACAAGGCACAATTTTGAGACCACTGTCCGGATTTGCGGCTAATGCTCCAAGAGCCATAATCGCAACGCCCGCCTTGAGGGGTAATAATTCGGTCCTGTCATGACTACCTCCTTCAGGAAAGATACCCACAGCTCCACCTGCGCTAAGGCGATCAAAAACAGCATCGTAAACTTCAGTCTGATCGACTTTTGGTGCAGTCTTATACTTAATGCCTTCAAAGCCGGGTATTGGCCCTTGAACAGTCTCGTCTTTGAAATTACCCTTTTCATCGACGTCTTCTCTACCGGTGAGCTGTTTCATGGCTGTTGCACCCTTGAATGGCTTTTTCAACCTAATTTCTTCTGCGCTGATAACTTCCGCAACCTCAGCATTTGCAGCTGTGCCGTTCACGCTTGGCAAGACTAGTAGCCCACCAATTTGAACCTCTTTGCTATTAAATTTGCTGCCGATCCCGCGCACAAGCAGAGGATTTCCAACAGGATCTGGAAGATATATTGTTCCCGAACCAGGCTTAACCATGTCAAGTGCTCGTCCAACAGGTACGGCGCCTACTTTGCGCGCAAACCATCCTATCAGCCATCTGTTCATAGATTTCGCAGCAATCAGAAAGGCTGCGCGTCGATGGCATTCTGTTCGCAGAGTTCGCATAAGAATTAGAGGATCAACGAACTAGATTTCTCAAGTCAGCAACATTCAGTCCATATCATGAGTGAAAACTTGCCTGGTTCGCATGAGGGGCTGCGACAAAAATTACTGGGCCCTGTCGCGGAACCTTCCATGATCCACGAGGATGAACTTCTCGAAAGAAAAGATCAACGAGGATAGAAAATGTCCATAGGAAAACATCATATATCCAATTTGTCATAGGGTAACGTTCTTTATGCGGAGCCTTCTGAGGCATGTGCTCGTGCACCTGGCCGTCGCCTGCCATTGTGACACTTTCGAAATATATTGACGTCGGATGTTAGGTGTTCAGGACTCGAGATTTCGTCTTATCGGGAGAGCGGATGCGGTAATGATACTTCGGAAATCGTAGGGGATATTCGCTTCGAAATCTAGGCTTGTGTCAACCTGCAGCTCAACGGTTTCCAAGCAACCTGCTGGCGTTCCTTGTCTGAAGGTTTGGAGGGATCTGGTTGGTGTGAGATTGACGGGTTGACATATCCACAACTGCAAATACTTCGCACCTCGTATCGCAAGTCGGGCTGGATGTCTTCGCCACTGAGTAAGAGATATGTTGAGCGTGTGCAGTTTCTTGGAGGGGTGGGTTGCAGCTTCCAAGGTCTGGTGCAACGGGCCCGCTCGTCTATTTGCCGCGCTAGGCGCATGTATCGCTCCACTGGAGACATCACTCCTTTCTTCACTTCGACGTTGATATCGTTATATGGACAAGAACAACTCATAAAACAATCCTAAACAAGTTCGAACTTGCAAAGTTCCATCTTACATTATCCAGGGATAATCTTCCTTAATAATTTACGGTATATTAATGTAATCAAAGCTACCCCAGTATACTTGCTGTAGACAAATACTAAAAAACAACATGTAATTTACGTCCATCATTTAGATACAATTGTTGACATGCGTGTTGGTACTATAATGGCCAGTCCTCACATTGGTTGTCCGCAAGTAAAACTAACAAAAAAGAAAAACTTTCTCTACCATACAATGGCAGATGAAAAGAATGGGAAAATTGGATAAACAATGCTGCATGTGATCTTGATTAATGTAGGAAATTGGAAAAAAACACCAAAAAAAATCAGGAGGTGATGTCTAGTAACATCAACCTTTTAATAACTGGAGAGTTAATCAGCTTTCACAACCCCTCACACTCCGCCCCCAGAGGCAAATGCCCGCATTGCAGACGGGGCTTTTGTCAAACGCGGAACAACGAGATTAACCACAATCGTTTCGAGAGAGCTCTTATTGGCGCAACTAGGCTTGCAACGGCCTGGTAATCATTGGGAGTGCTTGCAAGCGAGGCTGCTTGACTGATTGGTTAACAAATTTATGCTCAAAGGTGTTTATATTTGACAGAAACGTATGCGACGCCGAAGTTTCGCCTCTCTTTGTTTGTTCGGAGTAGTATTCACTGGAATGCTCAAATTTGGAGCTAGTGGATTCACGCCAGGCTTCGTGACATCCATTAGCCCAAGTGCCATGTCATCTTTCTTGGTTCAAGTTTTCAAAATATCATCTATACTGGAAAGCAATGTTTCATGCATATTCGGTTTCTTACATGTTTTCCCTAATTCATACCCATTCATGTTTTCAAGCGCAATTTCGAACCAAGCATTTAGAGCTGATGTTTCGCCTACATACAACTACTCTCACCGAGCTGGTATCTACAAGATTGGTTGTTCAGCATTGAATAATTGCTCACTCGTTTAGAGAGGTTGTATTGGATGGCATCATCCGTTTTCTTCTTCGCTATTTGAACAATCACTCTAGAATAACGGACCTGTTACGAGCCTATCCATGTGAGAAATTATATAGAATGTATTGAGCCGTTAAGTTTCACTGATCTGATATCTTTACTATTGGTTTGTCAATACTATATAATTGCCCACTCCTTAACAGAAATTGCATCGAATGGCATCGTGCGTTTCCTTCTTCACTATTTGAATCACCCACTCTAGAAGAATAGGACCTTATAATGAGCCTACCTTTGTGAGAAATTATATATAATGGTTTGAGCCGCTAGCTGTCACTAAGCTAATATCTTTACCACTGGTTTGTCAATACTATAGGATTGCTCGCTCCTTTACAGAGATCGTTTCGAATGGCACCATGTGTTTTCTTCTTCACCATTTGATTCAGTCACATATGAATAATTATAACTTATAATTAGTCTACACGGCAAACTTTGTATGACGGTTCAATTGTGTCAAAACTTGAAGTCAACAAAACCTGCATACATTTCTTCATTTTGAAAACTTTCAATCTTAGGCAAGAATGCCAAGTATTCACCTTCTGACTCCATCATGTATTCACTCTATCAATCCATCAAACATTCACCACCACGTCAATTCAATTGGACTAGCCTTCTTGCAAGCGGCATCTCCCACTGCCGGCGAGCTATAAATTCTTTCTCAATTCTCAAATCCTCTTTCTTTCACCTCCACACCACAACCCCTCGACCACCACCACCACCACTTGCCGTCCTCGCCCTTCAAAATGCCGCGGTGGTCCAGTTTGGTTGTCCGAGGGGGCCCCCCACTAACCTTCGAGAGATGCTACCCTAAAGTACATGCAGGTGACGAGGCCCTAATGTCAAAAGAAGAGAGATACGTGGTCATCGCCATGCGGGCGTATGGCCATGTAATTGGTTACAACGAGGCGTTTGCCCGCGCAAAAAGCCTCTGGGAGAGTGGCGATGACCGGCCCAAGTGCCTTGCCTTCTTCGAGCCAGAGTACAATGCCGACTACAGCGACCGGCCGCGCCGATTCGATCCCAACGACCCAGAATCTATCGAACGCGCCGAGCAGTTCCGGCATCACTCAGACGAATTCGTCGCCGTCTACGGAATCAAGGAGTTCTACACCGACATCTCGATCTGGATGACGACCCCCTTTGATGAGTCTCTCGTGCCCAACTTTAACATTCCATTTCATGTCTTGGTCGACGATGCCACGTTCACCTTCCTCAAGGTATGCTAGCGAAGCCATCACATGGCCGACCAAAAGAATGTTCGCGGTCTCAACCTGCTGGAGCTGGAGTCTGCATGGGCGAGAATGGTCTTCGAGAAATTCGAAGCCATCCCATTGAGTACAATCTAATCACGGATCGACCCGTCCAACAAAAATCTCCAAACCGAAAACCATGTTCGGGAAAGTAACAAGCAGCAGCTGATCAATCTGCTGCAGTATGTAAGCATATCCCTATCCATTTCCGCGCATCACCTCATCATTAGACCACCATACTCACTCATCCCCAGCGTTTCAAACCAAAATTGGAGCTCCGCCAATACTGGCTCTCTGCAGCCGAAAAGTACGGCTTCTCTGCCGAAGAAATTAAAGTAAGTTCCCCCTTCCCCAATCATCTAAAACCACCGCACTAACCAGTGCGAAAACAGACCTACGGCCCCGGCAAACGACTCGCGACGTCCGGTCCCGCTGCCCAATTCGTCGGCGACGACATCGACACCGAGCTTGCCAGGTGCCATGACCGTATGGAGCGACAACAGGCGTGGGCGGCGCGGAATATGGATGATGATGGACCTGTCACGCAGGAGGAACAGGATGAGTATAACGCTTGGTATGGGAAGGGGGCTGATGATGACGATGATGTCGGTGGCAATGAGTTGCGAAATTGGAAAATGGGTGCAAATGAAGAGGATGGTGATGTTGAAATGGCAGATTAGACGTAGCTGTACTGTGCTATGGATAGTATGTATGAGTAAGTCCTAAGCGAGGATGTAAATGTCGGAGTATTGGGTGTTGGATATACCCCCTGATTGGTTTCAAAGGCGCAAACAGAGTTCAGATTTAATAAACAATTCAAAAAGTAATAATTTCAATTTCATATCCTACCACTACTATTCAACCTCTCAATCCTAACGCTCAAACTAAACAATCCACAAATCCAAACACCCCAAGAAAGAAACAATACCAAACAACCCAATCCAATCAAACAATCCATAAACACCAACCCCAAAAACAGGCACGCAAGCATGTATAACAATCTTCATCCAACCCCTCTCAATCTAAACATCCCACCCAAGCCCCTTAGCAAGCGGACTCCCCACCTTGGGCGCCCACTGCAGACTCTTCCGTCTCGCAGCCATCAGTCGCATCATGACACTCTCATCCTTCTTCTGGCTCAAAAAGCCTTTACCCTCTTCAATTCCGCCCTCTTGGGCATCCTCGAAGAATCTGCCTTTCGCGGGTGGAGCAGTTTGTTGCACCAGTTCTTGCGTGTGCAAGAAATAGGGGGTTTGTCCGGTAGGTGTGTCTTCCCCATACAAACCGTTTTCCGTGTACAAGGAAGTGGTGGGTTCATAGGCTGGGGTGTTGGGGACGGGGGATAGCATTAGGGTTTGATTGGCGAGTTCATCATCGTTAGGTGATGAGGTTGAGGGAGAGCGGACCCATTGGATCGATTCGCGGCGCTTGGACTTGGATGTGTATGGGGTTTCCAAGTTTAGGAACTCTTTGGTGGGTGACATGTTGGATTTGCGTGGAGTGGTAGATGATGACACAAGAGTGCCGTTGAGGTTGGCTAAAGCCTTTGGCTCCATACTCTTGCGTCGACGATGACCACCACGGGGAACGTTAGATGTATCAACTGCGTACGGAGCCTCATCAAGCCACTTATTTTCTCGCTCACAACTATTGCATGTTAGATCGGATTGGTAATTGCCAAAGGTAGGGAAACTTACTCAAGAACCCATCCAACGCCAACACATGAAACAACACCACCAGTCTCTCTGACTTTCTCAAGAGTTCGCTTTCCACCATCTTTGAAAACTACATGTGTGATTCCAATTTTGGCTCCATCCTCAGCACTCCCATTCCAGTTCCATGACTTGACGCAGCGAGCACCCATTTGTACCAGAAGTTCATTGAAAAGCACACTAGCATCAGCTCCTTCAGTAGTGTGAACATCGACATATACAACTGCACCCTTAAGCAAAGCAGTGTTAACATCCCGACGAGGAGTACGAGGGGGTGTGCCAAGATTTGACCATAAAGCGGCATCTTCCTTAGTAGGTGTGAAGCAGGCGTCTTGCATAGAAACATCCTCGGACTGCTTTGCTCGACGTGGAGTACTCTCTGTCTGTGAGTAAGAGATCACTGTGCTGCTACGTTTAAGATTTCCCGATGGTCTTTGGACGGGTAAGCGCGAGATAGTCGCGCTACGCTTCTTTGGTGAAGGACGCATTGGGGTGTCATCTGCTGCTGGCTTGAGGGGAACTTTAGAAACGGTATGGCATACTCTCTCGGTAAGGATACGTTTTGGTGTTGTGAATGAAGGCATTGAAGTACTTTGTGGCAATGAGAGTGCAAGAAGTGTCGGATCGATTGGCATACTGTTCTCATCACCATATTCCTGACTGGCTTCAGAAGGGGCGGACTCATCGGCTTCATGAGCTGGCGCATGTTCCTCGTGGGCAACTGCAATTGCCTCAATCTCATCTGGCTCCAAGAGCGACAACTCATCAGCTTCATTTGCAAGATCGAGATCCTCCTCATCTAGTTCAACAGGTGTGAAGTTTTCCTCCAAGATGTCCATCTCCGTGATTTCTGGCTCAGCTACGACGTCCGGTTCCTCTCGGACAGACATTTCATCATCGAAAAATGTGCTCTTCACAGGTGAAGCCTCGGCCGAAATTTGGATTGCGGCATACACAGATGATCTTCTGTCTCCAACCGGCGAAGGCTCTTCGCTGGAGGTATCTGATTTGACAGGACTTGCAGCCATCCAATCACTCAGCTGTCTTGCCAGTGGTGTGAAACCCAAATTTTCGGAAGCTTTATCCTCGGACAGAACGATGGATTTTGATGTTCTAGGAGTCTTTGCAATAGCCGTGAAAGGAGTTGGAGTAGCTGGACATGAGTCCAACTCATGTGAAGAGCTTCTAAAGCCAGCAAATGGGCCACCAGTATATCTGAAAGATTCCGAGGCTAGCTCATCTTCAGAATCGGAATCTGCAAATGGACTATCGTTCCCTTCTGGAAGATTGAAGGTACCTGTGCTGTATCTTGAGGGTGTGCCTGGCGGAGTATTACCATTGGCGGCGAAATCTTCCCCAATAACAACTTCCTCCTCGACGAGTTCCACTTCATCAATAGCCATGGGCTCTGGAGCGGAAGCAAGTTCTGTCTCGTCAACTGTGCTTTCTGCGACATTCTCGTCAGGGATGATGGAAGAAGGATCTGCTTCACGTGGAACGATCGAAGACAATCGACCAGAAAATTTCATGCTCTGTTCAGCAGCTTCGGACATCAAAATATCCTCCTCTTCCGGTAGTGGATCGCTGACTTGGACTGCCTCAATAACAGGTACGGCGGGGGTGGTGTTGACAGATCGCATCAGGCTTCTGTTCAAGGTTCTGGGAGTCGCGATTTTCGTCATCTTCAGTGTGCTGACTTTGGGAGTGGCAGTAACTGAAATCTTGGTGGTGTGGGATCTACTTGGGGAACCATTTTCAGCTACTTTGGTGGGTGACTGTGGCTTTCGTGCTGGAGATTGTAGTAACGAAGTTTTGAAAGCTGATGGCGTTGCTGGTGCTTGTGGAAGTGATAGCTTAAAGGGGGAACCTCGAATGGCAGAGGCGCCAAGTGTATTTCCCAGATTGGACTTTTGAGGTGATGCGCCAAACAAAGATTCTTTAGCTTTGAATGGTGACTGAGGTGGTCGACGTGCTGGACTGCCGATAACAGATGCGCCGAGTTCTTGTGTGGTCACTCTGTGAACAGATATCGAATTGGTGAAATCGAGCTTCTTTGCTGTGTTGAAAATGCTTCCTGGTGGTTTAACAGGGCTCTTCATGAGAGGCTTCATTGGAGTCTTTTCGTTCGTGGCGAGTTCATCTTCGGAAAGTGGCTCCCTTGAAGTAGAAACTTGCGTTGCTTTCTTCGGGCTCAGTGGCGATGGCTTTTGTGTCTTCTCCTCTACAGTAGACTTTGCACGGCCTCTAGTTGCGCGAGCTGTGACTGTAGCAGCAGGTTTTCGAACGGGTTTTGCTCGAAGGCCTGTACCGACATCAGTCGCCTTTGCCTTACCTTTGGCATTTGGTGGTGCTGGCACGATGTTCTCTTTGTCGGGCTCTTCAAATTTGACCGTTTTCTTTGGGATTGGAGGTTTTGTAACAGTGGTTGCTCGGGCACGAGTTGCACGTTTTGGAGGCTCTTCAGGCGCTGATGATTCTGTAGCCACTTCAATCTTCTTTGGCCGACCTCTTAATGACCTTGTATGCTCTGCAACCGGTGCCTCTACGATTGTCTTCTTTGGTCGTCCTCTTGTAGTTTGTGGCGCAACCGGTGCTGGAGCTTCCGCTGGTACAACTTTCTTGGCTCTCCCTCGAGTTGCGCGTACTGGTTCTGGTTCGATTATTGGCTTCATGTTGAGTTCGTCCTCATCTGGTTCTTGTTGCTGTTCTTCTTGCGCTTCATCCGCTCGGGTCTTGCGTTTAGTCGTAGAGGCAGCCCGAGTTAGCTTTGCTTTGGATGCGGCAGTCGCGATCTTGGTCGTTTTGACGCCAGCATCATCTGTCTTTGCTGCCGCCCGGGCACGTGTAACACGCTTTGGTGGCGATTGAGTATTCATCTTGAAGTAATGGTGTTAGTAAAATCGATGATTGATGAAAGTAAAATTACATTGACGCGATGTTGAAGTAGTAGTGATAGCATTTGCTATGTTTATCAGAAGGCCTTGTTTATCTTGGAAGCAAGCTAGCGGTTGCTATGCCAGCGTGTTAGCGACGAAAAGCGGGTCGACCTTCCGAACCGCCACGTCACGTGACTGTGCTCTATATGTCGAGACTCATCACCAAGCATTTCGACAAAGAATACCTCAATGTCAACTGAACTACAAATCCGACCATTTGCCCAAATACACTCCTTGCATTACTTAAGTATCAGCTGATCGAATAACGGTTGCTCAAAATTTCGACCTGTCGTTGAAGGTGTTTCACCGCCATGCGAGAAGTACATGACACGTTAGACCCTTAGCCTTTGTATGTCATGGAGGCCACAACATGATCTGATCAATTTTGATAGATACATATTACGCCACGCCTCATGTATATCCCTAGAGAGAACGACTTCAACTGGAGAGAATTCAGGAGGAAAGCTAACATCTCTTATCGCAGCGACCTTCTGAGCAGGAAAGCCGTAAGCAAGATGCCAAATTTCCATCCCACTTCGTAGCTTGTCCGAATCCCTCGGAAATATTCTCTCGTCAGGCTTCAAGTGAGGGATAGGGAACTTTCGCCGTGCCAATTGGTATTGCCGTCAAGACCCTTGCCACGCAGCTCGCAATATCGCGGGGAGGCGTTTTGATGCTCGTTCCTTTTTCCTCCCTCGTTCATATAGCCTTACATATGCAAGTAACCCGTTGCCTCCTATGAAAACCCAAATCGCAGCAGTTGGGCAAACGCAATGCAGCTTCAATTTGGCCGCCTTACCGCCGTTACAACAACGAGATGAGAAGCTGCTGGAACTGAGTGAGGATTGGCTAAGCGAGTCACCCCTCCATGAGTGACAACTGACCCCGCGATGGGAAATGGCACTTGCGATCTGATATCGCACTGCTCCCGGCATGATAAGCAGGTGCAAAGATTCAGTGCGACACCGTACCAAACCCTACGACCCGGTATCGCCGTGGATGGCAAAGGATTTGATGATCATGTTGTCCAGCTCGGCAGGACCAGACGAACTTGCATCGCGCACTCTGGCGAGGTCATATGTCGGCATGCGCTGTTTTGCAGGATCAGATTGAATGTGTCCAATGAGATCTGGAAGTGAAAATCACCTTGCTGCAAGAGGCCATCAGCGAGGCATCAGCAATGAGGGATTGCATGAATATTGGCAAGATGGCTTGCATGTTGGTTAGACTAGATGGAGATCATCCAAATAGTTGCACTATTGCGATTGTGAGTCGTGGTAGTGGATACGTAGAGACTTGAGGTCATGATATTACACTTTCCAGTAATACCTATATCCTCTGTGTTGAAACCGAATAATAGAAAATGGAGCAATGATAGCACTAGTAGTCAGGAACCTCTGCGGGTAGGAAAATTCTCCGATCAATGAAACGAAGAGGTCTGGACGATGAGGGAGAGGAGAGGGTCCAGATTTCATTCGGGAATCCGACTAATGACTCGGTCGCCCGGGAGTTCAATGATCCGTTTGTAGCCAGTGAGGGAGTTTCCTCATACTGCCACTGACTTGGATATCGATGTCTGCAGCAACTCCCCAGATTGAGCATTGATGATTTGAGAGTGGGATGAGAAAGCTTGCAGCATGTAGGAAGTAAGGTTGTTGTGAAGGCGGGATCAATTGAGTAGTCGGTAGCTCGGAATCGCGGGGTTTCCCTCTGGCGTCAGATCCTTCTATCTCTGTACGTGAGCATGTCGTTGCAGGTTGGCCGTTGGTGAGTTGTCAATCTGTACAGTCCAGTCGTTTCTCTGTCTTTCTGTCGTTCCCGATACAACAAGTAACCTGGCACATATCACGAAACCTGATGGACCATATGAGGGGCAGCGAGCTGTTGACGATAGGTCATGCCCCTCCGGATGGTGATCATAAATGCGAGCCATTTGGAGAGCAGTGCGCGCAAACAGAGCTCGATATTGTGGGTGGGATCTCTTATAAGTCCAGGGATGGTCCATGGAGGGGTGCTTGGAAGTTAATAGATCTGATATAGCTTCTCAGCTTGTCACTGGCAAACGGAAAACGATACTTGTTTCGACGAGGCGGTGGGCAATACGGGGTATGGGACGAGTATTGGCACACGGCAAGTATTGATATGGGCGTAATGGCAAAGACACTCAAAGGATTCTGCCAAATCGCTTAACCGTCAGTGTTTTTATATCGCGGACACATATTTAGCCAATAAAGCCAAAGCCACCGAGACGAGCATTTCTCGACATTTGTTTGTTATTGATTGAACGGCGGGAGTGGTCGATTATTGGTGGACAGTGGTGTTTGAGAGGTTCGGATTGTCCTGTTTCCTCAGTGGTTGAGACGCACTACTCAGGGGAGTCTGCTGGCATTCAGCGCGCGAGTCGAGTCGAAGAGGGTCCTCTGGCCGGTCGAGGCCGTAACGAGCGAGCAGGTCAGAATCCACATTCTGAATCCGGATTTGATGTTATGATATGCCGTATTGCTACGGCGACTGACTACTGCAGTTATACGGAGACTTGAATATAACTACTCCTCATGTGACTTAGAACAGAGTCAAGAAAGTACGATTCGAGATGGAGTCGTTGTGGTAGTCTATCAAGGTCTAGTGCGCCATCTAGTACTGGCGAGCCACTCAGGCAACAAGGCCAAGTTCTCGAAGGGTCCCACACTAGCCCAGAAAGAACGAATCGAGGGTTTCCCGGCAGTACCCGCTGCCACCCCTAAGAGCTTGTGGTGTTATGATTGGCGTAGATTCTCCTCGTGCACTTGACACGGTGGGGCAGCGCTGCAGTGAGGGCTCGCTTTCTCTCGCTAGACAGCAGAATCCCCGCCATGATTGGTCTCCTCCCCGCCGAGGCTGGGATGCTCAGACCAGGCGAGCAAATCTTCCGACCCACCACGACCCAGTCCACCTGCCACTCTCACCGCTATATCGTTGCCCTTCGAGCCCGCTTTCCTCACCTCCCACCTCGCAACGGACCTCTCACCGACATACATCGTGAGGTCGACCTCCGCTGCCCTCGTCCTCAAAGAGCGGTGTCACCATCTCTCTTCTTACAATACTATTGACACTTCCGTCAGAAAACTTCCGCGAAAATGACCTCGAATCTCGACTTCTCCTCAGAGGGTCTGTTGGACCTAAACTTCGACCAACGAGACTCCCGATATCCCTTCACGGAAACGATGGCGTCTCGCGCAACTTGGCCAATGCCTCTAGATATGGCCTCAGGAGCAAGCGAGGAAAGACGCGAAACTTCGCCGGGTCTGAGTACACATCAGCAGCAATTCCCACAAACCAGCCATCACAACTCTCCAACGCTCCTCACAGACTGGCCGATGCAGCAACAGCAACCTCCTCAGCAGCTTCCGCCCTATATCCCAGAGAACTCGCTGGTGGGAACGCAGTTCAATCCGTTCAGTGGGAACTTTCAGACATCGCCGCTCGATTACCATCTCCCAGCCACCCTGCCTTCGACAACCGGAGCGTTTGAAGCCGGACTCCAGATGGAGGCACCATTCAATGGATTACCACAGACGATAGAGCAAGCGGCTATGTGGGCGAACTGGCAGGAGATTGAGAGCGCCATGTATTCGGCAAACGGGACAGAAGGAATGAATATGGGAGGTCGTCAGAGCCTCGGGAGCAACTCGCCTACGGGGACATATCTCGAAGTCCTTTCTCTTCCAAGTTCAAGTAGTGATAATGGATGGACCACTGTAGACACTTTCCACAACATGGAGGCGTATCATCAAGCACATAATGCCGCGATCTTCAACCCGGGCCAGACATTACATCTGAGGACCTCCTCGGATTCATCACAATCCGACGGCACCGGACACACGATAGAATCATTCGGTAGTTTCGAAGACATCGCATCGTATCCACCATTTTCACCATACTCGCCCGGCTCAGATGCATACGTCGATACCACCAACGTGCATCGTAATTGCTATCACGGAGAATCTTCGCATCAGCACAACCACGACATTGTCAGCCCGGCTGCCGCTGTCGCTCCAGTTCCAATCAAGATGTCACCATCCACCCGCACCACCCCATCTTCTTCAACATCATCACCACCAGCACGAAGAAACTCTGCACCACGTAAGAGTCCAACCGCCAAAGCCACCAAACCTGTCATTCGCCGAACGTCAAATGGAAAGAAAGACACCGAGAAGCGTGTCGGTAGACGTCGGGGCCCATTGTTACCCGAGCAGAGGAAGCAAGCCAGTGAAATTAGAAAGCTTAGAGCTTGCTTAAGATGTAAATTTCTCAAGAAGACCTGTGACAAGGGCGAGCCCTGCACTGGTTGCCAACCTTCTCACGCCAGATTATGGCAAGTTCCATGTACACGTATCGATATTAAGGACATCGGTTACTTCATGAAGGATTGGCGGGCCGACTATGAACGTCACGTTGGTAGAGGTGTTTCCGTTTACAACATCAAGGGCTTCGGACCAAAGGAGGAGTTAATTTGGATCACTCACGGATATGGTTTTGCCATTCCAATCATGGCCCGCGAGGTCTACGTTACAGATGACAGCTGTTTCCAGGTCGACTGGGTTGAGACTGGTGATCATGATGAACCATTAGAGTTCGATACACGCACTGAGAGAATGTCAGCTGGTTCAGAAGGCATCTCAACCGAGGCGCTGTCAGAATATCTTGATAAACATCTTGATGGGCCTTTCGAAGAGTTTGTTGATGAATACTTTGAGGGAACACCATTCATCACCGAGATTCTCAAGACCGCTCATCGATACTACATGAAGGAGAAGGTTTCTGTTGTCCGAAAAGCATTGAAACTTGTCCTTGCTTACAACTTGACCCTTCATGTCACCATGGTTGAGCAACGTGGAGATGAGCACCCTATGGAAGGCATCATTGATGACGAGGACTCCAGATTCAACGGAAAGATCATTGCACCTGTCATGATCAACTTTCAGATCAAGTGTGCTCTTGCTGACATGTGGCGAGAGCTACAAAAGGAGATCCTCGAAGAGTTATCGTCTCTCTACTCCAGCGTCTACAGTGGAGACAGACTCAAGAACTGGCCTACCATCTTCATGCTTGCCTCCATCCTCCTCGCCGTCTGGGAAGAGATGCAATTCGATTGCCATTACCGCGTTCCCGACACCGCTGCTGTCAACAAGTTCTGCAATGACATGGAGACTACTCCCGTCGGTGTCATTGTTGGCTTGTTCCATGCCATCTCGCAAAAGCTTCCTTCCTTCACCGAATGGGAAACCCGCCGACATGGTCAACTGCTCAACAACAACGTGGCTGTCTGTGAGGCCATGACCGAAATGAGAGAGCATGTCACCAAGCATGGTAAGTTTAATCAATCACTTTTTCAAACATCCACTAACCATCCAACAGAGGATTATCTCAAGACCCGTCCAGATTCCAAGTTTGACCGAAGAGACTTTGACTCGTTATCCAACAAGTTCCTTTCCAAACTTGTCATTCGGGCCAACTAGTTTTCCTTCTTGCAGATACACTTCTATATACCCATTGTGCATATGTCGACTACACCTATCACGTGGAAGGACCTTACTCACCTGGTCATTTACCCTTGCGAAACTATCAATCACTTTTTTCTTTTGTACAGCTACTACTCAGTGTCCTCAACAGACATGAGAATTTTCGGAAATTGGGACATCAAGCCAACAGCGCGGCTCTTTTGCATTATTTTCCTTCTCCGACACCGTTTCCCTGAAACGCAAAACTCACTTTTACGATTTAAAGGCATAGCGATGTTATCTGATTTTACTTTTCATCCTCTACGCTTTTCACGAAAAATGCCCCTCTTTCACGAAAGCTCTGTTATCACGGCCGACTTTGTTCTCCGAGAACTTTTATTATGATGTTTGCGTCAGCGAAGGGAATCTTCTTCTCTTTATCTGTACGAAATGGAGATCTGAGTAATTGATTGGTGGAAACAAACATATCTTGACCTTTTTTACGAAGATGATGGATTTATGGATTTATGGATTTATGTGTTTGATCTGATCGATGGATGGATTTTATACGTCATCTCTTTTTTTTTTTTACTTTACTTTTACTTCATGATTGAGATGCAAGTTTAATATATCTTATATATATTGCTTTTTATTCCAGAGGAATGAATGCCCATTTCGGAGGGCGTTGGAGGATCCGAATCTGGCATTTCGAGAGGGTCATCGAGAGTGGGGGTAGTTCAGATGAGATGTATATCAGATATACAGGATGATTTAAAAGAGATGGATATAGGATTTGGATGGTAGATTTAAAAAATATATTAAAATTTCAAACATTCATCTTTGCAAAATCTGGATTATGTGACGAACTGATTTTTTGGGCTGCTGATAAACCAGATGTTGCGAGTCTCAGCCATCCCGAATATCGCCCGCCAGCGTAGGGTTTCGAATATGCATTGATACCGCGGAGATTTCATGCGCCTAGGTCTAGAGTTAGGGGATTTGTGGTCGCGTCACGGATAAATCATGAATCTTTCGTTACGAATGAACGAACGAACGATTTCGCGGCCGTTGCGTCATCGGAGATGGGCTGGGCTTATCGCAAGGTGGATGCATCATGCTTGAATGTTGGATGATGAATAATCCGAATGTTACTGTAGTAACTATACTATACCCAGGGAATGAAGTTGAAGAGGTTGGTGAGTGGGCTATAAGATGGGATTGATGAGTTTCATGAATCGATATAATATCGAGAATTGGTTGGATGTTAGTCCAGCGCCTGGTGGCGACCTGAATTGAGGGGAACTGGACTGGTCTGAAGAGGCGGGGTGAATGGTGGCAGGAGGATCCTAGTCGCCGGTGCTCACGATGTCGGTGCCCCGGACTGTGACATGGTGATATCGCGACTTGGAAGTGAAGGCGAATCGTCAAAATGGAAGATTTAATACGAAATAAGTCGACTGCGCACGTGAATTATTAATTCATAAGAAATGAATTTTCATGCTCTAGGCTTTCCAAGTGAATAAAGGCAGATTTGAGTCATACGCCCGTACCTTTGAAAGACCTGGAATCTTCGAACCGCCAATAACTCAGCCTTCTATCAACATTCACGCTAGTCTCGTTTTAGTCAGCCCGCCCCGCTTGCATCCGCGACCGCCTCCCAACTCTACAAATACCTGGCCCTCCCTCAACCAGCCTTTCTCTCTCCCTCCTTCTTAAACAGCACACTCTCAACCCATACACTTGAGACAGCGACCTCTCTCTTCGCACCCTTCAGGACCAACCAACATATACTACACCGATACCTACATATACCCCTCACTACCGCAAACATGCAGATCTTCGTCAAGACTCGTAAGTTGTCACCTTTGATAAGGGTGGCGTTGGCTGCCTGGATGTCCGGATATCGTGCTAACATCATCTAGTCACTGGCAAAACCATCACCCTCGAGGTTGAATCCTCTGATACTATTGACAATGTCAAGTCCAAGATCCAGGACAAGGAGGGAATTCCCCCAGACCAACAGCGATTGATTTTCGCTGGTAAGCAACTTGAGGACGGACGCACCCTTTCGGATTACAACATCCAGAAGGAGTCTACACTTCACTTGGTTCTCCGCCTTCGTGGTGGTATGCAGATCTGTAAGTAAACAATATCGCCGCATCGTCATTCATCTGCTAACATCTTCCTTCAGTCGTCAAGACCCTCACCGGAAAGACCATCACCCTTGAGGTGGAATCGAGCGATACCATCGACAATGTGAAATCGAAGATTCAGGACAAGGAGGGCATTCCACCAGATCAACAGCGTCTTATCTTCGCTGGTAAGCAGTTGGAGGATGGCAGAACCCTTTCAGACTACAACATCCAGAAGGAGTCCACTCTCCACTTGGTCCTTCGTCTTCGTGGTGGTATGCAAATCTTCGTCAAGACTCTTACCGGCAAGACGATCACTTTGGAGGTTGAGTCATCCGATACCATCGACAACGTAAAGTCAAAGATTCAAGATAAGGAAGGTATCCCACCAGATCAGCAACGTCTCATCTTTGCCGGAAAGCAACTTGAGGATGGCCGCACCTTGTCTGACTATAACATTCAAAAGGAGTCCACTCTTCACTTGGTGTTGAGACTTCGTGGTGGTATGCAGATTTTCGTCAAGACCTTGACTGGAAAGACTATTACTCTCGAAGTTGAGTCTTCAGACACCATCGATAACGTCAAGAGCAAGATCCAGGATAAGGAGGGTATCCCACCAGACCAACAGAGATTGATCTTTGCCGGAAAGCAATTGGAAGATGGTCGTACATTATCTGATTACAACATTCAAAAGGAGAGCACTCTTCACTTGGTGTTGAGACTTCGTGGTGGACAGTAAATATGTTCGCATTAATGCCTCTGGGACACATTTGGCGTTTGATTTCTGCATCGGAGTCTGGGAGTTGATACCTGGTACATAGGTGATCATCATAGGTAGCATTGGGATATGCACACCTCTTCTAGCCAAATATAACATATTGAGGCGATCTAAATTTGTTTGATTTATGCATGTGATGTGAGACTGATGTGAACATGAGATTGAATTGTGAAGTTTGCTATGTCTAGATTCTGTAACTTTGTTATTGCTGCTGTTGTGTATCTCATTTGCCACTGCCAGCTTTGGGTCCCATAGATCTGAGTCTCCGGTTCATAAGGCTGAGAACCGTGCACCTGCCTCGTCCCACCTAAAAACTTCTTTGGCCACCCCACCAGACCGTGAAAACGACTTTCCACAAGTGTACACGCCCAGTCGAATCACCTTGCCACGTAGAATGCTCTCGAAATGCTCAACCTGGCCAATCGATGAAACGGTCTACGAGCTGCGGCATGAAGGAGACATGCACCGGTCCAGAGCAAGAGTACCTTGAGAGGGAGAAATCTGCTGCCGAGCGAGAGGGATATCTGCACCAAAAACAGCGAGGATACCTGAAAGGGACGGATGCCAGCGTACTTTTACCATCTGAGGATTGAAGTTTGGCCGAACCCAAGAGGAGATATTGATTTGAGGGAGAGGAAAGGTGGGGAGAAGAGGCAAAGTGCGGAGAGAGGGGTTTTTGGGAGGGAAGGAGTGAGGGAAGGGGATACTGTCTGGGTTCCGGATTGTGAGGCTGATATTTTTGATACGGGGAGTTGGCCGGGGTGTAGATTTGGGGGGAAAGAGAAAGAGGACGTGATTAAGAGGGGGAAGAGGTTTGGTGAGGAAGAGCGTGATAGAGCGTTTGGTGAAGAAACCGGAAGGCAAAAGAGTTTGGCAGCGAAAGGCAGTAGATTCACAAACGCAAATTCAACACCCCGAGAAGACGCTCCATTCAGCGGATACGCCGACCAACACACCACCCTCCGAAATTCGCCCTACGGTACCACATCAAATCACACACCTCCCGTGATAGACTGCGGACCCGTGAGGGTTTCGACGGAAGAAGATACGGGCGTCACACGACCACTACAAATTCCACAAAGTAAAGTTGGGGATCTGGAGGCTGCGAAGAGGGATTGGAGGTTTGAGAGGGTGAGGGTTGTGGCGTTTGATATGGCTGGAGGGAGGGATGTGGGGGGGAAGGGGGGAGGGGACGGGAGAGGGGAGGGGAGAGGAGATGGGAGAGGGGAGGGATTTGATGAGTGGTGGGAGGGGAGAGGGGAGTGATTTGATGAGTGGTGGGAGGGGAGAGAGTAGTGGTGCTGGAGTGGATAATGCGCTGGATCCTGGATTGAATGCTAGGTTGATTGCTTTGCGAAGTGATCAGGGCTCAAGTATTCAGCAGGGTTTGAATGTCGCTCGAGATTCCAACAATCCGCTGGGCTCGCACAGCTCACCCAGCTCCCATAATGGCATCAATGCTGGTCTTACTGCTGCCGGAGGAAATCGAGTCACAAAAGCGAAATACGAAGTTCTCGAAGGCAAAAGTACCGACATTGGATGGGGAATTGTACATTTATATCGAGATGGAGAGGAAACTCCTGGATTACGATCGAAACCTGAGAATCTCCCAATACCAGCTGGAGATACGGCGCCGCCATCTGTTGCGGGACTCAGGATGAAAGATGATGTTGATACAGAGATTGAAGATTGTACAACTCTTTGTATACCTGCTGTTCCTAGTTATCTCACACCTAGTGATTTTCTAGGCTTTGTTGGGGAGAAGACTAGGGAGCAGGTCAGTCATTTTAGAATGGTTATGACGGGACGAATGAATCGATATTTGGTACTTATAAAGTTTAGAGATAATGGGGAGGCTAGACGGTGGAGAGCTGAGTGGGATGGGAAGGTTTTTAATAGTATGGAGGTAAGTCTCTCTCTCCGCTATCTCAGAATCAATACTAATATTCTTCCAGCCAGAAACATGTCATGTCACATTCATCAAATCAATAACCTTCCAAACCCCAAACTCCACCCGCCCAAACACAAGTTACCCAGAACTATCCCACGACCCATTCAAACCTTCAACCTACCCCAAACCCTTTCCCCCACCAACCCCGAATCTAATCGAACTCCCAACCTGCCCCGTCTGCCTCGAACGAATGGACGACACAACCGGCCTTCTAACCATCCTCTGCCAACACGTCTTCCACTGCACCTGTCTCCAAAAATGGAAAGGCTCAGGCTGTCCCGTCTGTCGGCACACCAACCGACTCCTCCCCTCCCCCACTGACCCTCCCTTCGGCACCATCACCCACCTCTGCACCATCTGCGACACGCCCAATGACCTCTGGATCTGTCTCATCTGCGGCAACGTCGGCTGTGGTCGCTACGCCGGCGGCCACGCAAAAGAACACTGGAAAGACTCTGCCCACAACTTCAGTCTCGAGATCGAAACCCAACATGTCTGGGATTACGCGGGGGATTGCTGGGTTCATCGTCTTATTAGGGGGAAGGGCGATGATAAGATTATGGAATTGCCTTCTTCGTCGCGCGTTGAGGGGGAGGGGGAGGGGGATTTGGTGCCGAGGGAGAAGTTGGAGGGGATTGGCATGGAGTATACACATCTTCTTACCTCACAACTCGAGTCTCAGAGGATTTACTACGAATCCCTCCTCTCCCAAGCTGTCTCCAAATCCGCAGCCGCGTCTACCGCTGTTGCTACGGCCTCGGAATACCTCGCGTCCACCCAGGCTCAACTTGATGCTCTGAAAGCAGAACACGAAACCCTGAAATCAGACACGCTCCCGAACCTCGAAAAAGAGCTCGCGCGCGAAAAACGCAAGGCGGAGAAATCGGCCGAGATGGCACGCGCGTTCGGGAAGCAATTAAAGGAGGAGCGGAAAGTGAGTGAGGGACTCATGGAGCGGATTGGGTGGCTGGAGGAGAGGATGGGGGAAATCAAAAGGGAGGTGGGGGTTGTGAGGGGGGAGTTGGAACAGGAGAGGGAGGTTAATAGGGATTTGATGTTTGCTTTGGGGGCGGGCGAGAAGTTGAAGGAGATGGGTGAGGAGGTGGAGGGTGGGAGTGTGATGGTACCTCTTCCGCCGCCGAGTGAGGGGAAGGGTGATGGGAGGAAGGGGGGGAAGGGGAAGGGGAGGAAGTGATTGATGGGGTTTTTGGAGTTGGTTTTGGGTTTGAGTGAAGGTGGTAGATTGGGGGGGGTGGGGGGTTGAGAGGTGTTTTTTGGCGTTTTGTAGAGGCGATTTTGGTGGATGGGTTTTGAAAGCGGCATTTGTAACTAGAACTCCTCCTCCTCTTACTCTTGGAGTTAACATACGTTTTTTTAAATATTCCCTGTTTACGTCGTTTTATGTTTCGTGATATTTGTTAAGGAATAATTTATTTACTTGTGTCCTAGCGTTCTCTATTCTCTGTTTATCCTTCTTAATGTGTTCTAGGAAGGAGAAAGGCGGTAGTATCGTTAGACATCTACGTATAACATCATCATTCAACGTAGTATCGTTAGACATCTACGTATAACATCATCATTCAACGTACCGTCGGAAGCTGTATTTACCTAGGTACCTAACTATCAAATTATCGCTCCTATTGTAAGTAGAAGATATCATTTCGTTTTCTAGTATCGATAAACTACGACAGTATCCGGTTAATCTCGTGATACATTAGTAGTATGTAAGGAATTTGATAAACGCCTAATATATCTCCTATCTCTTCATCTTCACATAACCTCGAAAACACTTTTGCCAAATCAACGAAACAAACACGACATATTCGGATACACCCTCACGATAGACATAATCAACGAATCCTCCCCCGTTAGGTAGCGAGACGAGAATTTACAAAAGAATTCTCGTCGTCTAAGAAAAATATAATGAAATATATAATTATCGACAAAGTACATAGGGGTGAATGAAAACCTTGTAACTTGTCCTATTCTACGGGCATCGCGATGTTAACAAGATGTATTACACCTAACTTTTGTAAAAGTAGAAACAAAAGCTTTGTGTTTTAATAATAGATTGTATTTATACTAGCGTATAAAGTTCTTTACTACGCAGTCTGTTACCACGTAATTACAACTAGCCCACCCTACCCTATCTTAACATCTACCTAAAGAAAATATATACACCCCATCATCTTTCAATGAAGAATAATCAGTATATCTTTCCCCATCCATCGGCCTATCACCAAAAACATATCTCCCTGCTCATACACCCTACCTAATCTTATAATCAACTTTATTAGATATCACTACCGCGTATCTATTCCATCCTACCTAAATCACATCAACCCAAGCCCCTTTATCTCCGACGTGGAATTTGAAAATGGAAGTTGTGGTTTTGATACCATGCGTGGGAAGACGAGCGTGGGATAAGCTTCTAGCCTTCGAATTCTTGATCCGCTCAGATATTCAAAACCCCACATGACATCCCACCCGGACGAAATCTAACACCCCCTTACAATTTCGCGAAAAATAATTACTCTCAACTACCGCTACTCGTCGACCTCTAACCCCTTTCAATCCCTTAACATCCCTAACTAATACACCTCTATTCCCATTCTCATACAGCGCCCATCTATCCAATCCCCCTTAAAACTTCCACCTAGAACACATTCAGAAGCCCGTATAAATCAATGAATCTATACCTAGGTACTCATGTATCTAATATATTCTGTAGTACGAGACAAAGTTCACTTGATCTATCATCTACGAGAGATATGTTGGTAAGAAAGAGAGACTTGTACCTTTTCATTCGTACAACGCGCCATCTATACAAACTCTCCAAACCTTACATGACAGAGCTAGAACCCTACGCACAGCAGATGTTCAAACGTCAAAGACCATACAACTCGATTAACCTCTACTCACTCAACTCACCCACCTCCTGCACATACCATTCTAGTACATCACAGTCAAGCTCCCTCACAAACCACACTTTCACATCACAACACACTATACTATCACATCACAACACACCTATACCTTCACACGTCACTTCACATACCAATCCATAACAAGCCCACTCACAAGCTCCCACATAATATACTTTCACATCACATCACACCACACTACCACACCACATCACACCACACTATCACACCACACCATAAATACATTAAACAATGATTTTCAAATTCTCCTCTTTTCCACAAACTATAAACTACAATCACAAATTTTGTTTTCCATTTCCTTCCCACGTCTTCCCTTAAATCACCCTATCAGCAGAATCTTCTCCCTCTACATCCATTACAACACTAACCCACCTGCCTGCCTACCCACCACCACCACCACCCATCATCCTTCCCCCACCGCAGCAATCAAACAACAACAGCACAGTGCGCACGCAAAAACATATGCATGCATGTACGTTTCTTGAAACTTGAAAGCGAGGCAAAAAAATAAAAATTAGATTTAATAACAAAAGGGAAACAAAATCATGGGAATATCCACCGCCATTATTATAAAACCGAATAGACCATTTCATTTCCTACCGCCCCCATCAATGATAGAAAACCCCCCAATCCCGCTTGCTAACCCCCCCGCTGACATCAAGATTTAGTCCAAACAAAACGCACTGGGTATACGTTCTCGATGTCACACGTTGCTATCGATTAGGAAATTTTTATTTTTTAGACGGCAAGAGTCTCTTGACGACCACGGTTCTCTCCGTTGATGGTGCTGTCCTGGTTGATGGAAGATGCGCCGGCCTCCTCCTCGCTCAAGGCATCGTCATCGTACTCGTCACCACCCTTGTGTGCGCTCGCTGGGATCCAGAGACCAGATTCACGATCGTTGAGAGGTTGATCCTGACCAGATAGATCATGTCCCTCACCTGAACGTTGTGCGCGACGACGTTGAGAAAGGTTTCGGGAGCGGGTAGAGAGCTTGGATGAGACGGCAGCGTTTGCGGTAACCCAGTTGGTAAGAGAGTCCTCACAATCCTGAATGATTGCCTTTGAAGTCTCATATCCATCATATGCAGCACGAGTCTCACCTGGAGTGACTGGGGTATCATCAATAAGCTCGAGCAAGTGCTTTCCGTAACCAGCAATGATAGCAAGCTTCTCGCAGTGCTCACGGAGAGCATCGAATTGGTAGGTATAGGCAGCCTTTAGCTTTTCGCGGGTGATGTTTGACAATTGTGCCTCAGCGACGAGGGACTCGGCCTCAGCACGGACAAGTTCCTGCTCAAGAACGACAATCTTTGGGGAGTTTGGCTCCTTGTATTTGAGTTGGGCGATTTGATCGGTGATCTTTTGCTTGCCTGTACACGTGATTAGCATATGTTCATTGGTAGCGATTCTCCCGCAACTTACGGTCTCTGCTTGGCTGAACGGAAGCTTCGATATTTCGGATGCTCTTGATTGTAACACGGTATTGGTCATAACGATCAACATATTGATCCTCAAGCTCACCAATCTCGTAGAGCAAGACACCAAGTTTGTCCGTAACATCCGAGACGTCATCATCACATGCCTCACCCCAGATGGAGAGTTGTTGCTAGAAAATGTCAATTGAGTTTCGTTTTGCGCCGAAAAAGATAACTTACTGCAACTTCCATGCGCTCACGGCCGACAAGTTCCATGCTTCGCATAACGTTCTTCTCCATCTTTACAAGCTGGGTAAGCTTCTTTGCGAGATCCGGACCGAATTGGCCGGCAGCCTGACGACGGAGAGCATGACCTGGATGGTTGTATTAGCGCATGCATCTAATCAATAGTTTGAATTGACCGGTTGGTGAGGGTCGGGCATGCCAACTTGGATTGATTGCGCATTGAGATAATGTGCAAACAAGCAAGGTCTGAGGGCAATCTCGTGAAGAAATAGCCAGATTGATCAAATAGCCACGACAATCTGGCAATCATTTCGCGATATTGCGCTGCGCTGTTTGCCTCTCATGTGAAGGAGGAGCAATAATCGAATGCGTCATAAAAAAGGGTATGCACTAACCAATTCCGCCCTTTCCAAAAAGTCTTCCGGATTTTGTGCTTGAAGATGGTGGTGGAGGATTTTGGAGCTGCGATGCCTGCGATGATACTGTATCAGTCTCTATTCATCCATAGTATATCCTCCTCGGATTGAGCTTTGTATACTCACGGTAGGAGCCCGCGACTGTCTCATAGAATATGTGCGATGCATGATTGCGATTGATTGAATCTAAAGCTCAATTCTTTGTTGACTCGTGTATGCGATTGTCTCTCGTAGTAACAGACTCTCTTCGATATCTGCAGTTGGTTTCGAGTATAGAGATTATTGTTGTTGTGTGAAGAAAAGAGAAGAAGAAGCTCTCGAGCGGAAAGAGCTGTTGATGATTACACCTCTCCCCCGCGACTGCGCGGTGGGTCCGGTAGCCATGACGATCAGGCGCGATGACGTAGGCTGCAACTCCCAAAGCGGCGTTAGCACACACCAATCCAGAGCGGTCTTCTCCTCCTTCACTCTGCCAACGAGGGACCGCCTTGCACCGAAACAAATCCTGCTCGTCCCTTTTGGGCCACACAGCAACATCAATACTCATTTCCCTGCATTTGATATCCGTGATCTCCTCAAGGATGGGAGGTGTGAGGATGAGGAGAAATCTACGCGATTCCTGGGCAAAATATCTTCTACAGTTTTTGTTTTGTTTGTTTGTTATTAACAAATCCATCGCATCTCAGCGCAAACACCCCGCCGTGTCAGCGCATATATTCCCCCAATCGTCGCACAAAATCTGATTCTCTCCCGCCCAAACAATTGTAATACCACTCTACTACGTCACTTGCCCTCCCGATCTAAAAGCCAAGGAATCCCGAATCGATATAATAAATCCAGGAAATTTATTTTGGTTCAGCTGGTTTAGGGTGTGGCTATACGCACTAATGGACCTCTACCGAGATGATAGTCTAGAATAGTAGGATTAGAGTCACATGCTTCGGTTTCCATCGCAACGTGGCCGTACTTTAGAGGAGTGGTGGTCTAGTACCTGACTAGAGAGCCTGGAATTGTAGTTAGCGGGGTTAGTGTTTGATCTATAGTTATTACACTAGGAGGTCCCGATCTCAGATGGAGAGTGATTTGACAGGTAGTGTACGGAATTCCCGGAAGTTACTTTCAGATTGCGGCTTTACGTAGCTGTGACATGAGAATTCCAAGAGCTACGGAGATACGTTCATATACAGCTTTTCTAATACTCTTCTTAGGCTATTCATGTAAGTAACACTGTAAGGCAAGTCACTCCGTTTCCCCTTATTATCTTCCCAATTGTTAGGCAGCTTGCTCTGTATAGAACTTCCTATTTTGACAAGTTCTGGTAGGTTTCATTGAGAGGTACAACACATTAATATAATTATAAGTTACATAGATACCTTTTCACATCTAAAGATTATCTTAAACTTAAGCACCTACCTTAGACTAAAAACCAACAAATGAATCACACGAAGGAAAGAGAACTCAATCAAGTGTTTAAATATTTCGATTTTTTTTCCATCCTCCATTTACATATTTACTTTTTATCCATCTCCTACCTTCTTCTCCATCTCCCCTTCACTTTTCTCCAACCCACCACTCATCTTTCCCCTATATCCTATATACACAACACCCTCCACCATCCCTATATCCTAAAATTACACACATCTACAACCTCCCCTCCTCCCAAAACCCACCCTTTTTACCCCCCCAACTTTTTTTTTGGCCAACAAAAAACAACCACCCATATATAAGCCCTCATGAATGCATATAAAACCCCTTTCTCCATCAACAACCCCGTCTCTCCACCCAAAAAATTCCCACCATGAATATATCGCTCGCAATTCAGCGGTCGTACAAACAAAAAAAGGGTATCTGAAAAACGAAAAAAAAACTACAAACGAGATTAAGACAACTACTATATTTACACATATGAGGGGGTATCGCTTAAACAAAAAAAAGAAAGATCCTCGGTCAAGGTACTGTGCTCCCTATCACAACCGCTAAACCTGTTGATTCGGCCACCAGATCTGCCATCTCGCGCGCGTACTAGGATTCATCTCGGCGCCCTCAGCAAGCAAGATGTGTTTAACCTTCGTAAGACGATTACTCTTCTCAATCAGACGATGGCGCAGACTAGTATCGCCCGTCACAGCCGAAATCCTGATCTTCTGCACCGTATCATCGAATTTCGCATGCACGGCAGCGAGCACGCTCCAATCATGACCTTTCGGGCCGCGCGAACAGGAATTCACCATGGCTTTGCGACGGGAGGGGACTTCGAGGCTGAGGATGTAGGTGAGTAGTTCGTCGAGGCCGCGCACGGCGATGTTGTGCGTGAGGGTGTTGCCGTCGCGGTCGAGGACGTGAAGGACCTCGCGGAGCGTCTTGTCGTGTTCGGGGATGAGCACGCGGAGGAGGTCGGTGGTTTGAGAGGGTTTCTCGGGGGATTGACGGTGGTCGTCGTTGCAGCGTTCTTGGGTTACGAGGGCGTGAGCGGCGGTCATGCCGGTGTCGTCGGGGCCGTTACGGTCGCGGCCGGCGGTGCAGGCGCAGATCATTTGGGCAAGATAGGAGTTGCTGTGGGCGTCGGTGCGGTTGCAGATTCGACATTCGAAGTAGGCGCCCATGTAGGAGGTACCACGGGCTCCGCGGGCGATGTCGTGGAAGCCGTAGAGACTCTGGTTGCTGGGCGTACCGTCGCCTTGGGACTGGTAGAGTTTGGTCTCGCTGATTCCGGCTTGGATTCGAGCGTAGTCTGCTGGTGAGATGGCTTTAATCTTGGATGCTGCTTTGCTCATTAACATGACGGCGGTGCGGCCGCTTGTGTCAAAGGTTCGGAGCTGGTGATGTTCATAGGGGAAGACTTCGAGCATTTTGGCGTACATGTGTCGTTCGAGTGGTTGTTGTAATAGATAATGCATCGGTGTACGTCCTTTGATATCTCGTTGAGTAAGCAACAACCCTTCTGGATGTTCCTTAGCCTTGAACCATCCTAAGAAACCAATCAATTCTTCGCCCAGGTCCTGGGGGTCGAGTACGTGGAGAGGATTCTGGCCAAAGACATTCTGACTAGAACCCATATCCAACAGAGGCTGTCTGAAATAATCCATTCCAACCCCAGCAGCCATCAGGAAGTGCAGCGACTGGTTCCCCGCAAAGTCTGGACTGCAAATATCCCTCAACCCAATCATGGCGGTGACGAAAGTGCTGATATCAATGCTCCGTGCTTGAATCATGAGCGCATGCCACTGTGAAAAGCCACAAAGTGTACAAGTGGGAAACGGTACGTTCCAATGAAGTCGACTGTGATCTTTTCCGCAGGGAACAACTCGAAGGAGCTCGTTCCAGGTCCCGGCTCGCGGATCATGTCTCGCTTGTCTCAGCGGTCGTTGTCCAGCGAGGCTGAATCCGTGTGGAATACGGCTTCCCGAACTCACCGAAGAGTTCATGGTAGAAACAGAGTAGCGAGGGGACGAAAATGTCTCGTCGTAATAGCTGTAAGCTGATGGAGCACTTCCAGTCGACCACGTGGCTGTCGAAGCGATAGACATCTGGTCTGAGTCCCGGAAATTGTCCTGCTTCATACTTGGCTGATAATTAGACATTTGATCCATTTCCCGAAAGCTCTCCTGCTTGATACTTGGTTGATAGTTGGACATCTGATCTACTTCTACGAAGTTTTCCTCTTCGATGCTTGGCTGATAATTAGTCATCTGCTCCGGTTCGCTGAAGAGCTCCTGTTTGAGCATTGGTTGGTAGTGAGACATGTGGTCCAGTTCCATAAAGTCTTCCTGTTTGATAGTAGACTGAAAGAGAGGTGAAGGTTTCGGGACCGAATGGTGCGACGTACCTCTTCGAGGCGGAGGAGGTCGTGGAAGAGGTTGCTGAGGAGGTGGACGTTGTGGTGGTAGAAGCTGAGGCGGTAGATGTTGCGGTGGTAGTTGCTGAGGAGGATGTATCGGGTGCTGAGGTGGAGGATGACTAGGTGGAGGGTAGTTTGGTGGTGGTTGTTGCGGTGGAAATAAGAAATCTTGTGGCACCGAGTATGGCTGTTGCGCTGGTTGTGGTGATTGAGAGACCTGGGGACTTGGATGCGGCTGCAAAGGACGGATTGGTAGTCTAGAAGAGTTTACTGAAGATGACGATGACGATTGATAATTAGTTGAATCTGATACCAGCGCAAATAATTCTCGCACGGTCTGCTCTCGTTCGCAGCGATCCACTGGAAGATGCCAATCTTTATACCGGTTCGCATATGTTTTGTAACTATTGATGAATTGAGCAACAGCGCAACAATGGATACTTCAAACACTTACCAGTAGTCCAGGTTCTGTTTCATCGAGTCCCGAATCTGTGGAAAGCTTATCATGGTCATGTACAACCGCACCAATTCGGGCTGATGCACCAATTCCCAATTCTTGTTTGCCCGATTATTATTTGGGTCGCGATGTAATAGGATCTTATGGCACTGAGCCTCCGACAACGAGAAACATTGTTCTCGAGTCGGAAGTGGTGGACTCGTCGGGCTAGGTGAAGCCATATCGAATCAACGGCCGCAACACGCAAATTCCAAGCTGACAGTTCCGCTCCAGTCGTTCCATTCGTCGAAAATGAGGCCTCCGCAGTGGTGCAGTGCAGTTGACGGTACGGACGCAGACCGTTCGACTCGGATACGTGCTTCTATGGAAGGTTCTCTGTGTTCTGTCGCGTCGCGATGGCGAGGTCAATTCTTAGGGGACGGTGGAGTTGCTGGCTGATGCGTCTCGCTTTGTGGGGAGTCGGAAACACAGGTCGCAGAAAGGCTGAATAAGAACGCTGGAATCCTCGACCGCGCAGTCAGTCCCACGAACGAGATGTGTCGCCGGGCAGAGGAGAACAAGTCAAGGGACGCTGGCGATGAAGAAGAACGTCAAGACATGATACAGCATAAATGAGAAGTGCGGACGAGGCGTGCCGTGGAGCGAGGCGAGGTTCAAAGGCAAGCAGGTGGGAAGGGGAAGGGTTTTGCTAGTGACTGGGGATAACTCATTAATGAAGAAATCTGGATCCTGGTCACCGCGAGACCAACCCCTGATCACACCTTCTTTGACCGGTTCCTGCATAACATTTTAAGCCTTTAAGCGTTCTTTCGTGCTCTGCTCTGCTCTGCTGTGAGGACAGAACAGACAGGGGAGAGAACAATTTACTGGGGGGAAACACTCTGGAGGGCCAGACGAGGGTGCGAGGGCACGATGACAGCAAACAAGGATGATCGAGGAGAGTCAATACCGACTTCGAACAATGTGGCGTCTGCACTAGCTCCACTGTAGAAGGCAAGAAGGAAAGAAATCCGTAGGAGCGAGAGCGCGGACTGGATACCGAACCGAGAGAAACTGGAGAGATCCTCTCCCTCTGGCCTGAGCGAATACATGTGCAGGAGGTAATAGAGAGGCGTTAGCGGGCTAGTTACTAGTAACGGTAACTAGACATAGTAACTCGTACTTTTGGCTCGTTCAAGACAACCATAGTAATAGTTTTATTGCTAGAGCACTTGCAAGCTGCTGAGCGCCAGGTGCCATGGTAAGTCGGACGTGATATCAAAGGGGCATAGCTCGGCAAAGTGAGGCACCACCTTTCGCTCAACAGAAAGGGGTTGTCACGGACCTCTGAGGGCTGAAAGCCTGGAAATTCCACTCCATCGCGGTACGGAGAGCGCGTTCTTGGCAGTTTTTTTTGAACTCGCACTGGCGCCCGCTGTCAGACTCAAGACGACTGTGCCGCAACAAAGTCAGGCCGCTTGATGATGATTAGAGCAGTGCAGGGTGAGATACTTTTTAGTCATAGTAAAAAAGTGTCGCTGAGCCTCTGGAGTCTGGACATGATATCCTGGCAAGCGAACACAAAAGAGAACAGGCTGCGAGGCCCGAAATATCGCTCTTTGCTTGCGGTTTGCACGCCTCGGAGCTTCACAGTGGTCTGCATCGAATTGAACGGCTGACAAACAGACTAGTTGAACGGTACTTGAGTGCAGCTGCAAGGCAGCAAAAGAAGCAAGTCGACTCCGTACTCGTACTCTAGCTCCTGTGCGACGTCCTCCGCAACTCTGGAAAAACATCACGTTGGTGGGTTTTGCTAACAGGATCAGTGCCCTGTTGATTGGGGTAATTTGGCAAGATACCGTGACGTTCCTCGGCTGAGTTGAACTGCCATCTGAAAGCTCGCCCGGTAGCCTGGTAGGCGAGAAACAGATTGGTCAACATACGTGGGATGTGTTGTAAAATATATGAAACCAACTAACGATCACGGGCAAATTTCGAGTCCAGGCTCATGAACGTCACAGCTTCTTGAAGCTTTAGATGGGATAGACCCTGAAGATAATAAACTCGCGGCAAACAATTGAATTTCAGCCGCTGAACTCAGTGCTCAGCACTGCCGTGCAACTAAGTTCACCCCGCCGAGGCCCTGAACCTAGAGCCGATCCCCAAAAATCGCAATAATTGCGAAAGAAAAGAGGGTTGAGGAAACCCATAAAAGATTCGACGATTATTATTCAGATGAGAAGCAAATGAGATGTGACGACCACAAAATTCAATTACATCTGAGACGTTCATAGGTGCGGTACAACAAAGCCTGTGTCTATCAACGAAACTATGACCAGATTGAACAATTAATCCCCAAATACAGGGGCACGAGACATTAAAAACGGCACCGATTTGTTGTTTGGTAGGCTAGTGGAAAATCCAAGACCTCGAATCCATTGAAATCTTCATGAATAAGTGGTCAAATATATCCATGGGTGTTTGTTCCACCTTGACGGTTGTGGGGGTACTTGTGACATCGTGAGGTCCCAGTAGGATTCACGTCGCCGTCAGCAAAGTGAAGGGCCTCATTTCCACCATTTCGCTAACATATTCACATATGGCAATGGCATAAACAAAAGCGTCCGCCTTTCACTTGGGGGAGTCTACGAAAGGGATTCTAACGAGATTTGTTGCTTGCTCGGAGAGAAATGTGCTCATAATAGACAGGACCAGGTACGTATCTTTACAGGCTCTCGAATGTTCTTATCGATGATCAATTGCCTGAAAAACATAGATATCGCGAATAATACCGTTGCTTCAACCCCAAGATCTTCAAGCTAGATGATGTCCAAACGGAGGCCTTGCTCCATCCGTTAGTTAAAGATCGTACCCCACAGTCTTAGCCAAGGGCTCCTATCAATGGCTACCATCGCCTTCATCTGGCAGGGGCTCGCGGAAGTTGAGCAACGATAACCGGCATCTTGATCTGAACACGTTCCGTAGAAAAAAAGCAAAGGTTGCGACAGATTCTTGGGATTGATTCTGACGTTGCAATTAGCTTTCAATGGGAGGAATCCATTGGTACTGCTTGATAGCCAGAAAGCCAATTCTCATCATCCACGTTTCTGGAACATATGCGTGAGCTCTCACCTGCATATCTTTGTGCGGCATGCCGGGTTGCCCGCAGCAGAATTTGTTCCCGCCTTCCAAATCGGCTTTTCAATCGTGCTCCCGTATTTACTCTGACTTGGTCTGCGTTTGAGCCGGATGCGGAAAGCACAGCTGATTCATCTCCATACTCAAACCAAGTTCTCGGGTGGTGGGAGCCACATCACAGCATTGAAGCCATCTGAACAACAACAAGCATTTCGAGTAGGACAAAAGTACTTCGAAGTATATGAAACAGAAAAGCGAACCAGTCTTGTCATCCCCAAAGCCCGGGATACGCACCACAAAGTTTAAAATAGCTTTGGGTCCGAGAGCTGCCCAAAAACGTCGACCTGCATAGGTGGAGAATGAAACGATATTGAAGCATTGTAGTGTGCTCATAGTTCTTGGGTATTATGGTTGATAAATGCACAGTACTTAGCCAACCAATCTGATAACAGTTGCTGCAACCGAATCGAGAAATGATGTGAGTCCGTGACTCGCCTATAATCAGAGAATCAAGCACATGAGCATCGTTATCTGTTGAAAGAGTTAGAAAAGCAAAGGTCCGCTCTATAGTGAGGCCGATTATTCTCTTTGGCTAAATTTCAAGAAAATAGCTCTACATAGAGCAATTGAACTAGCAATAATTCGCGATATTTCTTTGGATGAGGAGGACGCAACGGTGACTCCACCTGAGCTATCAAAGGGCCTGACTCTGCAATGCAATTCTGTACAGAAAGGTCTGGTCAGGCAAAAGTGTATTAGATGGGGTGGTGTATGTAAGGACCAAAACATATGCGCTCCAATGAAAGGCTGGACAGAATAGCAACCGGAATGTATATTGCATAACAACGAAAACAATGAGACGATACGATTGAAAGTAGAATGTCAGTAGGTGTTGTTTTTGATCTTTGCATATCACAAGGACATTGAGTTGTTGACTTGAGAGCATTTCTTTGAAGGGAAGTATATTGACTTTCGCACAGACCACCTGGTCCTGGAGGAATTCTTATGCAATAGTTATGCACGTTACCAACAGGGTAGCAATGCAAATTATGCCAAGTCTCCGTCGCGTTCGCGAAGGAAGTCAATTTGCAACACAATACAAGATTTGAGACTCAATCACCCAACGACAAAGCTCCTTCAGCTTTGATATCCCGCTTAATAGATATACAGGTGAAAAGTGGGTCTTGGATGTCAATGGCCATTCACCATTGTCAACAATAGTAAATAGTAGGTAATTGTTAACCTAGACCCCAGTTTATATTTTCTAACACATATCTAATGTACTTCCTCAAGTCAAAAATTCATCAGTCAGTTTATGAGTTTTCACGCCAAATGATTACATGTTTCAGCTTTTAAAGGTCATGTGATATCTTGAGCAAACAGAGCAGCAAACGGTTACAAACCTAGACCAAAGTACTTGCAACATCAGACGACGACGAGGCATGTTGAAAGGTTGCAATGCCCCCAGTCAAGGACTATATCATCGATCTGACTAAGGACGATGGTTCTGACGAGGAGCTTCCAAGGCTCAACAACCCAACGCGAAGGTCTACGGTGGCTGAGCCCATAGAAATTTCGGATTCGGAATCAGACTCTTCCTCACCTCAGCCGTTGGTATCTCAGCCAAAGCTGAAAATACTCCCAGCGAGGTCGGAAACCAGGAAGAGAGGTGGTGGACATATAGGACGTGAAGCACGTGCCTCGAAACGTGTCTCGACAAGACCAGGAAGTTCTGACGGCGAAGCCTCTACACAGTCAAATTTACAGTTTAAGACTTCACCAGTAACGGCTCAGAGGCTACCAGCTTCTAAGTTTGCCCCTCCAGCAAAATTCATAAATCCACAGACCAAGGGGCTCTCAAAAGACTCGGCCACACAGTCTGAAGGATCGATTCCCTTTCAATCAAGTGGACGTATAATCAAAGCCAAGTCCTCTCGGGAACTCAATTTACAGAACGAATTCCCAAATCTTCCAGGGATAAACAACTTTACCATTCCAAATCGCCAGAAAGCACCCCGTCGTGAAGTGCGCCCGTCTCGTGAGGTCACACAGCGTTTAAGTACCGTATCTTCCAAAGTTTCAGAGGCTGGCATCAGTCAAGATGAACGCACTTCTTCTTCATCTTTGAGCTTTGGGTTATATAAAGTGAAGTCTTCAGGAAAACGAAGAGCTCGGTCCAACGGGCGAGATGATCCCGCCATTGAACGCTTGCTTATGCTGGAAGACCTTCGAGGGTCTCAAGATTTAAGTTCAAAAGACATTGATCCGCCAACTAATGAAGGAACTGGGGTACCAAATTCATCTTCTGATAGTCGAGAAGCAACACCGTCCTCGGAGTTGCCTAGTGCATCACAACCAAAAGCAAATGCTAATACAATTACGTCAAAGTCTCTCCGTTCAAAGGATAATATACATATTACGACCGCTGAGATTCAGGAGCTGCTTTTGGAATTCGTTCAAGAGCTACGAGACAACCATTCGGCAACAGTGGATATATTACTTCGAAGTGCGAGGACGCATATTCAATCAGTCACGAGATCGTATGATGAGGTGTCACCATTTGCCGCAATGAAGAGTGTGGAGATTGATCCTGATGATCGAAAATCCTCCAAAAAGGCTTCGATTGCGGTCGATACATTTGTAAGTGCAATTCAAAAACTGTCGCTACTATGACTGACATATATCAGACGCCCAATGGCGGCGCGAAATATCATAAAACACGAACTAGGATTCTAACTAAATCTTTCAAATCAGAGGTAAAACGTGTTCCTCGATACGGAGATGTAACCATGGTCCGTCGAAATATATTAACTCCGGATGGTGAGAAGCTCCGATTCATTCCATTTCTGGAGAATGATGAGGATCCGGTTGGGAGAAATGGACAGCGATTACAAAAGGAGCTTCAGTCTGCCTACAAAACAGCTGATAACGAATCTAGTAGAGATAAGGAGGATCGTAACCTACTTTTCTCAAATCTCGACTGGTGGCTCGAGGAGCTTCCTATGCCATGTACGAGACGAATACTAGAGCAATACCTTATAAAGGAAGATACGGCATTAGGAAAGAGCTTTCGAGATGGCCTCCTAAAAGGACTAGGAGGCACCTTGCCCCCAGCTCTTCACAAAATGGCCTCTCGCTTCTCAGACGCTTGGCAAATTGTCCATAGAATTTCCCTTCGAGAAGTAATCTTGTCGAATGAGCGAATCCTGGAATTGAGCGAACTTATTCGAAAACCAAATCGCAAAAGTCTCGATGCAAATGCCACTACATCGCCACTTGCTCATTTGGAAACGTACATTACTTTAACTTGTCAGATTTGCTCCGCGGTTGATTGCCAAAGCCACGGAGAATATACATGGGAGCGAGCACCCGAATTTGGAGATGAAGGCCAAAAATTGCAGTCGGAGAATATGAATTATCTGACTGCTCCACAGCGACTTACTATGCAACCAGCTGAGCTACTGAGAAAGTACAACGAGAGAGTAGCTGTAGAAGAAGAAGAGTCTAGCTATAACGACAATGTACCTAAAAAGTGCTCCCCCGAATGCAGGCATTCCTCACGGAGTCGACCTAGCGATTCTCCAGATTTTAGTCCACCACAGTTGGAAAATATTCATCTAATGACGATTACAATCAGGAATCGACAACGTCGATCTTGTACCATTGCAGAGGCTCTTAGTCTGCCCTGCTGGAAAGTACATGCAGAGATCGAGAAGTTTGAAAGTGAAGGTGGTTTGGATTTACATCTAGATCAATCACCTGTCTCCCACGCCCGTGCCAAACGTCCAGAGTGGTATGACAGTAGAAAGAAAACCTTAAAAGGAGACTGGCAAAAAGTAACTTCTGCTCACGCTCATGAAGAAATGAGCCAAGCGAATCCAGTAAGTTCTCATCACAATCTCACTCAAGCATGTCTAACTCGCCCAGTGTACCCATTCGGGGCCATGTTCGACGTCTTGTCCTTGTGTTGAAGCCAACATACTCTGCGAATCTTTCTGTAGCTGTCCGAAAGACTGTCCCCGCCGCTTTACAGGATGTTCATGTCTACAACTTACCGGGCTATGTTGCAACTCCGAAAACTGCATCTGTATCCAACTGAACCGCGAATGCGGTCCCTTATGCAACTCCTGCGGCGCCGTCGAACGCATCAACCCAGCCGTTCGCTACGACGATACACTCTTCGAAACCGGCTGCCAGAACGTATCCATCCAGCGAAACGTCTCCAAACGTCTCATCATTGGCGAAAGCGAAATTGCTGGATTCGGCTGTTACACCGCAGAAGCCATTCGCAAAGGAAGCTTCGTGAGCGAGTATAAAGGGGAGATTATATCCAATCTCGAAGCCGACAGGCGGGGTATCGTCTACGACCGCAAATACCTCTCTTTTCTCTTCGATCTCAATAGCGAATGGGTCATCGATGCCGCACGGTTCGGGAACAAAACGCGTTACTTTAATCACGCGGCGACTACCGCAGACGGGCTGAACATCGAAGCTAAAATCTACTGGGTTAACGGGGAGCATCGGATCAAATTCGTCGCGTTACGAGATATCGAACCGGGCGAAGAGTTACTATTCAACTACGGCAAGAAATTCGCTGAGAAACACGGCTTGGATAAGAAACTACCGAAGGTGAGGGAGAGCACGAAGAAAGGTGTTGTGACCGGGGAAGAAGCGCTGGATTTGTTGGACGGCGTGGATAAGAGGAGGAAGGACCAACGCGGGGTTTTTGCGGAGAGCGGGACGGGGACGGGGATGGCGAGGAAACAGCAGAAGGCGAGGAAGAGCGCGCCGAATTTGGGGGGGAGTGATGAGGAGGCTGAGGAGGAGAGGATCAGGTTGGAGCTTGAGGAGGCGGAGGATGATGAGGAGGATTATGAGGAGGGGGGACCGCCGAGGAAATCGACGAGACGGAGGATGAGGCCGTTGAAGTATAGTAGATGATTCGGTTTAGATGTGAGTGCGTGATTTTAGATATGCTATATAATAATTCATCCCATTCCCTTCCCAATTCTCAGCTTCGTCTCCTGGATAACTTAAAATAACTAATCCCCACACCACCCTAACCCACATGCTCTAACCCCATTCCAACATTTGTTGCACATCGAACTTTTATACGACGCAAGGCTCGCCCTAACTCCATGCCCTTAAAACGCAGACGCCGAACTAAAATAGGGGGTTGAGTTGAGAAAGCGGAGAAATAGGTTCGTTGCCGAGGGAGATCGGCAGATGGGGGGTTTGGGAAAGATGTATGTCGATCTTGGTGTTGCCGGTGGGGAATGGAGATAGCGTTGTTGGTTGCATGAGGGATTACGAATGGGGGCAGGACGAATGAGGTGAGTTATGCGAGCATTGGTTATGGTTCGAGGATGAGTTGGATGTACAAAATTATTTATATGTATAAACGCGCGATTACAATTACTTCATTTAACCAGAGATTAAAGGACATATCAAACAACCTTCTTCCCTCCACCCCCCTCATACCTCACACCCCTCGTAATATTCCCAAAAACCGAACCCCACGCATCAGCGAAATAACTACTTCGAGGCTGCCACGGTCCGCGATCGCCAGTCTTGGGCAGGATTCCCTTTGCTTTCTCCACATACGTGCTATTCAGATCCAGCAACTTCATTTCCTTCATACCGTCCCACTGCGGATCTCTCGCCTCGATGTTACCATTGACTTTCAATTTCTCCTCGCTGCCGGTGATATAACCATTTGACGAAGGCGACGACGTGCGACCGAGCGATGGCGTTGCGGAAGTGAGGTTCATAGACTCCATGCGTTTGAGAATCCGACAGATCAGCAGAGCAGCAGTGTCTGAACCAAGCGTCCACGAAGCGTTTGTGTATCCTATGATCACGGCCGCGTTGGGGACATCTTGGATCATGGTGTTTTTCCAGAGGAATTTCTCGTTTGGATTTACGTGTTTGCCGTCGATACTTATTTTTGTGCCGCCCGCGAGCATGATTTTGAGACCCGTCGCCGTGATGATGATGTCTGCGTCGATTTCCTTGCCGGAGTCCATGATGAGACCGGTTTCGGTGACGGATTTGATGTTGCCGGTTACGATGTCTGTGTTGCCGTTTTTGAGCGCCGTGTAGAAGTCGCCGTCGGGACAGACGCAGAGACGTTGTTCCCAGGGATTGTAGCGCGGTTTGAAGTGAGGGTCGAGTGGGATGTTCTTTGGGAGATTTTGCTGTGCTTGTTTGTGCATTATCTTTCGGGCGGCGTTTGGAAAGGCTCTGCAAAATTGGAAGAAGATGTAGGGTTGGATGAGGTATTTCCAGCGCATGATTCGACTTGCTACCCAAGCTGGGAAGAATCGTCTTATCAGATTACCAGTGGGATCTTCGGCTGGCAGAGCTAGAATGTATGTCGGTGAGCGTTGAACCATTGTGACAGATGCTGCTTTCTTCGCAGCGACCGGAAATATTGTAATAGCTGTAGCACCAGAACCAATGATGACCATCTTCTTGCCGGTGTAGTCCAGATCTTCCGGCCAAAATTGAGGATGTATTGTCTGTCCTTTGAAAGCCTCAAGATTGGGAATGTTGGCTTTGAGAGGCTCGTCATAGTCGTAGTAACCAGTTGAGAAAACCACAAATCGTGCCTTCAATTTCCCCGAGCTTCCTTTATTTTTACTTTCTGTAGATAGGAACCATTTTTGCTCATCAGACCCCCAATCTGCTGCGACTAATTTTGTGTTGTACTGAATCTTCTTATCGATACCAAATTCCTCAGCTGATTCCCGAATATAGTTCCGAATGGAATCGCCATCAGCAATCGCCTTTGCTGCCAACCAAGGGCGCCATGGAAATCCAAACGTATGTAGATCGGAGTCCGATCGAATTCCAGGATATCGGAAGAGATCCCAGGTACCTCCTATTGCATTGCGAGCCTCGATAATGGTATATGTATAGCCGGGAAGCTGGGTTTGAACTCTATAAGCCGCATTGATGCCAGAAAGACCGGCACCGACAATAACTACATCGAATTCCTCCGTATTAGGAGTTGAAATGGAACCCATATTGTGGCGTGATGGCTGGTTACACGGCTCCGTTGCCACGTCGCTAGATTTCGTGATGAAGAAGGAAATGAAGTTAAATGTTTCAACGAGAAAAGAGCAGGCTTATTCATATAAAATCCTAATTCTCGTTCAAAGTAAATTATCAAGCCGAGGCGAAAATGTTTGGAGGGGTCGACAAAGGAGGGTTGCGGCCTCGAGCCATGACGGCGATAATGTACCAGAGGTTCACTAAGGTACGCAACTAGATGCCGAGGCACACATTTATGTGGCTTTCCCCGCGGGTGCGCACATTGGGGCCGTGGAAACCGTGTGGTTGGATACGCGCGGTAGATCCTTTTGAGATGGCTTCCTCGGTGGAGAGAGCTAAGTCTATCTAGGCAAGCTGGCTCGATGAATACTGGTGGGGGATTTGTATTATTCGGATGTTTATAAATGCCGACCATAATTGTTTGAGAAACCGCAGCAGAAATACTCAAAAACGGAAACTAGATGTAACGGGGATAATTCTGCTCGAGTCGGACGAGTACATCAAAACTTCTGGAACAGATTCATCATATTATTATCTAGATACAGAACTTTCTGTGTAACATCGGAGATGTACATAGTCTTACTTTGCGACACCTACATGTAGCCAAAGTGATAGAGACATAACTTTCTACATGTTGTAGATACTCGACAATTTATATTGACTCTCGTACTGCCTGGAGACCAGATCATAAGCTACGAAAGGGGCAGAATGGCTATCTGCAGATCCGATAAATCTGTAGATCCATCTATCTGTCTTTACTGTACTGGTATCATAGCGAAACTACAAACAAGTAAATAATTAGAAGCAAAGAATAAACTTAACTAACACAGCACATTCATACCAGCACCATGGGTATTCTGGATATCTTTTCTGAGACCCAGAACCTTCCAGCCGAGGTTCATCGAACAGGATTCTTTCCAGCTGCCTTGAATAGAGAAACTAGCCAATTACTTCCCAGCCAGCTCTGCTACGCTCGGGAACACATTGAAACCCGACGGCACAATGAGTCTTCAGTCTATTCGCGAGGTATGTAGTCGAGATAAGACTAACATTACGCGAGTTGGGAGTCGTGGACTTGTACGTATGATGATACGACCTTCGCAGAGGTTCGAACAAGCACAACACCACAAGGCAGCAACTTCGTTGACGACGAATCCTGCTTCGTGACCGCTCGTTCGCGCTTGTATTTCAATGTGTATCCGTCAATCTCGGACTGCTATGCTATTGCACCTATTGTTTTCGTGATCCTCTTTTAGGGAATGTCGCGTCGCAAACGGGAGGGTGTTCAAGGATGGTGGTTCGTGTGGATGAGCGCGTCTGCGGATTCGCGAATCAGTACGAAAGGAGTATTCTTGTTGTCATCATATTCGATCGAGAGTACAGAAAAACGTCGGGCTTCTGTAGAACAGTAAGGATGTGGTGAAATTAATGTTCTTACGCTGACGATCTCCAGGATTTGACTGGGATAAGGCTCAGAGTCTTACAGCCTGAGGCATCAACATTGATGTCTTCATCGCCTTTCTTCCTCCTCCTCTTGAACTTGACAATAACAACTTCCCACCCGTTGAAAGATCCTGCCAGCTTCTGCTACCATACTCGTGGCTTTGTTGGACTCCAGAAACAACAATTTCTTTAACTATTCTCTATTGTTTTGGCTGTCAGAGTTGATTCTAAGTGAAGTACATATTCTATTCTGCTTTGCGAAAACATGGGAGGGATTGAGCACACTATTCTGATACTCAGCTCTCATCACTACAACGACACAGATTTCTTAAGAGCTCATACGGGAGAACATGATCAAGTTTCGAAACTCCCATCAGGAAATACACTTTTCCATTCTATTCACGCATCATGCATATTGTTTCGTATTCCTTTCGTCCTTCTTTTGCTATGCTTATGACCTCCAAAAGTTCCTGCCAGCACCTTACTTCATCATCCAGATCAGAAAATTCTCAATTGTCATTTCCTCTGCTTCTCCGCAATATCACGCGCGCGTCAGTTCGTGATTAAACGTGGCTGCTACTGCCTTCATCGACGTTTCGTAATCGCTACCTGTGGCAACGAACGCAGAAAGAGCGTTCCATGAGCTCCCAAGATCTATCTGCTGCGACTTTGAGATCTGTTCCATCTCTTGTTTCTGTGCAGACAGACAATCTCTATCATTCGTTCATCCATTGTTAACACTTTCGACAATCGTTATCATACTTCATTCGCTACGTCAACAGCTTAATAGCAACTCCTATCTGGTTGTTTCGATTTCCATCATCATCATGTCGAAGTTTGCACCACTACTGCATTATTTTCATTTCCGAACAGTCTTCGAGCTGGCAATCTGCTCCATCAGTTCAAAAGCATGTGTCGAAGGAACAGCTGTGGAGAACCGGTCCCAACTCAGTTTTCAGGAGAAAAGCAAAAAGACAGAATTGACCAAAGATAGTTGTGAGATCAAAGATCCCCTTTTGCTCAAGCAAATTCTAATCCATCTTGCTCTAGTGTCGGAACACATCAAAACAATGCTCATTAATGAGAATTTTATGAGCTCGTCATTGGACGGAGAAAAACAAACGCCTGGTACGCCGACCAACAACGCTGAAGAACTCCACGATCCAAGTTCAATCTCCGAAATCGAAAATTGGCAAGTTGATGTTCAGAACGAGGAAACTGGGAACCCAAGAGACCCAAGACGCTTGGCCGGGACAGATTCAAGCGGTTCTCATGGTCCATTTTTCAGGACATACATCACATCACCAGTCATTCAAATTGATCTTGAAATTAGAGAGAATATCAATAGTATCATGACGAGGTTCCAACGCCTTTGCGAAATCTTGACCGACAATTATGATTTTCTCAAAGACAACAGGGAAGGTCGACGGAAAGACAACGAAGGCGAGAGTTTACGACTCCGAGTGTATGTCGTTGCTAAGAATCGAAATGGAAATGACATATCCAAGGATCTTATGGTTCAGCCAACTGTCAGATTCATGGCAACTGCTTGGGCTCTAGAGAAAAGACTGAATGACCTTCTTCCTGATTACACGCAGTGGAATACCTTGGCACGACCTTTGTCGAAAACAGCTAATCTCAATGAAAGCTATTATGCTAACCTATCGACAATCTTCAGATGCGACGAGTTAAGTATAGTCTTTCAAACTAATGTCGAGTAATGAGGTTCGTGGCGTTCAACTCATTACCCCTATTTCCACTCAATCATTATTACTTATCGATTACCCAACTCTGTTTTCTGATCCCTAACTGACCCAGAATTCCGCAATGGCCTATTCTGGCAAACAATTTGAGGACAACGAACCATCTCCCATGTTCGAATTTAATCAACACGATTCAACTCTCGACCCCACTCGAATTATCAACTGGATCCAAGTGTGTGTCGCTCTTATCAAAGACGCTCATGAACTAGACCCCGAAGACAGAACATTAAAAGTCGATCTTAACAATGACGTGGAATTGCGTGGAGATACAAGGACCTTTTTGCGTCGATTCGGATTGGATCACAGCGTTGTGGACTTTTATGCTCCTAAGATTTCGTGTCTTTCGAGGCGAGAGGAAAGGAGAATGCGCAGGGCGGCCAAGGCCAAAGAGCCGAAGCAGCTTGGAAATCACACCAGATAGAAAAAAAAAAAATTAGGGAAGTGACAGGTGTAGTTTACTTTTCTTGCTA